TCGCATTTCAACTTCGAAACTCTCGTCCCATCAACCCCTGGTTGAATATATAAACAGTCCCCGAGCTGGCTATGGGTGAATCACGAAGATATCTGTATTTGCAACATAAGGGTCCTGGCTGGGATCTCTCACTTCAGGCTAGAGATGTACTATTCATACCCCTCTCAGATTCAGTCCCTGAGCAAAGCAGAAGAGAAGAGGTGAACGCGTGACTCACACGTTTCCAAAAGCTTTTGCTGACTTGACAAAGATAAAGTAATGCTTCTATATACAAGGAAGTAAATAACGAATATTCTAGAAGAAGACGTCGAGAAGCCAATAATGACGGGTATAAAAACATCCTTGACATTGCTTGAATCGAGATCCATTCGACTCCAGAGCGGAAGCCAAGTATGCCAGAGAGAGCCGGGTCTCGAGTCCGGGTGCGAAGAGAATCTCGATCTCAAGGCCGAAACGGCAGTAAAATTCGAGAAGGAAAAGATGTCACAGCCTTTAATGAAGGTATGAATAAAACTTGATCTTGTCAATTGTTTTTGTTATCAAACTTAGCAGGTCAGAAGCACGCTAAGAACAAATTCTTCAGCCAACTTTTGCCTACATAATCCACAACTTGAGATTTGTCACTTACTTGTATCAAAGATAAACTCACCAAAGTAAGGTCACCCCGGCGCTGGGTGATCTGGTCGAGTTGTGATTCGTGGTTGATAACGATTTCCGCCTCGGTTTCTCTGACTCTCTCACGGAGTATTTATACACGAAAGATGGGCTTCGACCTCTAAAACCGCAAGCTAGATCAATCATCGACAAGTAATTCGCCCATTCACTCGAAGGGAGGAAGTAGTGAATGGAGATGGTAAGAAAGTGGAAATGGGAGATGGAAATGTATGAATAACACTCCAGTCCTCTACCTCTCGCAGTGAGCATGTTTTCTCCAACCCAAATTGAGTTGAACGGAGACGCAGGTGGAGGATGAATGTGTTGAAGCGAAAGCTCCTGGACAACAATAAGTGCACATGATTTCTCGTATTCAGAAGAAGACATGGTATAGGAAGGTTCTTGATTTCGTCACCCTGGGAGCAAAGACAGGCTGGAAAAGGTATATGGGCGCAGTTTTTCCGTTGTCAAGTTTGATTTGCTGTCAAAATTGAGTGATCTTCCGATAAGCAAAAGAAAAACGGAAGAGGTAGATGCCGAGCAGCAATCTAAGGTCAATCATGGTGGTTGCCGAGATCCCAGTGCTCGTTGACCGGAAGCAGTGTATGAGTGAGGGCCGAGCTTAATTGATTGCGAGATTCTGTTAAATCAATGCTGGAATATTTATAGACAAAAGGTCTGCCTGCTCATAGAGGAACAGAGGGAGAGTAGGTGAATCACAATCTTCTGGAATCCTCGTCAGCTTGATGAGATCGAAGCAGTGAATGGATATGTGGGAATAAGTAAAGGAAAGTTGAGAAAGAGACAAGTTATAAATACTACCCTTTCTCCTGCAAGTACGAAAATTAACAGAACACACCGAGAGAGAATTCGTGACATGCTGTCAAGGAAAGCTCTTGGAATACATATGCTGGTAGAAATATGATGCGTAAAATCGTGATTGAGAAAGCAATGTGGTTAAACATGGTTGTGTGTTGTCAATTGTGGGTTTGTTATCATGCCTTGATATCTATGACCGGGCAAAGCCGTGGCACTGCGACAAGCTGATTTTCAGGCTTGGAAATGTCCAAGAAGTTCTTGAATTTCGTGATAATTCCTTGGCTTGCTCAATGATGGGATATTCATAGACAAAAGCTCAGCATGATTCTCAGTGAGGAGCAGAGGGAGAGAAGGTGAATAATTAGCAAAACACAATTTTTGAGAAACTTCGTCCACTTTGCGATGGCAAAAAAGTGAATGCTTCAACTACCAAGCGATCAGGGAGGTGGAAGTAGGTATAAAAGCCCTCGTTTCTTGCAACAAGAAGTAAAATATCCAAAACTAACCACCATAGATAAGAGTCCGGCCCCTATGGAGAAGCAAGGGAGGTATCATGGCACGGGAGATTTATTAGTGCAGACGGCGGTAAGGTAGGGATATGACGAAGAGTTTGATGTATCGAAGAGATGGGGGACGAGGTTTCTTTTGGTTGTTAATTGTTGAGTTGTTGTCAAGTTGGAACAGTCTTTCGGATAAATTGACAATAAACATAAGATTTCTCTCTCAAGAACTCGAATCATAAAGCCAGACCCTGTCGAGTAACGAGCTAAAAAGCGGAGCCGGGATCAAGCAGACCGGCTGACTTCCTGGCTCCACAATAGGTTGGCTGCTCGTATTTCAGATTCATTTGTTGGTACGATTCTGCAGAGAACGGGGGTTTTTATAGCCAGCAGTCAAACTTGCTCTTAGCAAGAAGCGGGGGAGGGGGCGGGGGGACTAATAAGTGAATCACACCCTCCTAGAATGACTTCCACCAGACTCGAGTCTAAGTAGTGAATGAATCAGTCAAATCTGAAAAGTTCTCGTCGAGGATATGATTATAAATACCACCTCTCTCTTGGAATGAAGAAGCAAAGTAGGAATAACTTCGAAGGGATTTCAGGTTCAATGGAGAGAGTAGCGGAACTCACACTGCCCAAGAGATCGTTGGCATAGAGGACGTTGCAAGCTTTGAGGAAGACAAGGAGACAAGAAAAGACCTAATACATGAAAGAGGTGATAGGACCTGGCTTTTCTACTGTCAATCCCCAACTTATTGCCAACCTCAAGAAATCCTTCCGATAAACCAATAATACACAACCCCTCCCTCAACAACTCAAGACTCGAAGGAAAGCAATACCACCAACAAACCACAAACTACATCCTCAACCACAAAAGCAGCCGGTCTCCTCTCATCTCGTTCTCGCTCTCCGCGTCTTTGTGTGAGTTAATCAAAGCTTCCTTCGAGGTGGTAAGTGAGGGGCTTTTTATACCCCAGGACTCTTCCTCGTTCTCTACTCCCTGCAGCTTCTGATTAGAAGGGTCGGTCCTTCTTAGTGATTCACAACTTCGTAAAATCGTAGTTTACTTGCTACAGAGGAAGTAGTGAATAAACTGGGTAAGCCATTTGAAAAGTTGTGGTCGAGGATATGGGTATAAATACCACCCTCCCTTCCGCTGAAAAAGCGAAAAAAAAGGAGTAAGGATTGGGATCCTGTGAAAGCAGCACACATTACTGACTGAAAGATTCTTGCGCCCGAGACTCTGGTAGATGTGGAGAAAGAGGATGGAAGAGGTTCAGTAATGTACTATATAGATAACGAAAGCTTTTGCTGTCAACTCTCAATCTGCTGTCAACCTTAAGCAAAACTTTACCAAACCGGCATTACACACGAAACCTCCACTTTATCCCCCGTCCTCCCACTCAAGACCCCAAAGCAGGGCTGTGTTACTTGGCAAAGCTACGACCCCGAAAGAAATCGCCCGGGAACGCATCTGTCTCATTCGGCGGGTATTCTGCGCATTCTTGCCTCCTCTGTGGGTATGGAGAAGGAGTATTTATAGACAAAAGAACCAAGTTTTGGGAAATATCTGAGAGGGGGGAGCTGACTCACCTCACACGCACGCACCTCAGGCACTTAGCAGAAAGGAAAGAAGGAAAGAAGGAAAGAAGGAAAGAAGGAAAGAAGGGGAAAAGTGAATATACACACCAAGCAAATCTGCAATAGAGGCAGAGAGTAGGGCGAGCTGTAGGAGGTATATAATCCCCTTCTCCCTCTTCAAAAAAAGAAGTAAACCAACCGAAAGTTGCAAAAGGAGTGCCATTGTGGAAGAAGCCCGAGAGGTCACAGCGGCAAGGGCGGGATCTTCTTGCTGAGCCGGTGGCGGGCGAGCTATGGTGGCAGAGCGTGGAATGGTATGCAAACCGTAGCAGATGGTGGTGACTTTCTGCTACCAACAACCTTCTACGTTGTCAACTCTCACCAACCCCACCCACCCTTTCCGCTGACAAAAGAACGATCCAAGTCCCAAACCCTCCCATCATCAACAGACAAAGCGTCGCCGAGCCCGAGCCCAAACACTCCATCAGGACCTTCGAAACAATAGCCTCACCCCGGGCTCCCATGAATTGACTGACTGACTGCACAAAAACCATTGTGGATATCTGGATTTTCCAAGAGGTGGATGGGGTTTTTATACCACATCTCTTAGGTGGATGGGTTGGTGATCTTGGTTTGGCTTGTTACTTCACTTGTTTTCCAGATTCTCAACTTTCAAAGCCACCAAGCTTTTGAAACAGTGAATAAACGAAAGGAATCAATCAATGGAATAATCTAATCTGACTCAACACCTCGCAAAAATATCCCTAAACCGAGGAGCGGAAACGTATATAAACCCCCCTCCCCTCCCTACACACCAAAAACCAGTCGCAGCTTCGTCTTTCAAACAATTCTTCCAGGTTTTGGATGTCCGAGATGAGAAAGCTCTGACTGCACCGGAGCCGGTTGTATGTAGAAGGTCCGATGAGATAAAGCTGGGGTAGGAGTGTAGATTGGATTTCGTTTGACAGTGGTGTGTTGAAAGTGTTGGTATGAGCGGGTTAACAGCAAAAAACGAAAAACGAAAAAAATTAACAAATTGACAAGAAAACTCAGAACGTAACAACAACAACAATCACCCATTACATCCCACAATCTCTAGCAGCCCACACAGGCTACCTCTACCACGACCTAACTCGATGTAAAATCTGAAGCACTCAACAAGAAGTAGGCTGTGCCGGGATCCGCGGTCCGGAAGCTCCCCCAGCTTCTCGAGGGCCGTTCTTCGATGTTCGTTCGTCGATGTTCGTTCTGGTTGAAGAAAGGACAGGAGGGTTTAGGAGCGGGTATATATACTTGGAGCAAAGGGGTTGAGGGTTGAAGGGGAGAGTGAATTGGGAGGAGGAGGGGTGAATTATGGAGTGACTGAAACCAGATAAAGGTTTCTAGGTAGACATTACCCAATCTGTATGTTTGAGACTTCCACAGACAAATATTGGCGCTTGCCGAGTCAGAGCATGGCAGTCCTTATGAAAGCAGTGAAGCAAGTACCAGCACAGAACCAAGGACTGAAAGCACGGCAGATACTTCTAGGCAAGAAACGCCAAGTCTATGCATCTAGTTCTATATCTATCCAAATCCCGCGAGACCAGCTCAGCTCAACTCACTTACTCTCCTCCGGCCAAACATCATACCCAAACGTATCCTTCATATTCACAAATCGACTCCACCGCCCACTCGCCACCTTATCAACCGCCTCAAAATCCTCCTCATTCAACTCCACCAATTTCGCATTCCCCTTGATCCGCCCCTCGTTACTACTCTTCGGCAAAACCGCATACCCCCTCTTCAATCCCCACGCAATCAGTACCTGAGCTAGACTCCATCCATTCTTCTCTGCCACTTTGTTCAGCTCTTTATTCGTAGATACTTTCTCGCCTGTGCCGGGAACTTGATCCTGGCTTCCGAGCGGCGAGTACGCTACTGGTATTATTGACTGCGAGAAACAGTAGTCGATTAATGGTTGTTGTGGCAGGAAGGGATGGATTTCGATTTGGTTGATCGCAGGCTTAACTTTCGCGAACTTGAGGATCTGGGCGATGCCTGCAGAGGTGAAGTTCGAGAGGCCGATGGATTTGGTGAGGCCGGCTGCGTAGAGCTTTTCCATGGCGGACCAGGTGGGGGAGGGGTCGTTGGTTAAAGATTGGTTGATGACGTACTGGTGGAGTTAGCTGTGTACCCTTTTCCGCGAATGAGGGAATTTGCTTACCTTGCCATCTGCTCCAATCTTCACTGTCCGGTCTGCGTTCTTTTCTGAGGCGATGGGCCAGTGGATCAGGAATGCGTCAACGTATGGCGTTTGCAGTTTCTCCAGCGAGTTCTTTAAACTCCATTCCACGTCCTCGGGCTCGTGGAGGTGGTTCCATACTTTTGTCGTGATGAAAATATCTTCTCTCTTGACGGAGGGGTTTTGTGATAGGAATTCGCGGATTCCGGATCCCACTTCGTCTTCGTTCTGGTAAAACCAAGCACAGTCGAGATGTCTGTATCCTGCATCCAGAGCGTGAACGACTGCCTTGTGTGTTTCGCCCTTGCTGCCTTCGTTGGCGAACGTGCCAAAGCCCAGAGCGGGCATCTTGACGCCATTGTTGAGGGTGAGGATTGGGCCGGTAACTGCTGGTGCTGCCATTGTGAATTGGGTATCTCGAGTCGTGTATGAAAGGAATCGTGCAGGAGTGGAAAGGAAATATATTTCTTCGTTCGATCGTAAAGGGCGGTAAGTGAAGGAAGGGTATCTATGTGAGAAGTGGATCCTATGCTACAGATTAATTGCCTGAATGTGAGTGTGGTATATCAATGATGGTGTCCTCAACGCATGAAGATTCTGCACCGAGTTTTCCTCGGACCATATTCGTAGCATGAGGTTCCGTTGCTCAACAAGTGCGGCGGCGTATGACGTTCTGCCGGCGGGATCTTTCTATTCGTGTCATCTCGAGTCGCGGTACTGTGACCGAGGAGGAGAATGGCTGGCATTGGAAGCATCCTGGATCTTTCATCCGTTCTCGTGTTGGTTCCTGTCTTGGGTCGAGTCAGGTTAAGGCGCGGAGTGGTGAAGAGGGGCAATTTGTGTGGTCCAAATTTTGGGAATTTTGGACCCTGAAAGGAAGAAAAGGATCCGTTGACGTTGGCCCTCGCTTGACAGGGCTCTGAAGGCACTATGCCGGAAGAGTCTTCTAGTGCTCTTCTAGCGCCGGCTGATAATCTCCAGGGCTGATGAATGGCTGTGCCGGAATAGCCCCACCAGTTTGGTACTGAAATGTGCCTGAAACTGCAGGTTGACAACCAGAATTTCTCTCTCTTGGGGTTGGTTGTCCTATCATAATTTTCCCTTCATCGCGCATTTTCAGCATCTCTCTCCGTCTCATCTCCCCTCTCCCCTCTCCGCTCTTCCCTCTTCCCTCTTCACTCCCGTCCTCACTCTCCCCGTCTCGCACGTGTCAACTCGTGCTCAACTATCATCAGCCTCTCTGATCCTCAATCTCATCATCTGCATTGACCATGATCGTCGCTTCATATCAAGGGTCCACACGTTACTCAGACGGCCACACTGAGATCGACATCTGATATTGCCTAGCTTCCTTAATCATCTTCCCGAGCCTCCATCGCGCCTCAGAAAAGAGGAAAAAGCAACGTGAAATGTGGATCTTCTATCAAAACCATCACTCATGGTCTCGCTTCCCAGCACAACATCCCGAGCCATGCATCCGTCGCTCGGCCAGACTCCGGTCAGCCTTGCCGCCCAGTGCCCACTTTCAACGTCATGCTGGATCCTTATTTTCACCTCAAACGTCCTCGACACGAATGAACCAACATCACCTCTCCGAATGCTCCCCTCAATGACCAAATTCTGCCTTATCTGGATCCAGGGTCCAAAGGTTAAATGGATTGCAAAGGAAAAGGGATGGATACCGCGATGGGGAGTCCTCATGCACACTTGCACCACTCAGGTTTGGCTCAGCCTCTACCGCGAGGCTTGGATCCGCTTTTGATAGAGACTTTCACACACCGTCACCTCGGAAGAGTTGGAGACTTCGAGTTTCAGCTCCAACGAATAACTTTCGTTGGAGCTGGATGGCGACATGTGGATGCTTTGAGTGGGAACGTGAGCATGATACTGTGCTGACTCAAGCGAGTTACCCGCTATCAATGACTTCACATGCTTCGGTTTTTGAAAGTTTGCACTGCGAGTGTGAAATCTCATCTCCTAGGAATATTCTAGCTTCGTTTCATACAAGTGTAGTACCAGATATATACGCTGAGCTCGCAGTGGGGGCAGACTTTTTCATCTTATCATCTGGATTTGAATTGAACTCTCGTCTTTCAATATCATCTCGCACTCTTCCACGACCTTTGAACTCTATTATCGCCTTAAACGCAATCAATCCCATTTCCTTTCTTAATACCCTTCGTCATGCCTGCGTTCGAGGATTCTGACTTCGGCGTCGAAGCTCAACGCCCGTCCACCCCCTCAGCAGAGCAAGTAGCACGTCTTCAAAAGATCGTTAGCAATGGATCACCAGCCAAACACTCCCAACCTACTCTTGCTGTACCCAACGGCGAGAAAAACACCGGAGCGATCGAAGTTCCAGCAACACGCTCCTCGATCGCTGAATCTGAAGCTCTCATGCATTCTCTAAGCATGTCACCATCTCAAGTCGACCGTCGCGGTTCTCGCAACAGCTTTGGAGCCTCTCTCCCCATCCCTCGATCAAAGCGGCAATCAAGACTCTCTTCAGTCACCGCAGCAGATGGCAGGCCAAGCCGACCAGGCATGCCACCTGTCCAACCAACACGTGACATCCTCTCCTCCCAAGTCCAAGACATGTCATCAGTCAAGACAGCGGCGGCAAAAGACATGGCTTTCGCCTTTGACATTGACGGTGTGCTCGTCCACGGTGACCGCCTCATTCCAGAAGGAAAGCGTGTGCTAGAAATCCTCAACGGCGACAACGAACTGGGCATCAAGATTCCCCACATCTTCCTCACAAACGGCTCCGGCAAGCCAGAAGCAGCCCGCTGCGCCCAACTCTCCAAGATCCTTCACTCCCCAGTTTCCACCGAGCAATTCATCCAATCCCACACTCCCATGTCCGCTCTCGCCGAGTACTACGAAACCGTCCTAGTCGTCGGAGGCGAGAACTACCAATGCAGAGAAGTAGCCAAACAATACGGCTTCAAAGACATCGTAGTCCCAAACGATATCGTTGCCTCCCAATCCACCATCTCCCCCCTCAAAGAATTCTTCACCCCCGAACAGCGCGCTACCTCCACCCCGCGGGACTTCTCCAAAGTAAAAATCAACGCTATCCTCGTCTTCTCCGATTCCCGCGACTACGCCACCGACCTCCAGATCATCATGGACCTGCTGCAATCCGAAGACGGCGTCCTCGGCACCAAAGCCCAAGACCCTACTTCGCAACGAATCCCCATCTACTTCTCGCAAGGCGATCTACTGTGTCCGACAGAGCACCCACAGCCCCGCATGTCCCAGGGCACATTCCGCATCGCGCTCGAAGCCATCTACAAAGCCATCATGGGCGTGGAACTCGAGCGTGTCGTGTACGGGAAGCCCGAGCTCGCGACGTACAAGTACGCTGACGAAGTCCTGACCTCGTGGATGGACACTATTCACAACGAAGAACGCCTTCCCAAGAACATTTACATGATCGGCGATAATCCGCAATCCGACATCGTCGGGGGCAATATGTATGGCTGGAACACGTGTCTGGTGCGGACGGGTGTGTTTCAGGGCGGGGACAACGATGAGGCGAATCCGGCGAGTTTTGGGGTCTTTAAGAATGTGTTGGAGGCGGTGATGGCGGCGTGTAGGAAGGAGTTGGGTGGGGATTTTGGGTTTAACTGGAGTGATAGTATGAATCCTGTTACGGCGGGGCATTCGATTTCTGCTATTGAGTAGGGGATGAAATGGGAAGGAAAGGGAAGGGTTTAACGAGTTTCTTTTGCATAGCTAGTCGCGATTAGAGGGTGGGATGGATGGATAGATGGTTGGCGTTTCTTAGACTGGATGGCGTTATATAGAGCATTCCGTCGCTCTGTTGAGCTTGATGATGAAATTTGGATTTTTGATTTGCTGCCATTCTTTTCCATTGTTTATGCCGATATCCTGTGCGTCACTGCTTATTGTCGTGAGCCAACTGCATTTCTTTAATGTGTCTGTCTCAGCATCACCCGTAACAAGGAAAGCGGCTATCAAATTTCACACTTTGAGACATCACACATGATGACAATCCCATACCATTCTTCAGCGAGAAAGAAGTGCTGATATTTACGCAGTGAAAAGCCCTTTGAGCATCATAAGTCGCGGCAATCCTATGTACTTTAGAGACACCAGCAATACAATCTATCAAGTTTACATGTAGGCATCAAGAGTCATACCAAACCCCTGTACTAACGAACATGTACCAAGAACACATCTGACCAAAATTCTTTCTCCACCTCGCAAGTCCTGCCAACCCTCTATACTTCAGGAGACCACCAAACTTTCTGCCCCTCCTCTGTCCCGCAAGAACAAACTTCTGCTAACCCCCACCCAACACCACCCCCTATCTCAAGCAGTAAATCTAATCCTAACCCAAATCCCCAAATAATCAAGGCAACTGTTTCAGCGAATCACTTAGCAATACCTTTTCTGCCAGAGCGCTGTCTTTTGGGCTATATAAACCCCCACACCGCCTTCCCCTCCCCTAGAAAACCACGAATATACCCCTAGTTGAAGAGGTGTCTTAGAGATGATCCTGGCCATGGGTGTTCGTGTGTCGTGCTTGAACGTGGTGCCGTAACCTGCCGGCGCTGGTGATGTGGAGATGTGCTTTTGTTTTGATTCGTAGACAGAGGTTGTCAATGAGATTGTTTTTGTTGATAAGAGTGCGGTTGTCAAGAAACAGGGGGAGGGGAGAGGTGTTGTTGAAGTTACGTGGAGGTTTCGAAAACTTCAATGGATGGCCACACGACAGTCTGCATCGCCTAACCTCTGCAAGATAGAAAGAAAATGAAAAAGTAATGCCTTGATAAAAAAATTGGCTATACGTAATCCAATCATCATATCAAACCTCTTCAGCTGCGAAAAGCCCTGTCCCCCTATCGAGACCCAATACTCACCACGGGTATAGCTGCTACCTTTAGATTCTCAGCCTAGAATCCACATAGACCCGTGGGATATACAAGACTAGCTCAATTGGCATGCTTGATGGGAAGGTTTGCGGGTTTCAATATCGTGGCTAGGTAACGGCGTATTAAATTTACAAAGCACTAGCAGATTGGCCATACCGCACAGCCCTGACAGAAAACCCACCTTTACCAAACTTAGCGCCTAGTCGGCGGAATTTCGTCTGTAAAAGAACCACTTTTCGCCCATCTTCGAGATTCCGCGGAATAGATCACCGTCAACGGGTCAGCACACGCTGTGTTTGGAGCAGTGTACTTTGTGCCGAGAATAAAGAATTTTCTTTCCAAGCTAAGTAATCGTAGCTACTACTGGTGGGCCAAGGCCGATGTGTGTAAAGGTGTTGTCAAGGTTTTGGGAGCTGTTGTTGCCAATAGTATACTGCTGCTATCAATCGATCCAAGAAGAATATGGAAGTAAATTCGACCGAATCCGAAGACGGCGGGGTTCAAGAAGTTGGGTGATGTGTCTTTTGTGATCCTCGGGCAGAGTAAGCTTGCCGTTTGAGAAATCCGTGAAGTAGGGAGAGTGGGTTCTTTTATAGTTTTAGTTTCTGGGTAGAAATTTCGTAATTTGCTGCTTCTCAGAGACCTCATTTCTGAAGTGGTGAATCAGGTCGAGTTTAGATTCAATAGTCCAGAAGCTGCTCTGTTAGCTTCGCAAGGGTAGCAAGTGAAAAGTATATAAAGCCCCATCCTCTACACGATTACTTGCGAGCAAGTCTGAAAGAGACGAACATGGTGACTAGAGGAAGGGAATTGGGCTTCTGTGACTGGAGAAAGCCGGTTATTGCTTGCAAAAGCACTATGCTTAACAAATTTATCAAAGTTTATTGAATACAGTAGAAACATAAAAGCTTTTGTCAAGAACAGATCTCTCTTGTTAATCTTCTGCTTCTTTCATGATCCGTTCATCCATGAACTATGCTCTGGCTTTCTTGTCGTCACAACATTCTTTTCTTCCGATACTACTGGGGAAGTGTCCGACAGCGTGCCACGTTGACATCATTCTTTGATGTTGACAACAATCCTCCTTCCTATAGTACGAGCCGAGCGCGGCTCAAGGCCACATTCATGTTGCGACTTACCATACACCTTTCGAGTTGTCATACGGATCGCCTTTTTGGTAGCCTCGACTTGACCTAAGTCTGGGTATTTGTCGTTGTTGAACGCCTCGTAACCCTCGAATACAGCCTTGATCTCGTCTACGTCGTCGTATGGATAGGTGAGTTGCTTAGCGTGAATATAAGTCTAACGGGTAGATGAGGTGTTGATTGTAAATACAAGTCGTACAGATGGGTGAGGCGTTCAGCATGGATGTAAATTGTGCGTGCGGATAAGGCATAAACTGTAAACATAAGTCGTGCGAGGTATGAGTCGTTGAGGGTGAATGCGACTCGTATGAATAAATGAGACGTTGAGAGTGAATATAACTTGCATTACCCAGAGCCTCGTTATTGCAACTCAAGTCCACTAGCTCGACGCTAGTGATTATAAAACGCCCCATCACCCCCTCTATCTCCTCTTCAGCAACAACTGATGGGACGCCAGAAGACGATGTGTTGAGCTCCCGGTCCCGCGTTACGGAGTCTAAGATCCCACTGCGGTACGGGGCTTGATGTTGTCTGGATATCCTCTTTGTTTTGTTCCTGAGATGAAACTTATTGGTCGAGAGTGTAGGTGTTGTCAAGTGTCGCTTCGTTGTCAATTCATCTGCCGCTACTATTTCCTCGAGTGTTGACAAGTGTAGACAGCAGTTGGAAAGTCTTTTTTTGGTAATAAGACCAAAAGTCAGGTCAGGAGAGAAGGGACTTCTAAAAGGAATTGTCTTCATAAAATGTATGCAATCACAGCCTCCACACTATCCCACAGCTATAGCTAGCATTACTTCGAACGCACTAACTCGTTGCAAGCCGAATCAGGATTGCAATAGTACCAAGTATGGAAGGAAAGGCTAATATCTATAATGTAGCTAATTTTATGGCTCCCAGATAGCCGTGGTTAGATTGGTTCGACGATTTTAAACACTGCTTTGGGGATATGACAAGAAAATTGAAAGATCGAAAACTTCAGCGGCGTCGTCTCAGTCATTGGATATCACTGTAGAGGCTTTTATCTTTTGTTATGCGACCCTCACTGCAGACTCAAGCTCTTACGATGATCCTGAACTTTCATTGTCGAAGATGAGATTAATGGCAAATGCTGCAAAACACATTGACTACAGAAATGAACCTCATAACTCCCGTTGAAGTTGCTGCTGCAAGCGCAATGATGTCAAAGCACATTTACTTCCACATGCGGCTCTCTGCAGCTCGCTTATCTGAACAACATCAAATGACTCAGTATAGGAAGTGCCAGAAAGCGCGAAATCAGAAGGCAATCTTACTGCATAGCTTGAGTAGATGTAACAATGAAGATGATTCCTCAATTGCAGCAAAGGAAGGTAGTCCTGTGCTGTGCTTCCTAGGTACTTTTGGTCCTGCGTTCGGTAAGTGGGATGCTTGTCACGTGCCGTCTCTGCTTCGAAGTTGGATGTGTTGTCTCAGCGAGTCTGAGTACGGTACAGAGATTCACTAAGATTCTTGATCGCCTCATCTTCGATGTCGGAAACCAAGATGGTAGCCCGACGCACAATATGAGGAGACCGCTGGCACTAGCTCGATCTGCCGCACAACCAAAAACAAAATCCCACGACGAAACTTGCAACTCCAATCTTCAAACAGACTTCATCCTTTGCTATTCCATTGAATGGATTCGCTTGTCAGTACTACAATTCGTCAAAAAGCAAAAGAGACTAAACTTGTCGTGAGTATCTTCCTATATTGTGCTTTGTTTACTTCGCGCAACGGCATACACACTTTGGCCTTTCGGAATCGACTTTAAGAACCTAATTGACGCGTAGAATAGCAAAACATCATAGAAACATACGGTGGAAAGGGAAACGAGATCAAGCTCGCTGTGAGTGTCTTCCCGCACTGCGCTTTGTTTACTTCGGACAACGACATACCACTTTCGCTCTTTCGGTATCGACTTTAGGAAACCAATTGACGCGTTGAATAGGGAAACATTATGGAAACATATGGAGAGCCGCACTATAACATGCATCCTCCTCCGCCTCCTCCTACCTGGGCTGAAGTGGCTCAACCTAGAGCGCGTCGATCCAGCACAATTCAGACCGTGACAAACTGGCAGGACGCCCCTCAAGGTCAATATCAGGTCCAAACGCCATACACACATCCATACGACCAAGGTAAGTTCTCTCAGAGTCGATAATAGATCGGATGTCGCTAATGTCGTTCAGGGATGTCCGATTTCCCGAGACTTTCTCCAGCAACTCAAGAAGAATTTGAGACTCCGTCGCGCGAAGAATCACCATTCCACCCACATCTTCCATACATAGTTGATGTCCATACTCTTCGCGAAGCAGTCAACAAGGATGCTGGTCAGATATTCGACGCAATTATTACCATCATGGAAGAGCTGCACAGGGTCCGCGATGAGAATGAGGATCTGAAGCGCGATAATCTGACTCTCAAGGAGAACTGGATGGACGTCAGTCACCAAGCGAGAGAGGCGCAGAAGAATTTGACCAGCACGAAAACCCAGTTGAGAAGAACACAAAATGACTTGAATGCTTACTGGGACGAATTCAGTCAACGTCGCGGAGATTGGTACATCCGGGCTCAGCGATACGAGGAGTTATTGGCAATATGCAGCGCGAAGCAAGTACTATTGTGGAAGTTGATTGAGAGAATCCGAGAAGGCGATACACCAGAGGGTGATCGGAATTGGGAGAATGCGGTGCCTTCATTGACAGGCACTCATTTCACTCCAACGGTATCCGACTCTCAGTCAGAAAAGTCTGGTTCCATAATCACAGAATTCAGAGGCAGTCCTGAGAGAGCAATGTCGACTTCCAGGGGAAGAACAGGGAGGAAAGAACTTCCAAAAGGAGAAACATCCAATTACAAGAGAAGCTCTGAGAGAGGTCTTGACCCGGCTGCAGTAAGTTTGGACCTTCCAAAGACTAAAGCATCCAAGGTCAAGGGGAGCCCTGAAAGAGGTTTTAATCCTGCCGCAGTAGGTTCGGACCCATCTCAAAATCGTAACATACTGATAAGCTGAGCAGAGTTCGTTTGTTCCCGGTGTTGGAAACCCGGCAGCAAGTACAATTTCAGACATCACCGCGCCTGCTCTTCCTCAGGTCGACCTTCTCTCATGCATCCTCTCCCTCCCACCTCGATTTTACGGTATCTGCCCAAATTCCCTATGTGCTTCCTCGGAATTCAAATGTCGAGTGCCAGCCTGCCGTCTACAACATGTCTGCGAAGCCTACAACGATGAAAAGGGTGGTGGTTGCAAGGACGGCCGGCTCTGCAGATTCGTTCACGAATATCGTTCCTGCTATGAGGAGATTGATGGATTCGGTTGTCGATTCATGGGTGTCACCAAGGATAGCAAGGCCAGACAGCGTCACTTGGAGAGGAGAGCTCATCAACAGTACGTGTCGGGGGAGGAGTGGAGATCTCGAGTTATCATTGCTGGTCTGCGAGGTGCTCATCGAGAGGGAAAATACTAGACTTTGGCTAGAAGAGTGGATTTGTTGGAGTAGGGAATACTGTTTGAAGTAAGCCTCTTAGGAGTAAGAGAGTCATTGCGAAGCTCTCCTTGGAGTATATCTGCTCCGTTTCTAGGTGGTATAAAGAAAAGGCGTCAGCGTCAAATTTGCGATGGATTAAACCTGTTCTGCTCTTCATTCGCTTTCAGATAGCAACAATCAAAAGTAACTTACAACACAAAATGCAAAGAAGTCAAAATGCATTTCGATCTCATTCATTTTGATGCTCCCCTACTTATTCAGAGATCTTATTGCCCCGAGAATTCTAGAGCATTGAAAGAGCTCATCGAAGCCGGGACCGCCGCTAACCATACGAGCTACCGGGAGTGCGAAGTGAAAAGAGGGAGATCGAGGGTGGCAAGTAACGCTGCAGAGATGCTTGATAATTGATGCTGAACGAGATGGTCCTACTCGGGAGAAGCTGAAACCATCGATCTCTCGAAGATTCTCATGTCCCCGGCTCCGCACAGGATATTTTGAGAAGTTGATTGCTACTATTGGGTCAAAGGCGAGTGGCGGAGTAGAGCCGAGATCCTTGCGAAGTATCGGTAGACTTGGCTCAAGATATGTATAATTCCATGATCTTGTGAGTTATTGGTTGCCTTTCTTCGGCCGGTGCCACGGCATGAAGTCCATCATTTTGTCCTCCAGAGGGTGGAAATTCAGTCGATGTCCCTCGAATTTCCAATGGCTAAGAGAGTCACGAGTTGAGTAGCTGACAATAGCAGCAGCCATTTTAATAATCTTGGTCGTGTTGGCTGTTGTGTTGATATATTCCAGTGATGGATGTCATTGTGAGGTTCTTGCAGAGCCTCACCTCGCTTAGTCAGCCGCGAGTATTCGCGACAAGCATTGTGACGACGCGGGACAATAGCAAGCGATTGTTCTTCTTAAACGGAAGCTACACTTCATCAAAAATTCAGTTTCTTGCCCTCCCTCCCCCATGACCACCGTCGAACGATACCGCCCTCCGCATCATTTCCACTCAGATGCGCCTTCAAATGATCGACGACCACATTCCTCTGCCAACCCCATAACCAAGGACATTCCACCAGCTGTACCTTCACCACCGCGACTCTTTACTCGAACCTCTCCTCCTCGCAGACCACAGGTCCCACCGATACCATCTCCCATATCCAAAATGGCAGACGACGAATCAAGCCAATGGATTTTCACCGATGAAGAGATGCTCAGCACACCCTCGATTCTCGACGGCATCACACCTGTCGAAGAGCGCTGCCGCCGGGCGAAAGGCGTGAACTTCATCACACAGGCCGGCATACTGCTCAAATTACCACAGCTGACTCTCGCAGTCGCAAGCACCTTTTTTCAACGATTCTATATGCGCCGGAGTCTGGTCCCAGAAAGAGGCGGCATACACCAATACGTGAGTTTATCATTTGCACATCCCGCCCCTACACTGACAGCAATAAGCTGCCGCGCTCCCAATCCCATAAACAGCTCAAATCCAAAGAAGGATCACTAACGCTCACTCCGGAACAGTCCATAGCAGCTACTGCTCTCTTCCTCGCAACAAAGACGGAAGAAAATTGTCGCAAAACCAAAGAGATTGTCATCGCAGTTGCCAAGGTCGCACAGAAGAACGCCTCTCTCATCATCGATGAACAATCCAAAGAATATTGGCGATGGCGGGATAGCATACTTCTATATGAGGAGACGATGTTGGAGGAGCTCACTTTCGATCTCGTCCTCAAGTCACCTTACACAGTCCTCTACATATTTCTACAACAGCTGAATCTTGGAGAGAATAAGCTTGTACGGAATGTTGCGTGGGCCTTTTTGAACGACAGCTGTATGACCACGCTCTCTCTGACACAGACAGCCAAAGACATCGCAGTTGCAGCAGTCTACTTCGCACTCAAGTTCCAGAACGAGTCCATACCAGATGACGAATATGGAACGGCATGGTGGGAAACACTAGGTGGCAACCCGGAGATCATCACGAAAGCAGTTGATGTCTTGACGACATTCTGGTCAGAGAATCCGCTGAGCAGAAAGGACATCCCATATGCAGAGAATCCTGTCTCCGGTGATGATCTGGAGCAGACTCGGAGGAGAGAATCTGATGGCTCAAGCACGAGTGTTGCATCACAGAATGGCGATGCGAAGCGGAGTCCGGAGCAGAAACCAACTCCTGATGAGAAGCCGAGCCCAGAGGACAAGTCAAGACCAGACACGAAACTAAGTCCCGAAGACCAGCCAGGCACAGAAGCAAAACCAAGTCCGAAGAGAAAGTTAGAAGAGGCGGAAATCGAGGAAGGGGAGGAGCCAGAACCCGAAACAAAGAGGGCCAAGACTCAGGAGTCAACCCAGTCCCAGACACAATGATTCCAAGTTTGCTATGGAGATACTGCTTATTTGCTTGGGCCTGTACACTACGGGGCGTTATCTGAGTTCTCGATACCCATGAAAAGCATACAATCTTGAACGACTATTGGCTGTGATGTATGCTCCATTGATCTGTGCAAAGCTACCAAGGGGCTTCCTCCCAACCAGAACGGGGGTCTTTCTTCATGATCTATGAATCTCGATTCTTCTGAAGCCCTAGCAAGTGCTTCGCTTTCCTCCTGTGCGTGGTGCACTCTGCCTCGAAAGCACGAGAATGTACCATGCTTTGCAGGAATGCAGGAATTACCTTGCAGTCTCGACTCCATGAAGTTGGCATCCAATCCACTCTGGCTAATGCGGCCATCTCTTCAGAATTGCTTCATTTGAGCATTGTATCCAGTCAAAGTACCCCAAACACATTCCAACTCTAGCGTCCAGACCGTTTCTGCCAACTGTCAAGATTTGTGCCTGGTCACTTAAATTGTGCAGATCCTTCACGTTTGAATTTCCTGAAGATGCAGATAAAAGAAAGCTCCCACACACTTTCCAGTTCTACACACGTTCCTCCAACTTCAACTTGTCATTGTTCTCTTCATAATTATGCCACGGCATAGGAATTCTCGAGATTCGATCTGTTATCAAGTCATCGGGTTCACTAACAAGTCTGGGGTAGCCGCATGCACAAGTGTCATGCTGAGCGGCTGCAGTAGTGACATACCATGCTTCCCCATATGCTCAAGTGCAGCTCAGAGGCACAGATTCATGTCGGAAATGCTCCGACGAATGATGATTGCTATGCTATTCCCTAACCCGGGAAGTTGCGTTCGCCAAGGCATGCAAGAGCCGGTATGGGCTATGTTGTGCGTCTTCTAGCTGAGAAAGGAAGCATACAACGTGCGGACTCGACTGAATCTGCACCCTTGTTCCTGGACACGAAATTTCGAGCTACTTTCTACTCTTGTTGTTGCAGATCATCCGGTAGTGAGTACTACAGTGAGCGATGAACTTGCGGATGCGAATCATCCCTCCTCCATACAACGCACAGAATAATGATGCAACCATGCTGATAGGGTTCAATTAGCTGGAAGACCCCCGATGAGAAAATGGTCACGTGTATCGATATCTGGTTAGCGCGGTGCCTATGTACTTAGCTTCTCTTTCCCTCGAAACTTCTTCTCTGTTTGTCAACAAATTTCGCAGAGTTGAAGCATTACGCCAAGACTGCGCCCGTTCCTGCAGTGAGTGCTACTGTACAACCAGCTACACAATGCAGATGCACCTGGACCTGCAGGCTCTGTCGAACCGTCGAGGATGGCGGGAACTGGGAACAAGTCAAACACTTGCAGGCACTACAATAGCCATCTCTACCACTCACATAATCTCGCATCACTACGTAGCTTACACTTTGTTGGAGTGACACAAAAGCTTATCTTTCATGCACCTCTGTAAGTCGCATCATAGTCTTGTGTTGAATTAAACTTCTTACAGGGCCCCTATTACAGGCATCGCGGGGTTGAGCCAATGATAGAATCTGTGCCTTTATTTGAAATCACAGCCCTTCCAGCTGGAACTCGTTCCATCAGCATGCTTTTTTTTCAGCCAACCATCATCCTCTTGTCGTTCCTTGAAGATCGCCGTTTTCGATTTATGATCTGAGACCGCACGGAGGAAGACGTGTTGCTCCACCTGTCATGTCTGTTTGCTGTCGGGCAACCATTCTTCGCAAGCTACCCTTGTCTCGACAATCCATATCGGCTATAGCCTATTACCATCTCCGCCCTATCACCAGAGTGGCCGATCAGTCAGTCAGTCAGCCATCAGCTGAGGCAAATCGTGAGCTGACTGACTGATGAGAATCACGGTCGCTGACTGGCTTAGCTGACCTAGCTGATCAGCCAGCCGATCAGCTGTACTAAATATGAGGATATATTATTTTATTAGGATATTTTCATAAAATCCTCTCAAATGCTGCTCTTTCTCTATACTAACTCCTCAAATATGCTTAATACTCTCAAATATAGATTTTAAGAGTGTAATTATGAGTTATAAGTACCTTTTGAGCTTCAAATAGCACTGTACTGTAATAATCAGGGTGTATTGGGCGCAATGAGGGGTCTTAAGTGGGCGCACAGACCTTATATGCTCCCGGACCACAAAAAAGTCTAAAATTACGCTCCGGTCGCCCCCTCAAAATCTCGAAATCCGCCCCAAACATGACTCCAAAATTCGAAAATTTATATCCTCAAAATGATCAGCGAGCTGATTTAAATATCGTTCGCTGACTGACTGACTGATGCGATGTCATTTCATCAGTCAGCGCTGATCAGCTAGCTGACTGAATGGCCACTCTGCCTATCACGTTGGCATTTGTGTAGCCCTCATCTCAGCAAACAGATCATCAAGAAAGACCTTGTCCAACATCTCACCAATCTCCTTGGGGAGCTCGCTTAGAACTCAGCGCCATCTCCGTGTCTCTGGCGCCATACTCCTGTTCGAGTAGACTGGTTGCAATATTCGGTCTGCACTATGTCGGAGCTAGTGGTCTCCTCAAAGTACGAGTTGCTTACAGCGATTCAAAACATTTCCTCATTGCACAGCATGTCAATGTCAGCCGCTTGCATCTTCTAACAGAACTTTGTACAATGTACAGAGAGATCAAAGGGAGGTTGGACAGTGCTATTAATGACTCTTGATGTCTCACTCAGCCTCGCCGATCTCTACATCTGATAGTCTGCTCAAATCTTACTCGTCAGCTCGAGTACCGAGCGATTAGCTGTCCCACATAGTAGACGATGTGCTTACTCAGGCTCTGTATTAGGACCAATTGGTTACATGCCCCCCCGTAATCGGGCGAGACATAGACCACGGGAAGCGGGACAAGCCTTCCGGACCGGATGTTGTGCGGGAGGACGAGCACGACGCCTTCCTGCTTCGGAGAATTTCGGAAAACGCCACATTCTGAATTCGCCAGATTTCTTTCCGAGATTCGCAATTGTCCATTAGCAACACATCATGATACCACGCTATTCCTCGGACAGATTTGCAGGATTCCAACCATGCTTACACGACGGTTCAGAGTATGCAGTGTCGAGCTGTTTTAACGGCGAGGACCGAAAGCGCAGGTGTGCGGCACACGCAGCATGATAGCGACCAAGAAAGAAGGTGTAAGCTTTTTGTAAGATAATCAATGCGGGGTTGGTCAGATTGGTTGATATAGAAGAAGCAGATGGAAGAACCGAAGCTATTTAGTTATTCTGCCGAAGCTCCAAGCACAACCACCTGCAAAACCACTTTTCGTCACCAGACGAATATGTAGTCCGATTCATCCAAATCCTCGGAACACGATCACTCAACACAGGACAGCATGAACAAGCCGACAGCGAAGCCTCCAAGACGTCAGTCATGCGATAGATGTCATGCCCAAAAACTCCGATGTTCACGCCAGGGGACTGGTAGTGGGGACCGGTGTACCAGATGTTCTCGTCAGAACGCAGAGTGCGTGTACAGTACATCTCTTCCAAAGGGACGACCAAGTGCGCATCGATTACAATTAGCTGGTGCTAGCGCTGGCGCTGGCAATGGCAATGTTAAGAGCAGTCGCAGTGAGGGGGAAAGCAGGATCAAAGAGGGTGCGAACGGCACAGAAAATGAGAATGGCACAGCGAGTGTGAGTATCGCCACAAGTACCGAGACTACCGCTATCGTCGATATTGGAGGACACGAAATCCAAGCCGAATTGGATTGCATCACATCAAGCAACACTCACGGCAACGACAGTGACAACATTACGATCTCCCTCGTTCAATCTCCAGAAAACCTTACACCGCCATCTATCACAGAGCGAAACCGGCATTATCCACCTATACCACCTCCGATTACCACTACATGGGAAAGAGAACACGGTCTACTCACAGCTCCATTTTCGAGTCCTGGAACCAATATCTCATTCGGAGACGGAGATGCTGGACCATGGGATTCGGAGCCGTATTATTGGTCTGACTGGGTTGGCAGCGATCTTTCGGTGTCGGGCCGTCCCCTTTCAGCGCTTACCCCTCCAAGTACAAGTCATGGTACAAGTTTGGCAGGACATCCTTGTACCGACACGGTTTCTCCTGCAGCTGCAGCGCCAACACCAAATATATTCAATCCAAACTCTACGTCTTCGAATTACGACTCGCATGGCCATTCTGCACATTCCGGACACGGCAGAGGTGATTATGGCTCGATACCTACAACTCAAGGCTGCATCACGCAATTATCTGAGTTGCTCACTCGACTCAGCTCAGCCTTTGCTGCGGCTCAGCAGGAACTGATACCTGGTTCTCCATCATTAGTCATCAATACGGCCTTCGATTCGCTTGCGGCCTTACTTGTATCGCCGACTGTCGTACTGCCAGGTGCCGACCAAGCAAGTGACGCAGTTCGGGATACGTTTTCTGCATCACAGCGGCTGCTCGAGATTCTGCATCACTTGCAAGATCTTCAGCTCGGAGAGGAAGGTGGGAAAATGGATGTGGATTCTCCATGCTTACCTGCGCCGCCCCCCACACCACCCCCACGCAGTCCTCCCAGCGGTGAGCAATTCAGTCAACGGACCCGATCTCAACACTCCGATACGGTCGTCCACCATCTGGTCTTGGCCTGTCATAGCCTTTTACTCAATATTTACGGTCCCCTGTTAGCCGCTTTACAGCATGATGCACTTGCTAGCGACTCCGATGGCGTGCTGGCGCCATCTTTGGTTGATATGCGTTTGATTTTGCTTGTGCAACTCTGTTCTTACTTTATTGATCGCTTACATGAGGGTGTAAGCGGGCTGTGTTTGCAAACGACGGTCGATTTAGAAGCTGAAATTCAGCAGAAGTTGCTTCGGCTAAGGCGTACGCTGCATATTTGAATGCACAAGGTTCGTTTTTGAGTTATTACGTGTACACATATTTAACAGGAGCACAAAATGGCTTCTAGAATTTAACATCTAGAGATACCTATTTATTTTAGCTACCAATAGCAAACGACTGTTTATGTTCATGCAGAGCATAAGCAGGAATATAAGCAAAAACATAAGCAAGAACATAAGCAAGAACATAAGCAAGATCAGCCACGTAGTGTAATGCCATAAGGTCATCGTTAGTATACACCTCGACGTCAAAGCTTCTTTCCATAAGATAAAATGGAATATAGCGTATGAATCAAATCGACTTTAACAGACGATTTGTGACAAGTATCTAAGCAAGAATTCAAAGCCATGACAAGCAAAACAATCGTCGAGAGGGAATCAAAAATCATTGCATAAGATTTATCAGATGACACCTTGCTCTATTGGATGCTTCAGATCACATTAGAACAACTTTCAGCCCTTGAACCCTGAACCTAAATGAAGAAACTGTAGTCCAGACCTCGAGAGAGAAAACACCTCTACCCTCACACTACCAAGTCGCCAAGCCGACATGTCAATGAACAATGATCTCCAAAACCAGAGTCTTTAAATATGCCCTCATATCTCCGCTGTCTGCTACCTCCACACATGATCTCCCGTCTTCTCATAGTGAATCCGCGATTCAACAGCCCAATGACAAGAAGCGTAATTCTTTAACCGACGAACGTCTTCTCCCCACCGCCCATAGCCAGGCTTACGCTCTTGCGTTCCACACGCACATGCAGTGACTGATCCCAGGAGACTGGTCCAGGAGCCGGCATTGCTGTGCGGCATAATCTCTTGGCCCGGGTAAGAAACTGGAAACGGGTGGTGATACGGGAGTACACATGGATTAATTCAGCGTTAATTGGGTGGGGTGCGAGGAGCGTGTTTAGCTTAAAGTAGAGAGATGTGTTGAGGAAGGCCGGGCGAAGTCGAATTATGGAGAATTTATGCCAGTAAGAAGATCTTCCAGTTGAATTTGAGGTAAAATTTGAAGAGGTAGGGTGTTATACATTAGAGCAGAAGCTAGTACGTAATTGGAGGGTGTTAGAGTCTCTTTACAGATGCGTTATGCTTGCGCCGAGAGCATAGATAAAGGATTGAAGCAGATTATACACTCACTTAAGGGGGCCCAGATGAGCTAAGCTAGTGAGAGAGCAGTAGCACACTCGAGGTGGTAAAATCAAATTCTCTTTGCGCCGTCCAAGGTACAAAATGAATAACATTCATATTGTCTACATTCTTGCAATGCGCAAGGTTGAAACGAGTATTAATCGGGTACACCCCACTACCCGCAAACTGAGTACCTCCCTCACGTCCCACTGCCCCTTCTCCTGTAGCTTTCCCAGATCTGGATCTGTAAAGGAATGGTGGCGTGCAAGAGTGCATGTCCCAGGTCAGCGGGCAAAAGGCACAGTCTCCAGCAACCTTGCTCCGGAACCCCCAACTTAACTACTCCGGAGTCATTATCATGGGTGAGCATCATCCACACCAGAAGCTGTGATGAGAAATCTTTCTGTTCGGACCTCTATCGTCATGTTGCGAGAGAGCCGAAGTTTCGGAGTTTCGGACTCCGAGGATCGGGACCCGAGAGTAGATCTCACTACGATGTCTCGGAACAGTGATTGTCGGACACGAAAAACAAGACTTCAGACATATGCAACTCTCAGTGAACATTTAAGGAAAGAAGTATAGTATAGATACGAGATGAGAATGTGGTCGCAATTTACATGTCTTTCATTACGCCGGACTTCTTTCCGACCTTCGGAATGCGCTCCGGGTGTTGATCCTTGCTGGCTTAGAAGCTTGGTTGTTCAATTGGACACTTGTGAGAACGATCCGAGCTACCGATCGCAGGTACACTTTACCAGGCTTCGGCTCCGATATTTACGATATAATATCGTTGAATATTGAATAAATATCGGGCAAGGTCTTATTCGACTCGAATATTATTCGAGTGATTTGGCGTCATTCGAATGAATATTCGGAAATATCGTACACGTGACCGTAAAATAGTTGTTCCAGGGCCGTAGCCAATAAGACCCTTGCTATGGATAGTCGGATTCAATCGGGCAAATGGTCGGATCTGGCCGGCTGACATGCTAGCCTCAGGCTTTAAGAGTTGAGCCGCACTAGCCTCAGGCCTTAAGACTTGAGCCGCAATGTGGCTTAAAGCTGACTATATCACTTGAGCTGATGACCGAGTAATGCCTTAGAATTTAGGAATCCTGGACGTATATCCTCAAAAACAAGGCTTTCAGTACTAATTTTAATATATCAAGCTCTTAATTTCCCATTACCAATATATGCGATATATTCGATTATTCATTCAACATCGTACTTCCTAATTTGGACGATACGATATTTTTTATTCATTTAACGAATTCGATATCGGCACGATATTATCGAATAATTTGATATCGGCGCCGAAGCCTGCACTTTACCATCATTCATCAGATTGCCAGCAAGGACGATGCTCTATCACATGAGCGGCGTAGGCGAGGCTGATGAAAAACTTGAAGAATGGAAGGGAGAAGCCTCCAAAGCAGCGCTCCCAACGGTTGGCTGGGTTTAGCGTAACTGCCAAGAACCAATCGTCTAGACTAGTTGTGGTTACAAGTTTTTAAGAACCGTTAGCCTATTGGTTAGTGATGGTTTCGGCCTCCCTGAAACTATCAAGAACCATCTGCCCGTCTACTATTGGGGGATAGTGGAGATTAGGGGAGATTAGGGGAGATTAGAGTGCTTTAGAGCCTAAAAACCTTAAATACTTAAAGCTTGAGGTTGAGGATATACTATTAATAGCTTTTATATGTCTTGGCAATTCAAACCGTCTAGAACCGTCTAGAATCCTTATGGTGACGGTTCTCTGTCTTTCCTAAACCGTACTAGTACAATTGGTTACGGTTTAGGGTCAAAACCGAACCAAACCAGCCATTGGGAGCGCTGCTGCAAAGCTCTTGATAAGTAGTTGTTACAGCCTCATGCAAGAAACATGCTCCTCAGCGAGAGAAAACCAAATTCAACAGCCCACACATCAACAGTATACATTCAAAGCTTTTCATGTCCAGTCTGCTTCGCAATAGCAACCCTCACAGCATCCTCCAAGCTATCCGTCTCCTCCCCGTCAATTAGCCCATTATCCCTCTTCTCATACAAAGTCCCACCCTCGGCCCAAATCCTCCTCAACGTAAACCCCGTCCCATTACCCGTCTCCCAAGCCTTCTCCTCCAACTCTCTCAGCTTCTCAAGCGGCACATAGTCAACGCTCCACTTCTCTCCCCCAGTCTGCTTCTCGAACTCGGCTACTATCTCCAATGGCGTCGTTGTGAATGAATTTACTTTCAATGCTCGATTCTTAGTTGCTTCTGGGTGCTGTAGTGCTTTTACTACGAGTTTACCAACACTAACCATGCCTCATTAGCCTTGACACAACAAATCTGCAAAGAAAAAGCAGAAACTCACTCAGGCTCAGTCGTCAAACTAACCTGCCCCCTCCCATCTCCCAAAACTGTCGCTTTCTTCTTCGCCACATCAAAACTGCCAATCTCCGGCAATTTCTCCATCCGAGCCAGAAAGCCATACGCAAATGGTCCCGTCACCACATAGGTATATTCAAACCCTTCACTCTTTGCCAAAGCAGCTCTAACTTTCAATTTCTGCTGGTGCGGCTTCTCGTGCACGGATGAGGGCCCGTATTCGATGTCCGTGCCGTATTCGGATGGGAAGAAGCGTTTGATGTTCGGGGAGCGCGTGAGGAGGGGGATCCAGGAGATTTGTTCTGCGATGACTGTTGGATATTAGTACGGCTTCTATTCCTGGGGAAGAGAAGCTGAAGGAGATAAAATGGCCCTCCAAAATTGATAAATACTAAGAATAATAAACAGAAACAAAGAAGTTCACGACTTACTATTCCTCCCCACAGCACTAATCACAACATCAATCCCTATCCCATTATCAGCAACGATATCCCCCTCTTTCCCACTCCAAAGACCAACCTTCAAAAGCCCTCTCCAAATCCCCAAGCTTCAATATATCCCCAACAATAACCTCCACACCCTGCTCTTTGAACCCCTCAAAAAGCTGCGCCTTCGTCTCCGCAGTACCGAGAGAAGTGAAGATCGCGATTCGGCCAAACAGGTCTTTGGATTTGAGGATCTGGTCCGTGATATAGGTCCCGATCCACCCTGTTGACCCGATTATGAGGAGGTTGTCTTTCGCCATTTTAGAATTGTGGTTTTGGTTAATTGAGAGAGGGGATGGAGTGTTTGGATCTTCTTATTTCTGAGCTCAGATGGACTCATTGACAGCGGGAATGGCGTCTTTCTGTCGGAGCTCTCGGCAGAAGTGGGCTGTTGGACGCCTTTCCAGATTCGAGTGCGGGGTTGGTGGGGTATTTTTGGTAGGCGAGGAAATAGGAGATATCGCTTGTTGAGCTCAGGGGCGTAATGTAAATCTAAATGTTAGATGCATTTGCTTCTAACAGTTGAGTTTTCTTTGTACCGGGACATTTCACGTACATCATAGTGTGAAACATCAAGACTTGATTTCTTTCAAACGTGAACCAGTGTTCACTTTGTTTCACCAGCAGAGATAGATCAGTGTCTCCCAACCACAAGAACGAGTCATTTTAATCATAGACAACAAAACATGTAGGTAAACTTTCTCATTCAAATCTACTTTGCAGCAGAAGTCCACAGAGCCCGTAGAGTCCGCAAAGTCCGCACGCAGAATACAGAGTCGTCCTTGAGGACAAACGAATTTGCAGATCCATAGATAGGATCCGCACCCAGCATACAGGATCGTCCCTTGAGACGAACGAATTGGCAGATCCATAGATAGAGTCCGCACGCAACATACAGAGTTCGTCCCTCAAGACGAACGAAATTCGCAGATCCATCATCATCATCTCATCGTAATCCATCAAACTCCAACAAAGAACGAAGCAAAGAACTCAGTCTCCTCCCTTACTCAATATCCAGTTCCCGAACTAAATCAACAACATCGTCCTCCAATCCCTCCAGGAAACCCTCATATGCACCCATCTCAGCCAACATCTCTTCAATGAAGTCATTCGCCAGCTCAACTGCCTCCTTGTTCAACGGTTGTGCAAGATTTTCGGTCAGCTCCCGCAAGTGACTGCCCATCATGTCGTGGTGCTCAGATTGGCGGTTCGTAAGCTTCTGTTGGAGGTGCAAGAGCGAGGTAGCGTAGACGAACAGCACGGGCAGAGCGACGGTTGGTGTAGCAAGAGCTAGGAAGGTGGTGGGAGCGAGTGTGGATGATGGGGAGCGGAAACCGTTCGTAGTTGTCGTAGGACCGTTCATAGCGTGCTGAACATTGGGGTTTGGGGACGGAACGAAGAAGGGGGTTGGCTTTGCAGCAAAGTCGGCGTCATCGAGAGAGCGCTTCACCTTGGCTACAGCCGGATCGTGGTCGAGGACATCCGCAACAAGAGTATCATCATCATCGCAAGAGCGCTTCATGTTGGTGAGAGTCGTATCGTGGGCCAGGACATCCGCAGCAAGATCAGCATCATTATCAACAGAGCACTTGATGTTGACGAAAGTCGTATCGTGACTGAGGACATCCGCAATGAGAGCATTATCATCACCAAGAGAGCGCTTCATGTTGGCATAAGTCGTGTCATGACCGAGGACATCCGCGGCAACAAGATCAGCATCATCGAGAGAATGCTTCATCTTGGCCAATGTCGTATCGTCGTCAGTGACATTATGGATGAAGCAATTACCCTCCATGTCGAGGTACTTGCAGCAGTTGCCTAAAGGGTCGAGCTTAAGGCAGGTAGCAGTCATCTTATTGGTGGAATTGGTCAAATTGACGGCCGCCAAGACCAGTAATGCAACAAGCGTGGCAATGGCGATGACTGCAATAATGATGATGCCATTCCATCCAGTGCACAGGAAGCGCTCAATCGGGGAACCACGGAGAAACGACAACCAACGAGGAAGGCACCGGCGGCGAGCCCGAGCCCGACCCAATGTGGGAGGAGCCATGTATCCAGGTGGATGCACGACCACAGCACTATCAACCGGCTGCAATGGGATGCCCCCAATCGGGAGAGGCGGCAAAGGAGCATTGGTGAATAGTCGGGAAGACATTTTGATAAGTGAATGTCTAGTGAGGAAGTCAGCGACCGAACACGTGATAACGATTGAAAGTGAGACAGACGTTCGGAGAGAGATATTACAGAAACAGAAGGAGTGAAATCTTGAACAAATGAGCCTATATTGTCGGGTCAATGAATCGTTCCGATTTATCGTGCTTAAAAGCTCTGAGGAGGGGACAGACGTTGAGGGCAAACTGCAAATTGAGGAAATAATTAGTAATATTCTGTGATATTCTTGCGATATGTAGGGGTGAAAAGTGTGGAGATGAAATACATACCTCAAGGCAAGCAGATCAATAAGATGTGCAATCTATAATAATCGTTAGCAAGTAGTCGCGACATATGAAACTCAAAAGCGCTATGAAAAGAACAATAGTTACACAATTTTAACAAGATATGTTATTAAGGAATGCTATGAAGAGGAAAATTGCTGAACAACAAGTCGTAATATATGCTACTGCAAAGCGCTATGAAAAGAATAGTCGTTAAACAGCAGCTCACGACATATGAAAACCAAAAGCATTGCTAAAGAGATAGTCGCTAGACTACTTGTTGCGACATATAAAGTCGAAGAACGCTGTAACTAAGTCGCGACATGTAGTTACTACAAAGCGTTGTCAAAATAACAGTCGTTCAAAAGCATGTTGCTACATAAACAGTGGAAAGCGCTACAATCAAGTCGCGACATACAACCGCTTTAAAGCGCTGTGAAAAGAACAATCGCTAGACTGCTTATCGCGACATATGAAGTCTAAAAGCGCTGTATACAAGCCGCAACATACGACTGCTTTAAAGCGTTGTGGAAAGATCAGTTGCTAGACTTGTTGTTGCGATATACAAAGTCGAAAAGCGCCTCAAATAAGTTGCGAGATATGAAATCGAAAAGCGCTGTGATAACGAAAATCGCTGAACAACACGTCGGGACATATGAAGCCGAACATCGTTGAGCACTAGCTCGCGACATATGCAAGCAAGAAGCTGTTTACCAAACTGAATCAAACTGAATCGTTGGGCAGCACGTCGCGACATATGAAATCGAAAAGCGCTATGAAAACGAAAATTGCTGAACAACATGTCGCGACATATAAAGCCTGAAGCGCTGAGCACTACCTCGCGACATAAGCCATAAGAAGCTGTGTACCAAACTGAATCGCTGGACAACAACTCGGGACATATGAAACCAAAAGGCGCTGAGCAGTACCTCGCGACATGTAAAACCGAAAAGGTATGAAACCGCATAGATATGAAACCGTGATTATACATACGTCTTCTTCAAAGCCGAAGTCGAGATCGAATCTGCTCCAACAACAACAATCAGCCTCAACTCGCGACATACGAACGCGAAAAGAATGGATAGAAAGATAGACATACCTTGCGAGCGAGAGAGGGAGAGATCGGTACTGGTACAGAGCGAGCAGGAAGGAAGAAGTTGTGGTCTTGGTTGCGCGGAGATGAAGTCTGGAGAAAGAAGAGGAGAGGTTGTGGAGGAGAGGGAGGGAGGTAGTTGGCAAACGAACGAAACGAAAACGCGCTAGTGACGAGGCTGGCAAGTAACGACAACGAGGCGCTAAGGAGAAGGAAGAGGATCTTATCGATTGTAGGAAACCGACGTCACTAAGCAAAGGATGAACCGCTGAGGGTATGTTGGACTTCAAGACTCCTTGAATGAAAGAGGGATTGATAATGCAAAGCCCACAACACAGATGCTGCTCGTCCTTGAACAGTTGGGGAAACACCTCTTCTTGTTATGATATCGACATTGTAGCACTACCATACCTTACTGTCTTGCTGTACAAACTCTCATCAATCATAATCCATCAAAGAAGCTCCTCAGAAGAGCTTCTGCAGGGGTATATCCTTCCATCTGCCTCTTTCGCTATGCCACCATCTGTCCTTTCCCTTATTGGCTCCTTTGACCCTCGTACCAGCATCCAAGTTCCAGCTTCCAGTACATCCATCCCTAGCGTTAGTTTCTTCGCCTTTATCAAGCAATCCTCCTGGGCCATCAATGCTAATGACAGCCTCGTCCATTCCATCCACATCAGGCTTCAAGGTGTAGGTAATTTGACTTTGAAGAGACCCAAGAAATCCACCCAAAGCAAATCGCTCCAGAAACTCTCCACTCTCATCCCAGATTATGATGTGGAATTTTGGTTGAGTCATGGCTGTATCAATCCGGTGCTGGGCCATTCTTCGTGCCGTGACCAAGCTCATCCCTTTTTCACGTGATACGAACTCATCTGAAGAGTTTGATAGATGGTCAAAGTTCAAGGAGAAGGCGGACTGAGTAGGAGACTTTGTGGAATTCGAGTTGATAGAACCGGAGTGCCCGTGCCCCGAGAAGGTTGATCTTGTAGGAGACAGACTTGGTAGACTTTGAGTCTGGGAAAAGACGGGATTGCCTGCCATGTTCAAATTTCGATATCGATCGCCAGGCAATTCAATTCTCTCCTTTGGTTTGCATAGTCTTTGCAAGAGGCCATCGTGGTCTGTTGGTGCTCGAATCGTCTTCAAGGAAGGAAATCCGTTGAAAGAGATAGCTGTGGAGAGGATTTGTGTTGCCTTGTCATTATCCGGATTGGTAAACTCCCAATGCAGATACTGGAGGGTGGAGGATGCTAGATATGGATGAAGATAAATCTCTTCGCCAGTAGGGAGAGTTGGAGACGGTGCTTGAGATATCGTAAATTGTGCCAAGGACTTCAGGTGAGAAAATAATCGGGTCAGGACAGGTAATGACCGGAGCTGAATTGAGATCAGCGACAATGAGGTGAGATCGTCGGTCCTAGATGGGGAAGCATAACTGGATAGCCCAGAAGAAGTGATACCCGGAAGGTTTTCTAACCGCAGGGACTTCAACGATGGTAAGGAGAGCAGCGTAGCATCATGGAAGGACGAAGCTGGAAAGTTCGATACATGCAAATTCACCAACGAAGGCAGCGAATGGAAGATGTCCACAAATAGCGCCGAATCGATCGTGCCGCCAGGGTTGCAATGTAAGAAGAGAGTTTGGAGATTGGACCAATTCGAGTGATGTGCCTTAAAAGTCATGTACTGCTCTGGAAGTAACTGGGCAGGTGACATAACAGGTGTGAGATGTTCTGCATCCTCTGATAATTGATACCGATGTTGACGCTGAAATGGGCTTGGGTTGACGATCCACACTTTCTCCACGAGCTTCTTTCTGGTTGAAAGGGCATGATCGAGTCGAGTGAAGTCGTGATTGTAAGTGGGATATAGACCAGGTAGTCGCTCGAGGTTGGGACATGCCATGATTACTGAGGCAACAAGTTCGAGATACTCATCTTGTTCTTTTTTGCTTTTGGCGGCGTCCGGTATGGCTGGAACTTTGAGAGACTTGACGTACTCGGCGAGATCTGGTCGACCCCGCAGTGTGCGCCTCAGCAATGTTAATCTCGTTCCATACTTCATCTTGAACTTCTTCTTGGTGTGAAGTATGGAGTCACTTCCGTTGAGTTGGATGTCCTCATACAAAGCAATCTGTGCAGCGCCCCACCATTTCTTGCAACTCAGACCCAGGTTCGTAAGATCGCGCATGCAGCATGTTGAGCAGCTTAAACTTCCCACATCAAGATGAACCTTCTTCAGTTGAGTCAATATGACAAGCAGTATCTCTTTAGGCAACTTCTTGAACCCATCGCCAGGCGTCCTTTGGGTGTATCTCATTCCATATGCCGAGTAGCTGTTGTTGCCGTTTGCTAGCCTTTGTGGGGTCATCAATGTCCGCACCTGCTGCCCATCTTCTCCTCCGGCTCCATGTTTACCCAATGTTGGCACTATAGGTTCTGTAACCATGCGTCTCGCACCTGGGTGGGCCATAGGTCGAATAGCAGGTCTCGAAACCGTAAGGCCATCTTTGCTACTTGCTTCGGAGTATGTAGAATCGAAGCTCGTGCGACTTGATCCATAGTCTATAGAAGATGTGATACTCAAAGGGCTCTTGGTTCGCGACTCGAATCTGGACTCGAAGCTCGACCGTGAAGTGATACTGCTCCCAGCGGATTGAGGTCGAGGGTAGAGTCGAGGGTTTTCCATGCTCCGCGACACTCCGTAAGGCAAGAAAGGCGGCGTACTGGAGAAGCCTGTGGGCAGAGAGCTGGGCGAGTATAATGGATATGAGCCAGTCGAGTTATGCTTCTGGGCAGCTATAGAAGCGCGTGCGGATCGTGTTTTGATGTCCTGCTCGCTGTATCTCCGGCCCCGTGCTTGCTGTTGTAACCCATGAACGTTGTCTTCTGGTCTATCGATGCTCTTGGAGTGAGGTGTGAGTGCGGAGGAAGTGAGAGTTGTTTTCGTAGGAGGAGGAGATCTAGGAGTTGCACAACATTGCGTCAGTATGTTTGGTTCATCTCATCTCATCTCATCTCATCTCATCCCAGGCCGCTGATTAGAAACAACACGAGTACGGGTCCGGGTCGCCCCCTCTTGGGAGTTTCCCTTATCAGCCGCAGCATCCCGAATTTGGGAGTCTGCTTCTTGACGCGCCGGAAGGGGGCGTGGGATTTCTGTGCCAAATGGTTTGGGCGTCTGCATGTGGAAATTAAGATGGTCTTGGTGGAGCGGCTAATGCGAAAATCATCTGTTTGGTATCTGCTGCACGGTCCATAGTGCAAGGCTGACCGCGGAGCTTTGACCGATTCTAGCAAGGTTGCAGAGACCGAACATTGGAAGAGGAAAGGAGAAAGGGGCCAGCATGGGCCTCGGAGAGTTTGATCTCCAGATGGAAAGCTGATGCGGCGGCCGAGAAAGTGTTGTGATTGTGATTGGAAGAAAGAGTCGACATGACAAGGCGTCCAAACGACCAAAATAGAGCTGTGGAGGGATGGATGAAAGGGCAGAAGGTTGTGTTTGTGTTCCCAGCGGTGGAAAGAAGGTTTGGGCCTAGTGAACACTGCCAAGACCCCCCATCATGACCTTAAAAGCATCCAGCCCAGCCAAACAACCATCAAACAAGCCGCAGAAAGAATGAACAACAAACGTACCTTGTACCAAACAACTCTAAATAAGCCTCCGCAAGTTGGCTCTCAGAGCTGGGCTTCATGTTTGTGATCGTGTTTGTTCGAATGTGGTATGCATCCTCTGGAGAAAGAAAAGCTCGCTGAGAGCGTCGCTCCATGGTTTGGCCTCGCACTAAGGTTACCAGGCCGCGAGGTATCGATTTCCATCCTTTCGACCCAGATGATGTGCAGCTCTATTCTATATAACCATAAATCCACACGGCTGAACTTCACAATTCAACGTGAGACTCAGCATGAGATGTGTCCTGCAGAAGGATCAATTCGTGCTGATGCTGCGGCTTCCACGGACACGCAATATCTCAGCCTTTTACTCAGCATCTTATCTCTCACTGGACTCCCCTCTTCCTCTGCCCCTCCTCGGGCACATCGGGATTCGACAGCAGTATCATTACTGGTCACATTGTCTTCGAAGTTGGGTGTTGTCTGTGTCAAAGCCCACATCCTTCCGGTTCACTCAGACTTCCCGCATCCAACAGGTGAAGCCACACTCATCTGCCAATGGAGCTGAGTGTGCCCTGTCATCTCCCCACACTCGACGACAAAGATAGTGCAGCTTGCATATTGCACAAGCATTGCATCCGATGCGAGGAAACCATGCGAAGCCTTGAGCCGTCCGAGAGAAGCAATCCGCAAGGGCAGGCAAACGGGGCAACACTCAGGTCCAGCAACCCCTCACTGGCGTTTCAGGTAAGCCGCATCCTGATGTCTTGACTTTGAGACTGTACAGCACTCATTAGGTCACAGAGTAAATTTTTTTTTTCTTTCGAAAATTTGCAAGACAGTAAGACTTCTCAAACACTAGAAGGTTTTGTTGCACCAACTCTCGCGCGCGGCAGAAGAGCAATGTCACTCAACTTGGGTCTAGGAGGTCTGATGTGCCGTGTCTGGGCCAGACTACAGCTCAGCTCGGAATAGAATCAAGCCCCCAAACGCCACACTTTGCCAAGGCTGATACACGTGATAGGACTCGAGAGAAGAGAAGGCCGAGCTGTCATGCTGTGCGACTCTCGAGCAGAAGCAATATGCGACCTCCCGTATGACAAGTGAAGATTTGATCAGAAAATAAGGTTCGTCGGGAGCCTGGGACGGGAAGGCCCCACTGTGGGTTCCAGCAGATGCTGTGTTCTGCCGTTGCCTGATCAGGCAACAGACCAGCATATCATCTGTCAGCAGCAGCCTCACTTGCATTCCTCCACATCAACATCGCTCATCTCTGACAGAGCCTCATCTCTTCGATTCTGCAGCAACCCGACCAGGTCCGACCCGAGCCTTTTGAACACTCAACCAGTTTCAGGTCACCTTACCATCAAGCCTAACAAGAATCTTCGATATTCAAGACCATCTTCTACTATGGCTAACGACATCACTGCACTCCTCGGTGGCTTGAGCTTTCCAACCGATGAAGACAGGGAGAGTGACAGCTTCAAGCTATTTCCGGCACTCCCCACAGAGCTCCGATTGAAAGTCTGGGCACACGCTTTACCTTCACTGACCGTCCTCCGACTTACGGCCCATATTCTGGTATCAGACCCGACGTTTGGTTTCTACCTAACGTTCTTCATGACAGTAGATGGCAAAGCAACTCTAGTCACTGTCATCCCATCTATGATTCGACGTCAAGTTGACCTCGGCATGTACGAGCAAAGAGCAATTGCACTGCTTCGAGTGTCCAAAGAATCGCGAGAAGTGTACCTGGAAAACTTCCCAATAAGCCTGCCTTTTGCTTTGAGAGGTGTTGGAAGGCTGTACATGTCAAGAAAAGAAGTCCTTCACTTTTCGAACTTCTCAGACCTCATCCACAATCGCCTGTTCCAGCAAGCCCTCAAAGGAGGCTATCGACTCCAGACTTGGTGGGCGGAGATTGAAAAATTGGCCATTCCAATAACCTCGCTCATTGTGAAAGGCAAAGACTGGGAACACATCCCAGCCTTGTGTCAGAGGCTGCCTGCTTTGACAGAGCTGAAAGGGGTGATGTGGGACAGATTTCAAGATGTCATTGACAATGGAAACGCGGAAGGCACAAAAACAATCAAGGATGCCATGAATGCGCAGTTGCGTAATGCAGAGCATGAGCTTTCGAGATACAGGGACGAGAATGATCAAAGTCTTGTTGTTCCAGAGATCCGACTAATGGTCTGAAATCGAAGGTTGATGTCATATCTTTGTGGAGACCTTATCGATAGCCAACTTCTGGGATTCTCTTGCGATGGCCTTTTGTTTTCTGTTATAATTTTCACGATTACTCTCTTGCAGCTCCAGCGATTCCTATTTTGGACTAGCCGCATCGTAGACCGATCTATCACAACACTCTCTTTGTTGACTGCTCCTCCAACCCTTCTGCAAACACATCACACTTCCGTCGCACCGTGCAGAAGTCGCAGGGTGGCAATTCACAACCTTCTTCCATCAATCGTTGTCCAATCTACACAATGCATTCCTCTTCCGATAAGATGGCGATCAAACCCGTTCCTACGCTTGCAATGGTCGGTTCCCGATGAATATTCCGAGATTGGTGTTCAGGAGTCATTTAGGGCGGGATGAGGCTATTCAGTGGGGCCCAAAGATTAGAATTGGTGGTTGATCGGAGATGTATGGCTTGGCAGGGCTGAATGACGATGTTGCTTCAGATGGTTTCTACGGAGGATTGCTTGGCAGGGTTGCTTCACATGATTTCTACAAAATTGTTTCTTGCTTGGGTGGATTGCATCAAATGTTTGCTTGAGAGAGTTCATGACAGAGTTACTTGTATGATAATAAAAAGTCCATGCGGCACTAGGACGCCGACAAAAGCAAAGCATAAACACATGTTCACTCGTCTTCATTTGTGAAAGGTGTGATTTGGTAGCAAGGAAGATTGTCCATCGATGGCACAGACGTGAGCATGTGTATAGTTCTGTTCTTTATGAGCATGCAGTCGTGGAGTACGGTTCTGCATCCTTGGGAAAGACGTGAGATTCTCTATAGTCCTGATCTTCTCAAGGATAGTGTTGTAAACCACGATTGTCCAACCGTGACAAACGCGTTAGGATGTGTAGAGATTTTCACATCATAAGGATATATTTGTTGAGGACGATTGGTTAACCTTGACGGAGGCGTTAGATTGTTTACAGTTCTTTGGTCACATAATTGTGGAGGGCGATTGTCTATCTGAGCCAAAGACATTAGCATTTGTATAGTTGCTTTTTTCATAATAATATAGTTACAAACCACGATTTTGTATTCGATGCAAAGACGTTAACATATTCATAATTTTTCATTAGCAACATACATACTTTTAATGGTCGATTGTGCTTCCAATGCAAAAATGTTATTTTGTCTATGATTCTTTATTGCAGTTATAAAAGAAAATTGTTTATTCATGGCAAAGACGTCAGTATGTGTATAATTCTTCATTGCTAAAAAATATAATTGTACATGCCGATTGTACATCCAATGCAAAAACGTTACAGTGTTCTCAATTCTATGAGGCTAGAGCCGTGAATAGCAGTTGTCTATCGATAACACAGACGTCTAAATGTTCTGAGTTCTTCACTTCATAATAAGTGCTATACCGACGTCACTTCCCCGCTTCGCAATATCAAGAGCTCTTCGCTTTCAACCACTAGCGCGTTTCGCTCGATCTATAGTTTACGCGCCTCTCTCGGCCTCGCCTTGTCTTCTCCTCTCTTCGACAACAACAACACCATGGCTTCCAAAGCCAAGAAAGTGTTGAAGCGCATGCGCAAAGCGCTGTCCAAAGCCTGGCGCAAGCTTTCGAGACAATCAGAAACTGAAGAAAGTCCATACATTGGACCCGTTGCTGCTGTTGCCCCTAGTAAGTTCCTCGGTCTTTGCGCGTCACGTTCACACATCTAACAACGACAGACGCTCAAGCTGGAACCAACTATCGCAGAAGAGTACAACCTAAGCCCCCGACTTTCCACCAGTTTTCTCGCTTTCCTGCCGAGCTGCAGAAGATGATTTGGGAGATGGCTGTCCCTGAACCCGGTGAGTTTTGCGCTTTTTCGAATGTCCTGCAATTCTCTGGACGTTCGATTTCGAAATTCCAAAAGGACTTGGAGCAGAATTACTAATTACCATATCGTAGGCATCTTATTCATGCAATCCATGCCCTGGACCTTCCAACACTGCACCTTCCAACACCTTCTCCCCGAAACCTTCGCCGACGCTCTCCCCCGCCCAACCGCCATGCTACGCGTTTGTAGCGAGTCCAGCAAAGCCTACAAAAATGCCTTCCCCTTCGAGATCCCCTTCGCTGTCTGCCGCCGCCTAGGATGTGATTGCGGGGCCGACCGCCCACACCTTCGCACAACCAGTTCAGGCCATGGTATCCTCCGCTTCGGCATCCATGATCAGCTCTTCGTCCGGAACTTGGGAGTACTCAGGGGTTCTCTCTTGGACCGCTGTAGTCTCATACAACCTACTTGGGCGACCGGCGTCAGGAACTTGATGGTTAGTATCGATGAGCTGGTCGACGACAAGGTTGATGCGCTCTTATCTCAGCACATGCCGAGATTTCCGAGCCTAGACCGCGTCGAGGCCGTTGATCAGGTTATCCTCCGGTATCAAGGACTGCGTCTCAACCGTGCTGGGTGCCAGGCGCTGGTTGAGAGAACGACTACGCTGAGGATCTGTTTGTTGAAGAAGAACGCGGTACCTGCTTGGATCAGGGACATCTTTCCTTGGGAATCAGTTGATGACTTCATTACTCGGATCCAGAGAGATTATGCTGGTGTTAAGATCGATCCGGAGGTCGAGAGGAAGTTGCCTACGATTACGTACCGTGATCCATTTCCTGGTGTTCCGGAAACCGGGCATTATGGTATTACCTACGTGTATCGAGCTGGCTTTTGAGAGGATAGATGGTCTGGAGTTGCGTGCTCTTTCTTCCGTGGCTGTACGGATTTGCACGATCTGGAGCTGGGACACTTTCTTCTTGTGTTTTGACCGGGCTTCCTCATGATATGGCGCTGGGTTGCTTTCTCTTCAGTGCTTGCGGGGACTCTCATAATCTCAAGTTGGCTGTTTATTTTTCGGTGCTCTTGCGGATTCTCATGACATGGAGTTGAAACACTTGCAACTGTGCTTGGACTGAGCTTCCTCATGATATAGCATTTGGTTGTTCTTTCTTCGGTACTTGTGCGGGTATTCTCTACAATGGGACACGTTCACCCCCTGCTTGGACTTGAATATGTAGCTGAGATACACACTTGCGGTCTGATCCTCGACTGCCATAGTGTACTTTTGTACTTTAGAATGCTTACATTTCGTTCGGGTGAGCGAATGGAATGGAAAGTCTTCTCTTATGATGTGTTGCTTGAATGTGATGTCTAAACAAAGATGTGCTTTTGCAGAAGCACTCTAATGAGAGCAAAGTCTTATGGACAAAGTCTTTTTATCCATCCATTGATTCATGTGCTGATCTTCAAAGCTTGACTGCTTTTCCTTTTAAGTACAGCTAACCAATGCAATGCAACTTCGGGCTTCTCCTCTTAGCTCCCCAAGAGAACTATCCTCGGCTATTATATAAAGATTGATCTACTTTACTGAAGATATTCTCCGTTAATAGAAACGGAACTATAGTATCGAAGGGAAGGAAGGATATAATTCAAACGAAGGTCGAATGGAACTGGAAAAACATCAATCAAGGCTCAGTGTACAGAACATGTTTGAATGTTAGGATTCTGGCTTCAAAGCTAGCTGCAATCCTAATTCTGAACCTCCCACCTCCCCTCCCCCCTTCCGCTTGGTTTGACATCTCAAGTCCGAAACGGACATCACGATTGCCTTCAGGAAGAATTGACAGTGCCTGTCTATTCGTCGACGGTAACGGCACCGTCGGGAACCCCTTGAGCTGTGCAAGCAGCCAAACAGGCTGCATACTCTGCGACATTACCCGATACAGATGCACATTTCAGGAGACATGCTGCCTAAGAAGCATTCGTTAGCTCCAAATCCGGCTAAGGTCATGGAATACATACTCCCCAGCCCTGTTCAGCAAATTGAGGTTAGTCATGATGTTCTGCTCGTAGTATACTGAAGGTTGTCTTACACGCTTCTCGATGTTTGTATCAGCAACAGTGCTTGGAACTGCGATAGCAGAAGCAACACTGGCCGCGGCCAAGATGATATGAAGTAGAAGGAACTTCATGTTGAATTCTCTGAAGATGAAATTGTGATTGATGTTTGATTTGAGTCGTGGATGCTTTTGGAAAGATATCGAACGTGGGCGTACTTTGGACACCATTTATACTTGAACAGCATCGTGCTCCGGTGTCCAAAATGTCACCAAAAATGCTGTCTTCAATGTTTGTCATGGGTTTCTATCATCTGAACATTGACACACTCACTAGATAGACAGTCAGCTTACTTTCTTACCTAGATATGTAGCAGGGTTTAAAATCATTCTGCAAGTTCGGATCACTTTTCTCATTTACTAGGGTTGCCAAGCCATACAACTGCTCAAAATGCACAATTTGTAAGCTGACTCTCATGTTCCTCAAACCATGTGCCGCTTACTTGCAGAGATCGTCCCGCTACAAAGCTTAACGGGCCGTCGCTTAGCTACATGTTTAATACACATAATCAATTACCTCTTACTAAAGGTGCTTGATTGGGCATTGGCTGCAAATATATGATCAACGTTAGCATATCGTTTTCTCATCCGATTTCCGACTTAAATATAACAGAGCCCAATGCACATCACTAGGATGGAAAAAGTACTTTCTTTACCTATATCGTACAAGCCCAGCAATTGCTATGGCATTTTTCTACTTGATTTCCCTCTCGCTCATGTGTTCGGCTCTTGCGGCACTTAGCACCATGGAGCTTCTACACGAAAATTTATTTCCCTCACTTTCACCACACCTTCTCAAAAGAGAAAAGGCTCAAGCATCATCTCAAGTTCAGATTCAATTGGCTTTTGTCCAATCCAATGTCGACTATGCCGTCGAGTCTCTACTCAAGGTCTCGGATCCTACCTCGCCAGAATATGGGCAACATTGGACCGCGCGAGAAATCGTTAAATTTTTTTCACCCCAGGCAAAGGATGTGTCGGCCGCTGTTGGCTGGTTACATAGCTCTGGGATCTCCGCCGCCCAATTATCGGGCTCCCATGGCAGGGGACACATCTTGATTGACTTAACTGTTGGTGACGTCGAAAGGCTATTCAATACGACTTGTTCCCGCTTCATTGATGGACAAAAGGGGAAGAGTTGGATTGATTGTGGGCCTTACAATATTCCGGATTCGTTGAGCTCATCCATCGACTACGTGGCCACAGTTCGACGATCTCTTCAGCAGCCTCCACCTCGGGCCCCGAACAAGCCCGATTTCCGACGGCCACTTGCTCAAGTTCCACAAGCTGAAGCAGACTCATCGAATTCTACAAATGTGGACTGCAACCAATATACCGCGCTATCTTGTTTAAGAAAGCTTTACAATATCCCACTAAGCACTACGCCTCATCCGAATAACTCCTTTGGCATCTATGAAATCGCTTGGGTCACTTGGCTGCCAGATGACCTTGACCAGTTCTTCACGATGTTTCAACCAGACCTGATCGGGCAGCGGCCTTTCGTTGAGCCAATCGATGGAGGTTACCTGCAGACGGAATATCAGCTAGAAGCATTCAACCTGGAACCAGATTTGGATTTCGAGTATGCCATGGCTCTAACGAGACCTCAACCAGTGAAAAACATCCAGGTTGGCGACGAACTTCTTGGGGGAGACTTGAATGACATGTTAGCGGCGTTCGACAAGTATTATTGCGACGCTCTCAATTCATCTATCGACCCTACATTCCCTGATCCTCTCTTAGGGGGCTATAATCAAACCACAGATTGCGGCACTGCCACGCCACCTCAGGTTTTGTCTATCTCGTACTCCAGCCCAGAAGTTGACTTCTCGCCTCAGTACTTGCAGCGTCAATGCCTCGAGTTCTTGAAGTTGGGACTTATGGGCGTCACGGTTATTGTTTCCAGCGGTGACACAGGCACTGCAAGTGGAGTGTTACCTGGAACATGTATCGACGCCGACACGGGAGCTTCAAATGCAACGACTGGCAAATTCAGTCCTCAATGGCCAGCTAGCTGTCCTTGGGTAACATCGGTCGGAGGCACAGAGAAGTCCACAGAATTCAACCTCTCCGCAACGCTAACCACATCCACAATGAATGACCCGTCTTTGACCAATGAGACGGCCATATATAGAGATTTCGGCAATGGAAGCATCTTGTCATCAGGCGGAGGATTCAGCAACGTATTTACCGTGCCGCCATATCAGCAAGTGGCCATCTCACAATACCAAGACCACCAGAATGTACACCTGGGAACACTCGAGGCTCTAGGTTATTTCACTAGTGGCGGCCGCGGGTTTCCGGATGTAGCGGCTCTAGCATACAGATACCTTGCCATAATCGACGGAAACTTGACTGCTATTGACGGAACATCGGCATCTGCGCCTGTTTTTGCTTCGATTATTTCCATGATCAATAACGAGTTGCTCAACGCTGGTAAGAGTGTTGTGGGATTCATAAACCCTGCTTTATATTCCCATCCTGAGGCGCTAAACGACGTGGTAGTGGGGCAAAATGAGGGCTGTGGTGCCAACCCTGCTTTTAATGCCGCTGAAGGATGGGATCCTGTCACGGGTTTAGGAACTCCTGACTACGAAAGATTGAGGAACATGTTCTTGGAGTTGCCATAGAGCAGAGTCGAAGGATGATAATGGGATTTAGTTAGGCGGATAAAGTATAGGGAACACACATTCTTTTTCGTATAGAGCCTAGGAATGGAGAAAATAACTTTTAGATGGCATGAGGCCTTACAAGATAGCTGTGTTGATATGATTGAGTCTATTCAAGTTAATCTCTCGTAATAGTAACTCTTTTCTAGCATATCTTCAAGTTATAGTCAACAAAATCAAGTTTAGCCTACAAGTCACATCTGATATTATCGCAACTATAATAAGCAACCTCGGATTTATTCTTCAGGGATAGGATCGTCTTCATGTTTTTGAGATTAATCAATTCAATTCATCCATTTTAGTGGGTATGCTTCTAGGTAGCATTGAAAAAGTATTGACTTTAGTCATAGGCACAAGCCGAGAATGCCGAGGAAAGCGTTTCCCTCGCAGAGTCGCTGATGTGAGCCACCATAACTAAGCAAAATCGTCGGTCAGAGCAGCAATCCAGGAATTTATAGCATGCGTTGACTTTGCTGTTGTGTGGGGTCGCTATCAGGGAAGGATTCGGCCGCGGTTCAGCCTCTAGTCTCGTATGTGCCGTGCGTTTCCAAGTTTACTCAATGAATATTGGGAATGGATCCTCATCAAGATCACCAAAGTCGTTATTCAGCGTCTCACTTGATTATTTATATACAATGTTACATTGACATGGAAGTTTGTACTACCACATCATCAAGATCACAAAGACTCGAAGAGTCATCTGATGGGAAAGTCTCTATTGGGTTTGGTTCTCAGAGGCTGGATTAAATATGTATAAAACATTCACGATTTCCCACATCACTCCTGGCTATCCTCTGCATTCTTTCCCATACAGACGCAACAAAGCTGAAGTCGAATATTTCTGCACCAGAGCCACTTTCAATATGAAGTTCATTACAGCCTTCGTTCTTTCCGTTGCCTCTTTGGCTTCTGCTGGCTCTATTCATATCAACTATGTACGTCAAATTCTGCCCTTGGTCTGCATTCGTCATAGGAGCCGAAGTCTTTGGCAGCCTCCTCGGCAGCTGAGATATTATCACAAATCTCCGGATGAACTCGTCGACTCCCAGATCTCAGTCGAAAGTGTGTACTGATTTATCAATAGTATACGGACGGTGGCTGCTCCGACTACCTTGTCTCACCACCCAATGTACCAACCGACGGAAGCTGCTACACTTACCAATACGGAGGTACTAACAGTGCCAACATCGCCAACTGCAACGGCTTCGGTGGCTGCTACTGTGACTTTTACGAGTACAGCAACTGCGAAGGTCTCTCGGAGCCTGCTGGCACTCCGGATGGCCCAGACTGTGCCTCTAACTATGGTATCGGCTTTGCCTCGTTCCAATGCTACACGGACTAAATGGGCATTGACTTGAGTCATGCATGGGTGATCTTGACCTATTGAAGCCAGGAAGAAAGTGTAGCGTTGAGGAACACTGTCATGTAGTTGTGGGGCCAGTCGTTGGTTAGTGTGGGGGTCGTTTAGACTTTTTCTTTTTGGGAGGCAGTCTGGGGCATGGTCCTGGGGTTCAAAATCATGACTTGGCTTCAGTGGCCACAATCACTGCGTGTCTGGGGGTGAGAAGGCCCTGTTGCTCTGAAGGGGTTCTCAATCCATTTTTGGCTTGCTTCCAGCATTTAATTCATACTTTCTTGACTTATACACGTGGAGATTGTGAAATACTCGCATTTGAACAAGACACCTTTTCACGGATTAGTAACCCTCTATAACACACTAATTTCACGTATAAACAAGTGAAAAGAACTTCCATTCCATAAAGTGTTAGCATTAGATTCCTTCGGGATTTAACAGCACCACTTTGAGGAAGGCTGGGTACTGTCAGAGCCTTGGAAGTTAGTTAGCCAGAATTGAAGACGCCGTATTTCAAAAGTGTGAACTAGTTACCGGATTTGTCTCCTCGTAGTTGTAAGAAATTGAGTGCAAGTGGTATTCGAAATGTCTTAGCCGGGCACGCGTTTAATAATTTTAAAAGAGCTGAGAGGAAAACAAGCGAAAGCTACGCCTAGCCCCACTTTTAGCTGTAGCAGTGAATAATTAATATATATCTTAAACCAAACAGCGCCACAATCGGAAATTATGTCCCACCCCCCCTTCTACGATCTCGAAACCAGTGAACAACGATCTCCTGCCGTCGCCGCAAATTCTACGACTCTCTTGGATACTGTTGCGCGCAGCGCTGAGATATCACTACGCAAAACTTCCCCATCCTCTGTCGAAGACTAAGTATCACCGACAAGCTCATTCAAGGCTCTACAGAAACACAGCAAGTTGCAATGCTGCCCAATATCGAGTCCCACGAAGTGTCCTCTACACTTGCGCCAAGAGATATCCTGATGCTGAGCCTACGTTCCAGCCAAGCTCACACCAACATGAAAGTTGGTCGTACAATTCAAGCCAACTCCGATACCGATCCCATCTGCTCTTCCTCGTCAATTGCGATCATGGATCCAATCACGTCACCCGAGCAAAACGAAGTCGGAGTCGTCAGCAAAGGTCGACAACTACAAACTTTTGATGAATTCAAGTTCTTCCCTAAGCTTCCGGTTGAGCTTCGTCTCAAAATTTGGAAAGCCGCTCTCCCGGTTCCTACCACGATCCATGTCTGCGCAAGACTGTCGCCCATGCACAAAGCTTCCAAATGTACGCTCAGCTATCAAGGCTACGCACAAAGAATCAACATAGCCACTCTTTCAAACAGCGGTATGTCATGCACTTGCCACGAAGCGAGAAATGCCTATGTCGCTGCCATGCCGTCGACGATCGATCTTATCAACACCCTAACAGGACGGTCTATTGTCATTCGGTTTGGGGTAGACGATACACTTTATCTGTTTGGTGCAAGCTCCCCAACAATGCATGATTCATTGTTTTGGGATTTCATGAGCGTCCAAAAGTGGACGAAGGAAGTCAAGATGCTAAAGATTTCGCTCCATTGGGCTAGCATGGGAGTCTGTAAGAGGTTTTTGGCGTGCTTTGAAGGGCTGGAAAAGGTTGAGCTATCTCCTATTCGTTGGGTGCCCACTCAGAATATGGAGGAATTTACGATGCTTACGAGGTGGTGGGGTATGTATGCGACTAAGAAGGAGCTTTTGGAGACCGCCGGATCGGGTAGTGGCGGGACTAGAAATCTTTCTCTTATGGTGTACATGATGTGGATCCGGAGGAATTTCACTTGATTCTGAGGATGTTCTCCACTTGAACAAGGGTAGAGAATCATGAACGGGTGAGTGGACATGCTACAGGACCAGGCTTAGTCGCACAATGCACATCTCTTTCGAGTGATAAGTCCCAACTAGTTATGTGATTACACTTCAATTTTGTTAGCTTTGCCGTTGAAGGAGATAATTGTCACATTTTGTTTTCCCATCACTCTTTCTAGCCAAGAGAAGAAGTCAAACAGTGCTTGTTACAAAGTTGGTACTATTCTTATAGTAGCCTACATGTGACGTGCAGTTAAAAAGTCTTTGTGAAATGAAATTCTATCTTGTGAAACTAATTGGCGATTCACAGACTTACTGTTTCGGGATCTTACGACATTGAGAACAGACCCGTTGAATTGAGGAGCGTGAGCCTCTCACAACTTCTATAGGATCCAAATACCGTCTTCCACATCCATCAATAGTAGCCTGCCTTCACACGCAGATACTGTAGCTCCCACAAGTGACGTCCAGTCTAATCTACGTGACAAGAAACTGTTTTTCAGTGCTTTGCAACATTTGACAGCCTTGATACATGAGAATACACTCCCCTCATTCTCTCGACAAGTTTCATCCTTGATCCCTACAAGCCCACGAAACTCTACCTGCAACATATTCTTCCACAATGGCCCACTCCGGCTCTTCAAACACCACACCACCGCCAACGTCATCAAACCATTGATTTTCTCTCCACATCCAGAAGCTGTTTTCCGCGAATCCTAGATTGAGATAGCGGCGTAGAGTAACATGCCACAAGCCAAATATCGGTGGCGGATCTGGATGTTCATCGTCAAAGAGCCATGTAGGAATTCTCGATTTCTGCTCAAGCAGAGCCAAAATGATGTTGACATTAGATATTGTCCTTCGGTATTCCGCAAAGCTGGATGAGGGTTGGCGATGAGCAAGACATCTTGGAGATCTTTATCGAAGACGGCAGGCATGGTGATCTCTTCTACTCGAAAAAGTCCAAACAGCACGGCAGACACTGTTCTAGTGTTTCCTTGGAAAGCTGGATTTGGCTGCTGGAGGCGGCGGAAATGGCCCTTGCCATCACCATTGGTGAACTTGCAGATCAGGTGCTCTGGTCTGTCCCATTCATAAAACGCACCATTCATCAAAAACATAGCAGTTTTTGAATTATGCTGGTTTTCATGAACGGTTATTTACCGGCTGGAATGTGCTATCAAAATGAGTGCTTTCCACCAAAATTCAAAGAATGCGGGCAAATTTTACCTACGAATGAAAGACCGGCCCCCCTTCCCCCCCTTTCTAATTCATTTACTCTCATAATTATAATTATTAAAGTGCGATATTCCGAAGACATTTATTTAATATATCACTTACTTTTTTCAATATAAACAATCCTTAAACTTCTCTATCAAATAGTACCACTTTTATGCGTTCTTCCCTAAAATAATTTATTAAAATAATTAATATTATATTCTAAATATTATATCCTAGAATTGCGGCCCATCCGCTGTATAAGCGTTCATGAAAAGCACTCATAATTATAAAACATCAAGTTTTTTGATCAAATAGGCCGATTTTTCATGAATTGTGATGTTTGATGGATGGCACAGACCAGCTCGCATGCAACCAGAAGAGACATTAGCTATTGAATGGCCCTCTTCTTGCCATCACCAGGTTCTTCATCCTCGTCTTGTTCGTCCGAAGAGGACCCTACATTCTCCTGACGCGCCCGAGATCGACCATCTCCTATTAACCAAGAAGCAAAGGGACCAAATACAGCCTCATAATAGTCATTTCTCCACTTCCCGGTTGGACAATGATCCACCATATCAAAATTATTCACTGCAAATTGGCGCAGAAACAACACATCCTCGTCAGACATGTCTCCTAACGTCCACGATCCCGCAGCCTCAGCCCTCAACACATCTTCACAACGCCCTAGAAATCCATCATGGCCATCCTCCTTCGCTTTAAAGAACGGCTCGTTATAAAGTTTAGCCAGAGAAAGAATTTGAGGAAGACCGTCACAGCTTCGAAAGATGCAAGTCAGGAGTTCTGGAGTTGCAGAAAGGAAACTGTCGATCATGATGAAGTCTAAGAATTGTTGCAAAGTTGGGTTGGAGGGATCGTTTAAGCCTCCAAGAAGATTTGAAAATTGTAGACGGGGCGGTGAAGCCAGGTGAAACATGATTTGGTCTTTCTGAAACAATTCTAGAACGAAAAGGAAATAAATTTGGTAGGCTCGTTGATTTCGACAAAGAAACGCCACCTTGGAAGACGCTGCTATTATGTCCCATTGAGAATCGATATCGTGTTGGCTATTCTATTCCGTACTGCAGTGGCAGTGAAGTTCAATGTGAAAGAAGATAGATAAAATTCATGGGAGGAAGACGCAGAATAGACAAGTAGATAAGAGACGAGTCAAGCTCAAATTTGGGGTACAGAATTCTTGCGAGGACGCAGGCAGATTTCCTCGCATGAGACCCAGACTTAATTCACGAAATGATATTTGAGACTTGAGGGGGAATCAAAAAGTGCATCATCTTCCCCAGATAAGAGCGAAAGAGGTTGAAAATGTCATATACACTACAACTTGGTGAGTTCCATAGATACGGAACATAGCTCCTCTTCGCGAGTACGCTTGGCCGTTCTGAGATTACCTGAATGTCCATTATTACTTTCTGAATTCCATCACTCCAAGCATTTCCAGTACTATCAAGCCAGTAAACAAGTATCAGGAGACGCCCCTACATAATAACTTTGGGAATGCTTCCAGGCTGACATGTTTCTCTTTGTGATCCTTCAGTCTGCGTACCGAAGTTGCTTCATACCTCTCCGTGAGCAGAAGCCTCGTCTTTGCGTTCATATGTTGCCAAATACCTTCTCTCGATGTTGGATGGCCGGTCAAGGATTTGAAGGTCATAAGAAAATCCATCCACGCAAGAGTGAATCTTTCGGAACGATGATGTGGACCAATCGCCAGATACACCATCATGACAGAATATGGCAACACAAGGTGATCCACGGCTGCGAGAAACTTCGTAGTATGAGCTGTTTCCAAAAGCATATGCTCGAAGTAGGGTCCATAGACGATATAATCCATATCTGGGATGTAGACTAAAGTGTTTGCTGCGAATCTGACAAACCCCTGCTTGAGGTGGATGCATCGTGTGAAGGAAGACAAATAGGCAGCGCGAGCCTCGCGTGAGGTTACAGATAAGCTGAGGTCGTATACATCGCAGCATCTGGAATCAATTGCCTCCGCGTTCGGTGGTATGCTGAAGGATAATGCTGCACGACCAAGCTTTGTATAGTCGATATCGGTTTTAATTGGAATCATACGCTCTCCGTTATGTCCAGTTGGGATAGCGAATTTACTGCTCAACAAATTAGTACCCGAAAAGAAAATAATTGACTACAGACGTGAAAGATCAGAACTTCCTCCCGAACTTCCAATGATCCTCAAAATTTGGAATAGTTCACAGCTACAGAGCCCAAGATAACACAGCAACTAAGTGTCTGAAGAAACTTGCAATATGATTTCTCGCAGCTCCGGAGCTAGCTTCGGGAAGAGGTGAAACTCTGTTAATGCGGTCGCCTCTGTGGCTGCTGATCGAGTAGCGAAATCTATCAAAGCGGAGGATGTTAGAGTTTCAGCACCAGCCAACGCAGTCGTCTCGCCATTAGTGGACTGTATTGGACGAGCGTTCGTTGAGGAGGAAGCGGCTGCGATGCCAGGCTCAGTCGACGTATTGTTCTCGCCAGCAGTCGAGAATATTGGAGAAATGCCAGTAGCAAGTGGAGAGGGAGTAGTGTCAGAAGAATCGGCCATTTTGATAATTGGTCTACAACAGGCTATAGGAGTTAGAAATGCTTAAAATGGCAGGGAAGAGATTATAATGTACCTCAATATGTTCCCGGGTGGCTTTGGCTGATATCTCGCAGGCAAATGATCTGAAGTCAAAACAATAATGAGGTAGGTAGGCACGGTTGATCTCGCGAAAGAGATTTGCTTGTGCTTGACCGAGAACTGATCTTGAAATCAAGGGTTGGGAGGCGAAATGAATTCGACACGTACAATTCGCAGTCTTGCGCGCTGAATATCGAAAGACAGTGCGAAACTTCGTGAACGAATCAGTCAGAAGATAGGGAAGCTGTCAATTTCGCGCATGTCGATGTTGCGAAAGTTTGAGGGCTGGAGCGGTGGTTGAGGTATCTTGCTGGCGCTATCTTAATGCGCTCAAGCGAGGTCATGGAAGCGCATTTGGAAGGAGTATTTGACGTCCTTACCATTATTTGAAAACATGAAATGCACTGGGTGTTGACTATATGGATAATATACTGGAAACTATCCGCTAGAGTATCCAAATTCTGATCTCGAAATCCAGTAGTATCATTTGAACGTACGTGCAAGACCTCTTCTACAACTCGATGCAATTCTTTCTTCTCTTCTCTCCTGTGTATCTATCTAACCTCCAATTGATACTTTATGCAGGAAGCAGCAGCAATGGAGAATCCTTTCAATCCTAATCCAATACTCATCTCCAAGCCATGGAAAGCGAAATGAAACGAAGATAATTAAAGCTTCAAGACCAGTTGTGTGGCTTCTCCATCCAGACAACAGCTCCACCTTCGACCAGGACTACACTTCTCTGTAGTAACTCCCATTCAAGTCTATTGGGAAGTTTCTCATTGTAGTATCAAAACCTACGCCACAGATTCACTTCCACCAAGAGCTCTACCACCGAGCTGGTCATAAATATGACTGCGAGCTTTATCCCCTCATTCACCCCAACAAGTCTAGAGTCTGAAGACCCCAACTAACTCTTGACTATAAATACCACTCTGCACATCAAGATCTATTCTCAGGCAAGAAAATTGGCTACTTCAACTAATCACAACACGGAAAAGTATTTTATCCCCCTTCACCTGTATCCTCAACGAAGAGTACTACGTAGCAGCCAAGGCTAATACATGCGTCAAGTCAAAATCATAAAGCTGTTATTGTCAACAAACCTCCTTCCGCTAAACTCATTAGACTAAAACATCTTATCTACCCTCCTTCTTCTTCGTTCACTACTTCATAACGAGTCGGCATCACAATTACTTTGGCAGCAAAACAGATTCTCCGTCCACAAGAGGAACATCTCACATAAACAGAATTATGCTGCAAGAATACAACACCTAAATACCGACACGCGAGAACACTTGACGCACAAACCTTCAATCCTTGTCGCAGGCTGGCTTGGTTGAAGAAAGTAGGCTTGGGTGGAGAAACAGCTGAAGGGAGGGGAGGGGTTATATAGCTAGGAAAGAAAGACACCTCCATACTTTTACAAGGAGTTGAGAATCAACCTCAAAACTGCACTTCGAGTAATAGTAATTCACCTCCTTCCTCCAACCCTTCCCTCATTCGCCTCTCCCGACGCCTTAACTCACCACCTCACATACCTCTTTCAGCTATAAATATTACCGTTCTCTCCTCTCCCCGAATCCCCACAACTTCTTGCAAATAATGGACTTCCTCTTCAGGAACCGGGATTCCCGCGTCTTTCCGTCACTAGGTGCCTCCAAAATGGAATCAACGTCCCGAACAAAAGTTTGACTTGAACATCAGAATCGCTCTTCAACGAAGGAGACTACCCAAACTTTAATAATATAAGATTCTTGACAACAACGTAGAAAACTTGATAAGAAAAACCACACCAATTGGGATAGTAGCCTTTCCAAGTCTTGCGTTTACAATGTATGATAGAAATCGACACCAGAACGCAAAATTTAAAACAGAAATTTGCAGCAAAACGCCAACACCGAAGCGCCAAAATCCAAAACCACAACCTCCAGGTCGACCTTTCTGGCCAGTGAATCGCCGGGCATGGATGTGAGCACAAAGATTTAAAGGATGAGCAGGGTGGGGATATATATACTCAAGGAGACCCATTTCCCCCTGTTTTAAAACTCTCTGACACTCTCGCTCACTATTCACTCTTATACCCAACCTCCCCCTCTCTCACAGTCTGAAGCAAGATATAAAAGTCTTCCTTCCCTCCACTTTCGTTCCTCCACCGAAAACATAAACCAACAACCCGCCCACCGATCTCTGGCAACCCCCTTTGCTACCGTCCACCTTGGTTCTAACGCTCTTTCAGCTAAACCTTCTGCGAGGGTCTCTCTTTATTGATACGTAAATCATATCTAGAAATTGTTATTGCCAAAAACCCCTTCCCATACTCTCTATTCCTTGACTTTTATCCAACTGCTCGACGTCAAGAAAAGCATTAACAACCCAAAAAAATTCACTACAAGATATCTCGTTCCAATTTACTAGCTACTTTGCTCGATAGGGATATGGCACCGGGCCAAAGAATCGAAAGGGCCGGCAGCAGAGTTTCATTTCTGAGGTTTGAGGAAGTGACCTAGGGGTATATATACCCAAGGGAGGGAAAATTCGCAATTTCTCTTCTTTCCTGAGCTTTAGTATTCACTCCTTCAGCCTCACCTCTCGTAGTCTAAAGCAAGAATATAAAAGCTTCTCTGCCACAGCAAAAAGCTAACAGAAACCTAGTGCATGTTGACGGATCCTTCTGTTTCGTCCTCCTCAGCGCCCGTCGACCTCGATCCGCGCTCGGATATTTAACCCCTAACCGGGAACTTCTGCCTTTTCGCCAGCATCTAGAGTTTGCTGTTGCCAACAATCTCCTTCCATACTCTCTGTTCCTTTGACTCCTGTCCCAACTTTCGACAACAACAAAGTAAACCACCAATCCAACCCACATCCCCTCCACGAACCCCAATCAAAAACCTTCTACCAGAATACCGTAGCCACAAGAAACATCTTGTTCTTGACTGGGTCTTTCCACTCTCAAGATTAAGGATCTTCTTTGAGAGAGGAGAGGGGGGTATATATACCCAAGAAAGAAACAATTCAAAATCCATGCACTATAACTCAAACACTCTCACCAGTGAATATGCAGAAAAACTTTGAAGAACCCTAAGGACTGGGTGAATACCTCCCATCACCTCCAAATTTTCCAACCTGAACCCCTCTTTTCTATATAACCCTCAAATCAGCCCTTCTCCACTCCTCACCCCACCCCACTCTTCCAACCCAGCAGAACCCTCCAAGAACTTGCCATTGACAGCAAAGGAACCCTCAACCTGCGTCACGTCCTCGCACGCCACGGCATAACTGAACAACAGCAATGAAAGATCTTGACAACAAGAACGTAAAAAAAAAAAAAAAGAGTCTCGTAGCCTGCTCCTCAGCAACCGCAATCCCGACTAAGAATTCCGTGTCCGACCTGGTAGAGATCGTTGATGACTTCGTGTATGGGATGGGGACGGACACGGGGTGGGGTGGGGGGTTATATAGCTACTGGTGATAAGGGAGATCAGATATCTTTGCTGTGAAAGGTCGTGAATGGAGTGAATGGGTTGACAGAAACGGACGGAAAATGACGGAGAAGGTCGGACATGGGTGATCGTTTATGGGCTTGGAAGGTGAATGACCAACAACCCACACTATTTTTACAAAGCATCAGTTCAAGGACGAAAGATACGTATTCAACACCACATTCATTCAATTCGTTCATATATGCAACTACCCCCCCCCTTCTTCCCTCCCTTTCTTCATCCCGTGCTTGTTTCTTTCCTTCCTTCCTTCCCACAACCATCAACATACCTTGAACTTCCTCAATACTGCAAGGAAGAAAACCAACCCACAAATGTATGCCAAACGCCTTTGCTATGCTAATCAATTACTCCATCCAACTTGTACAATCCAGGTTTGACTTTGTTGTCCAATGTCTTCACCTAGCTGGTCTGCACCCGTCTCATCTTCACTTATTTCGTCTTGTCTTGACTTTGGCCCATCTTCTCCTCGCATCACCCACCACCCCCAAATCTCCTAAAGCCTTCAACCCCAAGCGTAGGAACCTCCACCCACTTCAACCCCGGAACGCCCTCACTCCTCCGCCTCTCAACAAAATTATTACACTCCCCCACCACCAACGCCCACTCTGCGAGCGCCCGTCCAGCATACTTCGCCGTCCTGCCTCTCGCCCCCGGATCCTTGGCCGAGATCTCCTTGCTCGTACCCGGGACCTTCGCACCGAGCATCGCCTGCGCCGCGGACGGGAGGCGAGGCGGACAGATGCGGCGTTCTGCACCAGCTCGAGCCGGTTGGGATTGTGGCTGCGGAGGGGTCTTCTCGAAATCTCGAGCCCATTCGAGGGAGAATTTGAAGCAGTATGCGCGATGGGAGGAGATAGCCGGAGGGGTTTCTGAGTCTGTTGATGAGGATTTGCTGTGTAGGGTTGGACGAGAGCGCGAGATTGCTGTTTCGCGGCGTGCATCTTCGAGGGTCTTGGTTGGGCTTGAGACGCGGGGTTGCTCGGTTGGAGATGCAGTTTCTTGCGTGGGTGTCATGGCTGAGGGAAGCATTTTGCCCATGAATGTCCAACGTTTCTTGTTTGGTGCTGTGGTTGGTAGGTCGGATGTGGGTTTTGGAGAGCTGGTTTCTGCTGTGTTGAGTTTGGCTAGGCCGGAGAGGGAGGAGTGGCGTTTGTATGCTGAGGCTTGTGTGGTACCAGATGCGTTGACAATTCCGTCGAAGCCAAGAAACAAGTTAGCAGCTGGGGACTGGTTGTCATTTCGAATGATCAATAACCGTCTACCTGGAGCTGGATAACATGGTGCTGTTGACGGAGGCAAGATACGGGCTTTTTCGGCATGTTGCTTGAGGAAGAGGTAATTGGCCCAGACTGATTTGACGCGAGTCGAAACCGCACAGTAAATTTTACTACACCTAGTCAGTAAAAGCCTTCAACCAGCACCGGCAAAACTCACGTATCCAAATCACTGCCTTCACCGTCATCTCGACAAAGTCGCCAAACCAACAGCCTCATGTAATAGGCTCGAACCATCGGACACCAGTGATTGAAGAATTTGTCGAACGTATCCTCGGTCAATAACCACTCCAAACACAATACCTCCTTTCGTTTCGGGTCATTAGTAATTACGTTCCATGCGCCAAAGAGGAAAGAAAAGAGCCTAATTTCGGACATGCTATTTTCACTCTCGAGCATTTTCCTGCAAACATCCATCCAGAAATACCAATCAATAAAATCGTCTTCAAGCGCGTGGGCGTGATGAAATCGTACGAATATGGTGAGAGCTTCTTCCATGAAATCGCAGAGTACGAAACATGCATTGTGATCGAATAAGGATGTCCTTTTGGCAGCCGCTTGCATCATTTTCCCGAATGTTTCAGCAAAGGTTAATCTTGCGTTCTCGTAATCTGACGGCCGCTCAGATATGAAATCTCGTAGGAGCATGATGAGACGATTTTCTGCCATTGGCCTAGCAGAGTTGCTCGACGGCATAGGTAATGCAGCTGCACTAGCATCAGCTCCTGCTAGAACATCGTCAAACGTGATCGGAGGCGGTTCTGCGGCAGGTTGTCGGTGGATGGTCCCATCGAGAGCAGTCAAGATCTGTGCCTGAACAAGAATGAAGCCTGATAAAAGTTAGTAGTGATCAATTGTACTAATGACCAAACTCACCTGGAGCACGAGCTTTCTCCCTGATAGGAAGCTCAGCAGGCATAAATTCCTCAGCTAGAACATGGTAATGCTTCGCGAACACAAAGAACAAGTCGCTGTCTCGCCCACACCATCGAGCAACCCAAGGGCCATACCAATTGATCTTCGAAGCTAGAACTGCCAAATGCGGATCTCGTCTCAGTTGATTTGACATCTGTTTAACCGAAGACCACCCGAGGCAATGCATATGGTTCGGAAAGGGGGCAATAACCTCGTCCTGATCAACCTTATTCGGACGCCTTGGCATTCCAAGCTCATCTGCAACTCGTCGTAGAACTTCAGCTTGTAACTTCCATATCCTGACCATGACCTCCGCCACACCTGGGACGAAAAAGAACGCATATGCTGCAGCCTTCCCACAGAATGTTACGAGGCTTGCTGGTGCATGTCTCAGTGACATCTTATCCACCACAAAGCTCATCTGAGACAATAGGTTCTGAATGAACAAGTTTCGGGTATTATGGTAGACTGATTCAGTCATAAACTGCGAGGCTGAAGAACTGAGGGATCCAGATGACTTTTTTCTTGACATCGGTGGACGTCTTTCTGGGGATCTGTTCGGAGAGCGTTCAGATAGAGGAGCAAAGTGCGAGGGAGCAAGTCTCCATTCTGGTCTCGTCATGATTGCATAACATGCCTCGAGCAGAATTGGCCTATCCACACCACTAACTGTCTGGTTCTGCCTCCCATCCAGCACCTCCAAAAGTCCAGTCCACCACTTGTTCAGTATGGTTATCCGACGATCGAGATCTTCTGGTCGCAGATTCTTGTTCGAAGGATGTGAGGCATGGTTTCGAAGAAATGGTAGGAGTGAGGCTCGAACTACATTTGTCTTCAGTGACCAACTCTTGGCTTGAAATTTCGAGTAATCATTCTCCAGAGATCTGAACGCCGACCACAACTCATCTCGCCGGCGAGGAGGAAGATCGACAGTAAGATTCTGTAGCTTTTCGGTAGAGAAGTTCTTCGGTAAAGGGGGGACTTTATCCGTGGATGTCCTAGGCGTTGATCTCTCGTCCGTCGAGCTGCCTGGCAAGCTACTCGTCGAGGAGTTGGCAGATTTAAGAGTTGTGAAATTCATGAGGATGCTCTGTGGTCTCGATTTAAGCATTTGTGGTGTTATAGAGAGTTTCTTCGACTTTTTCGAACTATCTGAGAGCTTCGTAGGGGAGGATTCCAGCTTCGAAGGAGGCACCACGGACTGGCTGGATGTGATTGGACTTCCCGTCATCTTCGATTCACTCTCAGATTGTCCATCATTGTCTTTCGTCTTGCCAATATTTCGATTTGGAGATGGTGATCTTGAGCTCGTCATCCATGACTTCCGGGCAAATGTTGCAAACGACTCTGATACGGTTTTGGTTTTGCTGTCCCGGACAGCCTTGGAAATTGGAGGCACAGGAGGGGCATCAGCTGGTGTAGTGTCAATCAAGTCGGACGAACTCCGCCTTTCTGGGCTGCCCCCCTTGACCTTCTGGATCCATGACTTTGGTCGTGAGACCAAGGACTTCCTTCTGCCGACCCTCTCAAGCTTCGGCCGGTCTTCTTTCTGCAACTTGTTTCCTCCCTTCCCATTATGAACATTTCCCGTCTGCGAATCGGTTGATGGTTCTACCGGTACATCCGCAGTCACGTATTTCTGTAGCTCCTTTTCGGAATTGTACTGGAGATCGAGGGTTGGGAGGCTGGTGAAACTTGCCGACCTGGGAAGCTCGTCATCCTGTATCGGTGGTTGTTTAAAGTCGAAATTGATTAGGTCGGGTATATTGGGAGAGGAATGCGAACGAGGGAATGCGGCATTATCGTTGAGAGCCGGGGACATTGTCAATGTTGGACCTTGCATGGCAGCTCAGTGCTGCAGTAACCTGGCGATCTAGGCACACATCGCAAATGGGTTCGCAGATAGGTGAGCACACAGGAGCATGAGCTGGATCGACTCTGGCTGGCAGAGAAAGTTGGAAGTGAAATGTGAACGAGTGTAGATTCCAAGTTTCCCTAAGAATTGGACGAGGACTGAAGGTAGGGAGGATCTGCTGAGAGGCCGCGTCTGTTTCACAATGTGGGCTTGGAAGTGGATTCCTGGCGATTAGGGAGATAGGCGCAATAATGTAAGATGTGTCGCAGATTGAGGAGGAGAAGAGACGATCAATTAATTCAAACGAAGGTGACGAAGGTGAAGAAAGATACAGCGACGGAAATACTAAGATACAGAGTGTCGAGGACAGGACCCGACAAGAGGAGGCGGATATGGCGATGGTGATGGCGAAGATGATGGATGATGCAGTGGGGGTTGATGTTGTTGAACGAGAACGAGTGAAGGCAAGAAATTAATGGAGACGAGGGTTGGATTGGATGGGATGGGATAGTTGATTCACCAGGTTGTTGTTGTTGGCCGTTGAATATCAGTAGCAGTGAGATTTCTAGCGCGGACCCTATTAATTTTTTGGTACAGTACGGGAGTGGTAAAGTTAGAGTGCCGCTCGTCACTATTGTCGGCCTTTGACTATCGACCTCTGCCGTCTATGAATAGCTTGTTCAGCCACCGCGTTTCCGCTGGGAGCGAAAGGTGGAAGGAAAGTGGATCTTTCTCATACAATCTGCACGCGAACTTGGCGGCGGCTTGCGGCTTGGAATGTTGGCTCTGCCGGGTCCCGTGCGTGCATTATTTTATAATTAAATATTGCACTATTTATGATTGAACCTTGCACAACTTTGTGAATGGAGATGTGATCTTGGTTGGTCTCGTACATATCTCATGCACAAATCGATCGAGTCGTGCGTGTCTTTTTTGATAGTGGTGGATCGGATCTACCTTTCGGAGATTTATTTCCTCGACGGCATCTGATACGAGAGATCGACTCGTATTCTGAATCTTGATTCTCTTCCTCAGACATAATTTTGAAGGCGAACGGTTTGTGATTCAGTTTGGTGGTGGCAATAATGTTAATGTGTTGTTGCTCAGCACAGCCATGGCTGCAGCCTCATCTTCCCTATCTCTTGTGCCTTGACCCGGCAGACCCAAACCGCCTGAGACCTGATTCAGGTCCCTTTTGCGCATCTTGCTCGATATCCTTCTTACAAAAGCAACAACCGTCCAATCTTCTGTATCTGCACCCAGCAGGCACAGCTCGCTCGGTCACGCTGCCCTTCCTTTCCTTTTCTCCCGGTGCTGCCATTTCATGCTTCACCACCGGCTTCCCGCATACGGCGGTCACTGCTGCGGCCAGGCGCGGCGTGGGATTCGCGATGTTCTCAAATCTCTGTGCAAGTCTCAGCTTTTACAGCCTGAAAGACACGGCGTTTTACTTTTCTCATGCGGATTTCGTTGTCCGAGGCTGACTGCAGCCAGCACGGCTCGGATACCTTTCCCAAGGATGGAAGAGATTTCTTCCATCTTCGAGAAGTTTGGTATGTGACCTTGGTTAATAGATGAAAATGTAGGGGATCTTGAATATCACTCTCAAGATTCTTGGTCTGCCGACTGTCTTGCATGGAAAATCATAAGATGCCAATCAGACCTCCAAGCTTGCCCGTTACCCCTGATCATATTACCGAACCCTTGAGGTTCTGTCGGAGTGATGAGGGGATACAAAGGGTAAACGTCACCGAAGGATTATGTTGGTGCTGGGATTGAGATGGACAGGTCATTGATTTGTAGCGAAGCTCAAAGCACTATCATTGTAACCCCCCTCCCCCCCCCTCTCCCCCCCCCACGAAAGGAAAGATCTCCATTGAGACAAAGATTCCGTGCACTCACGTGATGCATATTCCATTTCAGTTTGCACCTAAATACCTTAAAAAGAGTAGACTCTACTTTCTCTAGACTACCATCACGGACAACCAGATACCAAGAAAATAGTTGATATCCCTCCGCACTTTGAAACCACCGTTCCTAAATCACTATCAACTTCGCCGTTGAACCCGCAGGCGAGGCTGAACGCGGACTAGCTCGAACCCTGAACCACGGTCCGCAGCCTCACCAGTTCCTCGACGACATCTCTCCTGACTTATTAGCTTTGAAACGTCAACGCCGCCGGACCAACACCACTACATCATATACCAGCGCAACTCAAATTCTTAGAGTACAATTACCAATACACTGCGAAGTTGATCAATCCATATCTTGACCATGAACAAATTACCAGCGGAGATCCTGGATGCGATCCTGCTTTGGGTAGTCCGAATATGCAGATGCGAGAAGAATGTTATACTCCCTTTGCGCCAGATCTGCAAGGCTTTCGACGTAGCATTGAAGCCATACGCTTTCAAATGTATACAGCTGGAGTTCTCGAGGTTCATGAAGTTCAGGACCGATCCTAGGGAATTGGATCTCAAGGCTTTGAAAGATGTGGGGAAGCTTTCCGAGTCTCTGTACTTGGACTTGATGGTGGTGAGAGATGAAGGTGTGTTACGAGCTTCATTTGGATAGTCTTTCCTAGGCTGGAGTGACTTCTAGTGGATTACAGGACTTGCGTGCAATCGCTGCCTTCACGAGATGCAGAATGGTCACTGATAACTTCCGCAGAGGAAATTGAGCGTTTGACGACGGTTTTTCAGAGCCTCATACCACGAGTCCCGGAGATGACACCTCTTCTCGATTCTCTCCACAAATATTGCATGTCGGAAACAACGTTTGACGAGATGGATTACAGGCTGCTGGTGGAGGTTTGTGGACGATAGGTACAATGGAATGAGCTCTGGCTGACAGAATGGCAGAGTGTGCTTTTTAATACCCCAAATATGACACGACTCAAGCTGAATCTGCCTTTCCAAGTTGTTGGCCAGCAAAGTCGGACTGCGACCCTCCTCCTCGCTACGACTGTGGCAGCTTTAGCATCGAGGCCAGAAGGATCTAAATGCGTGGAGCATCTCGTTCTGGATCACGTCAGCGATACAACTTTAATCGACATATGCAACAACCCACTCGATATCACAAATACAATGGAGGTGTTTAAGGGCTTGAAGCATCTCATATTGTCCATTAAGAGACAAGAGTCCCGTTACACTCGACAGAGTACATTCGCTCAGAACCTGTGGCACCTCATCGAGAAAGCTACCGATCTTCGAAGCTTATGTTTGATAGGGTGGAATGTCAAGAGGACTACCGATAGTAGAGTACATGTTCATGGGGTTCAACAATCAGTGTGGAACATGCGATCTCTACCATTTGCAAGAGAAAATCTTGCCGAGAAACTGTTGTCACTCAGAAGCTTGGAGTTAAAGCGAGTGGACATGGATCCCCACGCATTCTTCGACCTACTTTCGCAGATATCGAAAACACTGAAAGAATTATATCTTTTTGAAGTTTACTTGAAGGTTCGGAGCAGGCAAACAGGCAACACCTCCTTGTGGATCGGCTATCCAGGTATTCCAAAACCAAGTGACTGCTGTTGGTTGGCAGAAGAGTTATACAGACTTGATACTCTGAACCTGGACATCCTTCGCGTTAGTGGCATAGGCTATGATGATTTCGAGCCTCCACTTGATAACGGACCGCCAGAATACGATCTCAAGGATCCATCTGACCGTGACCGGTCATTTGATGAGCGATTTGTTCAAGCCGTAATGAAGGGTCCAGATCCGATTATCATGCAGACCATCAACAGTCTCAGCGAAGATCCTCCTATCTGGCCCCCCATTGTATCTTCTTCCATGGCCTCGCCTTATAGTTCTAGACCAGCTTCAAGCTGTTCGGCATCATCAGCTACCGGTCCACACGCCACCTTGACTTCCAAGGACAGAGAGGCTAAGAGAAAGGAGCGTCAACGATTATATCATAAGATGAAGGCCTATGACGCAGAAACCTTTCAACGAACCCACAATACGACTTCATGGTTCAAACGCTGCGTGGATGGGTACTTCTTCAATCATAATGAACAGGCGTTGAAAGAGCTGCAGAATATTATCACCGTTGCGGATCGAGGCATGACTCTTTTGCAAAACGAAATGGATAGAGCAAGGGATGAGCATAGGCATCTTGGTGGAGTACCACCAGATCAGACTCCAGCTCCTGATGGAGGACGTTCAGCAAATGCGGTACCTACAGGCGTATCGATTGGGACACAAACAGCAGGGCCAGGGAATGGGGTAGGAGGAACAGGTGCCGCAACTTAGCCACCTGCACTTCTCTTACCCTATAAGCTGACCTGTTTCTTAGACCCTATAACAGTAACAAGGTTCTGGGCTCAGAACTACGCGACACAGTGGCGGGCGGTTAACATTCGCGCCCATCGATACGCCACGGTCCGCTACCATGCATTGATGGGACTGTCAAACAACTCCTGCCCTTGTCAGGGCTTTTCATATATTGGCTTCAAGATCACTTCGAGGGACATATGGGATATGGCTTGTGAGTGGATGGATGAGGTGCTCGAGCGGTTTTCGCGATCGAGGGAGCTGGCGGAGTGGATGTCGAGGGCATGATGGGCTCTTCCCTCCTTACGGGTTGCTGGTGTCTCCATTACGGAGGTACTTCTTCCCGGTCATCGAAGGGCTGACATTGTAGCGTGGGTGGGATATGAAATTCATGACCTGGCGATGAGAAAACATCCCGACTTGCCTTTCGAGCAGGCAAGAAGTCTAACCTAAGGAAGCAGCGGTCAGCGAGGGTATTCAAGAATATATTTCACTCTTTGGAAACATCCTTAACGGGCCACGGGTGTGTAGATTGAATTAAGCAGGAGAAAACGAGACGCCGGGAGAGAGAAACAAGTGGCAAATACCCATTTTTATTTTCAAATTTCCAGATTTCGAGATATTCTCCCCTCATCAAACAGCAATTTCTAACGCTGATCCCTTCCCGGATTCCTTCCAAGTGGATATACTTTCCTTCTCCCCTTCTCAATCTTTGCCTCACCGCCTCCACTCTTTTTTCATTTTGCCCTCGCTTCCCGCGTAAATCGCGGGCGGGGGTAAAAACAACTGCCTTAACGACACTATCAATCCAGGTACGGGATCTTCGTCTGCCGTTTTCTTCCAGATGAATTGCATGTACCTGCTTGCGGGTGCGGATTCAGCTGTGCCGAGTTTCCGAGTCGAGGATGAAGTCATCTTGGGGTTCTGGAAGGTCCTCTCCTGTGTTGTGTTGGGTGCGGGGCAAGTTGCTGAGCCGTGTTAAGAATGATTTGTTTGATGATGTTTTTGAGAGAGGGTAGGTGTGACGAGGAGGAGCAGGAGGAGGAGGAGGGAGAGGACGACGGTGGTGAGTCAAGGTGAGGAGACGGAGGTCTGATAATTGCCAGAACTGGAGCGCAGGCAAAAGATTTTTTTTTTGGAGCTGGGAGTGGGGTATATATACTTTGCCCATCCCAAACCCATCTTTCATCAAACCTTACCCAGACTCCTCCGTCATCATGACCCTCCTCACCACAACCCTCTTCCTCTCCCTCCTCCTCCCCACACCAATCCTCTCCCAAAACTCCTCCCAACCCAACATCATAACCTCTCCCTCCCACTTCTTCAACCTCTCACCCCCCATCCCAGCCGCGCCGCTCCCCACAGGCAGCACCCCCTCCTGGATCCAATCCTACTCCCGCGCCACAACCTTCATCTCGAACCTCACCCTCGAAGAAAAAAACAACCTAACCTTCGGCCAAGAAAGCACCAGCAGCGGGTGCGTAGGCTGGATTAATAGCATCGAGAGATTGGGCTTCAAGGGATTGTGTTTGCAGGATGCTGGGAATGGGGTTAGGGCTGCGGATGGGGTGAGTGGGTGGAGTTCGGGGGTGGGGGTTGGTGCTTCGTTCGTTTTTTTGCTTTCTCTTCCCCCTCCTTCTTCCTTCCTCCTTTGTCGACGAGTAGAATGAAGCTAACAGGTAGATACATGCAGGTGGAATAAAGAAATAGCCTACCAAAGAGCTTTACACATGGGCGCCGAGTTCCGTGCAAAAGGCGTTAATGTAGCACTAGGTCCCGTGGTGGGACCGCTTGGGAAGATCGCTAAAGGAGGTAGGAATTGGGAGGGTTTTAGTAATGATCCGTACTTGGCGGGGGGGCTGGCGGCGGAGACGGTGAAGGGTGTGCAGGAGGCGGGTGTGGTGAGTTGTGTTAAGCATTTTATTGGGAATGAACAAGGTACGTATTATCTCGCTGCTTTGGACTGGAAATTCTAACAAGATTTCCATAATAGAGACAAACAGAATTCCAGGATACAACAATCAGAGTCAAAGAGTAGAAGCAGTATCGTCTAACATCAACGATAAACTCCTCCATGAAATGTATCTCTGGCCCTTCGTCGACGCTATCCATGCCGGAGCGGGGAGTGTGATGTGTTCGTACAACCGCGTTAATAACTCCTATTCCTGCCAGAATAGCAAACTTCTAAACGGGATCCTGAAAACCGAGCTCGGGTTCCAAGGCTTCGTCGTTAGTGATTGGGGCGCCCTGCATGCGGGATATGTGGCTGCGCAGGCGGGCCTTGATATGGTCATGCCAGGCCCTGCGAATTTTTGGGCGGGGAATTTAACGGCGAGTATTGCGAATGGGAGTCTGGCCCAAGAGGTGTTGGATAATATGGCGACCAGGTTGGTATCTCTCTTCCCGAAAACTGTCGGTGTTGAAGATTAATGGGAGGTAATAGGATCATGGCAACATATTACCAATTCTCCCAAGACGAGTCGTCGTTCCCATCACCTGGGATCGATATCCCGAAATCTCTAGCTGCGCCGCATACTTTCGTCAATGCCGTGTCCCCGGATTCGAAACAGATCCTACTTGATTCTGCCATTGAGAGTCATGTTTTGGTTAAAAATCTGAGAGCAGGGAATAATTCCCTGGGATTGCCGCTCAAAACCCCGGAATTGGTGTCAGTGTTTGGATACGATGCCGCTGAACCGCCAATGAACCCCTATATCCCAAATCCCGGGCACGGGGCACAATTCTTGAATTCTACCCTAACAGTAGGTGGTGGCTCGGGGTCTAATAATCCTTCTTACGGTATGTCAATCCCCATTCCCTCCAAAGAGGACCCTCAATACTAACCCCTCCATCAAGTCTCCTCCCCCCTCTCAGCCCTCAACCAACGCGCCTACGAAGACGGTTTCCAACTCCTCTGGGACACAACAAACCTCAACGCCACCGCAGCCGTAAACCCCGCCTCATCAGCCTGCCTCGTGTTCCTGAATGCCTGGGCGACCGAAAGCCACGATCGTCCTGGACTTTATGACGAATTTTCCGATTCCTTAGTGCTGAATGCAGCAAGGCAGTGCAGTAATACTGTAGTGGTGATCCATAATGCGGGGATTAGGATAGTGGATCGCTGGGTGGAGCACGAGAATGTGACTGCGGTGATTTTTGCGCATCTGCCGGGGCAGGATAGTGGCAGGGCGTTGGTGAAGTTGCTTTGGGGAGAGGAGAACCCGAGTGGGAGGTTGCCGTATAGTGTTGCGAGGAATGAGGGTGTGTATTTGGAGCCAGTGCAGCCCGAGGGAGAGTTTGTGTTGTTTCCGCAGGATGATTATAAGGAGGGGTGGGAGGTTGATTATAGGGGGTTTGATGAGAGGGGTGTGGTGCCCAGGTTCGAGTTTGGGTTTGGGTTGAGTTATACTAGTTTTGCGTATAGCAACCTCAGCATAAGTCAAGTTGAGGAAGCGGTCTTGGGCGAGTGGCCAACGGGAGGTGTGAAGGAAGGAGGACAAGAAGATCTTTGGGATGTATTGTTCCGTATCGAAGCTAGTGTGGCAAATACTGGGAGTGTAGATGGAAAGGAGGTAGCGCAGCTCTATGTTGGGATTCCGGGTGGACCGGTGAAGCAACTTAGGGGCTTTGAGAAAGTTAGTGTTGAGGTGGGTGAAAGCGTCACGGTGGGCTTTGACGTGACGAGGAGGGATTTGAGTGTTTGGGACGTTGTGGAGCAGAAGTGGAGATTGCAGAGGGGAGAGTATGAGGTTTTTGTTGGGCGTAGTTCAAGGGATCTGCCGCTTGTGGGGAATTTGACGGTCTAGGACTGGGGTTTTGGGCAAGGAGGCTCTGTTCTTGGCTGGTGAGGTTATGGAAAGGTACTGGAAGCACTGGGCCAGCGAGCCTCTTGTCATTGTGAGCCAGCCATATCAGGTAACTTTTTCAAATCAATGAGGAGAAAATTGATTCATTCTGCATAAAGCGATACTATCTCTGCCCTACCAAGGTCTAAGATAGAACCTGTTAGTCGGATACGGTAAGACCGTCTCAATGGCTCCCAAAATAGAAGAATGAGCGCTGGAAATTTTTGAAAGTCTCGGATACTTTCTACCGCTTCGTTGCACTAGAAGATATCTTTGAATTCCTCTGCGCCTTTGTATAGCTTGAAGACTGCTACTCCAAAAGCAGTATTTGTATCTATGAAGTATAGCCCCTTGTGATATCCCAAATCTGTGACAGCACGGTTCAAAGGACAGTCGTTGACGAAGCGTGTAAGACTCTCTTAGAATCTGAGTATAAGCAGGTGGAAGAGACAGAGGTGGTATTAGAGGGCAGATATGGTTTTCTGGCTCGTTCACGACCCATGACTGCGTTGAGCAAGGCAGCACTTATCAGAATCCAGCTGTGAAAATCCAAAGTTAGCAAAGAACTCGTGTAAACGTCTGTGGGGATATATTTCTTAGGCTCTGAGACTTACGCCAATACTTTCCCCAGCCCTTCTTCATTGCCATTAATTAGATATGTGGACTCTTCCTTCCATCCCGGAATACTTGTGGATCGGATTCCAAGAAATCATCTAGAGTCTGTACTTCTTCCATGCATTCACATTGCACCAGCCACACAGCCAATTGAACATGTTTCGCCGACCATCGCTTCGTTGCTATTTCCAAATTATGCTGATCGATATCCAAGTATAACCCTTCTCTGGGAACAAACCCAACTTCCAGCATATTGTCTTGATCAGCCGCAAGCTCTGGGAGTATGTGTCTCTTTGTCTTGCGCAGTACAATTTTTTGAATGGTATGCACGCCGCGAAACTGTGCTATCGCTCTGCGCACCAGGTTAAATGAAATATTCCTATAGTGGCCGTCTTGGTACCCGTCTTCGTAAGGGCAGACCGCCAGCTTTCTGATGTTCAATGCCCAACTGGGCATTGTCTTGCTGGCATAATCATTGTCGAATAGAATGATCTTGACCACCTTCTCCACGTTCTCAAAGCAAATTGTATCTCCCGGACCGAAGCCAATCGAATGGCTCTGAATAGCGCTCAGTATGGGTAATCTGTAGGGGTATCTGCCTAAAGCTACTTCATACGCTTCTCTAGATACTACTCGGAGGGGAGGTGGAGACGGAGATAGACGGCTGAATTTCAGACTCTGCTTTGAGCCTTTGTCGCGATGCGCCCTGACGACAATGAATTCTTCCTCAGGAAGTGTCATCTCCCAAATCTTGATTCGTAACTCTGGTGGAAGCCTAACAAATGGCGAGAATGTGGCATGCTTTGGCTCTCGGGCCGTAGGTGACAGAGCGGAAGAGGCTTCGCGGGGTTCCCGTTGCTTGCGCGACTTGCGCTTCGACTTGGGGTGGGACGGCATGGCTATTTTCGGAAGACTGATTATATTTGAAATCAAGTTTGCACTGTTCGAGAATACTATCTCATCAGTATTCAAGCTAAGTATATTTGAAGAGTGTCTGAGCACTTACCAGTGTTGATCGTGAATAGTCGAAGGATGGGCTGAAGACGTTGCGATATTTGTTGCCTCAAGACTTCCGGTTCCGGTTTCTCTTTTGTAGCCTTTCTTTAGCGAAAACAACTTAGGAGAAGCATGAGGTTGTTAGCGTGTCAAATTAGCGCCAATTCACTTGCGTGCTTTTCGATCCCTCAATTTTACTTACTTACTTGTAGATAGGTGGGTAACACTAAGCCGATTTTTTCTGCCCTCGTCTTCAATAGCACAAGTCAATTCTTGAATTCTGCATCTGTCCATATCAATCACAATGGCTCAAAATGCAGCAAGGTCTCACTCAGAGATCTTGCAACGCGACGTTGCGACCATAAAGAATCTTGAGGCTGCGAGAGCTTGCAAGTGCGCCAAGTTCCTTCCGTTCAGATGTCTTCCAGTAGAGTTACGACTCAAAATCTGGAAGGCCGCTCTTCCAGACCCACAGATCATCCGAATTGGATTCAACGCTGCGGTTGATCATGAGGACATGTTCAGGGAAGATGGTGAGTCTCTGAATCATTTCTCCAAGGTCGCGCTTTAAAGTTCACGGAAAATATAGTGATCAGCTTTTACCTTAGATCCTACACCCATGTCGAAAACCGTGCCGTTACCTTACTCGCCTGTCGTGAATCTCGTCAGGTCGCGCTGGAGTCCCTTTGCGGATCAATACCCGTCGAAATCATCTCGGATCAAATCCATTTCCACCGTCGTACACACGACTTGGACGAGCCTCCGCCATACGCTCGCAGAAAGATTCGTTTTGACCCGGCCAGAGATGCCATCTTTTTTCCGGATTTTAATATCCTGAATCGTGTTTCAGACATATTTTACGGTGAACAACTACGGGCAGCTTTCAAGGACATAAAAAAACTTGTTATTCCGGTATCTAGTCTCAAGAGATTCATGAAAGACCAATCGTATCATTCAGCATCAGGTCAGAGCTTTGAGAACCTACAGGAAGTCTTTGCTGTGATGGATCGTGTCACAGGCAAGAGATCCTATGAGCTTGTGGAATTGACAGAAGGTAAGCAGATATGCGGATCAACTTGACATTGCATACAATCAACGTATCGTTGACAAATACTTTTATTTACAGGATCCGATCCACTTCGGCCGACAAAAATCTCAATTACCGGTGGCGACACCAGTGCTTCCGCTAGCGATCCAGCACGAGATTTCATGCTTCCATACTATGATGTCGCTGCACAGATCATATCGGAAGGCTCTACTCTCAACATCACTTTCACGGGCCTCAAGGACAGCAAGATAGAAAATGCGTTTGTCAAACTAGCACCAATTGTCGAGTCTTGCAAACACTGCATTGAAGTAACGGGACCTTTCTTCCGCCGCTTCAGCGAGTTGCCGGAAAAGGTGCGATTGAAGATCTGGGGATATACCATCCCAAGTTCTCAATTCATTCGGGTCAAGGTGTATCGCGTTGGCTCAAAGCAACGTCTTCAATTTCGGCTCAAATCCGACCATGAACCTCTCGCAATTCTAGGAGTTGACAAAGAATCTCGCAAAGTCGCCCTAGACAACTACACTGTGTGTTTGGACTCTGATGGCATTGATCGAAAGATCCGATGCAGTCCAGATGATGTTCTCTACTTCTACAATATCGAGAAATGGTTCAAGTTCCGAGGAAAGATCATTGCGAACCGGCACAGTCGTGCTGTTTGGCAAAGCTTTCGGAACGTCAAGAACCTAGCTATAGACAATTTCACTTTGAAGATGTGCTTGTGTTACAGGATGGCTGCGATGATCAATCAGTTTGAGTCCCTGGAAACTCTACTCCTCATTCGATCAGGCCAACACGCAGAGAAGAGACTTGCAAAGCATCGAAGCACGTTGGTGGATCCAGAAACAAAGTGGTACTTGGGTTGTGATTATTTCAGCGACGTCGACAGAGATCTCAACCGAGTCACCCAGCTTTTCGATCATTTTGTAAAAGCCCGTCAAGACAGTTGGGATGACGAGGAAGAAGGGCTATGGCTGCTATGGCAATGGAATATCCCGAAGGTCAAGATGATGATGCTTGAGGACGGACCAATTATCTGCAACTCGTGTATTGGAAAGGGATGTTCGGGTAGGCGCAGGATGTTTAGCAAGGATTACATAATGGAAGAGGGGCGCTGGTACAATGCAGACGGGTATTATACGGATCATGAGGAATATTCAAGGCCACGAGCTTGGGGATATGGATCGCTTCGTGCATGGTAGCAACAGAACCCGTACTTAATAACAAGAAAATCAAAAAGAGTTACATCTAATATATGAGATGGTGACAGACCTTCAATTCTCAGTTCTCGGGCGGCTAGACTCTCCACAGACGGCAAAACCCTCGGATTGAGTTCTAGAAAATTCCCTCGAGGGATCACAATTTCAAGCAATACTATTCATGCGCTCAATTCCAGAGCTGTTCACTTACGAGATCTCGCCGTTGTCTGTTGTTACTAGGACACTGTATAATTATTTGGAATTAGGGCTCATCTCTATGGCACTGTACTTTTTGGAGTGTCATGCATTTGCATGTTCGCGACCGATATGGTCCACTTGTTGTGTGGACTGTGAAGAGACTTCATCAATGATAGAGTCGAAACTAAGTTGGAACGAGCAACTCAAACATTTCAATTCATTATTGATGGCGATCAATGACAACTCTATTACGATGAAAACTGTCCCTAACATTCTGAGCTAGATCAAAAAGGTGAAGAAAGTGCGTCACAAGCATATGTTAGTTCTGTTGATGTAGTCACGAGGTCTATTTTCCTATATAAAATTGCAAAGGTATTTCTACAGGATTCCGTGCTATACCTGCTAGCTCGGCCAAGTGCAGTTCAGATGTTAATACAACTAGTTCCCTTGAACTATGATGTGACATCCCGCAGCTAAACTTTGGTACCTGGTCCAAAATCAAATTTCCAGACTAGTCTGTTGATCAGTCCATTTCGAAATCCACGCAGCACTTGATGCTATATAATCTTTGATTGTTTCCCTCTTCTGTCCCTTCCTCACCTTACGTTCTACACATACATCACGAACATACACGCCAACAGACAACAATCACGCTAGCACCACTCAACCACACACACTCAACCACATCCAACCACACCCAAAAAAAACAAAAGATGGCACCCATCTTCAACATCACCAACGAGGCTTCCACCGAGAAGTACCTCGCAGCCAACATGCCACTCATCGCCAATGCCATTGTTGAGGCAGTCAAGAACAAGACCTCCAACATCACCGCTTCCACTAGCGAGATGGTTAAGCGAGTCGCCAACAAGGCCACCCACGAAGCCTACTGTGAGTTGAACTTCTGCCACGACAAACCTCCCACGCATCCCGCCAAGAACGTCACCGTTGTTTTCGGCAAATGTGCCGATGACGGCTTCAACCAGTACGGATGCGATGCTTCCGGCAAGCCGTTCAAACACCCAATGATCCGAGCTGTCGCTCCCATCATCGAGGACCTTCTCAAGCGGGCTAGCAAGGCTGCCAATGACATCAAGTGTCAATTCAAGCTGTGCGACGACAACCTCCACCCAAGTAAGTACATCGGAATGCACTCCACTGATGTCTTCGGCAACTGTCCTCAAGATGGAGAGTTCTACCAATTCGGATGCGATGCTTCGGGAAAGCCGTACAAGCATGAGCATCTTGCCGGCAGATCATTGCAAACCGTCCTTGCCGATGAAGCTTTGGCCACCCAACACCACTCCGATGATGGCAAGTCGAACATCACTCAGATGCTCTTCATTCTTCTTGTTGCCGTCGTTGCATTCATTGCCATGTTCATGTTGTATGGCAAGGTCAAGAAGATTTTGGGAGAGCGCAAGGAGCGCAAGGCGGGTCGGGATCTTGCTCAAATGGAGGACGGTATTCCGGAGATGGCCGTCATTGTTGTCGAGGAGGAGGAGTATTCTGACTTCGTTTGAAGGGTCGGAGATGATGATCAGGGAGAAGGATGGTGAAAGATGAATAAGTTTTGTTTTTGTTTTCAACACAACTACCTATGTAACTACTCTCAATCAAGATTGCATCTCCGCCATTCTCTTATTTCCTGGGTTGAATCTGAGACCTGACCCCAACTCCCAAATCCAAGCCTGAACTCATAGGCAAAGAACATTTGTGAATTTTTTTCTTTTTCTTTTGTGTGGTCGTGTTGTGAAGAGTGGTACCGAGCCCCTATTCTTAAACGAGGCTTAGTCATCATATATTGCTTCATCCTGCGCTGTGAGAAGACCTCGAGAAATCTAAATGCTCCATTGGAGTTCCACTGGCAGGGGTATAGCACTGTGGTCTAGTCGCCACTGTGTAGTACAGGAGATCTGGGGCAGAAAGCTGTAGACTCGACGCCATCACCAAAATTTGATCTCTTAGAGTACCAAGGGAAAGGAGATTCTCGATTTATTTGTCTGCACTATTTGAGGTCTATGTACATGCAATACAAGACGGTCCTCCTGAAATCTTACATGAAATCAAGAAGAACATCTACATCTTATGTCCCCCGTCGGACGACTTTGATCTCCACTCCCATCAATGTTGGGTGATGTTTCGCAAAAGAGAAAGGATTTCCGTCTTCGCTCTAAGCCCGTGGAGAGTATCGGGATGTGGAGCCTTCATCCAGCATTTGAGATCTGATGACATTCGTAGTTGGTGACTACTAGAAGCAATGATGTCCTGTGTTGGAAAGATGTTACCTTCTAGCTCACATAGCTGCCATTGAATACCGTTGTCAAGGACACCTCCCAAAACAAGGCTCGATGCTTCCAGCTTGGGGAATATGAGAATTAACGTAGCTAGTATTGGGACAAATATATGTCCGGATGTATAAAGACCCATTATTATAAGATCCCGAACACCGAAAGAGAGGTGCTGAATTGGTGAGTTGGTGTCGACAATAACTGAATTACCGTATTAATTGGACTCTAAAACATCATCTTATGAGCAAATAGGCGTAGTAAGTCCGTTAGGAGACCATGTTTAATTTGAGAAGTAATACGCTATACTTAATTAAATAGTTTGATTTCTGAGATAAATTCATTGCTACACAAAACGGTTATTTTTAAGATTCTTTAACTCCACGACTCTTAGCTTTGCCAATTCCAAAAAAAGCTATGTCTAAATTAGACTTATTATAGGAATAGTAGAGCGAGGAGAGAAGCGGGAAGTTAACATATCTTATATAAGGTTTTCACTTAGAAGAAGTTTCGGGGGACCATGTCTTATATACCCTAATCCCTTATTTCAGAATCATATCATAGAGTCCAATTAATAAGGTATTGGGTAAAGTGTCTTGACACAACGCTTAGCGGCAAACTGCCTGTCTGCGGAACTCGCTAACTGAAGTCCGAGACCTTGTATTTTCTCGCGCGGATAAGTGGGAATATGAAAGACTGACTTCCTCTAAAAGCTGTTAAGGGAACCTTTTCGGGTGGCGGCTTAGATTGATTACCTAGACAAGACCATGTATTATTGAAATACTCTTCTAGTATTATTTGTAGTACTAGCCTACAGCCTGTTTCTCCCTGACCCTTGCATTTCCGTTTTTTCGCAGTGGGCACAGGTCAACAAAGCACATGATCTTTGCTCACAAGTAGTCTAGTCAGATCTTCTAGGGCAACACACTTAGGTAGGTGAATCTCAGAACTTGTTGAACCGTTCTAACCTCTGAAGGACGTTACGCATTCCAGCAGGATTAGCACGTGACTCGTCTTTTTTAATTCCAATTGGGGACGACCTCCTGTGCTGACCCAAGTGTGGCTTTATTAGTCCAAAAGACAATAAACTAGTAACAGAATAGTAAAGTTTACACCTGTTAGCAGCAGAATCTAAACAACCCTGCAAACATGAAGTTAAAAAAATTGCTAAATGGACCGCTTTTTGTTAGTAGCGAAAAATTTGTATCTGGACGGCGCTTATTCTTAGGCCTCTCCAAAGGAAATGTATAAAGCCACTCCTCAATAACTCACATTCTATACATAATACAAATCCATTTTCAACTATAATTCTGCCAAATTCAAACAAATCCACATCATGAAAGATCTAAATTCTCTGCCATCACTTGAGACAAGAAGTAAGTGTACCTGCCTGGGTTCAATGCAAACACCAAGATAGATTGCTAACGCATTAAAGTGTCCGAACTAAATGTAGCAGACACCACCGATGTCAATCATTTCATCCGACAATATCGAGTAGAGGGAAGACTAGAAGACCCAAATTGCTTCCAATTGTTTCCCCACCTTTCTCCAGAACTCCGCATCGTCATCTGGGAACTGGCTTTCGAACAGCATCCTCATATTTCATGCTACGAAATTCTAGCTCCTGCACCCGATGCACCCAATATATGTGCGATCCGTTTCCATAAAGGCTCTATGGATCGTCCCTGTCCGCTACTTGGTGTCTGCACTGAGGCTCGAGATATAGCCCTAGAGAACTACGCTGGATCCATAAGTGCTTGCGAAAGTGCCGATACTGGGATGTCTTCCTTTATCAACTACGGTAAGAAGTGGCACTACGCTTGGTTCGATGAGACCTCTATGCCGCTGCAGCAAGCTCGCGCAGCCTCACGGCAATGCGCTGTCTGCGATGGGATATCGTGCGGCCGCAAGGTGTACTTCATTCCTCAGCAAGCCTTCTACCTGAATCATTCTGAAAGCACAAGTCTTACACATCCCTCATGGAGCAGCCCGTATCTTCCTCGATCGGCTTTCAATGAAAATTCAACTATGTCCTTTTTTGGCGGACTCGACATCGCCATCGAACATTCGACATCTTGTACTCGGATCGGCTTTCTTGGGGGAATTCCTCACCAAAGAAAGAATGAAGGACATCTTTTCTTTGTTTTCAAACTTACAGAGATTCACAATATTCGAGCACACCTTTAGTTACAGCACGGATTTCAGATTGTGGAAGAGGTACAACAGTCGAGAAGGTTCGAAAGAGGATGCGTTGACAGTCTTGAAGTATCGTGACATGCAGTGGTCGTCTGCTGAGACATGGTGGCAACAAACTCCTGGCGTCGAAATGGAGATTCTTGAATTCCTAGGTGTGCATCGACACGCGGTCAAGCCTATCGATATTCTGGAAGAATTCTTTTGTGAGGAATTGCTGGGATAGGCAACCAAGAGCCTGAACCTGCACAGCATATATCCTACTGAAGAATATAATGTGTAACAATAGCTTTTGAATGAAGAAATATTCTACGCCAAACCAAAACTTCACATCAGTGCTCATCGAAACGCAGGAACAAAGGGTAACAGAAGGTGGGATGCATTCGTTTAGGTGAGTGGTGAGCGTTGGAAAGCCTTTGTCTTTGATGCTTATTAATTCATTTAGCCCAGACATTTCGAACCGAATTAGCCGTTGGCAAACGATGTGAGGAGGCGCCGGTGGAGATTGCAGAAAAAGCATCATTTCATCATCGGGATCGCCGGCACCCACCCCAACAAGTTTCTTTCAACCTCGAAACCTCGGTCCTTTCAGGAGCAACATCCTTCTTCTCCCTTGCATCAATTCAAGCACACAAATTTGATTGACTGCGCATGAAATAGAGACACATTTGTCCGAAGCTCTAGCTTTAACATCACGACACAACGGAGGAGAAACGCCGATCGTGGAATCATTCTCTCCATCATTCGCGGAGATTGCTCCGGCCCAGTCCTCCGCTCTCGAATACGATCGTGATGATATCGAGGTTACTAGGCGCATGGATACGACTTCCAAAATGACATCAATCCTTACCCTGCGACGGCCAGCTCGCCTTTTCACGAGAGCACAAGACACCACAGAGCAAGAAAAGGGGAGCAGGTCACGTGCTATGCCCAAGCCAGACCTCCTCCACTTTGACGACCTACCAGAATGGTATCAAGACAATCCTGCTGTCCGCTCAGCATATCGACCAGTCTCCTACTCTTCGGTTCCATGTCTCCATTCTTTGACATACCTTCATAACGAGACGTTGAACATTTATACACATCTGATTCCAGCAATACTTTCTATCTTTGCGCAAATGTACATCCAAGCCTTGATCACTCACCATTTTCCACGAGCTTCGTCGAGAGATCGACTTATATTCGGTGCCAATATCTTGCCTGGAATGGTGACCATGATCCTTTCGACCTGTTACCACACCTTGATGAATCATTCCTTCCCTGTCTCCTCGCTATTTCTTCGAATCGACTACGTCGGGATCTTGACTCTCATACTGGGATCGTTTTTTTCTGGCATTTTCGTTGGCTTCTACTGTGAGCCGGCTCTTCAACGAGTGTACTGGACGATGATCATTGCGCTTAGTGTTGTCACGTCTGTCCTCGTCCTACATCCACAACTCCAAGGACTTCGCTGGCGGTCTCATCGGACAGCAGCTTTCGTCGCTACAGCTCTTTCTGGCTTTGCGCCCATCGGCCATGGGCTCTGGCTTTACGGATGGTCGGAGATGTGGGTGCGGTCTGGCATGCCCTACTGGTTCTTGGAAGGCATTGTGTATGGACTCGGAGCGTTCTTCTTCGCCACTAGATTTCCCGAAAGTGTTTGGCCAGGGAAGTTTGATATTTGGTTCTGCTCGCACCAGATCTTTCATGTCTTGGTCGTTTGTGCGAGTGTGGTCCTTTTGAAGGGTGTTTGGGATGCGTATGCTTGGAATTATCATAATAATCAACAGTGCTTAGCTACGTTCTGAGAGATTCGGAACTTCAGCTGATAGATGTCTGAGTACGCGGAAACTAGAGGAGTGATACGATATACCGTAGTTGTTTACCCAGAGAAACTGCATACTGATTGTCGCTACCTTGAAATAGATGATGAATTTCTATCATCCCATTATTTATTGTCTCTTTCAACTTCGGTGTCCTCAAGTAGCCGGGACATTATAAATGAGGCTGCGACTAGAACCAGATGAAGGTGGAACGATTAAAGCGAGGATAGCCTGACGTAGGTAGGTAGGTTTGTTTACTTCCCTCGCTTCAAGTTCTCCACCTCCAAACCTCCCGACTCGTTCAAGAGCAACCACAACACTTCATAAACACCTTCCGCTCTCGTTCTCCTTTGAAAGTCCATCATTCCAAGTACGTTAAGAAATGGACGATTTGTCGACTCTGGAATGGACTGCAGAGTCTCTCACGCAGTATCTGCACGCGAAGTTTGACCCTGATAACACCATATCCAATGCCGAGAAAGACAGAGGAAAGGGCCACGAGGAGCGTGCGAAACAATTGACAAAAGTTATCCACGTTGCTTTACCTTTCTGGAGAGATTATCGCCGTCTCGTACAACAACTCTTCACCCTATCCAAGGAAGGCGCGTTCGATCGAGTTCGGGCTGCCAAAAACGAGCATGGCAGGAAGGTATATATTGTCCCCAACTTCACCAGACAATGATAATGACTTTTACAGGAGACAAAGTACGTGTCTGAGCTGGGCTACGATCTGATCGGGGTTTTCAAGATCCTGGGCAGGTTCGAAGCTGGCATTGTCCTACGAGTACGTGGTACAATGAAGTCACTCGAAGAATCCATCGATGAGCTGTCAAAGATCAACAGAGGCATTCCTGTCGAGTCTTTGAAGGTCAAAATCCCAACGATGACAAGATCTGGCGGTTTCCTTCATATCGACGAGTCTACCCGTCTGAAATTGGCTGAGGATATCAGAGGAGATGTATTTCAGGATGCTCGTGAGTTTGCCGGATATTCAATGATTAATCTTGAAATTGACTGAAATTTAGAAATCCGCAAAATTATCAAACACATTGTCCTCTGCCAAGACCGACTTTCGCTCGAAGCTACCATTTATAACGTCCTCGAGCAAAGTTTGGGCAATATTGCAAAGGCCAATGGCTCGGTTGGATCCGAAATCGAAGACTGGATCGGCAGCAATCCAATATCCGAGCTATTCAAGGACATTCGCCCCAATGCGGTCAAAGCTACGAACGAGGCAGTTACGTTTATGGTCGGCATGCTCCTTGGTGAAGTGACCGCCGAGGCATACAAGGCAGAGTTGAAAAATTTGGTCAATGGTGTGGTTACCAGGCGGGGGTATCACTATCACGGTAGCAATGGCTATGCGGACAAGAGTGTCGAGATTTTGAAAAGTACCTCTTGGCGTTGAACATTGATAAGCCGAGGAGGACTTTGGTTGAGAGGATAGTACGCAATGGCATGGTTGTTTGCTATATTTGTGGTACAATAGAGATATGGTGATCAGAAGTTCACAGTGCGGCGTGGATATTTGTGGGAGTAGATTGGTATGGAACATCTCCTCTCTTTCAAAAACACATGGAACGATGAAGGGTGAAATGGCATTGAAGGATATAAGACTTCAAAGTGCTCTTTACAAGATATCGACCTTCGAATAATCTTGACCTCGCTATGACATCTCCTCATGAAACTTAGGTACAGCTTGCAACATGTATCGGTCCTGTACATCGGGCATCACATAAATTGACACCGAAAATATTGTGATGGGAATTGAGAACTCTCCTGGCAATGGATCGATACGGTATCCTTCATCGATTGTCATCGAGATGTGTTGCCATTCATCCCGATAGTAGGCCGGGGGTCGAAAAGTCATTCGGGTTTTTTCTACCGTAGCTAAGGGCGTCCCAGCTGGGAATAGTTTTACCGCAATTTCAACACCATCATCTGTTTCACGAGCCCCAATATACAGAACCACTGGCGTAATCTGATTGTGTATGTTCAGAACGGAAGCTACTGTTGTCTTGCTATTCAACATATCAGGCGGCATGAAAACTGTACTTTGATCTGCACTGAGTATAGCGACGCCAGGTGCACCTCGCTCTTGTTCCGATGTTACTCTAATATATCTCACAGTCATACTCGGAAACAGAATGAGGAATGCGTATTTGTAGGTAAACCGCTCTGGCAAGTCCACTTTGTGGTCTCGTGGAAGATAAATTTGAGATGCGGCTCGTGGACGGTTCGTTCGTATGGGAATAATTGTTGGTGGAAATGGCGCTCTGTAGTAAGCTCGCCCCCTTTTCTGTAAGGGCAAACACCACAGCTTTTTGTACCTACAATCCTTACGGAAGACTGGCAGAGTATTGATTGCGCCAAATAAGTATTCTGGATTTCCAGTAGGGATAAGTTCTAGGCTTATCGAAAGCCCAAAGTTTGTCAGGGACACAATAGTACGTGGTGGATTGGTGTCTTTCTCATCATCAAGTACCCCTTCAACACTTGGCACGAACCTCTCGGGGTTGATACCAAAGTTGGAGAAGAGCCTAATTGAGCTCGCAAATATATTGGGATGTCTTCCACCAACATGACGAGACGTTTGAGGCCACTGCCAAGCAAACAATGATTGATCCGTCGATTGTTTGATGATCTCTTCCTGCAACCTCATGAAAGCTTTGCTGCCTTCTCCGTATAGCAAGGGCATATTTATATCGAAAATACCAAGCAAACAGTAGGAAAGATCCTCTTCGCGTGTTGTTTCGCGGCCCTTCATCCACGACATCCTCTCTACAATTGAAGATGACATAACACTTTCAGAGTATAGGATAGCTTTAAGTTCAATGCCAGTTCTATGTGCCAACAATCGTAGTATAAGCCTTTGACGGCTTTTGTGCGAGCGTTCCCAAGGATTCATGACTGTGTCGCATGCATAGCCCTGCCATTCTATTGGCTTCCAATTTTGGGCCAAGAAACGTATGGCCCTTGGTGCAAGTAATTCTTGAAGTGTCCAACCGCGTGTGAACCACCGACTTCCACAGAATGAACTTAAGAATTTTTGCAGCTCCGAGGTTTGATCGTCTGAGAAGGCTTCAGCCCCTTTGAAGCTTATGGAAGACATTCGCCCTTCGAAAACATCGTCCCATCCTCTCTTTCCCATCTCAGCAAGGCCCCTTCCGAAATTGCCAGGGACGTCCTCGACATCAGCTAGATACACGTAACAGATCTGAGAATCACTGTACCATGCGAACATGGAGTTTATTGCTTCAGAGAGCTCAGCACTGCTGGATTTGTCGATACAATTGGTGTCCACCCAAATGTAGGAGAGCCTATCTCCCAGCGCTTGAGCACAAGCAGATTGAATTTTGGCGAATCCTTTCTTCTGAGACGCCTTTTCGAGATCTTGCCAGTCTTGGAAAGTCACCTCCTCATCTCCCCAAGTATGGTACAATATTGCATAAGGTGGAATGTTGTCTCCGACGAAGTATTTGAGCTCGAGGCTTCGCGTATGGATCAACCACATGATTCGTTGGCCCAAAAGACGTCAACCGAAACTGGAAATGATCGATATATGAAGGCAAAGGCGCAGGAAAAGCTCATGGAGATGCGGTAACAAGTCTGTATCGATTTAAAGATGGAATGGAAGGATTTAAGAAAGAGAAAACGTCGTCTTCGATGGTAGGCAACAGGAAGCGGAGGTGAGGCTGTGTTGAAGCTCTCGTCTGGTGGCATGCAGCTGCAGGTGTCCCAATTCGGTCGCGATCGCCCACTTACTCTCACGCCACTTCTTCAAGAACCTAGAAAAAAGCATTTCAATGCTGTCGTTGATCGAAGAAGAAAGGCTTGATTACACGGAGTGATTCCCAACTCCGTCTTAGTCGACTGCTCGAGCATTGCATGTACACCACCTTCTGTGGGTACAGGAGCAAGGGCTTGTCACACAAACATAAAAATAAAGATGTGAGGTAACACGGTTCGAGTGATTGGAGTACAATATAAAGTGGCACCGTCATGAGTAGATTTCTCCTTTCCTCAACCGCCCAACATTGTTTTCCAACCCAAACGCAACATGAGGACCCCGTTCACCCAAATTAGGGTCCACTCCCGTATACTTGAGCTCATCTACATCTAGCAAAGGTCCCAGCTTTAATCGGAGACTCTCATTTTCGGGTTGCATCGGATCAGCTCCAAGTGAAGATCTTCCAGTGAGCGCATCAAGCTCTGAATTCCTCGTCGCAGCTACAATTGCCGAGAAGCTCATTGAATGAGAAACACCATTCAGGAATATCGAGTAGAAGCCAACGAGCGCGGCTATGAACGAGAAGAGCAATGCTAGTCCATAGGACACGAACAGGTAAAATGGATGGTATTGGTATTTGTTGACCGTATTCGAGGTTTGTATCGTCTTGAGGACCGTCTTATTGCCAGTCATCTGTGGCGAACTAAGATAGCTGATGGTGATGTTGTTTGCTAGATCTTGAATGGCAGCTATCAGGGTCTTGTTTCGGCACATCCATGGGGTAGAAGGGAACGTGTTCATGAAGACCACGGTTGAGTTTGGACTCGCATTTGATTCGGCAAGACTTTTGAAGGGACTGTTCACAATGTCGTCACAAGCTGTGAGTCCGGTGGTCATCATATTGGAATCGATAGTTGCCGCATATTCTTGGTTGCCGTACTGATCGGAATCGACGACATTGTCTAGAGAGACGTTTCCTGCTAAAATGGTCCCTATGGCGTAAAGGTGGGGGAGGTAAGGGCTGTACTGGACTTCCTGAGTACCACCCCTATCGACAAATTAGCCTATGTTTGTGATCACGCACTAGAGCTGAGGAGCGTATCCAAAGAAGTGAACCATCTTATCGTTGAAGAGCAAACCCCGAAGAAGGATTCCAACAGCTCGGTTGTTGAGATAGAGGAGGAATTAAGGGGGATTTCAACTTACTCATCTGAATTTTCGCCGCCGGGCTCCAAGTCTGTAATTGTTACATAAGGGGTACTGTAGTTACCCAGGATCTGAATGTTGTTTTGGATGATCTGCTGCATTCCGTCTTTGAAGGAAATTGTAACATCGAATGATGAATTAACCGCATTGCATACAATGCCTTGAGTGGATGTTTGAACCCAAATTTGGGGCATGATGTAGGCATCATAGACTCCATACTCAAGGATTCTCGGGATCCAGTCCGAATTCGGGGCGCCGATGCCAAACCATGTACTCCAAACCGACCAAAGCAGACGATTAGCAGTATTGGCGCTATAGTCCTTGTTTGTGATTTTGGTGTAGGTGAATAGATTATCCTGTTGTGCCATTGTTCCAGTGACATTGTCAAAGACAACTTGCTCAGTGCTGTTGGCAACGGCGCACTGAAGAGAAGGGCCGAAGAACTGTAGGTCGTACGACCATTCTGTAGCGTTCACAGGCGCAGGAAGAGGAACGACATTGATGTCGTTTGCTGCTCGTACAGCCACGGTGTTTGGGGCCAATGTCTCTATCCATCTCGTCGTTTCTCCGCTCCATATAGCCAAAGACCAATCGAGTGTTGCTACAGAAGCAGTACCTGTGATGTTCTGGGCAACAACAGTCAACGTAGCGGAGGGTGCTACACTCGCCAGACCTAGTAACCTAAAACTATGTAAATGATCGTACCAATCTCTCTTGAGCAATGTTTCCTACCAGACAATAAGTCCCAAGAACAGCGCAATCTTTGCGCTTTTCATAAGTTCCCAATAGAATAGCCCCAAAGGATCGGTTGACAACGAAAATAATCTGTCCAAGCTTGCTAAACCAAATAGTTAGTAGGACAGGCGATGCTCTATGTAATAATACACTTACACATGGTGAGGGGTTGTCTCTTTACAACAGTCCAGATGTACTGGCCAAGCGAGGTCATCGTGGCCGCTTTGAGGAAAGAAGTCACAAGAAAGGCGAGACCGGTTCCAATTCTAGTTGGCCACGCCTGTCTTGATGCATCGCCAGTGACTTGGTTATTCATCCAACTGTAGTAAAAGTGGTGGCCCAACGATAGTCCCAGGCCTAGAAGGAGCATTGAGACTATGAAGGTAGGTTTGCGCCAGTGGATGCCCCATTTCGTGGGTTTCTGTCTAGGTATGGATGCTTTCTCGCCATTGCTGTGGTAGCCCGATACGACTCTCGACTCTGGGACTTCATCATGGCTGCCTGGCGCATGCAAGAAGGACGAAGTATATGAAGGTTCTGAAACTTCGCTGATATGAGAGCTGATGGCTGGCTTGACGGGAAGTGGTTCGTAGATGGGAGACCCGCCCACAGGTTTCCGTCGAAATTGCTGAGCCATGATCATCGCCGATGGTCCAGAAGAATGGAGGGGCATTCACGAAACTTATTGAATTCTCAGGTGAATACTGCGGTGTGGCGGTGCTGACCTGCTAGCAGTCTCGGGATGTTTGGCCCCCAAATACATGGGTTCCACACACAAGAATAGCCCAAAGAGCATTGATTCGCTCTCGCTCATGCCACTTGTTCCTCCCGGAAGCTTAGTGCAAGGAAAATGGGGAGACTTCGCTCGGTCGCATCCAAGGGCCAATGAAACTCGATCTGTCGACTAGGATCAAGGGCAAGGTTTTGGGACCAGGATTCTACTATACCCTCCCATGTTTAATTCAATATTCCGTGCACTTTGCCACCATAATTCCACTTCAAAAGCATGCTATTATCACCCAATTGCAAGGGTTCTAAATACAGATTCTCAACACCAAAATGAAGATATATTTAATTAATATTTGGTTAGGCCGCCATTTGCATCAATGACTGCTTGACATCTCCTCCACCATGAATCATATAGACTCTCAATGAATTCATCAGGCACTGCATTCCATGCCTCAAGTACAATCCTCCTCAACTCAAGTATCGTGACTTTTGCAGCATCATAATATGCTTGCCAATAGTTGTACTACAGAAGAGAGGAATCCTCACCAAAAAAGAGGGTAGGTAAGAGGTGGCAAGATCACCTGGTTCTGACCAATGAGGTGACAAATAAGGTGCTTTCAAAAGTGGAATTATGGTGGCAAAGTGCACGGAATATTGAATTAAACATGGGAGGGTATAGTAGCCCTATCGATGCTTCTTCAGCCGAGGCAGATTCTGTTCTAACTACTTCTCGATTTCCAAGTTCAGTGGAGAGTGGATAAATTGCAATGGTAAAACCAAAGAGTACTATCTTCAGACATGTAAGAAAGAGGTGCTACACTTACCCACAATTCAGATGGTGCAATGACCACGCTTAATCTTCCCAACAACTCCCTTCATTGTAACCCTTCTTTCACAAGCTTGGAAATATCCTGCATATTTGAACATGGACCAAGGCGGGCAAGAAAAATGGGAGTTCTTCGGCCTGCAGATTTCTACTTTGTCCTCTCTTGTCATAATTCACTCAAAGTAGGATCTCCACCAGGGAAATAAAACTCTTGCGCTAAATATCCATCTCAGAATGGACTCTCATGCAAAGTACTTCAGATGCTACAACATTCAAGGTTCACTTTCTCAACTCGAAAAGAAGCGAATGCTATCCTCAGTTACCACAAGTAATGTTGAGAAAAGCTCCAGATGTCTGGGATCTCAGGAGCATTTCTGACGCCAATCTATCACTTTTCAAAACTTCCAATGAGGTCTCCATTCTTTCCTCCCATAGGCTACTTGCTTTCAAGACAGGAGGTTTGTCATCGATTTCCGAATACTATCAGTCGGATAATATAATTCTAAGACTAAATAAGAGAGGGTTTTCAAAGGAAAGGGCCGAGTAATATGCCACAGAACTTGAATAGCATAATCTGTGGAGCTTACCATGCCATCAGATGTTTTACTAATCAGTCACATACGATGTTTTCAAACCAGCAATATTCATAATGACTTGTCAAAAGTGAGAATTTGAACTTCATTCATGGCATGGCGTTCAGTCTGCAGAGCTAATGAATATCGTCCTGAGTACATGACGACGCTTCCATCCTCTTCAATTTCCTTGGACACTTTATACAAATTTCCATACGGTGCACTCTGAGCATTTCACCTTGGAACTACAAAGTCGCTAATGATTTCCTATCCTTACTACTCAAATGCACGAACCCTAACAACTCACCCTACCGCCCTATACCTCTTTAAGAAAATCTCTAACCCAGATTTGGTGTCACTGGCCTTACAGAACCGCAGCAAGAACCGCAGATGCTGCGAAGGAAGCAAAGTTAACCGCCGTAAAGCTAGTGGCGACAGTCATCCGCTTGCAGCCACGATGATTATCCCACACACCAATCTTAGCTGGCCCAGAACAAACTCCATCCTTATCCCCAGCGCGGACGGCTCCGAAGACAAAGGTAGCAAAGAGAAAAGCAGTCAGGATGCCATCGGTAGCTACGGTAGGGGTCTTCTTGTGTGGAGCTACGATGTGGTAGATTAGGACCATGATAGCGGCCATGGACTGCGTTGAGGATGAAGTTAGTTTGGCATTATTTGCGAAATGAGGAGTGTGGTGCGGGAAGGGGAAGAAGAGAAGATTGTGCCTACAGATGCGTGGATAACTTTCTCTTCGGAGCTGACGCCAGGATTCAAGATGTTGCGGTCAATGGCGCAAGAGATGAAGACTACCGAGATTGTGGCAAAGATGTGCTGCACCGCGCGGATATATGTGAGCCATGCGGGCGCAGAGGCAGTAATTGTAGATGATGAAGATGTCTGAGAAAACTTCTCGGCGTCCATGTTGCTAGAATTGTGAAGTAATAACGAGGAAATTCGGCTTGAAAATTGAATTCGAATTCCTCAAATTCGTAATGTTAATCGTCGTATTTCTGATGCCCTTGCGGAAATGCAGAAGACTTTATATGTTCTTAACCGGTCTAACATTGCACCATCATTCACACCAAAATGTAGTAGTTGATGGCACGCTGCTGTATTTCCGTATATCCTCGAACCAACACTTCACTGTCTTCCTTGTACTTCGTATGCGAAAATCGAATCTCATTCGTCAACAATCCGGCGAGGCACGATTGAGGTGCGTTCCTGCTGCTGGAATTGTTCTCTAAAGCTCTCACGTCTTGAAGGATCCAATCAGGTATTGAGCACGATTAAGCGGTGCAACTCTTGGCAAAGAAACATTCTCAAAAGCTCTCGATGTCCAATTTGATTGGAACTCTTTGCGATTCGAGGTATGGCACAAGTAGTGTAGATCCTGTTGATTGAAGCACTGACTATGTTCAACATTATATGTATAGGTATGAAGGAAGACCAGAGAAAGGAGGGATTTAGAATAAGGTCAATTCGGGATTCGAATTTTGATTATGGATTGACTTCAACGGTGTGAAAAGTTCATCAAGCAGATACTAATGGAGAAGTAAGAGGGAGTAAAGGTGCAATACATAGCTATCCACTTTGAATGGTGTGACAGATAATCAGACTCGCGGACGTTTGTACTGAGTACTCACACGACTTGTTTCCGGAAACGTTCAACTCTATACGATAATGCGACCGTTGAAACCAAGAGCTCTTCTTCGATAAATACCAGGTATGGTCTAAGCTCATGCGCCAAGTATTGAGAACCATTGAGCGGATTTGCGTATTTTCCAAAGTCTTGTATCTTGATCGATGAGCGTGGGACGTAACATCGATTCTACCCATCTTCAATGGAAATCTTACGAGATCACTCGGATCGACTGTTTGAGCCTCACAGCAACTGTCCTCATCCTCAAGACTTTACTTGATGAGAGACTTATAGCACGCAAGATCATCTTGAAAATATAGGAATAAAACTATAGCCTTGGACTTTATTATGCTAAATCTCACTTGAAAGTTCTACTTTGCTATATTTTCGGCGTTGTCTCATCCAAGGTTGGATTAGTATTGTAGAATTGAGGGCCTGAATTATTTTACATTCTCTCAGTTGCGACAGGATGCCTTACAAAGAAGAGACGGAGTCTGGGCAAAATTCGGGAGGAAACAAACAAATAATGAATGAATCCAGCAACCACAGAAAGAATAACCAGAGAAGAACCCCCGAGTTTGCAACAAGCCAAAGAGTGAATCTAAGAACTACACAAAAAAAAAGCCAAAAAATCAGAACAGACCCCCCATCCCTCAAGTATATAAACCCAAACACCAACCTAACGCTTTTAGGAAATACAGCAAGGTTGCTGGCGAAGAAGTCACAATACTTGTGGACCGACCAGTCTGCAAACATGAACCAGGTACACGTGCGCCCGTGGTTTGGAGGTGTAAGTAGACTTTGGATGAGTGTCTAGTTGTTGAGTGTCTGTCTATGTTGTGAAAGGGATAGTCTGCAAATCTTGACAACAGTAAGCCAATCGTCGACAACACATTTGAGCATGACAACAAATTTTCTATCTTTCAACGGCAAACGGGAAAGCGAGAGTGAATGAATGTCCCTTCACAAGAACACCACTAACCACGGGTGCATTGTGGGTAAAGGCTAGAAATCTAGTTATTGTTCTGAAGAACGGGCTTGTTGTCAGACTTTGTGGGAGTTAGGTGTACTGTTCTACAACCTCACTTTTTGATAGACAAATGTCGGGTGGCGCTTGCTCTTGAGTTTGAATTCACTTCTATTCTCATGTAGAACCTATCTACCCACGCCATGGCAAGGACGCAAATATCAAAACTTCTTTTCCTCTCATCTCCTCAAGCTCCTGAGCCCCTCACAACCACAACACCCTCAACTACAACCCCATCCCTAACCATCTTCTCCCTCACTAACCTATCACCCACCATCCTCCTCGCAACCCAACTATCAAACCTCTCCGGCCTGACCCTCATCATCGTCCCATCCATCTGCAATTCCTCAACCCCCTTTTCCTCTCCAGAGCCGAATCCCCACCACGTGACCCTCGCTTCTCTCAAGCCCTCTGCTTGGAGTAGAGAAGCCGTGTATTCCCATTCTCTCCATTTCCTCTGGTCTTCTTGCTCTTTTAACTTCGTGTCACCTTCTTCATCTCCAGTTCCAGAACTTGCAATCTGGCTCGGAAACCCTACTGCACTCCCCGATGAACTCCAAAGCGTAACATCTAACTTCCACAACCCCGTCAACTCGTCTTTCACAAAGCGACAAAATCTATCCCAGACTTCATCTCTCCGATCATTGCCCCAGGAGTCTTTGCCTACTGCGATCCGTTAGCACTATCCAACAATAAAATGGAACCTTCTCCAGGGACCGAATGCGGAAAACAGAACTCACACCACGACGGAACCTCCCTCGCAACCCTTAACCCCCTCACCCACCCCCTCGCCTCACGACTCCTATCCCCCCAAAACGCCACCGCAGCATCAACACTCGTCTCAAAATCAAACACCACGCCCCTCCCTCCATACAGCACCCACTCCGCCTCCTCCTTTATCTTCTTACACGTTCTCAGAATCTGCGGCTCGATACTCGGGCTCGGGAAATCGGAGCGGAAATTCGCTGTGAGGACTTTATACGTCGTCAATTTTGGAGGAGAGCTGGTGCCGAAGGGATAGAAGGAGGTAGCCGAGTGCAGGGGGACGGTGGATGTGTTGTAGAAATAGCCGTTGTGGGGGATTTGGGTGGTTATTTTGTGGTGGCGGGGTGGAAGGAGGAGGGCGTAGATTTTGAGGCGGAGTTCGAGGGGGAGATTGAAAAAGGGGAAGGGTTTGGTCGTTGTTGAGGGATCATGTGAAGTGGTGGTGGCTGTAAGGCTGAGATTCGTGCCGCTGTCGGAGACGATTTCCGGTTCCTGATCGGCGCGCTTTTCATCCTTCAACCTTTCTTGACTTGCAGACTCCATAACTCCAGCATCAGAATCCGAATGTCCATCATGAGAGGGATAATGGTCAGCATATAAAGGCCACAACTCCGCCACTTCAATATTTTTACAATTACTCATACAGAAACTGGTCCGTGTCTTCCGCTGGTAGAAAACATTGACCTGTAACTGCGGCGGTGACGATAAGATTTCGGCGACGGACGGGTCCTGTTCGTGTTGGGGGCTCCAGCGATGTGGAGCCCGAGGGTTTGGTTGCGGGTCCTGCATTGCGCGCAGGGATCTTGAATTTGATAAGTAATTCGAGATTTTTCTTCGTATGTGGTGAGCTGGGATGCTGCTTGGTGCTGACAGGTGAAGAGCGGTGTGTTCGTGAGTTGATAATTTGTTGACAGGCTATTTGCTTCTTGGGAAAGAGCGATTGTGATTGATTGGGGTTTGATATGGGCCGCTGAAGGCGAGTGCTGAATATGCACAGTAATCTGGAGATGGAACGAACAGCTTCAAATGGGAGGACGATCTATTCTGTAAAGAAGCAGAAATACGGGGAATCCAGCTCTATATACAACGCCATTTCCATTGTGACACAAGCATTCTCAACTAGTCTTATGCGCCAATCTTCTGACCGTGAACTGAGCCGATATATGCAGTAGAAATCCAGACAATCCGACGGGCTTGAACGTCCGCCACGAACACCAGAACCCTGCGTTGAGGCTGAATGCTGACCTTGACCGAACCACGAGATGAGATGACTGTGTCTATTTCCTCCAAACAGAATTCAAGAATCTTGGAAAGCACGCGTAATAGCTTGCAGTCCAATAAGTTCCTCGCGGAGAAAATCCGCGAATCCGGTCTCAATCGAGGCTGAAAATGCGGCAAAGAAAGCCATCGCGCTGCTGTGTGATGGAGGACAATGATGAATCTCCGATTCGATTTCGAGCTTCTTGATTCCCTTCACCGAAAGTAACTGCCAGACCCATTCCAATGGCTCGTATGCGACGCTTTCAAGTGTCTTGAAGTCTTGAACAGAGTATTCTGGCAGACCAGCGTAGCCCAGAGATGGTCGTCCTCCTTCAACAGTCAAATTCAGACTTTCAACTCGCATATACTCTCTCATGAAGTCGCAGACTCCGCTCCATTCACATCGATCGTAATCGCGACTGTAGACTGAACCTTGTTTGACAAGGGATATCTCTTGAATGAAAGGCCTTGTATGTTTCGACAAATCGGAGAAGAAAGGAACAATTGCTTCGATGTCTCTGCCGAAATCGAAGGTTCGGTTGCTATACAGCATGTGCGCAGTCTCGGTGTAGACTTTGCGATTCACGCGCATGATAGAGGTGTGTAACTCGACATCGTTGACAAGAGTGTAGGTTGTCGGGGTGCTTTGGCGCACGAGATCTCGGCCGATAATTCGATAACCAGTGCGCTGATGATGTGGTTGATTCTTGTACGTCTCGGGGTCTTGATTGCGGATTTGGAAGACTCGTTGACTGTTGTCAATGAAGAGTAATTCGTATATCATGAGTCGGATCTCGCTGGGAATTCGCATGAAGGGAGATTCGTCCGCCATTGTGAAGTTGTTGAGCACAAAAAGCCTGCCTACTTGGCAAAGTGCTTCCGTGATATAAACGTCTGTCGCCGTGTTCAAGTCGAGGGAAGCAAGATATATTTGCGGAAAAGGAAAATCCGACTAAGACCATCAAGGTAGTGTCGGGTTTCAGGATTAGTAGACTCTCATTGGTGGCTGGCATGGGAGTATGATCACCCAACAAGATGACAGCACAGAAACATTTTGATTTGAAGAGGGCCGTGATAGGAGTAATCTATCATGGTTCATGGTTGTGGTTGCACGACCCGCCGCGCTGAAGATAAAGAAAAAGTTGACGGCGGTGAAACGAGCGGAACGATGACGCGAAGTTTAGCAAAGGCCAGTTCCCGCAGATATGAGCCGATGCAGGACACATCCGTTGCATGATTCTTCTTTATCATGAGAGAACTTCTTTGAATTGCCGAAAAGGGAATTCTTGAAGAATGAGAGAAAGGGATCATGCTGGTAAGCAAGGCAAAGTTCAACATTGCCGGCAGGAAACCTGCCAATACTGCATATTGCCAGGATTACGGCTTCTGGATTGTTCTTCCGAGAAGCCCTGATGAAACAAAAAATAGAAAGATGGCGCCGAAAGCTAAGAATATTGCGTGTCCGTGGTTGAGAAGTGGTTCGTGAAAAAGAAAGTTCTTCGAGTGTTCCTAACTTTGAGGACATTTCGCTTATGTAATACATCGCGATTGTTTGGCCTTCCACAACCTTCGTGCTCCTCCGAGTTCTCTTCACATCATCAAGAAAACAGTTCAGATGCATGGAGAAATTTTCTCAAACTCATCACTTGACAGCTGCAAGGAACCCGGATCCATGCTCATTGAAGTTTGGCGCTTTCTATTTTTGCGACACAAGGCACAATGTCGGTGTTCTCGCTCACCAGCCATCGCATTTTGAACCAAAACACCAGCCTTTTCAAATTCATAGATCACCAACCTCTTCAGATGCAATTCCCATCGGCGAATCGCATATAATATGCTGCACTGAAGAACCCTGGTAAGTTCTTTCTCCATACTCTGCTCACCTCAAACCACGCAAGTATCTGCTCCTCCCTCTCTATCACTCAATCCTCATCATGCGTCTCAATACCTCCACATCGCTCTTTGTAGCATCGTCGCTCTTTTGCTTGGGATCTTCCCTCCCATTCTTTCCTCGAAGCGTCGCTCTGGAGCCTAGAGCAACATATTCGGTTGTACCTGTGGATGGGGGATCAGCTGCAACAACAGATTCCGCTGGCCAAGGCGAGGTGACAATAGTCAAGACTATCGTCCAAAGTCCAACACCCACAACGCAGACTGTCATTGAGACGGATACTCTCCCTCCTACCACCGACATAATAATATCCACACAAACTGTGGAAGGCTCCAAAACAACTCAGACGGTCGACGTAACTCTCACCCCAAGTGCGACTCCGGTCACAGTCACAGCAACAGAATATTCTGTTATCGATATCAGTGCGCCTACCACAATTGTACTTCCACCAACGGCAACACCAAGTCAGCTCTCCACGGGAGGTTCAAAGACTGCCACTTCCAACACAAACACAATCCCCGAGACTACACCATCGCCCATAAAGTCAACCAGCTCCACAGCAGACTCAACCACTCCTGCCTCTCCACCTTCTTCCTCTACTCTCGAAACTTCGTATACCTCGACCTTCACCACACCGACCTCCCCAGCCTCTGTCTCTGCGGCTTCTTATGACAATGGTCAATGGCATACCACCTATCCCACTTGGTCGAATGGGACTGCCACCCTCAGAACAGCTGCTACACCTCTCCAGACAACGCCTCCATTTTCCAGAGACCTTTCAGGATCAGAGGAATCTGGAGTCCTCACCGCTGTCCTTCGATTCTTCCGCAGATTTTCTTCTGGTATTCTATAGGGGCTATGGAGGAATATACGGCAGAGGATGAGATGAAAGACTTGGGCCTGCATGCGGGAACAGTAATTAGATATTTCTTTTTTGTACTAACTTGACTGTACTTTGAGGATAGCATAGGAGGCGCTCCAAGTGCTGGACGCTTATCTGCATGGAAATGGCGTTGATGATAATACGACAGGAAAGTCAAATGCATAAACATAATTAGTAATGGATAGATAATAATGAGAATGAAAGATGAATACCAACCAATTTCCAGAACTCATTCAAAGTGTTTTTAAACTTCCATCCTGGTTTGGAACCTTGCAGCCTTCTAAGCCTTCCCAACTACGCGGCCGATCGTGACGGCGACCGTAGACGAGCTTCAGTTCCATCAACACCTGTGCATCCACCTTTCTTAAATCCACGTCCAACATCGTCAATGACAGCTGTCTAAGCTTCGCAGGCCATTGTGCGGTATTCTGAAATCATACAATCGCCATGGCCACTCCACCGGCAGTGGAAGATCAAGCTCGATTGCTTGAAGATGCCCTCACGGTGGTAAGGCAGCAGACGCATCTCATGCGCAAATGCTTGGAAACACCTGGCAAGCTTATGGATGCTCTGAAATGCAGGTATGACGGTCTCTGGGAAACTCGCGTCTTTCTTTATTCATGCGCATGCCGTGCGCCTTTGTGATCTCGTGCTGATGATGCCAATAGCTCGACATTAGTATCGGAGCTGCGGACAAGCAGTCTTGGACCAAAACAATACTATGAGCTCTACATGGCCGTCTTTGATGCTCTGCGACATCTTTCCTCCTACCTCAAAGACTCACATCCTGTCAATCACCTTGCCGATCTATACGAGCTCGTCCAGTATGCCGGCAATATTATACCTAGATTATACCTGATGATCACCGTTGGAACTGTGTACATGTCAATCGAAGATGCGCCGGTCAAGGAGATCATGAAGGATATGATGGAGATGAGTAGGGGTGTTCAACATCCAATTCGAGGTCTATTCCTACGATACTACCTTTCCGGCCAGGCGAGGGAGAATCTGCCCATGGGCAATGGTGACGGACCAGAAGGGAATCTCCAGGACTCGATAAGCTTCACCTTGACGAACTTTGTGGAAATGAACAAGCTGTGGGTTCGATTACAGCACCAAGGTCACTCGAGAGAAAGAGAAATGCGGACACAGGAGCGCAAGGAGCTTCAATTACTGGTTGGAAATAACCTGGTTCGGTTGAGTCAACTGGTGGATCTGGAAACTTACAAGAATGTCATTCTACAACCACTTCTGGAGCAGGTCGTACAGTGTCGTGATGTTCTGGCGCAGGAATACCTTTTGGAAGTCATCACGCAAGTCTTTCCGGACGAATACCACCTACACACTCTGGATCAGTTCCTGGCTGCCGTCTCCAGGCTCAACCCGCACGTTAACGTCAAAGTCATCGTTATTGCGTTGATGGACAGGCTCTCTTCGTATGCTGCGAGAGAATCAGAAGGTCAACCAAAAGAGGACCGAGAGAAATTGGAACAAGAGGCGATTACAAAATTGATGGAAAGAGTAAAATTCAACCAAGAGAAGAAAGCTGCAGAACCCGCTCCAGCACAAAATGGCGAGCAACCTGCAGCAACCAATGGAGATGCTCCCAAAGAAGCGGAAGAACCCGCAAAACCAGAAGCGGAATCTGAACCAGCTCCTGAAGCTACAAGTAGCACAGACGGAGCAGATAGCAGCAAGACTAGTATCCCCGAAGACATCAAGTTGTACGAGATCTTTTTCGAGCAAGTGATGAATTTGGTCAACGCTCAGCATTTACCAATACAAGACACTACCGCCTTACTGGTTTCACTGGCCAATCTTGCAATCAACATCTATCCAGATCGCCTCGACTATGTTGACCAGGTCTTGGATTATGCAAATCAGAAAGTTAAACAACACGCCAACAGTGCAGATCTTCACTCTCCGGAATCCCAAACTAATATCCTCAATCTTCTCCTGGCACCAATGAAGTCTTACGTTTCGCTCTTCACAGCTCTCTCGCTTCCAACCTACATTCCATTACTCCACTCGCAAACGTATCCAACACGCAGAGCTGTTGCTGGAGAGGTAGCACGGAATCTCTTGCGGAATCTTACCAAGATCTCAGTTCTATCCCAGCTCGAAGGCGTGCTTGAGATCTTGAAAGTCTTGATCAAAGAAGGCACACAGCAGCCGGCTGGATATCCTGGAGTCCAACAACGCAAAGCTCTCGAGACCGATGAGACAGTCGAAGAACAAGGATGGCTTGCTCGGATAGTTCATCTGATTCACAGTGACGATAACGATACTCAGTTCAAGCTCCTGCAAATGACAAGGAAAGCGTATGCTGAAGGCAATGAGCGTGTAAAATTCACAACACCAGCTCTTATAACTTCAGCGATGAAGCTAGCACGGAGGTACAAAACAAGAGAGCACTATGACGATAACTGGGAGTCACAATCATCGACACTGTACAAGTTCATGCACTCCAGTCTGTCGGCACTATACACCCGTGTCCCGGCATCAGCCGAGCTTTGCCTTCGACTTTTCGTGGCATGTGGTCAGATAGCTGACCAGGCTGGCGCCGAAGAAGTCAGCTATGAATTCTTCGCCCAAGCATTTACCATTTACGAAGAAGCAATTAGCGACTCGAGAGCACAATTCCAAGCCGTCTGTGTAATCGCTGGTGCTTTACACGAGACACGGAACTTTGGAAAGGAGAATTACGACACTCTCATCACGAAATGTGCCCTTCATGGCAGTAAGCTGCTCAAGAAGCCAGATCAATGTCGAGCAGTGTACTTGGCATCCCATCTTTGGTGGGCTGTTCCAATTGCGGCCAAGGGTGAGACAGAAGAGACGAAGGATGTGAGTAAACATGACTTTGAATTGAGGCATTGTACTAACATGGACAGTTATACCGAGATGGCAAGAGAGTTCTCGAATGTCTTCAGCGAGCTCTCCGTGTGGCTGATGCCTGCATGGATACTGCAGTTTCAGTTGAGCTTTTCGTTGAAATCTTGAACCGCTATGTCTACTATTTTGATCAGCAAAATGAAGCTGTAAGTCCTCTCACACCTTAATAATGTGATTAGTGCTAATCAGATAGGTCACAACGAAATACCTGAATGGTCTAATTGAGCTCATTCATTCAAATCTGCAAACCAACCAAGAGTCTGCCACGATCGATATGCCGAAACGTCACTTCCAGCGTACAATAGAATACATTGCTTCAAGGGAATACGAAGGCGTCGTGACAAGTGCAGCAAAGTAGAAGTCAGGATATGGCTAGAGACAAGCAAGGGTGACGAGGGTGAGGGGCCAGGTTCTTGTAAGATGTTATTGGAGGCTTGGTGATTGAGGAAAATGCTGGATGTATTTTGAGCCAGCATCGCACATCTGCAGTATGTGCTCGCAAGCAATATGGCGTCTTTTGCAGCATAGCATCATTGACTGCCTACCTGCCTCCTTGGCACGCTATATGTAATATTCGATGAGCAATGAGGAGCTTGGAGATGAATCACATGACCTTTCCGGATGCTTGGATTTCGGAGCTTGAGCAGTTTTCTATTGTGACTCGAGAATGAATGTCTCAGATATATACATTGTTTTAAATTCCGAGATAAATATAATTGCAGAGAATTTGTGCCTCGCTCAGACATTATCTCTCCCCAAGTGTTTTATCAGCAACTTCCAAGCCTCGCAGCCGAGACGCGAGGCCCTTCAGCTGATCCAGCAAGACCAACACCTCCTCAACATCCCATCCCATCCTCCGCCATCAATCGCATTCCATTTGTACGATAAGCCCGTCTTGCGCGAAATTATGCAGTGCGATATACAACAGCTGGACTGAAGCATTTTACTGAGCCGCAATCGCAATAAACTCATGATACGATGCCGGACGAGAAACCCAACAAATACATCCCGCTCTCAATCCCCTCCTACGAAGAAGCCACCGGCTCCTCATCGCGGACGTCGACGCCTTCGCGCGCCGCGGAGGAGAGAGAGGGTCTCCTAGGTGTACCTGGGGGACGGATACCAGTTCCTACAAGGCGGCAGGGCTATCGACCTCCGCCGACGGAGGGCAGCGATGATGAGGAGGAGCAGGACACGTTTCTAGGGCAGGATGAGCATAATGGGCGGAGTAGCGAGGAGGTCGAGGAGGGCGAGGTGAGGAGGGAGATGTTGGAGTTGGAGATTGAGGATCCGGGGCAGAGTGCGAATGGGAATGGGAGGAGTCTGTGGGGGAAACGGATCTCGAGCCTGAGTCAGAGTTTGGGGTTGGGTAGGAGGTGGAATTGGAGGTGGAGGCCTAGGATACCGGATTCGATGCGTGGCAGATTCTCGAGGGTTAGGACGGCGGAGGAGGGAGAAGGTGAAGATGGGGAGGGAACAGCTACGAGAACGAGGTGGAAGTGTGGGTGGCCGGTCATCGATGCGGGGTTCTGTATCGTGCTGGGACGGTGCTTTGCGATCTTGATGGTGATGGCGATCGTGTATGTGATCTTCATGTCGGATCTGTTTACGTCTGCAGCGCAGCGGATGGCGGGGCAGATGTTCGATCCCGAGAGCGTGAGGGTGCATGTTCAGGGCATGGCGGACGAGAACCGGATACGCGAGTACTTGAAGATTATTACGGAGAACGACCACTTGGCGGGTACGGAGGGAGACTTTGTACTCGCGGAGTACGTGCAGGATTTCTTCAGGGCGAATTTCTTGGAGGATGTTAAGATGGAGCAATTCGATGTCTATCTGAATTATCCCAAGGTTGGAGGGCGCAAAGTCGAACTTCTGGATTCGGAAGGGAAAGTTACTTGGAGCGCGAAGATTGATGAGGATCACATATACCCGGACAAGCAACAAACGCCTGTTTTCCATGGACATTCGAAGAGTGGCGATGTTACGGGGCCGCTTATATTTGCGAATTATGGTTCGAGAGAGGATTACAAGAGGTTGTACGATAGCGGCATTGATACCCATGGAGCGATTGCGTTGGTCAGATATTATGGTACCCAAGGAGACAGAGCGCTGAAGGTTAAGGCTGCCGAGCCATGGGGTTTCAAGGGAGTGATCATCTACAGTGAGCCGAAAGATGATGGATTCACAAAGGGAGAGGTCGCACCGAGTGGAAGGTATATGCCTGAAGATGGTGTGCAGAGAGGGGCTGTTAGTCTTATGAGCTGGGTTGTTGGAGATGTCCTCACTCCTGGCTGGGCTAGTACGAAAGGTGCGAAAAGGGTCTCGAAGGAAGACAATCCGGGCTTGGTCAATATTCCTAGCTTGCCATTGAGCTGGGGAGATGCTCAGCCGCTACTAGAAGCCATCGAAGGCTTCGGACAGCCTTGTCCTGATGAATGGCAAGGGGCTATTCCCGGTGTGGAGTACTGGTCTGGAAATCTCTCATCGCCGGTGGTGCATCTCGTTAATGACCAAGACGAGGTCGAGCAACAGCCTATCTGGAACGTCTTGGGCAAGATTACTGGCGTGGAGCAGAAGGAGAAATCAGTCATTGTTGGCAATCACCGAGATGCTTGGGTTTATGGCGCTACGGATCCTGGATCTGGAACTGCAGTCATGCTGGAGGTCATTCGTATCTTTGGCCATCTTGTTGAACAAGGATGGAGACCACTTCGCACCATCGAATTCGCTTCCTGGGATGGCGAGGAATACAACCTCATCGGTTCCACCGAGCACGTTGAGAATAATATGGACAAGCTGAGGCAAAATGCTTATGCTTATTTGAATGTCGATGTAGCTGTTGGTGGTTCTACATTCAAAGCTTCTGGCAGTCCAGTGTTCAGGAAATCACTCCTCCGAGTCTTGGACCGCACTTCTGATCCATACCAAAACGCCACGATGCGAAAGATGTGGGACGATCGACATGGACAGCTGGACGGTCTCGGAGCTGGCAGTGACTACGTTGCCTTCCAAGATATGGCCGGATGTTCTAGTCTTGATTTCGGGTTTGACGGACCTCCTTTCCCCTATCACTCTGCCTACGATAATTTCGAATGGATGTCCACTGTAGGAGATCCTGGCTTTCAATACCACAAAGTGCTGGCTCAGATCTGGGCACTTCTCATCCTCGAATTCTCAGATCGTCTTGTCCTCCCATTCGACATGACAGCCTACTCCTCTTCAGTCACAAAATGGGCCATGGATTTGGAGAACTGGGCTGAAAGCAAAGGTGTAAACCAAGCCGGTAACCCAACCTGGAGCACCGAACCGCTCAGAGAAGCAGTCCTCCAATTCGCTACTGACGCCAGAAATTTCGAGAAGTGGGAAATGGAATGGGACGCCGTTGTTCTCGGCGGTGGCGGGTTTGAGAGCGCCATCTACGCTGCACATAGAAAGAGCCATAATAACAGAATGGCAAACTTCGAGACTCATCTCTTGGATCTGGAAGAAGGTGGTGGTGTATGTTCCTACCTGTGTTCCTTTTTATGAGATCCTTGCTGACTGATAGAAACAGATCCCCAACAGAACACAGTTCAAACATATCCTCTTCGGCCCGCAACTCTGGTCCGGCTACGACGAAGCTTTCTTCCCTGCTATCCGCGACGCGGTCGAAGCTGGCGAGTGGGCGCTGGCCCAGCAACAAGTTGAGAAAGCCGCGAGGATATTGAAGAGGGCGAGTAAGAAGTTGGTGGGGAATACTTAAGTAGCGGAAGTTTGTATATTGAGGACTGGGTTCTTATGTATTATTTGCGCGAGGCTGTGTATGCATGGGTGGCGCTTGGCGTTTGAGCGTTGTTTTGTTTTGTTTGGATAGATGCCAGAAAGGAGAATTCAGATATTCTTTCCTTGTTCAATATTGGTGTTGGTCTTGTGCCTTTTGAGCTGTGATTGTCGTTGACCGGATATCGGACATTCTGCTCTGGAGATGTCTAGTATGGTGAGGGACTTTCCAGGAATTTTCCTGTATGTGTTGATTTCAGACATTCTGTTCTCAAGAATGTTCGGCATAGCTAACGATTTATTCACTTATTTTTGCACTTGTTTGCTGTCAGACATTCTGCTCTGGAGAATACTTAGCATACTCTAGGACTTCCTAAGATAAGTGTTGCACGTGATGCCCTTTTATTGTTCTATCCCGGTCTCATTGTCCAACTTTTGATCTCTAGAACTCTTCAACTACGGTTCACTCTCATGATCCTCTACAATTTAACTTCTTTTTATTCACCACATGTAAACACGATATATATTCAATTCACACCCAGATTCCGTTCATATCCAAGACGTCCAGTGACTCATCCATTAGCCGCTAGTCAAAAACGATAAATACCACGACTCCCCTCCTTACTCTCTTCCTCAATACCTTGACAACCACTACTTCACCCGAGCGGGGGAGAGGTTTCTGGGAGGGCCGGGTCTGGCGTGACGTTTCTGTGGAGACAGGGACCCGGGCTCATCGTGTTCGTCTTCCTCGGGTTGAAGTTTAGACGGATGGAGATCGGTGGTGTTGATAGAGGCCGACGATGGATAAGGGGCTTGACAACAATAATTATTCTTCGTTGATATTTGAGGAAAAAGAGTTTGTACGTGATGACTCTTTCTAATATATGATAATGCTGTCCGACTTTTGGTCTCTATAAAGTCAGGAATGAAGGTTTCACAGCTTAATGCATACAGAAGCATAAAAGTGAGTGTAAACCACTTGGGCATATCGTTGTGCTAATTTATCTGCGACATCCCTGTCTGATGTACGCGCTAGCTCTGTAACACATTGAATCTGGGTGTTGCAGCAAGGCTGGATATGATAGCTATCTGGAATGCCCGGGCTAAAGAATCTATCCCTTGGTATCCATTATCATTATTCAGCATGGTATCTCTTGTCAAGCTGAAGAAAGTCTCTTTGATGTGTATGTTTCCAGGCTCTTCAGCCAACTCACACATGGCTACTGGGGATCACCCACATCTTACTTCAGCTTGCAGAAGGCTCCACTGTTTCTAGCACATCAACAGATCATGTTACCTTGGGAAAATATTTCTTGTCCAAAGAGTTATGTTCGTGTGTTACAGTCATGCAGTTGTACAATATGATTTTTGATGTGTTAGCGCTTGCAGTCAATATTTTCAAAGCATATAGTTTGTACCAGCATTGAGCCTAGCAATGGTGTTTCCTTGCGTGTTTCTCTCTCCTCCGCTCAAATCCTTGATCGAATCATACTTTTCAGCTTCTTCTCCTTGTACGACCTTTTGGTCTTACATGTACTGCCACATCTCATTTATCAAAACGCCACTTCTACTTCTTATCATCTGACCTCTGGTCTCACATCCATTGCCACATCTTTTCTATCAATACTCCACTTTGGGCTGTCATGTCATGTCGAAAATGAGTGAAAATTGATATTCCACCTGGACGCAGCATGTAGAAGATCTGAGATGTCGTTGCCTGTCTCCTAGTTGGGAACCGAGATCAATGCTTCCATTCCCGATAATTAGACCACAAAATATCAACGCATTTGCCCTTGCTATGACCTGTTCTCAGCTTCTACTGTACAGCAATCGGCGAAAACTGCATGCTAGGTGACTGAGACACGAACTCCTATAAGTGGAAATGAGAGGAAGATTAAGTCTGCTATCCAGGTACCTGTGGATGAGGTTTCTATATATCTAGCTAGATACTCCCGCGTAAATGGAGGCCGAAGCACCTGTCTGGCATTTCTTCCGCGACTCTTTGTTTTCTAACATAACACAGTATTGTCACCATTTGCTCAAGATCTATGATTACATCGGAAACTAGATTCAAGATGCTGTTCCGCATTCTTGCCTCCCTGGCTCTGATTGCGTCCGCACAGGCCTCATGCAGCGACAATAACCTTCTCAGGTAATTTTCGAGGAAATTGAATAAGCCATATCTGATACTGACGATCTTCAGATGCTTTGAAGCTTCCTCAGCAGTAGCTTCACCTTTCTGCACTTCGCTCTATGCGGGCGAAACACCGGTCTCGACTCCTGTTTGTGCTTCGCCGAGCCCAGTGGCATCTATATCTCATGCATGGTGCGTTCTCGCATTCATGATGCATTATCCAGTTCTGTTCGATCATAAGCAGTGTTTCATGAATAGCACTATTGGCGCGGAATTCTTGGACTTTACGCTATGCCCTACTCTTCCTTTTTGCTAACTAGTCTTACAGTTCTTGCCTAGGATATACATCTACTGTATCATGTAAGTAAAACTGATAATACGTTGACTTGTATATGCTGACTAGTCAATTAGTACCAGCAACAAGCACTCTTCAGGCGAGCACTCTTCAGACCAGCAGTCTTCAGACCACTTCTCAAACAAGCACTTCTCAGACAAGCACTTCTCAGACAAGCACAACTGTATTGCTATCATCATGCTCCCCAACAACAATTACTGTTAGCCTGGCCGGAGCTTCTGTTTCACAGTGTATTCCAAGCACCGCGCCCGCAAGTACTATTACATTCACGGCCAGCGCGGCATCTTCTTCGGCGTGCATGCCAACCAGCATTGTTGGGACAAGAGTAACAGTCACAGGTCAGTGCGCATTACTGACTAACAACTACCTAGACTCTTGCTAATATAATCCAGTCACATCAAGTACAGCACCTCTATCTAGCGTGCCAGCTTCTACCTGCTCGCCATTCATACCGACTTGTAGCTCCGCAGGAAACGAAGCAAGCGGTGCACCGTCCCTGAGCGTTGCACAGCCTGAAGGCTTCAGTCCGAATACATGTGCCTTGCTATGCCAGGAAACAGCAGGTTGTCAGTCGTATGCTATCTATGTTTATCTAGGATACTGTGAATTGTTCTCGGCTCCCGTGGATGAGGTATCTGATGGTGCTAGCAACGGAGGATTCACCTTCTGGGACATCGCATGCATCAAACCTGCCATTGTCCCCCAGGTCTGCAATATCACGGTTGGAATCGTGACTCCGGAAGTGGCGCCACACAATACTTACCCCGATACCTCACTGCCGGAATGCCAGTCTTACTGTGCGGGAATACCCCCATGTTTGAGCTACTCTATGGATACTTCGAGCACCTGCTTGGTGTGGGGAGCAGACATTTCGCAATGGGCAGTGGCTAATGGAACTGGTTATCAAGCATGGGACGCAGCTTGTCCTACATCCCCGTAAGGAGCCTCAAGAGTGGTATTAAGATGCTTCGAGAGAATAATTCTCAAGAAGGTACATTGCTTTTGGACACCATGCGGGGAACTAGAAGGAGGATTACATTACTTGCATTTCGCCCTTGGAATGGTAGCTTTTTGCAAGTGAGGAGTATGTTATCTGCATTTACTTTTCAGTGAGAGATTCGGCGTACTCTCTGCACAGCTGCACTGACAGTGGAATCAACCTATCCAATCACAATGGATCTCGGGCATCTCCGACCGCCTTCCTTTTCAATTTCCAATTTTCAGGTTCCATCTGCCTATGTTCCTCATACCTACATGTCTTTGTAGGTTTGTCTGCGAGATGTCTATAGCTCAGTCATAGTACTTGGCCTTTACTCCTTTGATGATCTCCTGCTCTCCACTTGCCTCCTTCGACCCTCCAGCTTTGTTCACATTTTTCGCCACTCTAGCTTTCACCCACTCGCCTGCAGTTAAATGCACCCCATCGCCTCCTTCTCCTTTCAAACCCAATCTCTCCAGAAGCGGGCTTTCGATCGGCTTCAAAATCAAATCATCCTCTGGTCTCACAAAATACAAAACTCCCAAGCGATCCAGATGAGCTTGATCTGGCGGTGGAGCCACGACTCGATGGATACTCGATTTCAAGTACCCATTTGTGAGGAAGGACAACGAGTCCGCGATATTAACGGTAATAGATGCAGGGTATGGTTTCACATACTTCCACGTCTCTTGTGGGGTCCGAACTTGTAATGCTGCGACTGGCTGACGGAAAAGTAGAGTGAGGGATCCGAAGTCGGTATGGCCTTTCACCCAAACATTATTCAACTTCTCGTTCTCTTCTGCCGTACGGTGATGATATTTCATATACCTGAGATGGCAGTCGCTTTTCTCGTCATATCTGTGCCTCTCCAGAAAATACTTTTCGGGAAGTTCCAAGATGATAGCGAAAAGCACGAGGAGTTTCGACACAATTTCATGATGTATGAATCTTCCAAACTTCTCAATCTCAGGCCAGTTCTCTTTGATTAGCGCCGGATGAGGTCGCTCGTATTGCGGGATGAATTTTGGGATATTGTAGATCTCGGTGTTGTCGAAATGACCTGGTACTATCTCCCGAAGTCCTCGCGGTTTGTAGCCGTTATATCCTCCATTTTCGAGATCTGCCCGATATTTCAATTTCTCTTCTGTTGGGAGATTGAAGAATTCTTTGCCGATGGCAAATTGAGGATCTACTTCCTCTTGGGTGAGGCCGAAGTTGGTTATGTAGAAGAAGCCTTGATTTTGTCAGTTTCTAACGACGTGTAATAAGGGCGATCATGTTACCGATTTGTTGGATGGCATTTTGAAGTTGTTGAGCAAGCTTTTGCTTTCCTTCTGGTGTATTGAATTTTGAAAGATCAAGCGTTGCAAGGTCGGCCCAGTCTAATTCATGGATAGTTTCTGGGAATTGAATATACTGAGGAATCTTTCCTAGCCGTTCGGCCGAGATAGTTGAAGTTTGAGTTTGAGACATATTGGAGATCTGTGTTTATACCCTTCGCCTTTCGAAGAGAAACTTCCCAAGAGCAGATAGAGGTGTAGTTAAGAACGGAAAGATGCTTCCTTGAAATTGAGCTGCAATTATTTGATCGGCAAAGCTGCCCCTCACTTGAAATATAAGTTTCAACCAGCGTACTGGGTGAATAATTTTCATTGCTTACTAGTAGCCGAAGACCTTTAGCTTGTACAAACTTACACGGATGTCGGCTACTGTACACACTTGCAATTGGATATAAGACGCTGAGCAAGAGTGGGGGTTGGGAATGGCATCATTCGAAGCGCAAATGACGAGATCACGTGCGGGACGTTTGCACTGCAGACCTGCAGAAGCTGTTCGTGCTTCAAAGCAAAAATACCGAAATAATGGACCTTTTTCAGGTACGATCCAATGGATCTGGTGGTCCAAAGTGGGATCTTGCAGACTTTCACAATTTGCTGCTGGGATGGTGAGCAATGTCCTAGTCAAATCGCTGGGCGGCTCCATTACGTCGCGAACCGGTGGCGACGAAGTGGAGAGGGAGATTAAGCTATTGAGAGTTGATCTTTCTAATGTTTGAATAAAGTGTTCCCAAATATCTTGAAGCCGTAACATCCTGTTCTAAATTCAAATGCCAACAATGGCTCCTGACCCCGACGTATCTGAAAACATTGGCCGTTCTTCCCCAGAACCATCAGAATACCGGACTAAAGAAGCAATCTCAACAGCAGTCGAGGCATCCAACATCCACAATGGAGAACTTCACTACATCCGTCGCGGCCAAGAGGTCACAGACGACACTCTCTCCACCGACTCGATCGAAGGATATGAGGCAGAACAGATGAAAGCTCGAGCGCTACTAAAATACGAAGAGGAGAAAAATCTATTGCGTCGCATTGATTGGCATCTTATGCCTCTCTTATCGATATGTTTCCTATTGAAGAATGTCGATTATTCGAACGTTTCGAATGCGAAGATTATGAACTCGGGAACACATCAAAATATCCTGAAACAGTTGGATATGACCGCTAACGAATTTAACTTTGTTTCCACGATTTATTATGTGAGTGTCCCAATCTTTGCCAATCTTGGGTAACAAGTATTGATGAGTTTCCCTTTAGATTCCTTACATTATCGCTGAAGCTCCATCCAATCTATTCGTCAAGCGAATGCTGCCATCAAGATGGCTATCTCGAATCATCGTGAGTCACGCCTCCATCATTCTGAACATCAGCCAATTCGCAAATCCCAGGTCACCTGGGGAGCAACGCTCTGCTGCCACGCAGCCGTCAAATCCAAAGAAGGTCTCTACGCCGCTCGATTCTTCCTCGGTCTCTTCGAAGCAGGTCTTTTCCCCGGCGTAATACTGCAACTCTGTTACTGGTACCGACCAGATGAGATGTCCAAGCGCCTGCTATACTTCTATATCCTTGGAAATTTCAGCACGGTCATTAGCGGTGTTCTGGCGTATGCTTTTGATGGCGTGTCTGGGAAAGGAGATCTTTCTGGATGGCAGTGGTAAGTTTGTGGCTTTGATGTTACTGTTTGCCACACAAAACACTAATGTGAGAGTTCTAGGTTGTTTCTTGTCGAGGGAATTGTCACTGTAGTGTTTGGGATAGCTCTTTGGTTATTGCTGCCAGACTGTAAGACTATCCCACACATCTCAGATCGGGTCAAGATCTGAGCTTCACTGACGAACGTACATGCAGTTCCACCAACAGCGAAATGGCTCACGGAAAAGGAAAAGGCCTTCATCCAAGCTCGGCTCCCCAGCAACGCTCCACGAGAATCGGAATCAAATTTCAGTTTCCGCGAGATCTTGGTATCTCTCAAAGACATCAGAATGTGGCTGTTTACTCTATGCTGGGCAACCTTCACAGTCGGAACGTTTGGTCTTACCTTTTATCAACCAACTGTGATTGCTAACCTAGGCTTCACGTGAGCATCTCTTCTTTCTCCCTTACATTCATGAACATATACTGAGAAAAACTTCCACTTAGCTCAATCAACAAGTCCCAACTCCTAAATATCCCAACTGCGTTCCTCACAGTAGCAATCATCGGCATCTTCGGTCTCTGGGCCGACACAGCCCGTCTCCCACGCCCCTTATTCCCCCTCTGCTTCATGATAGTAATCCTCGCCTGCTACAGTGTTCTCTACACCTTCCCCAATACCGGCGGCGTCTACGCCGCAACTATAATCGCCTCTTCGGTAGCATCAGCCTGGTACCCCATGATGTGGCCCTGGCGCGTCCAAACCACATCTCGCGCAACCGGCTCAGCATTCAGTATAGGCTTCGTGAACAGCTATGGACAGATTGGAGGCGCGTTGGGGCCGCAGATCTTTAGGAGTCAGTATGCGCCGAGGTATACGGTTAGTTTTGCGATTGCAATGGCGTTGGTTGGGGTGGCGATTGGGATGAATCTGGTTACATGGTGGGTTACGAGACGGACTGAACGAGACACGAGGGTGTTGAAGTTGGCGAGATTGAGAGCCGCGGGGAGGGGAGAGGCGGTAAGCTCTAAATCCTACGTTTCTTTGTAAGCAGGTCTGAGGCTGGGAGTTGTCTCGGGAGCTGAGACATATGAATGAACGGTTCGTTCCTTGCTTGGTCCTGAAACAGCTCTCAGCTCCTGAGCTCCAGCCCAAACTTTCAGCTTTCTACAGTGCTAATTTCGTGTAGGTGCTCGATGATGTTGTAATTGATCGGAAGGAGAAGGGTGGGAACGCCGTATTTTGACGGTCCATTCCAAATCTCACTGCTCATTGACTTGAACATGATGTTCTGTTGAACGGTCTTTGACTAAACATTAAGCCAATTAAGCGATGAAATCGGATTCGTGCTGGAAGCCCTTGAATAGCAGACTTCACAACGCTTCAATGACCGAAGCTTCCCAAGACACAGGTTATTAGACAGAGGAAATGAACATCGATCTGTAACTATGCCATAAAACCCGATTATAGACAACCAGCAGCACTGTTGTCCCTGAACTTTGGAAGTGTTCGGGTAGCATTTAGGGGGTCGAGATTAAGCGAGAGCAGTACTCATCGGAGGCATCTAAAGCACCACATTCACGTTTTCGCACGAAGCAGCATGTTTCAATGCATAGTATGTGATCAGAACCGAGATCCATTAAGTTCTAGCAAGAAGCGAAGGTATATGCAAAATTCCCAGTTCACTTCACTTCAGCTCGTCATCATCATCATCAATCATCACTCAATCAACCCAGTCTTTCCCCATCCCTCCATCCATTAATCCTACAACCCTCCAACCCTCAACCTGTACTCAACGCCACACCTTACTGCTTCTGCTGCCCCGTAGCACCTCCCACCGCCCCACCCGCCGTGTCCGTCAATCCCCCAGCCGTATTTCCAACGCCCTCGGTCGTCTTTCCAACCGTGTTTCCAAGCCCGTCGGTGGTCTGTCCGACAGCGTTGCCCGCTCCGTCAACAGTCTTGTTGACGGTTCCTCCCACCGAGCCGAGGAGCCCACCTTGGCCTTGCTCTTTGTCGCCGCCGGTGAGGGTGTTGTCGAGGGTGTTTGTCACGTTTCCTAGGAGGCCGGCCATTGTGATGTGGTTTGATGTGATATTAAAAAATGAGGTTTGTTCGTGAGGTTTATCTTTTGTGTGCTGTGTGAATATTTGGTATGGTATTGGTATGAGAGAATGGTTCTACAGGGCAAGGCGTTCTGATAATATATAGACCCTCATCCATCATCTCCTCAGCCAAGGAACCTTTCTGGATCTCCAACTGTACGAAGCCGATGATCTCAGGCCTTGCATTCTCCCCGGTAGATCACTGCAGTCCGCGATCTGAACGCCCTCGCTCCCTCTCCCTCTCCCTCTCCCCTGTCTACGTGCTTGAATCCACAAGGTGAAAGTCACCAGCCACAGACCTCGGACAGACAGACAGACAGACCCTAAAAACAGGGTTCGCGACATGTGAAGATATTACGTTTCCTGACGCCGGGTGGAAGTATATTACAGTGCTGGTCCTGGAGGAGGAGGCGAATATCCAGGATTTGGGGAGGGTAGTGGGGCCAGAATGGAGGGAGGGAGGGAGGGAGGGAAGCTGCACGCGGGCGATGAAGATCGTTGTGGGTACAGTGTGGGTATGTGCCACAGTTTGATCTTCGATCTCGAGAACCCTGCAGGGCTGAAGGAAGGAAGCCTTGAAACAGGATTTGAGGAAGGGAGAAGGAGGAAGTGTGGCGTCATACTGTGGCAGGTGTGAGGATCGGACTGGGGTGTACCTGGGCTGCCTAGAGAAGGCTCGAAACTACCGTGAGTCTGGGATGGAATGAACTGGGGTCAGTGATTTTGGGGCATCAAAGTGTGGCACATTACTGAGAAGTACACTGCTGCAGGCTTGAACCAGTTAAAAAATGCAGGTTTCTTGTCAGGAAAGGAAAGACGGTGATATCATTCTCGTTTCGGTACAAGGGTAGCTCTGGAGCTTTTCTGGAGCTGTTCCGGAGGCCTTTCCGTCATGTAATAGAATTGAATTACGAGGAGCGGTAATTCTGTTAAGAATTACTGAAACGAAATGTCAACATTTTATACAGAAGTCATGTGAAAGCAATGATGGGTTGTGGCGGCGTTCCTGTGGCGCACCCACCCCCGCTCTTCCCGCGGACACACTTCCGACGACAACAGCCCGCAAGCTGTGGAAACTTGTAGCATGGTGACACAGCGGACTAGAGAACATCCGCTCATGAACCTTCGGGATATAGAAGTTCATGATGCACCCAGAATTGAGGGTTCACAACATTCAGACGAACAGTTCTCGGGACGGCTGTTCGCAGCTCGAGGCTCACGACATAGCTATATCTGACAGCTGGAACCTGACTTCGGTTCCGGGGCGGGAGATGGCAGAAACCTGTTTTCGGGAACTTGTCGTGCTTCTGTGGAGCCACGAGATTCATTGGATCCGCCGGAATGCTTAAGTGTTGCGGGAGACCTTCAGCCTTTCCTGCTTCCTTCCTATTCAGGTAATAACCATTACATGTTGTTTTCCTTCTTGAGATTGTTTTCTTCTTGAAGGTATACTAGCCATATTATCACCTCTTCCCGCTCGTCCTGCCATTTTTCTTTTGAACGCCTCGTATATGCAAGGCAAATGGCTGGCTGAAAAGAGTGCCCGTGACCTGGACATCCTTACACTCAATAACAAACTTTAACTGTACCAGGTAACTTTACCAAAAGTGCTTTTTATATTTGGCCGAAATAGCATTACCAAAACCCCAATTGTGCCGAAATTAAGAAAACAATCCGATCACCGCTTTATAATCTGCTTCGTTCGCAACAATACGTCGTTGCCATTGGATCTTAGCTCGTCCCACATAAGCGTTTCAAGTCAGGGATATATCCTCGCCTGTGGCTGACCCCCTGCCTGCCCTTCTGACCTCACTCACAATCACAACCGGACTTCGTCAACCGCGCAACTCATACCCCCTACATACCTATATTTCAGGACCCCCCCCCCCTGAACCCTGATCATAGCGCTGCTCTCTTAACCGGATTCTCATTTGCGGCCGCGGCACGCAATACGCAGAACAATGCAGTATTTACTTACTCGGCGGAATTCTTAGTCGGTTTGCACGTGCAGTGTATACTCGTGTCGTGCTGTGCTTGTGTGTGTGTGGTATCCGGGAGATGCTTGCTAGCTAGGCAAAAGTATATCTTGCTTCGAGCGAAAACCTTCGCTATGACCACCGCTCCATACGACGACCTGGTAACTGGATACTTACTTCGTAAGTGGATGGCGCTCTGCACTGACACCGCGACATGCCGAGTCCGTCCGTAATAAGATCGTCAAATATAGAAAATGAACTTGGGTGGTATGAGGGATTTTGCCGCTCGTGAGTGGTGGGTGCGAGCGCCACACTTGGTGGAATTAATGGGAGGGCTGCGTGGCAAGTGGGGAGGGAGGGAGGGGCGGAACGGTCGAGACTGGTGTGGATGCGAATAACCTTTTCTGGTTTGGTGGGGAAATGGGAATTTGTGGCTCGGGATTTCATCGTGATGGATGGGGGTGAGGCGAGTGATTGCTCAGTTTGAGGTTTATAAGTGCGCACCTGCCTCAGCCACAGGGGAGTTCCCCCTTTCTGGAGATTTGCATTGTTGTCCCTGGATTACGAGGAGTGGGTGTGGAACAGATGATCTCATACTCTTTATCATGCATTATCTTTTTTCTGAAGCTTGAGCTGTGGCCAAAAAATTTCTCCAGCTGTTTTTGAGTCGAAATTGCGAGAATGTCTGGCTCTGAACGGGAGAGAGAAGAGCAGAGGAAGCCAGAGGAGATGCAGAACTTACCACCGACGCCAGAATCTCATCCACAAGACGAGTTTTCAGCGGAAGGTTCTGAAAGTTCAGCGGCGTCGGATCGAAGGCGGTATCAGAGAGGAGGAAGGAAGAAGAGCACAAGTGCGAGAGAACCGAGGAAGAGTCGAATAGGACCTGTTCCCGAGCCAGAAGGTCAAGATGAAGATGAGCAGTACGAGGAAGCGGAACGAGCACTTATCCAGGACGAACCGGACGAGCCCATAGGTGAGGAGGAGCACGATGATCCAGAAGAAGGATACTACGAAGAAGGAGAAGAGGAGGAGGAGGAACAAGAAGCTGCCAGTCCGAAGAACGAGACTCTGTGTTCGAAATGTGCGGCCAAGACTCAACAGCCTGAACAACAGCAGCAGAAGGCACCATCACCGTTCGAAACGGGCATCAAGGCATTCAACCTCAAGAGAGCAGAAGCCTCTGGTGGACGACCGATCGGTGTGAGAGCGACACCGAATACGTCGGGCAAGAAATCCACCGATTCGAAGAAATCGAAGAAGACAAAGAAGAGTAGGAAAGCCAAAGTGGAAAGCGACAGTGAGGAAGAAGGGAGTGATGATTCTTTTGAAGAGCAGAAGCAGAAACCAATGTCTATCAGACTTGATCTCAATTTGATGGTGGAGATCTTCTTGAAGGCGAAGATTAAGGGAGATGTTACGATTACTTTCTTGTGAATATTGCGTTCCTTCTTTGTTCAAGTCATTGCTGACATTTGTTTAAGGGAGTAAGAATCGTGGCTTTCATCCTGATTCAGTCACTCATCCTCTCTAACGACACATATCGGATCATCAAGAGTTTGGCATTCTAGCATGAAGGCGCAAGACGCATTGCGCTCTTCTGAACCAACTTTTCACGATGGAACACTTTGCGCAATACCAACCTTCTCATCTCCCATCGGGCTGAAAGGCGCTCACAACCAACTTCCTCGATCCAATGCACGCTCTTCCCTCCATTTTGCCTTCGAACTCAAATCACGACCAAATAAGAGTTGGTTGTTAGCCTGGTACTCAGCGGGCACAAAGGCACACGGGAATACCTCCGCGAGAAGTTGGAATGCACTATAATCGACACCTATCACTTCGCGCCAAGCATCGCACGAGGTTAGGCATTAGCTTTGAACTCAAACGTTCGAGCAGCTGAAATCCGGTATTGGGATTGCGCTTTTGGGTTCTTGCATAAGCTCTTGGAGCTACTCCTGTAGCTAACAAGATCCATGTGCGACATCAATATTCCTGCCCTCTTATTCCCGTGGTGCTTCATCGAATCCCGTGACATAATTTGATAGAGAGATGGTGTGGCTGGGTTAATGTGTTATACTTTCACCGTTTCCCGCCAGCGATTGCGAGCATTGCACAACGCTCTGTTGTAAAATCTAAGTGATGTTCTAGCAGCTCGGCGGAGTCTTATTTCCTTCGTACACTCAAACCTACCCCGAAACAAGATTTCTTCCAACTCTGATTTGCCGCTTCATCCGGACTGTACAATACTTTTTCTTCCTTCCTCACATCAAACAAAATAAACACGGATCCAGCCACTCGACGCCAGCGTTTGAGCCTAAGCTCGTTCGTTCGCTCGCTCCTTCAAGCGTTCGTAGCTCTAAGATCCCACGCCGTGCCTCTAGCACGGACCCACTCACCCTCAGGCTGATGCACGCCCAGGATAAAAACTTGGAAGACGGGAGGGCGAGAACCCAAAAAAAATAAAACGGCCGGGGGCGGGAAGCGCCGACCATCCACCATCCACACCACACTTCTGACTCGGATTGTGGGGTCAGGTCAGAGAGTCCGTTAGTAGCTGGCTTGTTCCGCAGCGGCTGGTGGCCTTTTTTGACAGGAGGCACACTCCGACTAGCTGTACCACTCGTTGCTGTGCGCGAGGGCGAAGACGGGATGGTGTGAGGTAGCTAGTACTGTAGACGGTATGCACGCAAGCACGCAAGCAGGCGCGAAACCGAGGGCCCGAACGAGCCGCGTGAAGGTACAGTAGTATTGTGTCTATTTACGTGGCCTCTGCAGGCAGAGTGGGATTGAGATGAAATAGCCTTGGCGATCGAGCGAAGGGTGCCAATGCGAAAGTAGCAATTGCGAGTGTCTATCGCCATGGCAATTTCTAACCTCGATCTGCTGCACGTATGGGAATTTCGCATTTGACGAAGGTAAGGGTCCTTCCATGATTCTGCTCATTTCCTCTCCATAATAATCACTCTTCTCGTCATCCGGTCCTCTTTAATTCGCGCACGGAAGCAAAATGGCGGGGATGCTGTAGTGTGCACGGCCACACTTCCTGATATAGGATAGGGTAGCATTACTTGGCAAAGAGGGATCGCCGTCGCCCGGCGCTGTTGGACTACTTACTTTAGCGAACCACCATCTAAAATGGACCGCCGCAGCAGCGGGGCGGGCTAATTTTCAACGTCGAAGATGGAGGTGTGTGACGACGAAACAATGCTTTTTGATGCTCCACATGCGACCAGCGAGTGCGCGGCCGCCGTCGTGGTGGAAGAAGGTCGGACCTGGCCCTTCCTGCACCGAGATGCATCAGCAGCGAGCCAAGTCGGCAGAGAGTCACTGCATGGCTGGGAAGGGATGCAAGTGCAAGGGGTCCTGGGCGAGGGGGATGGGTTGTGGTGATGAGAGATGGCGAATCGAATGGAGCGCAGGCAGGAGCCGGCGGAACTTGAGACACAGCCGAACGTCAGGCGGGACTTCCATGAAGTCATGCTCTCTCACTTGTTGGTTGGCGCTGAGTGAGTGAGGATGTCGAGTCCACTGAGGCGTGCTGTGCTGTGCTGCGAGGACAAGGAGATTTGCGGGAGCTTCAGCTATTGTACGAAGTACCGTACCGCAGTGTCGACGCCCGCCACTGCAGAATCACTTCCTCATTCGAATTGCATGCGTGCGAAACTTGTTTGTTTGATTGATTATCATTTGAATTCTTCCTTTTGCCATTCGGCCCGGTCTACGACTGGTAATAATAGTACATGGTAACTTTATCTGATTGATTCAAAAACGCCCCAAAAGAAAGCCCCCGGAAATCCCCATCATAACAGGTCGTCTCAGCTACCTCGAAACTGTCAGATACAAAGTCTGTTCCGAAGAATATTCTATGGAAGAATCAGCTCACAATAATCCGATGGTCACGTCGCCCTTGACTCTGGCATAGAGGTCGACCTACATCCTACATCAGCCCTATGGTAACATCTCCCTTGACTCTCGCGTAGAGATCTACCTCGACTTCCAGGTCCAGCTCGATCTTGATCTTCAGACTGCTGTCGCGCTGCTCTTGCGGTACTGGGCGGTCCTTGATGCGCGATTCGCGGATGGCTCCCGTGCGTCCGCCCATGTTGCCCGTCATGCGCTGTTCCATGGGGACGACTTGTTGCTGCTGCTGCTGTTGTTGAGGCGCGAATTGTTGCTGTTGCTGGCCTTGACGTTGTTGGCGCGCGCGTTGCATTGTGCGTTGGCCTTGCTTGGGTTGCGGTTGGGCGACTTGTTGCTGTCCCTCGTCGGAGTCGGATGCGTACTCGTACTCTTGCTCGTCCTCTTGGAGGGTTTGTTGCTTCTCTCTACTACGCCGTTAAAAGACTCGTAGCTTGAATGCTGTGAATTCGACTTACTGGTCAGACATGATGATGTGATTTGGTTTTGAAGATGATGCTCTAGAATCTGGTGGTGTAGGCGGTAATGAAGCAATGCTTGGATTTGAAGCGTTCTATGATAGCAGTTGGAGATGTGTGTATGATGGAAAAGGTTCTCTGTCACGATGATCGAAAATCTGGCTACTTATGAAGGGCTCACAAACTTCACATCATAGCGATGACGCTGATTCAGTGGACCCCCGAAAACGCCATTATCCTGCTTTCAGGACTTCCCCAGATGGACAGCCTTCTGCGCAAAAACAAGAAATTTACACTTCAGGGTCTTGCATCAAACAGCCTTCTGATGATCTGGGGAACTCTCATTCGATCGTTAATACTCGATCATCCTTCCCCGTCAGTTGATGTCATATCTCCTCCTCAGCCTTCCTGTGACCCACTCACAGCTCGTTATTTTGTGGCTTTCATGCGACCCCTTGCCACGTCTCTTCCCATTCGACCACACGCGTCACTTCCCCATGAAGGCAAAATCTGATGCCGGAATGATGCTTAGTGGGCTTCCATTGATGGGATTTTCCTTTTTATCCTGTTGTTAGACCCACGCGGTGGAGCGATCACCAGAGTTTGGTCTGAGTTTCTGACTTTCCGCATCGGCCCCAGATTAGTTGACCAGGGGTGAGTGTCCACACTTGATACCCACTTTGGTCTAGACAATGGGCTTCGCAAAGCATTCGCATCCTCTTGCCTTCGCTTGATGGAGTATCCTAGCAGACCACAGTTCATGATGTCGAGATACGGCAAATCACACAAAGTCTTTATTCGTGGCTGGGAGTGTTTGAGCTCGATGGTGGGCGAGATTGCCTAGTGATACGTCGGCATAGTAAACTATGGTTTGGGATGAGTGAAAATCACATCCACGTCAAACGGCACGTAGCATCGCTGTGGTGATGCAAGGCACCATTCAGATTGCCTGAAGGACCCTGAGACCCCTTTCAATGTCGGGGTGACAGCTTAAGGGTGATGTCATGTCGAAAGCTTTCGAAGCTTCACAAGGCTGGAGTGAGATTGAAGCATCTCGAAACGTTCTGACACTAGATCTACATCAACATTTGACGATTCTGTTAATACTGCCACTAAACTACCTCGCGTTTAAGTGAAGTATTTCATCATGCCGTTGGGTATAATCACTTCCATCGCAGCGTGTCCTGCCATTATCGGCACCACGGAAGCCGTCCAACAAGGCAAGAAGCAGAACTCGAGAGAGAAACATAGAAGTCGCAAAGCCAACCTCCTCGTCACTTGCCATGACCCATCACGCAAAGCACGAGATATCCACGGCGGGACTGTCGTCTTACGAAACAACAAGGTGAGACTCCTTTTCTCTTCATTCATGTTGTTCATACCCGAGGATAGCACTCTAACAAGACATTGTCATTTCGCAGCTCTACTGCACAAACGTAAACCCCAAATCCAAATACCTCCCGGACGAAGGCTACGACAACGAAGCCTCGCAAGGCCACCTCTTCGCCGGCTACTTCTTCCCCTACCCCGAGTCCTCCTGGGGCCGCCGCGGCGAAGGCTACGTCTCGACCATCATGGACGACCCGCCACAACTAAACTGGATATACGTCGACAAGGACACCTACGAAGTCAAATACGGCCTGAAGAAAGATACGATCGGACACCATGTGGGACCGTGGAACGTGACGCCGATTGATCGGCGCCTAAATCTGGATGGGTGGGAGGGCTTCACGGTGGTGGAAGAGGAGGAGGGCGTTTGGGCGCTGTATTTTGATTGGGATGATGATGGGTTGGATGGGAAGGTTGGGCTGGATAAGAGGATCATGGAGGTGGAGTTGAGTCGGAAGGAGATTCGGATGATGAAGGGGGATTGTATTATGTGAAGATAATCTTGTGCTTTGAGGTTTGGCTGCGACGGAGTTTTGGGCATTGCAGGCGCGAAGGAATCGGACTGGCTGGCGGCGTATGGAAAATACGCTCATCTCACTTGAAGAGAATGGCTTAAATTGAATATTTCGTTGTTGAATGATGCTCAATCTTGAAATATTGTTCACCGAAGACTGCGTTCCCGCAGTCGTACGAAAGAATTTCGTTTCCCAAAATCATCGTGAAGTCGGCTTACTCTCACGGTCGCGGAGGGAAGGGCGCTTCTCGTCGGAATCCAACACTACTTGATCACACTTTACTAACACCCTTCCCAACAGGGAGCCTTCTCTGAGCAAGAGAGACATCAATACTCACATTCAACCCTCATCTTCAAGAATTCTGGATCTCATCACAAGAAGCACATCTCATCTTGTACTTCCTCCCCAACCATCCTCACAACCCCAGCCGACCACCCCGCGATCCCATAACATACCAAATGTTAGTTACAACCCAAAGAATACCGTAGCAAACTCCGTAAACCCAAGCCTCGGCCAGAGCTTTTCCGTCATTCATTCGTTCGTTCGTTTGATCGACGACACTCACACATTACCAAACAACCTACTACCTGCCTTGTGGCTCACACCTTCCCTCCACCATTCGATCCGATCCCGACATCCCTGACCCCCCAAACAGACTCACGAGCCGTCTCCGCGTACTGTATTCGGGCACTCAAGACCTCCCTCTAAAATGCCACGCACGCACGCACGCACGTCTCGACATTTCCAACTTCCTGTCTCTTTGGTGGTGGTGGTGGTGGTGGTGGGGAGGATGATGTGGCTGGTGCATATGTGAGGTGAGTATTCGCCTCATCCCATCCCGCCTTATCCGCCTACGGGAGAAAAGGAGTTGTCCCTTGACCCAACCCCGGACTTTTTCGACGTCATCGTATGCATGCATGCATGCGTGTGTGAGCTTTTTATCGTCGTGAGCTGGGTGGGCTTGTGATTGAATCATGAAGGGAAGCAGAAACAGGTTCAACTCTTTGTGTGTGTGTGTGTGTGACTTGGGTGAGTGAGGAAGTTAGTGAGTTAGGTATAAGCGTTCAGCCACCTCCCTAGTTGGAGTATTCTCGCTTGGAAAAGGAGCCTTAGATCTACATACACTACACTTCACTACACTGTGCTAGTTTGGTATCAACAACATCATACCATCATCTGCGATTTATCCAAATACCAGAACCGACAGAAAGAAACAAAGCTCAAAATGGACCCCTCACAACTCAACCAAGTAAAACCCGACCAGGAGAAGCGAAACACGTACTACGAGTCCACGATGCGGTGGGTGGAGGATACGTATTTGAAGTGGTTTGGGGAGAATAGAACGAGTTATGGGGTTAAAGGTATTTGATTTCCTCCTCTTCTGTTTAAATAAAAAGATGGAAGGGAAAGTGCTGATGAGGAATATATAGATACACTACGTCAAGGCGAAGTGACGGGGAATAAGGACGTAGATGGCGTTCAGCGATCCGTGGGCGAGACGGTCGGGAATCAGTTTGGGGAGGGCGGGTTGGGAGAGGGGGTTGGCAAGATTGCTGATAAGGGATTGTTGAGTCGTTGAGTTTGTGTGTGTGGGGTTGGGATAGATACCATTTTCTTTCTCTTCGGGTTTTGTGTTATTTTGAGATTTTGTGAAGGGAGAGAGTTGTAGAATGGGATGGGGGTATTAATGTTTGCTTGCTGGCTGCTATCTGTCTAATTACAATTTGATATCCATAATCCAAGAATTCAAGATCGCTGTCTACATCATAAAACATCCAAATTCATACAAGTGACACGAATCGTAAGAAAGTGAGGAAGGAAATCAAACAACTCCAAACCACTTCTTCCTTGGTTCTCCTGCTGGCTGCTCGGTGGTATCATCCTTCTGCCCCTCCTCCTTGTTCGCGGTCTCTTGACCTTTGGCAGAGAATGAAGGAACACTTGGGATATATCCCATCCATCCCTTTTGCGCAGCAGCATCCTTCTCAGCGGTTGGCTGTTCCTGCTGCTCGGTCTTGGTCTCTGGTTCTGCGTCTTTGGTGGCTGAAGAGGACATTCCTGGGATCATTCCCATCCATGTACCTTTGGGTGCTGAACTTGCCTCTTGTTGTTTCGGATCCTCTGCAGTTGTCCCTGTCTGGGGCTCTTGTGTCTCTGTTACTTGTGGCTTGTCTTTCAGAGTGGTTTTGTCCATCTCCTCTGCTAAGTGGTTGTTCTCGACTTTCATCGGCTTCTCGTATTCTGTCATAGGAGGCTGTTCTTCGTCGCTAGTCTTCTCCTCAGCTGGAGCTTCATTGACTTCTTTCTTCTCAACAGCTTCCTCTTTCTCCTGAGAACTTCCACCAACTTGTTTCTCCTCAGCATCCTTTCCAGTACTCTCAGCCTCCTCACTCTTCGATCCAAGCACACCCTCACCAACAACGTCCTCTTCAACCGGTAATGGTACACCTGCCGCTCTCTCCATCAACTCCTTCTCATCAACACCACCATCCTCCCCTTGCGGCATCTCATCACTCTTCAAAATAGCATCCAACTGCCCCACATCCCCTTCTCCCCCAGGAGGTTGCAAAACCTTGCCATCATCATCCCAAACCTTACTCTCGCTCATGGTCCTCTTCAACTGATCCCCGGATGGCCTCCACTCATCCTTCACCTTCTGCGGATCAGTCTGCATCCACTCCTTAACCAACTGACTCGTCATGTCCAACATATTCCCATAATTCTCATTCCGGTCCTTCTTAAACATCCCACAATGCGCCATAATCTCATCCTTCGCCTTCGTATCCGGACACTCGATAAAAAGCTCCTTCATCTTATCCCCCTTCTCCTTCTCCGCCGCCGTAGGAACCGCACAGAACGTCCTCTTGGGAACAAAATACCCACCACTCCACACCCCATTCTCCCCCAAACTCGTATAAAGACACCTAACACCGACGCCCTCAATCTCACTCAACCTCTCCAATCTCGTCGTAAGCTGCGTAGTCTTCATCAACGCGCCCACAAACTTCAAATGGCTCGCCATCCACGCGAATCCCTCGCCAATACTCTCCCTCGATACATACGTCAACCCCTGAGAAATCGAGTCCGAGTAGTTAATACTCGTCACCGCATCCCTTGTATTGCTATAATTTATCTTCGCCAGGTTCTCCCGATTAATGCCCCGCAGACCCTGCAATATCTGATCGCGGTGGATGTACGCCGCCACCCCGCCCGCCATGATGGCTCCATAGGTCCCCGTCCGCGCAGCAAGGGCGCTCCATCTCGTCCACGAGTTCTTGGATTCCGCGCCGCGGGCAGCGAGCTGGTTGCTCGCTACGTTGGAAGCAGCCGATTTTGCTCCCGCGGAGCTCAAGAAGCTCGTCCCGGTACTCAAGAGGTTCCACGCCTGCGAGATATTCTGATACTGGCTAAACGCGCCGTAAGCGAACATACTGCGGCTCAACCCATTATACGGCGTATCGAACGCGAGCACGCCTTGGATGAGCGGGAACATGAGCTTGACGTTTGGATCTTGTGACACGGGGCGGTTGTCGAGGATCGAGAAGAGCGTGTCGGCGGCGACGAAACCGCCCATGGAGTGCGCGACCAGGATCACGGCGACGGAAGGGGAGTGGATTGCGGAGGGGTTGGGCGGGGTGGAAGAGGTTTCGAGGGTGATGACTTGGGATTGGAGCCATTCTTTGAAGGTCTCGACGGAGAGGGCGAGGTCGCCGCGAGTTTCGTATTTGGGGTAGACGCGGGTTTCGATGGCGATGTCGGGGTTGGATGAGGTGACTGCTGCTTTGAGGTCCTGGTGAGAGTGTTAGTGAATGGTCTGAGAGGGGGAGGAAGAGGAGATACTTCTGGGAATTGGTAGAATGTTTCTTCGTCGCCTTTGAAGCCGTGGATGAAGCACAGCAGGAGGGTTTTGATTGCCATGTTGGCTATCTGCTTTCTTTCTTCCTGTCTTTCTCTTCAATGTAGTATTGTTTATGTATCAAATCACTTCAGATGATCTCAAATGTTCAAAGAAGTGCCAAGATAACTCCAGTATCTCACAGCGGTATTGTACAAACCCGAATAACCTCACCCACATAAGGCAGTACCTCTCCACCTCGATCTCACAAGCCACACAACCGCAAGGTCCCAAAAAGCAGGGAACATTGCGTACCCAGAAAACTTTAATTCACTCCCATGCCCGGGCCTCGATGCAATCGAGATCCAAGAACCGGATTTCATGTTTGGAAGAGGTGACATACCCGACAGGGAAGAGGTAAGACCAGGGTTTCGCCCACAAATGATCAGCGCGGAAGCATCAGCCACGCCGCTCTACCCACTATCGATCCTCGCCACACTCGAGGCCCCGCTTGATAGAGAAGGATACGTCATTGAGATAGATTGGAGGGGTTTGGGAGGTGGGAGGCATGTGAAAATTGTGTGTGGCTGAGAGCAGGAGTGCGAGGCTGCATATCACTCACTCACTAATGGGAGGAGAGAGAAGAGAAGTTCAGACGAGAGAAGACTTTTGCGTACATTATTACTTCACAAGATACATAATCAGACATAGATACCGAAACAAAGAAAACCACTAATATCAATCAACCATGAAAAAAAGGAAATCTGATCATAACATCTCGCAACTCATCCCTGAGAAATGAACCCCGGGATCCAAATCCTCAAACTAGTCCCCTCTTTCGTAGTCTTCACCGAGATCTCAATCCCGTTCCCCTTCGCGCCCTCACTCTTGCCCACCTCGGGCAGGTTCAGCTTCGCAACCGTGCCGCTGGCGCTCTCACTCAGACTCCCCAGACTGCCCAACGCCTTTTCTTTTGTGTCTTCCGTGTCGGGAGGTTGGACTTTGCCCAGAACTTTGCCTTTGTCGTCGACGATTTCGCCGGCTTCGTTGACTTTTTTGCCGGCTATTGAAGAGATGTCTCCTGTTGCCTTGCCGAGAACTTTGCCTTGTTCGTCGACGATGTTGCCGGATTTATCGACCGTGTTGCCTGCGAGTTTTGTGACATCGCCCACTTTGTCTGTAGCTTGACCTGCCACATCGCCAACTTTGTCTGTGGCTCCACCAGCTGTGTCCTTAACGCCATTGACTGTAGAATCTGCTGTATCCTTGACTCCATTGACGCCTTCAGTAGCCTTGGATGTAGCATCTCCCGCGAGACCTTGAGCTTTATCCGTTGCGCCGCTAGAGGTGTCTTTCAAGCCATCTGTGGCTCCGGAAGCTTTGTCTGTAAGATCGCCTGTTGCGCCAGATGCCTTGTCGCCCACATCCCCAAGAGCACCCTTTGCCTTGTCGGTAGCACCTCCAGCTGTGTCTTGAGCCTTGCCCGCGACATCGCCAGCTTTGTCAGTGGCCCCTCCAACGGCACCTTCAGCTGTGTCTTTCACTCCGCCAGCTTTCTCCGAGGCGTCACCTACAGCGCCTTGGGCCTTGTCTCCAAGACCACCAGCTGTGTCCGTTGCGCCTCCCAAAGCATCACCGCCGGGTACAGAGTCCTTGGCTTTAGAAGCCGTATCTCCAACGCTCTTCTGCGCACCACCAGCTGTATCCTTAGCTTTCTTTGTCAGGCCATTTGCTTGATCCGTAGCACCACCAAACAGACCACCAGCTTTCTTTTGCGCGCCACCAAGGGCACCGGTAGCTGAATCCTTCGCGCCGCCCAAAGCGTCTCCGCCTGGGAGAGAATCGGTGTTGGGAAGACCGCCGCCGAATTTATCGGTAGCACCTTTGGTGGTCTGTTGTGCTGCGTCCGTGGTGCCCTTGACCTTCTTCTGCGCGCCGTCTGTTGCGCCTTTGGATGTCTTGGAAGCTTTGTCAAGACCTTGCTTGCCTTGGTTTGGAAGATCGCCGGCTGCGTCTTGGGCTTGCTTTGGGACTTTGGAAGCTGTGTCTTGGGCTTGTTTTGGGACTTTGGAGGCGGTGTCTTGGACTTTGTCGAGTGGAGCTCCGTCATCTTCGCCTTCTTCCTCGTCTTCTCCCTCTTCGTAACCCTCGTCCTCGTCCTCATTTTCATTGTCGTGATCTTGATCTTCTTCCTCTTCCTCGTCTTCTTCTTCATTGCCCTCATCGTGATCCTCCTCTTCTTCTGAGGCCTCGTGGGTTTCCTCGGGCTCGGATTCCTCCTCGTGAACTGGCTCTGGCTCTGGTTCAGGCTCCTCTTCCTCCTCCTCTTGCTCTGGTTCCGGCTCAGGCTCAGGTGGTGGGGCTGGCTTCTTCTTTTTCTTTAGAAGTGGTTTCTTGGTTGGCGAATCGACTTTTTGAGCGGTATTTGGTTGATTCTTCTTGACTGCCTCAGGCTTTGGAGCTTCAGGCTCTGGTTGCTTGATATCTTCCTGTTGAGGAGCTTCAGGAACCTCGGGCTCTGGTGGAGGCGCAGGCTTCTTCTTCTTGATCATTTTGCGCTGAGGTGTGGGAGTCTGCGGAGCTTCATCTGGGACTTGGGACATGTCGGATACAGATGGGGTCTGTGGTGCTTGCTCTTTGACTTCCTTGGGAACCTTATCGCCAACATCCTTGGGGATCTTCTTTTTTTTCTTCAAGTGTTGTTCTGGGGATGGATTGTCTGCGACATCTTTGGCCTCCGACGGGACATCTTGAGGAGGTTTTGGGATCTTCTTCTTCAATGATGTTGGAGAGTCGCCATTTGGTAATTTCTTCTTGATGGATCCCGATTTTGGAGTCGTGGGAGTCTTATCGTCAAGAGGGGTTTTGGGGGTCTTCGGGGTCGACATCTCGGAAATGTAATTGTATGCACGCTTCAGACCAAAGACGAGCCAAAAAGATGTCGAAGTTACAATAGATATATCCAGGATATCGATGTGAAGAGCTTAACGAGCTTGATGATCTGACGCAGGGACTTGTTACTTTCTGATACGAAAGGAGATAAATCCGGGAGCTCAGGGAGCTTGGACGATGATGACAGCACTGTACTTTCTGGGGCTGGGGCTGGGGCCGGCTGGGCTGGGGGTTTGGACTTTGCCTCACGGGAGCTCATATGTGAGGGGTAGCTTATGACACATTAGTGGCTGGAAAACCTGGAAATGCAGTGATCGGCTTGATCCGTACTTGCACATACGGTGTGGCTCGAGATGGCCTTCGCCACACTTGACGACACTCCTTCACTGGCTCGTGTGGCTGTTGGAACGTCGCTAATCACTAGAATTATCGTATGTCCAGAATGTGGCTCGAGTTTTGCCTCTTGCTGCACTGCAAACAAGTTCATAGAGATGGAAAGTAATTACAGAGGCTACACAGCATAAATCCAACATGAATACCTGGAAAGATTGACTTACTTCCTCATACGAGCTGCACGGCAATCAGCCATCGGAAACGCACAATGCGATGGAGATCACGACATGAACAGCTGAGCAGCAAGCTCTTTGCGTCATAACGAGATTCACTTCTCGCACCTGTGTAACGCTGAGGCTGGGGAATCCCACGGCTCCCAGGATGAAGCAGCGAGCATCGAGCAAACGGGGAGAAATCGCCACACATGATCCAGACCACTGATGTCGCAAGAACTGCATGGACATATGTACAGAAACAAGGAAACAAGAGGGGATTCGTCCAATGCTGACGCGGGAGAGGAAGAATGATCCCAGTTGAGGTGTTGTGAGGGCATTCGTAATTGGATCGTATATGGGCTTCGTATGTTGTGGGACTTGAAGTCAAATGCCACGGAAGAACTTGGCGTGCAAGGGTCATTTAGCGCTCCTAGTGGCAGTAGTAGTGCGCAGCTACTGTACCACGGGTGGTGGTACAGTAGCGAGGGGCGAAGGAAGGATTTACCGGGTGCTGGTAAGTTCGTTTCACCACCCGGACAGAAGTTGGTCTTAGTGTGCATAGGCGGATCAGCCACAGCGGGCCACAAAATGCCACAGACACTTAAGCCACTATATTCTTAGCGTAGAGACCCTGGTAGGGCGGGATCATCAACGTCAAGCCTCAACTGTCTTTCTCCTTTCTCCTTCCTCCTTCCTCCACGCCTTCCGACTCAAGCTTCAGGCTTCAGGCTGTCAGGGATCATTGAGTGCTGATGCTCTCCCATACACGCACCCAGTGACACACAGACTCCGAGATCGTCACTGCACCGTTAACACTCAAACCTCAAGTGTGGCTGCGTGTGATCACCAATGATCGAGCTCCCTCTTCATCATTAGGGCGGCTCGGTTGGACCAGTGTCTATCATTCTGTAACGAGCCCACAACTTTGCTTGCAAATGTTTCGTCGACAGCTGTGCCAATGGTCCTCGAAACCTGATCTCTTCCCTGTCTACGCTTTACACACTACAGTACTGCTCCCCACTTCACATGGAAACAACGTGTGCAATGGGGCGTCCCGATCGTCCCACCCCCATGCCGAAGGAGGGAGGGGGATCCCTTCGATATGGCCTCCCGCATCATGACCCCAATGATTTTGATTGTGAGGTGATGTAAGAGCTCAGCAGAGAGACAGAGAGATACCTGGATGCTAGCTCTGCGAAGCTCTCTACCCTGTCAGAGGGGTCTTGGTTCCTGCAGTGCAGCTCCCCCCTCATGACGTCGTTGCTCCATCATCATCAGAGCTGTCCAGCAACCAGCAAGTTACCGGTTCCCTCATTCTCCAGATATAACCCATTCCTCAGCAGATCTTCTCTGGAAAAAAAACTAAACCGCACTTTTCCCATCATTCCATACCAACCAAAACAAAACCACTACGAGAAAAAGTGCGTCTCATAATTACATGAGATACAGCACAAACTACACTTTGTCATCATTTCGAGAAACCCAAGTCCCCACCATATTGGTCTCCAAACTGCACAATCCTTCTGGAACACGCTCGCCAACATGGCGGATATCGCTACCCAGAGAATGCCCAGCACGCCACAGAAGAAAAACGTAGGCAGTGCTGCGGCCTCACCTAAATCCACAAAGAAAGCTCCCAAGACACCATCTGTCGGCAAGCCAGCCCCATCGGTAGCCGAGAGCGGTGTCCACGAAGCTACACAGACAAGAAGCATTCACGAGACTGCTGATGAAGAGGAGGAGGAGGAGGATGAAGACGAGTACGAGAATGTCGAACAGACAAACGACGGAGAGGAAGAAGAGGGAGAGGACGATGAGACCGAGGAAGCTGTTCCAGCCGGCTCAGTTGACCATGAAGGCAACATCATCGACGACTCCGGCAATGTGATCGGCAAAGCTACCAGCGAAGTACCCGAAGGCAGCATGGTCGACCAAGAAGGTGACATCCTCGACGAAGAGGGCAATGTCATTGGAAAAGCCGACCTCGAAAACGCTGGCAAGGAAGCTGGCGAGAAAGCAGAATCAGCCGTTGGCGGACTCAAAGACACAGCTGAGGGCGCCGAGAAGCCAGACCTTGACGATACCGAGAAGCCAGAACTCGCAGCACCATTCGGTGTCCAAGACAATGGCGAGATCACCAACGCGAAGGGTGAGACAGTTGGCAAGCTTTCTGAAGGCAAGCCAACTGACCTTGTTGGTACTGCTATCCATCACATCGATGAAGAAGGCAACATGAAGGCCGAGACTGGCAGCACAATCGGGAAAGCTGAGATCGCACCCGAGCTGCTCGAGAAGGCCAGTGGAGCTGGATCCAAGCTCGGTGATGTCGATGAGAAGCTCCCTGAGGGTGAATTACCTGAGGGTGAGGAGAAGTTGGGCGAAGCGGGCGACAAGCTGGACGAGACCAAGGAGGATGCAGAACTTCCAGAAGGTGAGGACAAGCTCAATGAGTTGGAGCCCAAGCCATTAGATGAAGAAGGCAACCCAATCGAAGGCGTTGAGGAGCCCAAACTCGATGAGGAGGGTAACCCAATCGAAGAGAAGCTTGATGAGGCCAAGGAGGGTGTTGAGGAACCAAAACTCGACGAAGAGGGCAACCCAATTGAAGGTGTCGAAGTGCCAAAGCTCGATGAAGAGGGAAACCCAATCGAGCAGAAGCTCAACGAAGCCGGCGAGCCAATCACAGAGAAGCTCGATGAGGAAGGCAAGCCTGTGTTGGACGAGGAAGGAAACCCAATCATGGAGAAGCTCGACGAAGTCAAAGAGGGTGTTGAGGAGCCAAAACTCGACGAGGATGGAAACCCAATCGAGCAGAAGCTCAACGAAGCCGGCGAGCCAGTCACCGAGAAGCTCGACGAAGAGGGCAAGCCCGTCCTTGATGAGGAAGGAAACCCAATCATGGAGAAGATCGAGGAAGCCAAGTATGATGCTGATGGTAACCTGATCGAAGAACCCCAACTCCAGAAGAAGCTTGATGAGGATGGAAAGACCGTCTTGGATGAAGAGGGCAACCCCGTCATGGAGCAACTCGATGAGCATGGTAATCTTTTGCAGAAGAAGGTTGATGATGAGGGACAGACCGTCTTGGATGAGGAGGGTAACCCTATCCTGAACCCAGTCGACGAAGAAGGCAATCTTCTCCAGAAGAAGGTCGATGACGAGGGTCAGACAGTTCTCGATGAAGAAGGCAAGCCTGTCATGGACAAGGTTGATGCCGATGGCAACATTCTTCAAAAGAAGCTCGATGAGGACGGAAAGACTGTTCTCGACTCAGAAGGAAAGCCCATCCTTGAAGCTGTCGACGCTGAAGGCAATGTCATTCCTGAGAAGCCAGACCTCTCGATCCTCAAGGGCAAGACTGTCAACAAGGCCGGCAAGATCGTCGATTCAGATGGCACTCCATTCGGTGTTCTCGTCGAAGGCGATGTCAAGAAATTGATTGGCAAGAAGGTCGATGCCGAAGGCAACATCTGGAACGACAGCGGCAAGATCATTGGCCGTGCTGAGCTCCTTCCCGAAGCTGAACGTGAGGCTGAGGCTTCCGCTCCATTCGAAGATTTCCCAGATAGCGTTCTTGATGCTAAGGGAAATGTCATCTTCGAAGGCAAGATTGTTGGTAAGCTGATTGAGGGCGATGCCAAGAAGCTTGAGGGCAAGAAGATCGATGCTGATGGTGATGTCGTTGACAAGAACGGAAACGTTCTTGGAAAGGCTGAGCGTTACCAAGAGGAGGAAGTTGTCGAGGAAGAGCCAGAGAAGGAAGATCTCTCTGCTCTTGACGGCAAGAAGGTCAACAAGGCTGGAAATGTCGTTGATGATAACGGCAAGCTATTCGGTCGTGTTGTCACCGGTGTTCTCGCCAAGCTTATTGGCCGAAAGTGTGACGCTGAAGGCAAAATCTGGTCAGAATCCGGAAAGGTCATTGGCACAGCTGAACTCCTTCCCATGGATGATAGAGACGAGGGTGGAGACTCTCCATTCGAGGACTTCCCCGGCGCCATCTGCGATAAGCATGGCAACATTCTCTTCGAGGGCCAAATTGTCGGTAAACTTGTCTCAGGAGATGCTAAGCGTCTCGTTGGCAAGAAGATCGACAAAGATGGCGAGATTGTCGATAAGATTGGCAACGTTCTCGGCGTTGCAGAACGCTGGATCGAAGAAGATGAGCCCGAGCCAGAAAAAGTAGATATGTCTGCTCTTGCTGGCAAGCGTGTCAACAAGGTTGGCAACGTCGTCGACTCTCACGGACAGATCTATGGCCGTCTCGTCCAGGGTGATCCCAAGTCCCTTGCTGGTCGCATGTGCGACAAGGATGGTAACGTGAGAGCAGAGGACGGAACCATCATTGGTCGCGCCGAGCTTGTTCCTGAGTCTGAGCGCGAGGGCCAGAAGGAGGGTATCTTCTCTGGCTTTGACAACCCCAAGGTCACCAAGGATGGTAAGGTCGCTGATTCGCAAGGTGTCATCATCGGTCGTCTCACAGAAGGTGATGCCAAGAAGCTTTACGGCAAGATGGTTGACCCCGATGGAGATGTGCTCGACAAGAACGGCAACACTCTCGGCAAAGCCGAACGCTGGGAAGAAGAAGAGAAGGAGATTGCCCACAACCCCGTCGCTGGCCGAAAGGTCAACAAAGAGGGTAACGTCGTTGACGAGAATGGCGACATCATTGCCAAGCTCACTGAAGGTACAATCACCAAGTGTTCCGGCAAGGAGATTGACGAAGATGGAGACGTCTACAACCAGAAAGGCCAAGTCATCGGCCACGTGACACTTCTCGAAGATATCCCCGAGCCAGAAGTCGAGCCTGAACCAGAGCCAGAGCCAGAGGAACCAGAAGAGACCGAAGAAGAGCGAGAAGAGCGTCTCCAGCTCGCTCAAGACAAGAAACTCGCCGGCCAAATGGCAATGTGCGTCCAGCAATCCATCGACAAAATAAACCCCATCCTCAAGATGATCACCGAGGTTTGTTTTCCCCCTCCTTTCCCTTCTCTTATCCATACTAACATATGAACAGACAATCGACGCCGCAGAACGCCAACCGAAAGAAGAACTCGACGAACAAAAGCTCGTCGACACCGTAAAACCACTCATCGAGCAAGGCTCTCAAATCCTCACCGAAGCCAACGGCGTGATCCGGGGTCTCGACCCCGATGGACGCATCGCAGCCAACGCCAAGCACAAGACTGCCGCTCGTGAGGCGACGCCTGAGGAGTACCGCTTGGCCGATGTCTTGAAGGAACTCACGACCAATGTCACGGGTACAATTGATAACGCCAAGAAGAAGATCGCGGGCATGCCGCACGCAAAGAAGGAGTTAAACCCTCTGTGGGGTCTCCTCGCTGAGCCTCTCGGCCAGATCTTGGCAGCGGTCGGTCTGCTGTTGGCGGGTGTGTTGGGTCTTGTTGGAAGGCTACTGAGTGGTCTTGGACTGGGTGGATTGTTGGATAATTTGTTGGGTGGTCTGGGATTGAAGGGTATTTTGAAGGGACTCGGATTGGGTATGGTTACTGAGAGTTTGACGGGGAAGAAGTGAAGTAATGATGGGTGATGAGTGATGGGAAAAGGTATTTGTATTTGTAACGACATCATGTTTGGGACGGATTTGTTTTGTAGCGTTGCTTTTGTGGTTTCATTATTGTTAGGTAGTTTTGTAGTTTAGGGAATGAGATTTAATCAAAAGTACTCTTGCTTCTTTCATCTTGTGCTTTCATTCATATAAGTGCTTTGGGTAGTGTTGAAGTTCCCTTCAACTCAGGTTCCTGCTCACGGGTCTTATAGCCATGCTGAATCGTCTTGTAATGAGCCTTCCATATTAAGTCTATGCTCTACAGGGTGTTTTCTCAGAAAATAGGGAATAAAGTTCGGAAAATTAAATAAGTAATTAGTTTACAGTTTACTTCGGCCATTTTGTTACTTGGATGCAATATTACATGCAATTTTGCTTTGTAGTTCTTATGTTTTTCTAAAGTAATAGTCGCGATTTTTGACATTTCCAAGCTGAAAAGTCTCGCTAAGCCGAAAAAAAGATGGCCTGAAGAGCACAGACTTAATATGGAAGGCTCGTAACACATTATTTCTGTTTCAGTGATGAAACCCATTGCAGATTGGTCCAAACAAGAACAAACTGCCACAAAAGCCAATATGCTTATCTTATTCTTGTATACCAAGCCATGAGTTGCTTCACAGAGCGGCTGGATCACGTGGATTGCTTCAGCTTGTGGAGATTTCCAGAGTTAAACAGCTAGCTTTCTGCACATAATCTAGATGAAACCCTTCTTCTGCACATTCTCAACTTTCTACCCTTGTGTATTCCGATGTTGTTCAACATAGGCAGAGGCAAAGCTCCAGAAGACTAATATTAGATCCCTAAGCGTCATTACTCTTGCGGGTAATCTTTTAGAAGAAAGTAAGGAACAATATCAAGACACCTCTAGTCCGAAACGCATTTCCGCCATCACTACAACTCCAAAATCCTTTCCAAAGCTTGTCCAGAATCCTGCATCATGAATTGTGCTGTGACTCGAATATTTAAGTTCACCGTTGACTTGTTTTCACATGTTCACACAGTTCTATTCCAGCTTCGCAACTTCATGCCATCTTCACTCGGCTTCGACCTGGTCGACCCACTAGTTGATACCTTTGAATCAAGTCGCTTATGTGACGTTCTTCATCTCTTGAAATCTCTTCTCGTCTCTTTCTCACTTCCTCCCACCATGGCCTGTAATGTGCATCGGCAGCGCTGTATAGACTGAAACCAAGCATCGTCATCCTAGCGAGCAGCGCAGTCGCTTGATCCAGATCGGTCAAACTAGCCTCTGTACTCGGAAAGAAGTAGTCAAGGAATCTCTCTCTGTCCGACAGAAGAGTATTTCCCTCCGGCCAAAACCCCTTCGATGGAAGGAAAGTCAAACAGGGAAAAAAGATTGAGTAACCGGAGTAGAGGATGACCAATGACCAGGGCCACTCAGTTATATAGGGTAGTATGAACAAAATGGGCCCACTGGGTCCTGTTAGGTCGTAGTCTGCCATCGAATCAAACTGCCTCTTTTGGACGAAAAAAGTGCAGTGTCCCATCAGTTGACCTAGACCGACACCTAACAGCGCCGACATCACCGCGAGGAAGTCATCTGGAAAAGTGCGTTCGCCATTGATTCCAGATGTATATAGGTATATCTTAGAGAAGACGCAAAACATGCACGATGCTGTCAGGAAGCTCACGCGCTTAGGAATGCATTCGAGCAGGCCAGGTACGATAAGGAGATTACAAAGCTGGAGGTATGTCTATATAATAAGGAGAGAAGCAGCCAACGATGCACGCAATTGTTCAGGAGTATTGTTGCCTGCTGACAACTCCGACGACCAGCTTCGAATCTGCGTAATCATATGTGCTGAAGCAACCATCGGAAAAGTGGCAAGTGCGATCATATCGTTGGTGATCGCATCAGCCGTCCGTTTCCTCGAGTTGAGAGTCCATGATACAAAACAAGAGAATGCTGTCAAGTACCAGCAAGCTGTTACACCAGGGCCATAGAAAGAGTTGACCAGTGCAAGGCTGTCGGTCGCAGTGGCTTGTTGAGCGCAAGTAGACATCGGGAACTCGGTGAAACTTTCAAATTATTACGAATTGTTGAGACATAAATTCTCCCGCTTATGTACTCCGCAAGCTGTGTCGAAGTATGCAAGTGGATAGATGAGATTCGAGAAGAGAAGAAGTGAGCCATTATCGCAGATATAACACAATACATAGAGGCTGTGCAACAGCTTGTCTCGCTTGCTCAGCCCCCACCAACAATTTCGGGCCGCGACCCTCGCCCGGTTACCCTTCGCCTACCCTTGTGGTATCTTATTCAAGGTCTGTTTTATGATACCTCACTACTATTGTACCATGTAACCTAAGAGAAAGGGTAAGCTACTTCGTCAATCCGTCAGATATTTGCTGCTTGTCTGTGGGTAAGAAGCTGAATTCGCTTTACAGTAATTACAAATTTTCAGGAGCCAATTCAACGCTTTCTTCCTTGCTATTTGCCCTTTATTCACCAAGGCTTCTCAAAAAAACACCACCGACCTGACTACTAATCTACACACTCCCTCTTCAATCAACCAAATGATTGCTGTCTATATTGGAATTTTTTCAAAACAATGGACGCAAAAAGATAAAAAATTTTATTGATATCGAGTAAGAAAATCGTTGTCAACTTATATGAATATCAATTCGCTGTTGACTGCGAGGAAAATTACATGATGTAGTTAAGTTTAAACAAATACGAAATAAAAGTGGTGGTGGCTTCTCCAACTTGGTTATCTTGCGTCATTTCCAGCTGTTAGTAAGAGAAGACCAGCTCTCAGATCGTTGAGGCAGTGGGTACTTGTTCGAACTCTTGGGATAAGGGAAGTGTAAGAAGCAAAAAGTGTTTATATCGTCACTAGCGTCGCACTAGCAACGAGTCTTGTATCATTGGTCACGGTTTGAGTGATTTTAGCAGCAGAAGAACGGCAATATTGGGTGAATAGCCAACCCGTCCCCCTTCACACCTCGATCACGAAATCAACCTATAAATCGAGACAACACGTCAGGAATTTCGGTAGCAAATAACCAAATATAGAATCCATACAACCTTCATCCTTAGGGACTAAGCCCACTATGTTTAACAATGTAGTTTGGTGAGGGATATGCGTAGCACTAGAAGCTAATGATAGCGCCAACCATGATGTCAGAAAGGTATTGCACTAATGTTTATTCTGCTGTCAACACTTTATTTGTTGTCAACTCACTAAAGTTTTGACGATAACTTTACATTGCCGGTTTATTTATCTAAGGATATGGTTACCATCTGCTTGGAGAAGGATATGCCCTAGAGTCTAAAGCCCAAGCATTGGTGACGCCGGCTCACCATGAAAGGGAAAATCGGCTCTTGGTGGGTATGTGTTTCGAAAGACGTGCAGAAGGGCGTTTATATCGTTACTAGGGCCACTCTAGTGGGCTGGATCGCATTAATAGGTGAACTTGGAGAGTCGTACGGGGAAAAGGAGTGAATTGGAAATATGACATTGGAATAAGGGTTTTGATTGACATATATTGCGAAAGATGTGCAGAAGGCGTTCATATGGTCACTAGCGTGCTGCTGGTGACTTGTATCCTGTTAATAAGTGAATTCGAAGGTTTGTGCGGGAAGAGGAGTGAATAAAGGACATCACATTCACGTGTAAAAACTGGGAGTTGCACTTGATGAATACAACAGCAACATACTTTGCTGAGTGGATAACCTCGTAAGCTACAATGTTCCTTTCAGATGTACAGGTAATAGTGTTCTTCATGATCAAAAGGGGTAGTTGCGCAGGACATTGGCAGAAGTGATGTGTACAACAGAATTTTCTGGTCTGTCTTCAGAATCTGACTTTAAAATAATCTAAGTCAGGCTATCAGAAGCTGACATCAGAAACTTTGAAAGTGCGTCTTCAAAACCCGACTCCAAGGCTTTTTAAGTCGCATTTTAGGAATCTTACTTTGGGGCTTGTTGAGTCGCATTTCGGGAGTTTGACTTTAAGACTTCTCGAATTACACTTTTGCAATCTAACTTCAGGACTTGTCTTATTGACGTTTCAGTCTATCAAACATTCTTTGAATGATCCCAATCAGTCGCCCACAATCCCTTCCCACCACACACCAAATCAACACACCCTACGACCAATTAGCACTCTCACTCGTTCTCCTCCCCACCATGCTAGGCAAAGAACTCACGCGGCAGTAGTAGCAACAGCGACCCTCCTCTTATAATTCTTCTCCGCGACTTCATACCCATAATTCCTCACATCGGATTGATATCGCTCACTCCTCTCCCGTGCTCTCCTGCCAAGCCGGGAACGTACTTGTGGCGCGGGTCCTGGATGATTGTATGGCTGTTCGTAAGAAGGTAGAGGTTCGGGCTGACGTTTGTTCTTGGCGAGCAGAGACAGGGCGAGGAGACACATTGTGGCGGTCTTGTGTGACGAAGGTGTAGCGTTGAATGTTTTGTTTGGTATTTGGAAGAGTGAGTTATGGCTGCAGTGGATGCCTTTATATATATTCATGGTCGAATCTGAGAAGCGTGTATTCAGCGCCTTAATTTAGATCATAATCTTTGACGAGGCTGTGTATGCTCATTGTTTCACAGATTTTAGGAAACTTCATCATCGTGAGTCAAATTAGCTATTCCCAAAATGGATATTTTGCGAGGAATCTTGGCATCATCGGATATCTGATGTCAAAATGCGGCAGCATTCCGAAAAGTACAACAATTTCAGTTGGATCAGTCGGTAAGCTTACTCTTACGGACCGAGTGATGTTCACACAGCAGTCAGACACTTGGAGCAGATTATCAAACCAAGCCAACTAAATAGACAATGCACTGGCATGTGATCGAAGCAGAGGTGAGCACCTCGGGGATGAAAAACTGCATTTCAAAATGTGACTATCAAGCTGTTCGCCTTTAATTGGGTACCATCAAACCTTCACAAGATTGGCTTCAACTTCTTTGCTCCACCACTGAGGAAAGTCAACCACTTGCTTGCCTAACCTCGCGTGTTCTGCAGCGAATACCATTGCATGACTCCTGATTACTTCTTCCAAGCTGCAGCCAACATGGACTCTCTGTGCTTCTTCAGCACTAACTCCGTGGTTCTTCACAGCATCGACAGCAAGGATGAATTGCCTTGCAAGACCATCATCACCACCACCATGACCGCCTTTAGCGATGTGAGGCTTGTAAATCGTCTTCTCACCCGTGATGAAGTTCTCAACTGTGATATTCTCACTATCTGCGTAGATCTCACCATCGCAGCCATATATATGACTGTACCTTTCGCAGATCTTCTTAGTGTGAGCAACCATATGAAATACAGCCGTCTTCGCACCTCGACCAGCAAGAGCTTTTTCTTTGTCAGTTTCGCCAGGAAGTGGTTCATTTTCCCATTTCATGGTCACCACTTGGTCATCACAGACATCGTTGTCTGACTCGTAGACACAACGGCCAAACCAGTTCTTGGATGATACTTCCGAAGTTGGAGTGTGGTTTGTATAATTTTCTTCGAGCTTTGACATGACAGCGGCTTGGCCTGCAGCTTTACCGCTCTGAGTTATACATTCCTCAATGTCATTGACCACGATGTCCACCGGCCAGTGGGCGTTTCCAGAGCCAAGACCTTTGTGCTGCGCTCCAAGGTATATCTTCTTCGCAGAGTATTTGCATGATTCCTCAATAGGACATGAGAGGCAATTCGTAGCATCACCTGCGGCGGTCGGCTTGCGCGTCTGATTGAAATATTGCAAAGCTCCTGTAGAGCTGAGCTGTGTGGGAATGTGTGCTGGCTTGGTTGAGCCTGGTGGAGGGGAGCACATGATCCAAAGGAGCAGGTCTATGTCATGGCAGGATTTCGTGAGAAGAGAGGGAGCTGTTGTAGATTCTTTGCGCCAATTGCCCCTGCAGATGATCAGTATAAGTCCTGCTGGCATGGACTGGGCATATCTTACCTGACGTAGCTGTGCGTGAAGTGCCACCATCCTACCGGCTCTGTATGATTGATGGACATAATTTCCCCAATCACCTTGTCTTCAAGTAGCAGTTTTCGAAGCAACATGTTATGAGGGCTATACCTCAAGACATGGCCTATGCCGAATATCTTAGATGGTGTTGTGTCAGGAAGGTTTGGCAGCATCGCTTTGTATATCGAGACGCAGTCATCCAAAGTCGTAGCCAACGGCTTCTCGCACATAATATGGAGACCCAAGGGTGCCAGTCCAAGTATGACCTCCTTATGCATCTCATCAAGTACACAGATGAAAACAGCATCTACCCCTTCAGGTACATCCTCGCCATGCGAGGCTTTTGTGCGTCTCTCCTGTTCCCAGGCAGCAAATTGCTTCCAATTCTCAAACTGTTGTCCATCCGCTGGACCAGCTTTGCCCCAGATATACATCTCGCCCATCCGCTTTCGTTTGGATGCGATGGTCTCTGCAACTGCGACCACGATGCCATTTGTCGACTCTTTGGTAGCTCTGGCATATGCGAAACCTCGAGAGCCAGCACCGATGATGAGGATTCGTGGAGGATTCTGGGACATGGCAGGGCGAGGGACAGCTGGAAGACGATCAGCCTCATCGGGGACTGTTGGAGAATCTGCGTGTGGTGCCATGATCGCGCGCTTGGATATGGATCTGATAACAGTCAATTCGATCTATATATACTCAGGGAGCTCTCCAGGACACCCCACCATGCTGCTGCTGACCCCGCGACCAGGATTGCAACGTGCAAGTTCCTGTAACAGTAACGTTACCGAATGGCGGCCAATGAGAAGAGACGCATTTGATTGTACCTATCAGCTGTTCGTGAAACGCATCTGCGGAGTCATGCCAGTGTTGAGGAGGCTTGAGTGATGTATGGGAAGGTGGGATGGATTTTAGGTAATGTTTCAGTGATGATGCATTACTGTTGCCTGAGAATTGAGGCTACAGTTGAGAAAACGCAAGCTGAACTTTATGGCTAATGGATTTGCAACTCAGGCAGAAATCTGTATATAGATGGCTGTGGGACGATCAGAGAAGAAAATCATATTAAGACAACAGAGATGCAAGGAATTGAAGATCAATACCTAGGTAAATCAAGGGAAAGGGGCTATGGGATGCTCGGTTAGCAAAAGGGGCAAATCGCTAAACGGAAATGGGCATCACCAGCCACAGACTTCTCGCATAAACCATAGTTCTTCGTGTGAGATCATCTAGAGTTGCCCAACGGTTCTCATAAGTGTTTTTCCGTCGTTAGTAAACGAGTTTTTATTGCGCCAAATATGAAAGGTTTACTTCCGTACCATGTGACCTTCTAAGTGGGCCAAAGTTTTTCTATCCTTTTGGGCATGCTCTATTATGTTAAATAACGAAATTTTCGGAAATCACGTAACCGAAATTTTCGGCCTGGTGGCCTGTGAGTGCTTCATATCTACGTGTTTTCCACCAAACGCTAACAAACGATAGAATGGTAAGGCGTCGGCTTCCGGCACTCCTGGAATCTGCCGAAGACTGCGGGTTCGAGTCCCGTCTGGGTCGGCGCGAGATTTGGAGTAGACTTTTGCCATTTTAAGTGTTTTTGGAGTATATGCATCATGTTTCATGAGCATTTTTTGCCCGGGTGCTTTTCGGCTTCGCTAAACTTGTCCGCTAAGCTAAATTCGTTCCGAGACCCAAAAAAAAATGCTTAGCCTTTGAGATTTGAGGTGCCGCAATCCAAAGATTCTCTCCTCTCTCGGACTAATCATCGCCCTGAGATTCCAAAGGCAGCACGCCTGGGAACCCCCTGGTTTTTGATTCTCTCTTCGCACCCCTTCCCTCCTACCTTTTCTTTCCAAATACTATACGTCCTATCTCCTTGCCATGGCCAAACACTGCACAGTATCCATCAAACCATATCCATCTTTTCCGCATCGTATCTTGCCTACAAATTCCTCTTTCTATGTCTTGTCTAGTTCATCTTCTAGTTCATCTTGGTTTTTGTTTTCGTAGAGACTCAGCCGAAATCCAACCGATATTCATCCTACAACCCGCATTTTCGAAAAACATTGGATTTCTGACAGTGATGAGTGATGAAAGACCGCAGCTAAAGCAAAATTGAATGTGGTCCCCATCAACCCATCTGACTGCAAAATGTCATTGTTCCAACAGCCCGGATCGCATCGCTATCGTTCGAAGAGTTCAACACAGGTTTTTGCTCACCGAAAAGTGTTGGCGGTCAAAGTCACGAAGATGACAAGAGTCATAAGGGTGTCCGGAGTCTTTGCCTCAACACTGCATCACAGCTCAGCAGTGTCTTGATAACAGCTGCAACCGGTTGTAGGGGTAAATTATTGAGATAATGAAGCTGGCAATCCTGGCGATTGTTTGCAGTGGGGTCTTTTTTCCTTCTCTTTCCATAAGCCGTGTGGTTATGGGCGGCGAACGAAGTAGGTCTCGTAGGTGGGAGGAAGTTTCGTTCTGTGGAGAAGCTATTGAATCATCAGTACCGGCGGAAGAATTTGGAAGTGCTGACATTTACAGATCGAATTTCATGAGTTGCTATTAGATTTGTGGGACTCGTGGACCACATTATCAACGAACCAACACAATCCTGATGGCAGCGCAGCGAATAACACAGGAAGGATGACGGAAGTATTGTTTATGTTTGACACTCATCAAAAGTTAGGCGCCATACTCATGCTTGAAAGTTAACATGCGTGTTCATCGTATCCATTTCTCTTTTCTATTGTCTCGCCCTTTCGATACGAAAACCCCTAGGCAGTTCGGGCCGCCGGCTTGGGTTTACGTCTTCTTGGTCCTCCCAAACGATGTTCTCGATCCATATCTAACCAGAGTCAAAACCCCCGCCTCCCACAGTTCATAGGGTCCTGCTGAAGAAGCTTCTCACTCAGCAATCTGTCCTCGCATCTCAGACATCTGCCGCAGTTGCCAACTACAAATAGCTATCCTGGGGTATTCAGGCATCAACGGGCGCACAATATACATTTCGCGATGAGTACACAATGGATTTCGTTCTCAGTGGGGATGTGGGGATTCCGGGAGAAGAATTGTTATTGTGGGAGTAAAAGGGAGAAGGCTGTGACAACATAACGGTACGGGGCCCAGAAGAGTTAAGAATCGACCACTAAGGACCGAGGAGGAGATTGCTAAAAGAGCTAGACAAGAATACGCAGATCTAGATCAGGCAGAGCTCAATTTTGAATGATAGAAGCTATAATTAGTGTTCGGTGATTGTAGGTGTAGAGAAGAGAAATGTATTTCGAGTCTCGAATTCGGTTGGATCCTCTACTGAAATCCATCGCCCCAATCTTCCCCTTCCTTCTCTGCAGCCCTTTGCGTCTCACTCCTCCTTCTGTCTCTACGCTCCAAGAACGAACTCAGCAAAACAACCGACCCAATAACTAACACTGGACCCGAAATAAATGCCGCAATCCTGGACTGCATTAACCGTCCTCGATTTATGCACTTCCATTCCCGCTAGAAAAACTTAGTTAATTCAGTCATTGGAGTCGCTAGTTTTGGATTTGGTTTTGGAGCATAGTAAGTACGGTTGTAGGTGTAAATGGGAGAGTGAGTTGTTCTTTAATGATCGGGGTCAAAGTGGTATGTGTTCTGCACATTAATGTCTTTAAAATACCCGAATGGAGAACTCGGGGAGCGGCGGCGGAGGATAGAGCGTGAAGAGGTGGTTTCCAATTGTCCGATGTGAATTATTATGGTTGATTTAGAGGTTGATGATGGTGATGAACCAGAAGAGGACCTTTAGGGGAATCCGCCCATCCAGGCTGGGAAGGGTGCCATCCCGTGTGATGTATGTGGCTGAGATGAGATGAAGTTTTCTCATGTGTGCTGGTGAATTCCCTTTTAGAAATCGGGATAGAAAATATAGTTGAGGCGGACGACGAGGTGCTTTTTGTTTTCCGCGTCAAGAATAGAGATGTTGGGCAAGGGCATAAATAGGTAGATGGGAATTCTGGAAGCGAAGAGACGTTTAAATTGCTAATTCAATCGTCCGTGCGGACCACTTTTTACTCCCCACGCTCCCACTAGCCAAAAGTTTAGTGTAAACCGGGACACCAAAGTCCTTATTGGGAAATTGAGGCCCACCGGCTTATAAGCTGGAACGGAATAACAACTTGGGAGGGCAGACAACAGCTTATCGAACTGTTCTACTCTGGAAAGGGTTCACCATTCAATCTTCACCATTCAATGTTCTGCCAGACGGAAGAATTTGGCCGGAAGTATTAACGTCTGTCGCACTGGGAAGTTAGGGTGCTATTTTCGTAAGAGTGTAATTAAGTAGTGTCTTCTGTTGCAGCTTCCATACGGTCCAGTTGCCGGAGGAGAGTGTTTGGGTAGGATGAAACTGCCATGAGTCAGTCTTTACTTATCAGTATTTTAGAGCGTCAGCAAACGAAGTACTCCACAATCATTCTACCTGTTTTACATTTAAATATACTTTGAAATGGCGTCTCCATTAAGTTGGCTTTATGCAGTAGAAAAGTTCTGGGTAGTAGCGCTATTCAGCTAAATAAGTGGTGTTTGAATAAAATTTAGCTACCGCTTTTTAATGCATCCATCCTAGCCATAAATCATAAATTATATAATTAATTTAACATAAAAACTCGTACCAATATGATAATAAATTAATCTATCAATTGAGTAATTTTCAAAGTTAAAATAATTGTGTTACTACTTTTTAACGTTATCGCTAAGACAGACCAAAAGGTGGTGCTAGGAGTGGAATTTTAGTGCTTATCCTCTAGGTACACGATTAGCATAGAGGCAAAATGGCGTCTGACAACTGCAGTGTTGGTTGAGCACCACATTACCCAAGCCAACATATACCCAACAAAAGATTCAGACAAAATTCACCCTCTTCACACACTAAAATATATAAGATTGTGAATTTCCTCCATTCGCAGACGAACGTTCTTAAAATCCAGATGACCATTATCTTACTTACCCCGATTGCCGCATCCAAACATCTGATTGCTACCTAAGGATAACAATGACCTCGACCAAAGCAACTCTTGTCCTCGTCGGCGGAGGCTGGCACGTTCCTGCCTCCTACTCCAAGCTCACCAACGCTCTCAAGTCCGCGGGCTACGAAATCCACGTGCCCTCCCTTCCTTCAACTAACCAAACACGACCTCCTAATGCCGACCTGTTTACCGACACCACCGTAGTCCGCGAGTACGTCGAGAGACTGGTCGACGCTGGGCGCATTGTCGTCGTGATCATGCACTCATATGATGGCCAAGTTGGTACCAACGCTCTCCACGGCCTCGGACAAAATACTCGCTCCCAGAAAGGCTTGATTGGTGGCATCTCCTATTTTATTTATATGAGTGCTTTTGCGCTTCCGAAAGGTGGATCCATGATTGATAAAGTCAAAGAGTTTGGTCATGAACATCTCATGCCCCTGGCTTTTGATTTCGCTGAAGACATGAGCTGTGTCAGTCGCGATCCGAAGCTGTTGCTTGTTGGTCCAGGTGTTGATGAGAACGAGGTGGAAGCTTATGTCTCAACACTGGTGCGTTGGAATGGGAATGGGATGTATCAAGAGTTGACCAATACACCTGCATGGAAAGACATTCCAGTAGCTTATATATATACGATGCAGGATATGACGGTACCACTCGATTACCAGAAATCGATGGTCGAGAATCTGGAGCGCGAGGGAAAGAAGGTCTATACGGCTGAGCTGGATACGGGCCACTGTCCAAATCTGACTGCGACGAAGGAAATAGTAGATATTATTGACGATATACTAGCTGCTGGGAAAGCATCATAAGGAGATGGCATCCAGGAGCTTGCTAACCTTTGATTGTTTGGATGTTGAATGGATCAAGAAGATTTGCTTGACTTGTATTTTTTATTCCTTCGACGATCTGGGGCATATATGTTCAAAGACACTGTGCACGTGCAAGATTAGCAGCTTCATAATTGGAGGTACCACAACTCAATTCGCAAGCCTGGGAAACAATCTTGATTTGATTCGTGCTGAGTATCAAATAACCTCATTCACTTTCCTATTTCCCTCCTTGCCCTTTTTCCTCTCTTTCTTATACTCACTTTCTCTAACGTCAAGACTTGAATATAAGATTACCATTCGACCCACTTAAGTCTCGAGAGTGATCCAGGCTTATTTGACTCCCTGATTCTCCTCTAAAATAAGTATATAAACTCCTTGCCCTCTCTTTCCAGCACAGCATCGATACCTAAACAACGGGTGACTAGCGCCGCAGTGCGCTGATGTGCGAGGGAGCCGGTACTCCCGGCGTTTTATACTTACAAATATGATCAAGAGGGTGAAACTGTTTATGGCGACAGCAATGCGTGTCCTTACACATACAACGCATTTTATATCTCCCATCTAGATCTCTTGACAACAGCAGGAACTTGACAACAAAGACCCCCCACTCTCCTTCACTGCCCCTTGACATGTCAATAACATGCCCAGTAATATTAGTTAACTATCCTTATTTCCTGCATATTAATCTTGTAACCGAAAACAAAGTAGAGAGGAACGTGACTAGTATACATATTTCCGTCCACTTCTCACCCTGCCGAGCTTCACTTTATTTACCTAAGTAAGTACTGCAGATAGAATCAACTCGATTTACTAGTTACCTAATCTCAATACACATAGCGTTGTGACTCAATTGACACTGGAAAATCCTTTTATCACACTGTATGTACTAGGCTACGCTTCCTCTACAAACCATGATTGCAGGAAGCAGTATCAGAGGATATGGCGTAGACGTCCAAAGTAGCATCTTCCCGCAGAACGTCTGAGCATTCGCAACTACTCAACTGTGAAAGTTATAATGACCGTGGTGTCAAAAAACGATAGCGAATGTCTTCTTGTTGAACCACTTCACCAAAAGACCTCCTACCAGGAATTGATTTCCCGATGTAAGACCACCCTGCCCCACGTTAAAACAATAGACAGAGCTAGATGCTTGCCGTCTATCCACTTCCACTACGACCTCAGCTCTTTTGTCTCATGTTCATGCGGCCAATATAGACAACAACAACCAAAGACTTGACAACATCATCTCCGCTTTTCATAATTCATGCACTCCCGGCAAGGAACAAATCCGGACCTTCTCCCGTTTCATCAAAATCTGCACAGAGAAATCTCTGTAGAGCAGCCGTCTTACCGCGATATATACTTCTTAGTTGAGGGGGAAAGTTTTGCTTCTCAATCGAGCGAAGATTCAATATTCGTTGAGAACAGCTTTCAGAGTGGCGAATAATAGATCCTGCCTGAGATAGTATGTTCGCTGTGAACGTGAATCGAACTCGGCTTCTGCTCTCTATTTTTCTTATGAGTATATAAACTTCCTCCTCCTTTGATTCTCTTATAGTACAAACAGTGATACAGCATATCTCAACTACTACTTTGCTGGCTCTCTGTACGTTGCCGCTTCATGTCGAGATGTGTTATACGTACAAGCTAGTATCTGCGCTGTCCTTCAGATACAATGATTGATGTAAGATGTTGACAACCATAATGAAGTTGACAATAATTGAAGAGCAAAAAATACAATGCTAATGAGGATTTTCTCCGAGTTCATGAAATACTTCAATCTCTTTGGCTAGTTTAATAAGTACCACTTGGTGAAGTCGTTTCAGAATCAGATGATTTTTAAGGCTCAAAGATCGTGAGATATATCAGGCAAGTCAGCTCATCGCCAGGAGCTGCTAACAACTCAAGACCCTCGAGCGAGCCCTGCTATCGCAGATTTAGAGACGCTCTGCTGCGAAACGGTATTCCCACGTCGGTGGATCTCCGCGACTATTTTGACCGCGTTTGCGACCCAATCGAGAGACCCGGCCTCAAATCGTAACTGTAATAAACTTTAAATTCTACGACTCTTAGCATTGAAAAGTCGTAGAAATTATCTAGACATTCATTCCTGTTTGAATCAGTGACCACAAAATCGGAAAACAGAAAGAAAAAGTTAGCAATAATCGAAATCTTGACACCACGTCTATGCTACAGGTCACCATCACATGTGTCCAGCAATAGCAACAACACTGGTAAGTATCACATTTTCAAACAATCAAATAATGTCGTGTAAGTAACCCCTGTGGCACATCGAGACCTGCGTCACCTCCATATACTGGGGCCATGAGTTGGCCTAGTAAGTTATTGTTGATGAAGAATAGGGGGAACCGGCTTACATACCACCCACACTTGAGCTCCGCATGGCGTGATGACTCCTACAGAAAGCAATGATGACTCCGTAGCAAAGCTCGGGAATTAGATTCACCTACTCAAGTCGAGTTCAACTTACTCGTTTTCTTTCTCTCACTGTTTGATTTCGAATACATAATAAACGTCCAGTTTCCATTCCAAAGAAGACGTTCAAGACATTGCAACGGCGCTTGGGGTGCACTTCCACGGGACTCCGGGAGATCTTGCGACTTCCAATGAAAAGAGCCAGATTGCAGCTCTTCCAGGTCGTTGCATGTATGGTTTGTCTCATTATCTTGATTGGGAGAAGGAAAGAACTGAAAGAATGGCAACAGATTTAATCTTGACAACAGCATTCCCGTACCTTCCTATGTCCTGCACCCCCACCTCGGCGAAGAATAGGAAGAGAAACGTAGCATAAAGCAAGAAAATCAAGAGAAGACGTGTAGCCCGGCTCAAAACCAAACTCCTTTGTCTGGCATCGTAATTGCTTGGACTTAGTTTGATAAAAAAAAAAAAGGAGGAGGCGGGGGGAGGAAGGGGGTTATATATCCACAACTTGACCACTGGAAACTCTCTGTTTCCCTTAAAGAAGTAGTGAATCAGATATAACCTGAGACCAACAAATTCACCCACTTATTGACAGAAGCTCCAATCTTCTTCTCGAAGTCCGCTCGCCGCTCCGCTCCGCTGCTCCGGAGAAACTATAAAAAAGACTCCGATACCGACAGTGTCAAGACCAAAAGGCAAAGGAGGACGTGGAAGGAGATCTACCGGAATATGAGAGCTAGTGCGGGAGCTTGCGTGAGTTCCTGGTTGGGAGGAAAGAGGGAGATGTTGATTTGTAGACAACTAGCATATGTCAACTTCTTTGTGTGCAAGCTTTCCCTCCTGCTTAACAGACACCGTAGTATATTGACAACAGCTCAAAGCTTGACAGCAAAAGACTCTTTCTCGTCTCAAGCAACCCTAAGGTCCATTCTTCCAACGAAAAGAAACAGTAAAAACCGACAAGAAAAACAACGCCATTTAATCGTCCCCATGACCAGGCTCCCAGCTCAACCCCAACTGGCATTGGGCCATTCCTGTTTGCTTCGCTTTGTATGTTGCACTTTGTCGGGAAGGAAAAAACAAAGGCCGACCCCGATTATTTATACCTTGGCGCCTCATCGCCTCGTTGTGACATATTTGAGACTAGGCTAGAATGTTTGCATTCACTCTTAGTCTGTGACCCGACGACCTCATTGTGTTAGAGCTAAGTAGATGAGACTTCTTCCCTCTTCCCACAACCAAGAAGTATAAAAGAGCGGGTTACGCGGCCGCTCCTTTCTTCTTCTAATCGGCGAACAGCATTGAGGCATCGCAGTATCTAGCTGAGGAGATATTCGCTACTTTGATGTCGGAGACCGTGGCATGATCCGCACCAACAAATTCACGTACTAAAGGGAACACCAGCCTCTCATACGCGTCCTCTCCACACATATAAATGCCCATCTTTCAAACTTTGACAACTGTATGCTCTACACACTCAAAGTCAGATACCTTAGAGGCACTTGCTGATAGATAAGAGGTGTAATTAAGGATTTGCTCTTGCTGTCTGCTCTCCACTCTATATTTCTACACGATGTGACGTCTGATGGTCTTGACAACAAAACCTAAACATTTGACAAACACAGAATCTCGACAACAAAGATACCCCTGCTCTCTACATTTGCGAACTTTCTAATCTATCATGTAATACGATATGTTGAATGGTTTCCAACAAGTACCTCGAGTCTTTCAAGGCAGCGACTCAAATCCACAAGAGAACCAAAAATGTTCGATAAGGATAAAGTTTGAGAAGGATAAGTGCTTTTATATTTACTCGTCTCCACTTCTCAAATCACACACAGCCTTGAACCAGCCGAAAAATTCACCATCCCTCTGCTCTACTACTCTTCTTCACTCGTCACCTGCAATCTCTCTTCGGAAGAAGTATATAAACTCCTTGGTGCCACTTCCATTGAGTTCTATAACAAATAGAGAAGGTCATATTGGCAGAACATGGACTTGTGTATGTTGCTCTTCGCTGCAAGGATGAGTATGAGAGGCCTCAGGCTTTACTTCCCCGCCAATTCAGAATACAATCTAAGACCTTTTTTCTCAAATGGAGGTAGTGGTAGTAATGTTATTTCGAGGGCTTGCGATAAAAAAAGCACAAGTTGACAATAGAGAACTAAAAGTCGACAATAACATAAAATGCTTCGAAGCTCAAGCACGCTGAAAAATAGAAAACAAGCCTAAATAAAAGTACAGCACGTCTCATCAAGAGTCCCCGGCCAGATTCAAATCCAAACACCAAAGATAGGAGTTCGCGAGTCCCTGTTGTGAATTGTAATACGAAAAAGAAGATGCTGAGAAGGAGGGGAGAGTCTTTATATACCCAATCCTACCCCTTCTTCTTCCACCTTGCGAATGACGCGCAGCCTCACTACCTTCAGACCTGGAAATTCACCCCCACCACCAAGCTCCAGCTGTCTTACCCTAACCACACAATCCTTACCACCTTCCTCTCCCCCAAAGAAGTATATAAACGACCTCTTTCTCCCTTCTTTTCTTCAGAAAACAGTCTGAGGACATTGTTTTGGTAGAGCGGAGGACTTGCGCGTTGTCCTCCGCTACAGAGACGATTATGAGAGGAAATTCTTTGTTCGCTCTCTCTCTCTTTCCGAATATTAGTTTCAAGTCTTTCTACCCATCGACAGGTAGTGAGAGTGATAATAATTTACAACTTGACAACGAAATCTCAAAATTTGGCAACAAACAAAAACCGTGGCTCTGTTTGCGTTATACTTCAAGCAATAGAAACTAAGATAATGGGCTTTATATAGAATAATATGACGACTCAGCAAGAGATCCGCAACTATATCAGGCCCAGGTGTGGAATCTTGCTGGTGCAACTGAAGAAAGGATATTGCGGGCAAGGAGGTTTATATATACCTCCAGGGTTCTCTGGCTTTAGTGAAGTTTTGCAGTTCTCCCAAGAGCTGTGTGGTTTAGAACAGATTCACTCAAGCTCTTGCCAAGTACAAGTTCTTTGGGATGAGGCTTTAATCGATTCACCTCTTCAAGATTGAGCAAGACTACCGAGGTAGGGTAAGGAGGGGGTATAAAACCGCCTTCCCCTCTTTCTCATTTTCTTTTCGATTCCATCACTTACTTCACGATACGATTCCGTCCATAGGAAATGGTGTCTGACCGGAAGCCGGGAACTGGGAATAGGATAAGCAGAAGAACGAATACGAACTGTCGTCTAAATTGTAGATGCATATGTAAAGAGTACCCAACAATATAGCATCCAAACCTCAAAACAATGATAGTCATTCAAGCCTCGATAACGCGCTAAGGCTCGACAACAAAAACACAATACTCAAATCCTGGCGCAAGAAAACTGAAATAAAAATACCGATTCCAACCCAAGCCTCTCAAAAACAACACACCAGACACCGGCGCAAAGTCCAAATCCCAAACATGGATTGCCCTTCTCCTACTCCGCTTGCTGTAAGGAAAAAGAGAAGAGGAGGCTTGACCTTCTTATACAAGCGTTTCATACCCTCTCTCCCTTTCCGAAGTAGTGAATCCGCTAATCAAACCCACAGCTCTTCCAGCAACCTTTCGTGTGGAGTGAATCCCCGACCAAGTTGCATCAGGAGATCAGGAGGGAGTAGGTATATATACCCCTCTCTACCGCCATCTTCAACACCCCCACAAAACGATCGTTGAAGGAAGCACCCTGTCCTCACAGAAGGATTCGTTGATATTTCTAGAAAAAGAATGAATACGAAGACTGGTAGGCAGTAGAGCGTCCTTGACAATGCATCAACAATAATAGCAACAACTTGACAACATTTCAAACTCGACAACGAAACCCCTCCCCCTCCTCTATCCAACCTGAAGAACATAAACAAGAATCCCAGCCCCGGCACAGTGAGAAAGTATCAACAGACACCGGGTCCACCCGATAGTGACGTGGGAAGGAGAAATGGAACAAAGGTTGTTTCAGGGTTGTTTTCGAACTCTTTGACTGGTGTACGCTGACCAGGAGAGGAGAGGGGGGTTTATATACCCCACCCACCCCCACCACTTGCCTCACATCCTCCACTATTCCTGATTGATGTGGTGAATATCTTAGAGTGCTATCCTGAAGAATGCGTAGCGGTGAATCAACTCTGACCTGCCCACCTTGATCGGGAAAGAGGTGCAAGATTCGATATCGCGCGAGGGGTATATATACACCTCCTTGCCCACCTCTTCTAGCACGACTCTTCCGAATGCATTCTACGAATCAACAAGCTGGAGGTGAGCCGGGACAATCCGTGCTATGGCTTCTATATAAGTTTGACCTAGACTCTTGATCTGAATCCGAGGGAGGGAATACTTTATTTGACAACGTAAGTCCGACAATTCTTGACAGCAAAAACAATGACAACGCAGCACTTGCTGCTCTCTCACCACGCTGCACGAAGACAATTGAGCGACATACAGCAATCTAAACCGAATTCCATGCTAAGCTTGCTAATGGTATCATCTACAAATCACTACACAAGATACAACCCGCCTCCAATTATAACAACAAAACACCAAACGCCAGCTCACCATCACCACCCCCAATTCCTTCCCACGCTACGTGGAGTCAATAATACACGTCTTCCCCAACCACAAAAACTCACCCTGTAACCCTCCTCACCCAAAGACCAGTTGGTTCGTAAACAGCGTCCTTATCTCTCCTCTTCCACGCTCGATGTAACCGTAATCCGATATCGTGTTCTTCTCTCCGGACGTCTGCCTCTTCTTCCCTTAACATCTCAACCTTCCTCTTCTCGTCTTCTCTCTTGCGTCGCACTTCCTCGGTCAAGATAACGTGGTCTTTAGGCATCAACTCCGTCATCTGGCGGATGCTTCTTGTGATGTTATTCCGGCGATGAGCGAGGTTGTCGAGCTGGGCTTGCAGTTGTGTGACGAGATCGTGGGACGCTGCTTCAGCTGGGGACATCGGGAGGGTTTTGGAGATGGAGGATGCGGTAGATGTACGCTTGTTGCGAGCGATGGAGGAAGACATGCTGATGAATACCGGTGAGGAGGGGTTTACTGCTTTTCGGGAGATGTTCGATGAAGGGGAACCGCTAATGGCGGGGCGTTTGCGATCGAGGATCGTGGAAGGCTCTTGGAAAGCATAGGATGCAGGGGGAGTTGGCATTGCTGGACGTTCAGAATCTGCGGATGGTCGAGGTGTGCTGTGTGCTTCAGATGGAGCATAGGTTGTAACGCTGAAGCGAGAGGGTGGTTGCTCGTATGGTTCAACTTCTGGAACTGAAACTCCTTTGAAAGCCTCGCGGAAGTTTCGTTCAATGCCAGCCAAAGTATCTTCCCTCTCGAAGGCCTTTGGTGTTTGAACCACTCTCGAGGCAGGTACAGGATCTGTATTTCCACGTCTGGTCGACGAGAAGAGGGGAGCGACGACAGGATCCGGTGATATGGTGCTGGGAGACTCTACGACGCGTGGACTATTCTGGCCACTATTGGAGAGCACGGTTCGTATTGTGGGGTCGATGTGCTCTGGCATATGCGTTGATGCAGGGCTCGTTTCACCATCACCAGATCGGATGATAGTCACAGGGGTAGAGGCCCCAGATTGGGTTCCAGAATGGGGCGAAGCAACACGCTTACTGCTCTTTCGAGGAATGTTGATGGGTGGGATGTCGAATTGGTCCTTGACAGGAGAAACAATAGTTTGTCGACCTGTAGCTCCTCTCCATTCTGGTCGTTCTCCAGGACCGGTATCGTTGCTTTTTAACTTTCGAACCCTGTCCCCGAAAGATGTATGTGCTTTGACTCCGCTAGTGACGCTTGATTCATTTCCCAAGACAATGCCAGTGTCCCTATGAACAGGTCGAAGTCCGGGAGCTGCAAATTGTCCTGGCTTTGCTGATTGTGGCTTTCCCCTATCGCTCGTTGTAATTTCTCCAGTATACGGGTCCCATCGAGGATCACGAGCAATTCTCCCCTTTGGACCATCACCGATCTCCTTTCGTTGGACAATATTCTCAGCAGCCGCTGCAACCTGGTTGCGTCTCTTCTCTCGGCGGAGGACAGGAATATTGCTTGACGGCTTGGAACTTGAACCAGGTCTACTCGGTGGTCTGCCCAAACCAAGCCGAGAAACGTCAGGCATCTCGTCAATGGGAGAGACGTCGGGTTCGTGCTGTTGACTCCTAGCAACTGTTAGCAACCATCTGTCTCTGAACATGAGGTGCAGACATGAGGAGGTAGAGGGGAAAAGCAGGATGTTGTTGACTCAGGACTCGAAGGTCTAAAACAGATTCTTCTGGAATACTACTCAATTTATCCGCAGGTTTGGGGTGGTAAAGCAGCTCCATGGCGTGCTCTCGGTATATCCGCAAAAGATTCGACATACCTGATATCCAACGGTCTTTCAAGCTCCGGTGAACTCGGGGGAGACACCTCTTCTTCAGGATAACTGGCGTACGAGTTCTGGAACCGGGTAACCACAGGGTTGGGGGAGGGTTGTGAATAGATTGAAGACGCAGGTCTGAATTTGGAGTCTCGATGTTCGGGAGGAGGGGGTGGGTTGGGATCACTGAGTTTTGTTGTTAGCTGGGTCATTGTAGTGCATATAGTCTGCTGCTTCGATGGAGCATGAATTGGACATTCGGTGCTTCAAATGTGTTTATCCGAAGGTAAACAAAGTATAGGACGTGGAATATATGTAGAACTTACTATGGCAGACGGGGTAATCCTCTGGGATCCATATCTTCTCTTGGAGGCCGCGGCGGAGCTCTTCTCTCGTCCGTATGAATCCCCAACCCAGGTTCTCCGCTCATATTTCCGTTGAATCTGTCCCGTTCTTGAGTAGCCGGCGGATGACTGCCTCTTGGATTATTGAGCCTCTTCCACATTTTGCCAATGTCTGCGATGCTGAAGCTCGGAACGTATGACGCGCACGGGGATGCGACGGTTGGAAGGTGGATTGCTTGTGCCCAACTTTCAAAATCTTGGGTATATCAGGCGTAGATGCGCAGTCAACAGATATCAGGAGTCGCGCTCGGATGGTCGTGAGAGAGGTCGTGTCGTGATGGTCGTGAGATCGTTAATCGTAATTTAAAGGAGCGAAAGTAGGCTGTGCTAGCAGAACGTTGAAGGTGTGTTGTAGATTGATATATTAGCACAAGCCAGATTTGTGAATCAATGAGTGAATGAATGACATCGAGACGGAGTCACGAGAGGAGGAGGTGAAGTTTGTGGTGGTACAATCCGGTTGTAAACAATTCGCGGTCATTCGAGGTCAATAAGGTCGCCGTGTTGATGTGAGGGCAACCAATGGAGAAGCATGACCAGCAGAACCACGAAAAGAATCATCAATAAACGCGCGTGGCAAAAGAACGAGAAGAAAAGGTACTTGATGGTACCTGAATGCACTTGAGAAAAGATTTGAAATTCGTGTGCATCAACGACACCCAACGATTTTGTTGTTCCTGTCAATTGTCTGAGCGCGAATGAAGGACGGCGCTCCTGGAGATGTTTCGTTTCAGGTCACAATTTAGCGTCAGGGTCCTCGAGTGTCTTATCCACTTGCAGAATAGCCTCAATGTTATTTAGAGGGTCAGCAATCTGAATAGATGAAAAGTCTACGAAAGGGTCATGATCTTTTGATGATTATGTTATTGTTCACGAGCTTCAATTTTTGAGGAAATTGATGTTTGGGTATCAATAAGATTTCGACTCTCAATCCGTATCAAGCTTGGCCTTACGCCCCCAAGCCTATCCGCCTGCATTGTCTCAGAACGTCAGTGGCTCCGAGGCAATGCATGAAGATATTTCAGCTCAGAAGCAGTGTCCAACAAACATCGATCAATCGTGAATTAAGCATATATCAAAGGTAGATTATAGAAGCTATGGAAGGAAGTCGGTTTCTACTCTCCATTCCCAGATGTTTCATGCAAGCGTCTACCGTATCAGAACTCTTTGCGAAGAAGTTAACTGAAAAGTACCTCGGCCTCTAAAATGTCTTGCAGCAGCGGCATGGCCCGTGTCTTGAGGAACATACAATCTAGTATAACAGAGACTTGCTGTGAGTAAGATTCGAGTCTTTGTGACAGTCCTACCAAAGTATCTCTACGCGAGGGTTTATGGATTGGCGACGAATTGGAGTGGTTTGCAGGTGAGAGATGGAGGCACATATCACGTGCGTACTTCAGCATCAGGACCATTCAATTTCTATATCATAGAGATGCATATTGTTACAATCACAGAGTGTCACTCTCCTTGTATACGATTCACTTGCCTCAACAAAGAGGCCTTAGAACGATTCACAATCACGTGTACGGACACTTGTTCATCGGCGTCTCGGAACTCCGTCATCTTCGAAATGTGGAGAGAGCTTCCAACAGTTTCGAACTTATTGACCAGCAACAATCTGACATCTCACAAACCTTCTCTGTCCACGAACACAAATTTTACAGAAGACTCGGGCGTAAAACGACCAATTCTTCAGTAAAGAACTCGTCTTCGTCTGCGGGATTACGAATTCAACGATTACAGAACAAAAAGCGCCGCTCACATCTTGAAGCTTATACTTAATACTCGACACTCTCCATCACTCAAGAACACAACCACCACAATGGACTACGTAGAGAACAGAATGGCACAAGGTCAATCCACCGTCTCTCCACAACCAAACCCAATCCTAACCCTCACCAGAAGCCGCAAAAGCACAATCCAACCCCGCCGTTCCAGCCTCGTAAGTAAACCCCACCATACTCCCCATCAACTCCAACTAACCTCTCCTCTCCCCAGGCACACCCTCCTGACCCCCATCAACGGCATCCTCCTCACCCTCCTCCTCTACCTAACCTACACCCACTTCCGGCCCCGTCCCAAACTCGCCCTCTCCCCCACGCCACCCCCCATTGTGTTCCGCACCTTCACACCCCCCACTCTGCGCCCCTACAACGGCGAGAACAACATGCCCGTCTATCTCTCCGTCCGCGGGAAAGTCTTCGACGTGTCCCCCGGCCGCAACTTCTACGGGCCGGGCGGTCCCTATGCGAATTTTGCCGGCAGGGACGCGAGCCGCGGGTTGGCGTGCGGGAGTTTCGACGAGGATATGTTGACGAAGGATTTGGAGGGGCCGTTGGATACGCTGGGTGGGTTGGGGCCGGAGGAGATGGAGGCGTTGAGCGGGTGGGAGGAGAGGTTTAATGAGAAGTATCTTGTGGTTGGAGAGTTGGTTGCTGTTGGGGATGAGAAGAAGGAGAAGGGTGGGAAGGCGTAGGAATGAGGGAATGGGTGGATTTTTTTTATAGGATATGGAGTTTTGCTGGGAGGGCTTCCTGATATGTGGATAGCATGCTTGCAGTTTTCACAGCACGAATTGAACCTCTTATAGAAGAACTATGGAGAAGAAGTTCTGACATCCTGGGCTGGAAACCACTGACAAATCCCGTTGCACATCGCACCTCTCATAAAGTCTGTCTTCGATTCAGTACTTCACTCACTCTTGAATGTCCTGAGATCTTATCATCATTGGAATTGATCACTTCACACGAAAGATGAAACAAGGTCGGATGAATCATTTTTATTCTTTGAGAGTCCGGTCGAGTTCCGGATAATGAAACTTCTGACTTATACATACATTTAGGCACCGATGAAAACCCTATTCACTGACGAAAACCCTATTCGAGTCTGAGACTATGAAGTCCCTCTTCTCCGTCCTCATTATGATGATTTTGGCCAGTAAAAGTTTGCTCCTTGAGCTGGCTCTTCGTGAACTCTCTCAATGGAATATCACCGACATGTTGACCAGGAGGCATTCCCTCTTTTCGCCTAGCTCGTCGCTCACGAACTCGTTGCAAGATGCGTTCGACTTCCGGATCAACGTACATTGGTCCGCCATAAACTTGATTCATCAAGGCTTCGTCAGAGATCAATTCGGTCTGGAACGGCTCATAAGTTCCGAAAGCTCGAGGAAAGAGAACCATGAGGATGAATGTAATGCTGATACCGATCAAGTACAGAAGAATAGCGCAACCCAAGAAAAAAGTGAAAATGATGCCCATATCGTTCCAGAACTCGGGGAGTCTGAAGCGTTCGTGAATGTTGATGAATTCGTGGAAGATTATTTGCCCGACCGTCAAGTTATTAGACACGGCGGCGGATGTCGCCATCAATGTTCCAGTTGTGGCCGGAGAATGAGCGAGCATAGTTGTAGAGGCGTCCATGTCTACAGAAAGTATGCAACAACCCAAGCCAAAGGTCCCAAGATACTGTATGTAGAGGAGCGGATTGTGCTGGCTGAAGACTTCGAAGTCGAGGAGGAGGTCGAGGCAGAAGATGTTGCAGAAGAAGTCGCAGCTGTAATTGATGTTAGAATCGGGTCAATGGACTATCGCACCAAAGATGCAGAGTGGGAGATACAATGATCTCAATTCTAGGGAAGGTGGGAGAGTGGAGTGGAGGAGGGGAGTGCGTATCATACCTGATGATCCTGTAGACACTTCTGCTGAGAGAGGTGATACGACAGAGTTCAATGCTGCAGAGGTCGAGGTATATTTCGAAGCAAGACTGGTGGAGCTCGAGATGGGGTTGGAAGATGAAGTTGTTGTTGCTGGTGGAGGAGGAGAGAAAGAGCTTGCGACGATATTGTTCCAGCTTCCACTACCCAAGGTAGGAAGGGGCACATTGCCGTTCACTGCCCACCCAGCAGAGGCACTTGGGCAGGCAGGAGCAACCAAGCTGGGTGAATAATCTGCTTCTTGGACGGCGGGCGGGTCCACAGACTTCCATCTGCAGCTTGTCAGCACATACAGTAGAGCTAGTGGCATGGAGTCTTACACGGTCTGAAGGTTGTTGTAGTCGGGTTGAATGGGAGTCGGTGCACCAGTATATATGCCACCTCCTGGATAGGTGACCAATCCATAATCGTCTGCGCAGTGAATTAGCACCTTGAAGAACTGAAAAATGATTAAGCAGCTCCGAAAGAACAGAGCTCTCTAAAGAACTGGCAAACGGGCGGCTTACTCGTCTCTTGAACCCATTCGTAAATGATGGATCCGCTCCAGGTACCTGCCATTCCTGATCCAAAGATAGCAGTTTGATCTTGGAAGGTGCGTTCGCCGCCTACATTGCAGCCTGTCTCTGAAAAGAAGATCGGGATGCTGTATCCTTCCGCCATGGCCTGTAAATTGCTGTATCCTGAAGTGGCGTACGTTGCATCACCACACCATTCATATGAATTCAGACCAAAGAAATCGATGCTCTGGTCCTGAGTGTCCCCGCAAGCAAGGTAATTTTGAAGCATGGGACGTAATTCAGCAATATCGGCAGCTGAATATCCGATGGGAATTGTACGATACTTCTTGGCTGCCATATAAGACTTCATATCAGCCGTTGCTGCTTTGACGTAGGGAGCTGCAGGAGATCCAGAAGCCGTATTTATAACTTCGTTGCCAATCCAAAACCCTCCGATATTATCATATCCTTGAAAGACGTCCATCACTACGACAAATTAGTATAGTAAAATACTGAAATGGAAGTGAGACACTCTAAGAGCTGGGACCTGGGAGCAGTCTCAAGAGCTTTCAAACGGAAATATTTCGTGCGCAATATGTCTCGGCTCTAGGCGGCTCCCAGCTCCCACAAGACCCATATAAGGAAACAGCAATTTGGCAAGGGATTTGGTCATACCTAGCGCGAATGCGGCGAATTGTTCCAATGTCCATTGCTGGTCGGTTTGGACAACAGTTGTGTTGAAGGTGTCCAAATCAAGCCAGACGTATATACCGGCATCGGAGAATGCTTTCATGCAGCCATCGTGATTGACATACGGATCGACATGGTACACGCGGATGGAGTTCGTACCAATAGCTTGCATAGACGCGGCATCGAGTTGGCATTGGTTTGTATCGACGAGAGGATCAGCGGGAGTTCCTTGGTATGCGACGCCTATTATAATCAGTAGAATCCAACGGAATATAGGAGCGAAAAGCATGCCTTTCAAGTAAAATTGTTGCCCAGAAGCAAAGAATTTGGCGCCTTTGACGGAGATGGTAGGCAAAGCTGAAGCGATATTTGCGGCAAACAATGCCAGTAAGACTGCGAAGAGTAGCATGGCGAGTATTATGTCTATGGTATCGCTATTGTATCCAATGCTATTTTGAATGTCCTGAAGGCCGCGCTGGACTACGAGGAGAAAACAAAACAAAAAAAAGTTGAAAGGTGTGCGAGCAACAGAGGTCGATAACGAAGGACTCGACCTCAGGAAAGCGCAATCGACCGACTCAAGAGTGAATCACAACGCGACCAAAAGAGCGAGGAAAGGAAAAACATTGTTGGAACCACCACCTACATATTTGTTCCCATTGTGAGGTACTAACGATTGTCCTGCTGCACGTGGGACAAGCTACTCATGCATGCAGCTTTAGATCGTCGCTCGATACGGGGCTCCAACTCTCTTTTGGGTTACCTCTTCAACCTCCCTTGAATGTTCCATCTCTGACTGGACAATTAGGATTTAGTAATCAGATTCCAGATCCCAGATATTGACAAGCGCGCAAACACGAGGCCCTAATTTACGACCTAAGATAAGGTAGTGTGGAGGAGCTGTACGTGAGATATTTTGTTGGCGGGGTGGAGACAGAAGAGCGGTTTCTTGGAGAGACTGTTCAATATCTGGATCAGAGAAGATGGAATTCAAGCAAGCAATGTTGTTCCCTTTCAAGAGAGTTGAGTACCGAGACTGATATTCAGAGAAGAAGTTGGATATGATGTGACGTTAACATTTTAAGATTATGTCGGCCGCCACTCCCAGCCACCATTGCCCCACTATGTGTGGCGTTTTGGTGTGGCTGGTGATGCTTCGCTCGTGCACCCACAAAGCTGCATGCATGAGATCTGCACCACTCTTGACTTCCTGCGATTATCTCTAGCATCCATCTTTGTCTGGCACACAACCGGTATCCCAATGCCTATCCTCAAGGGTGCACTTCACGTCTATCGCACCCGACTGATCACTGAACTCCCGAATCGACCTCTCCACGCACTGTCGGTAAGATGGGTTCCAAGATCGTATCGTGAACGTGTTCCAAGCAGGTCCAGAACCCGGTTCTTGGTAATTTCGACTCTTGCGATTATGCCAATCGCCCGTTGCGTTGTAATACTCGAATTTCCAGTCCCAGATATGTACATCGCAGCCTTCCCAGCTTTTTAGATATGAGAGGAATCCTCGTCCCCAGTCGTGGCCGACCCAGTCTCCCTTTGTCTCTAACATGAAGAAGGTGCTTTCGAACATCTCTCCCACCGAGTAGGTCAGCATGGCGCGGCAAGTAGCATTGTTTGGTTCCCAGATATATGATGGAGGGACGTATACAGGGATTGTAGGAGGGGAGTGTGCCGGAGAGCCTGATGTGCGCTTGGGTAGCGTAGGTGATGTTTCGATGTCCGCGGTGTCAGATATTGGCGTGCTATAGGTCAGTGCTGCCAGTCTGTGGAGCAGAATAAAGTACGATGTGAAGCGCATCTTGGAGTGTGGTGTATGTGAAAAATTGAATCGAGGAGTGAGTGTGCGACAAGTGTTCTTTATATATCTTCTTGACTATAATTTAGCTTCCGCTATAATAGCACATGCTGGAAAAAATACCTTGGACAAGCACATAATCTGGTTGTGTGCCGCGAGCTAGGCCACATGTGTAATATATGAAGTCACATTCCGATGTTTAAGACTGGTCTAGGAAAAATAGTTCGGCATTCGTTCAATCACAATGAAGGGGAGTAATGAACAGACATTTCATTGGTATTGAGTTACGTGCTCTTGAGTACACTGTGGCCGAATCTGGCCAGTGGCCTTACTGACATCTGCAATCGAATCCAGCACGCAGTTGAGGTTCCAGGTATTATAGGAGAACGATGCCCAAGCAGGTCCTGAGCCAGGCTCACTGTAGTTGCGAGTCTTGGGGTCGTGCCAATCGCCCGTGCCACCGTAGTATTCAAATCTGTGAAAAAGTTAGTATACACTTTTCACTGCTCCGAGAATGACTTTAAAACAAGGGTGAAGATCAACATACTTCCAATCATTGATATGCCATGGCCAACATCTATGAAAGCTTTCAAGCCGCTTTTTGAAAGCTCGGCCCCAATCACTCCCTACCCAGTCCCCTGCCATCTCGAGACGAATGTGGGTTGTCGCAGAGCCTGCAAACCCTCCAGGTAAGTATGCCAAGGTAGCATGGCAGGTGGCGCTGTTAGGTTCGGACTTTTTTGTGATATTCGGTGGCGGGTGTGGCAAGTTAAAGTTGTGGACAGTATCAGGGACCGGTGTAGAAGAAGTGAGCGTTAGAAGAGAGGCCACGAAGGGCAAGAGCAATGCGAAACGCATTTGATTTGCGTTGAGAGCTTGACTTGTTGAATGAGGTGCGTATATATGTTTGCTTGAAGAACATGCAGCATAGGAAGACTGATTGAGTGGGTGAGATATTCTCTTTATATCGAAACAAAGAATTAGCTTGAGCTCAACGTCGCACACAAACTGAAAGAAAAATTCTGACAGTAATTTCTTAGTATGCCATCACCAGATCACTTTTTACCTTCCAGACTAGGTCCCGGAAATGAGCTACTAGCTACCAAATTTTGACTTGCACTAACAACGCTGGCCTCAAGTATCGACGACACACATCTCAATGGATATTCGCAATCTCTTCATAATAGCTTCAGTAACACTCGCACCAGAGACAGACAGGCCACTAGATTAAAACGACACATCTCCAAATTCAAGGTAATTCGAAGACGGTTACGCGAGATTAGCCGAGCAGGTCTTCCTAACCCAAAGTCACATTGGTACTGCACCGAAGACCGACCGTCACGTTTGATAGCTGAAGATTTATTGATTCTTCACCTCAAAAGATCTAGTTTTGACCATTTGACAGACAAATTAGGAAGGCTTACGTGCTTACACATGGGCTGCAAACTTAAGTAAATGAACCCTTGTGGTCTGAAAGAGTTGTTCAAGTGAATTCTTCTCAGTTGCCACACATCACCAAAAGAGAGCCTCAAAACACTCAAATCTAGCCCTAACAGCATCTTTCATGTAATCCTTATCGTTCAGTCATGGCCATTCCCACCATGGACATTCTTCGTCGCCTCCAGGAAGAGCTATGCCAGCAAGTAAGTATGCTTCTTCTCAGCGGTACGCATCATATGCCGAACATACCTTTGTATGGCTTCAAAAACTCCTCCGGCAACCAGCACCTTTCATTATCAATTGTCACTCCATACTCATACCACTTGCTACGGGCCAATCAGCTCATCCTTGGTCCAGAACAGTCCAATTTCCACTCTGAAGAGTCTCAACTCACCTGCTAGTATTAAACACCGACCCCGTAACCCAACACCAATAATGCGAATTCCAAACCGTCTTCTCATGTACCACATCCAACATCCCTCCCACAACCTTTCCAGCCGTCTGATTCCACCTCCCATCCGGCCTCCTCCAACAAGGCAGCCCATAATAATGCGTCACACCCAATTTCATCCACCTCTCCTCCGGCCACCGAATTCCATACGGCCTCACCTCCCCACACCACGGCAACACTGCCGGATCCGTATAATCGATCACCGTCCCATTATACATCCCATTCGCATCCGTGCTCTGATCACCGTCTAGTACAAATTCCTCGTTGATGTAACAATCGTCTGTTGTGCGGAGTAGAGTAGTTCCAGCGTCGTCTTCGAGCGTGCCGTTTACCCAGCAGTAAACTTGATGTGTAGTGCTGGATTCGTAGACTTTGAGGGTATTGTCGGAGTCCCAGTCGGCGAAGGTGGCGCAGTTGTGCCAGATGTCGGGCTCGGTTTTGATGGTGAGGAGGGTGGGCCAGTCGGAGGGGTTGTAGGTTGGGCCGTAATTGCCCGAGAACCAGGTTGAGTTGGTGAGTTTTGCTAGGAAGAGGGTCAATAGAATACAGGAGTAGGAAGGCTCGTCTTACAAGCTGGATTGGATGATGCTGGGTGGGCTGATGAGAGAGATGCTATTCTCAAGATCAATCCGAGAAGCATGATCGACAACATAGTGAAAGTGGATTTGTTACAAAGTTTGGAGAAATTGATTCTACATATCTGGAGAAGATACTTGATTTCAAATAACTCCTTTCATTGTATACTTTGAAAATCTGGGGTGGAGAATGTGGAGAACATATGTCCGTACGTGGCGCAAACAATATCCATATTGCAGAAACAAAACCATAAGGACGTAAGTGTTCACGGATTCATGTTGCTTCGTATGCATTACATGTTGCAAACATCTCAAAGTTCTCAAAATCCATATAGCCTTATCATGTAGCAGTTCAGCCTGTACTTTGCCGAGACAGCGAACCATCAGCAAAAGCCTTGGAAATGGTATAAATAATGTAACGACGCCCTTCGTTGTACGTACACTGGCAACGTTGCAAACTTTCCAATGTCATCCACTGCAAAGTTCAGATAGCAATTATGCATACGTGGTAAATTTTCTCATCGAAGGGCGGGACAATAGTCCTATGATACGAGGAGGATTCGGAGCTGCCGGATATTACAACTGCACGTGTTCAATTTGAACATCGAATACGAAAGCGTCTCTATTCGTCAAATTCTCTCTCTATGGCTCCTCGATATCCCCAAGCCGCAAAAAATTGACCAAAATCCAGGCATCGATTCAGACATTTCCTCTAGTGTGGGCCCACCTCCAAATCATAAATCTTCTTGATATCCTTCAACGCCTCTTCAAAATCCAACTTAAGATCTTTCAACAGCCCATCTCTCAGGTCGAAAACCCATCCGTGCACAATCGGAAACTCATTCTTCGTGTAGCTCTGCTGCACCGCCGCCGTCTTGATGACATTCTTACATTGCTCCAGAACATTCAATTCAACCAACCTCTTCCACTTTTGCTCCGCATCCTCAATCTCATCAAGCTCTTTCTCGTTCAAGCGATACACATCTCTGATATTACGAAGCCATGGGTTGAGAAGGCCCATATCGGAGTGCGATAAGGCTGCTTGGACACCGCCGCAGTTGTAGTGCCCGCAAACGATGATGTGCTTGACCTTAAGATGCAAGACGGCGTATTCGATGACGGACATGACATTGAGATCCGTGTTGGGCACGAGATTGGCGATGTTGCGATGTACGAAGACTTCTCCGGCCTCGAGACCCATGATCTCGTTCGCCGGGACTCGACTATCGCTGCAGCCGATATACCTGCAGATACCATAAATACCTGTCAGTAGATGGGAATGAGAAAGTGAATTTACAGATAGTCAGGTTCTTGACCCGCGGAAAGCCTCTCGAAGAAAGTTGGGTCCTCTTCCAGTTTGGCCTCAACCCATGCTCGATTGTTTTCGAAGATGCGATTTTGGTTCTGGCGCAGGAAGTGCGATACACTGAAGTGTCTCCCTTGTGCATCCATCTTGAGTAATGTGTGTGACGTATTTTTGATGCCAAGAGATCAAAACTGATTGAAGAGGGGATTGTTTAGGAGGGGAAAGAGGGGTAATGATTATGAGATTGTCTTGTGTGCTGTTCTTTTTTTGTTTTTGTTGGAGTAAGATTTGATTGGACAATTCGCTCCGAAGTTTGGAACATGCTTCCCTGTCTTGGATCCGCCAATTAGAGCGAAGGCCCTGCTTTAGCCTTTCATGACGACAAAATGATATGAATCGAGCTGTTGTCAAGTTTCTTGTCGCCCTTACATTCCACTATATGCTATAATCTAGAATTGATATCAGGTACCCACGAGTCTCACTCAATGAACTGCAGATATCGAAACCAAGATGCTTGGTCTGGAAAGACCGAATCCAAGACTTTGGTTTCACATTCACTCCATGCACCTATGCCTCTTATAGGATTGTCTCTATTTCAGAATTCTTATTACCGAAAAATGTGTCAGGGTATTGATACTTTTTCCAAGACAAAGAGAGTCGCTTTATGATTCGGTGAGAAGCGGCAAAAAAAGGAAGTGAATTCCAACACAAAAGCAGTCAGTCTTGATTTCTCACATACAATATACGGCTCAATCATTCACTTCTTGAGCTCATCATAACAAGAAAAGCGGTAGTTCGAACAGGAAAGTATAAATTAGCTGTCGTCGTGGCGAAGGAAAAACTCACACAATGCCACAATCCTCCCATGGTCGCCCCATGATCGACGATGGCGGGACCGCTTCGCCGGTGAACTCGTCAAACCCTCCATCCAGCCTGCCTCGCAACTTGTTCTTGAAATTCTGCAGCTCGGGGACTTCGAACAAAAACAAATTAATTGTTGCCAAATCATCACTGTTGTCATCCTTCCATTCCTTTCGTTTATTTCTTATAGACCCTCTGTTCAAGCAAAATATAATGTTCGAACCATTCTTGTTCATGAACATAGATCTGCAAACACCGAGTCCATTACCACATGAATCATCCTGCGGGTTCTATCTTTTAACTCTATGGAGGGACACATAGGAAGGATCGAGCTGGACGACTTATTTATACCTCACGAACTAGCTTTGCGTTTGTTCTGGATTTAAATTGTTCTGCGGTCGAGGGAAGAGAGTTTAAGTGAATAGAACGAAGTCGCCAGCTATGAGACTTCCAAAATGGGTGAATATCACCTCCTCAGGGACGCAAACCAGCAACAGAAAAAAGAGTATAAAAGCATCCCTTCATCCTGCTAGAATCCCTATACTTCAAAAAGCTCCCGTTTGAGATGCGACAGAAACGAGAGCGAGTTTCATATCCAGGACTCCTTAGTACCCAGCAGGCTCGACTCTCAGTCAGGCTACAGACTCCCAAGAATTCTTTGTACTTACTTGTGCTTGTCAAGTCACCTGCTGTCAAGGTTGGGCTGTTGTCAAGCTGACAAGCTTGCTGTTGTCCTGAGATACTCTATCCGATGAAGTGTAACGAAGACTTTCTAGCTTACATCCTACCTGAAAGTCGCTTCATTGGACCGACTTAAACAGACGTCACTAATGCTCTTGAATTTTGGAGTACTCTAAAGGTACATAAGTTGAATATTAGTCTTTCAGTGTCATCCCAGCTGAAATGAAAGTCCAGTGAATTTATTCCTCTCTCAGATTGAGACTCGAGATCGAGAATCATCTGATTATCATCCTATCAAAGTTGCTGGTACCTGCGTTCTCGAAATGTGAAAGCTGTAGATCTCTTGTGGAAAATTTCAAGTGAGGTGGGCCTATGAGTTTGTATTGATTGTGGTAACTAACGGGCTTGGAGAAGCAAACAATCTTCGTTGAATGGTTGGCCAGGAAGGGACTGTCGATCCTGGGGAGATTGTTCTAACTTTAATTAATAAACAAGCTTGTTGATCTGACAATTTCTCCCTAATGAATCACTCTTTGAGTGACACCAGGCCTTTGATTATGGCATCTCGCTTGGGAAAGGGGGGCTGTTTTGGATCACGTGGGTACAATAAAAATTGAGGGTCTCAGATCCCCAAGTCAATCCTGACTTGAAACTCGGACAGGGTCGTGGAGAATATGACTGAGCAGAATCAAACAATGACAGAGAATGGCACTGGCACCAGTAGACGGTTTGCGTGCACATCGCACTAAGAAACCTGAAATACCTATGCCAACACACCATCTGCACAGCAACCCAAGCCTGTTCACGCGAACAGGCTCCAAATTTTTTGTTGCACGTCGCTGTGAAGCAAATTAATTATTTGCGCGTTGATTGAAAAATTGGCCCAAAACCCTTGGATTTTCTAATATGCAACAACAACCACTTTTGCGATTACTAAAACGAGCGATCAAAAGTTCGATTTGTACTTGAAGAGGGTATTCTAATTTTCTAGAAACGAATCGATGGATACTACTATGAGATTTCTATAGATCTGTAAGGTGTTGAAAGGGAATGAGGACCAAAGGTGAGATTCTGTACTCGAGGATCAAAGAAATGAAAGCCACACACTCCGATAAGCCTACATGAAATATTTTTCGATTTATATTTTCTTTCCATTCCAAAGTCTAGATTTCCACTACTTTTTGCCAAGTTTAAGCTATCTACAATACATTTCATTATACTTTCTACTCGCTTTGAAATACTTGGCTTGTACGGCAGCACGGTCAGCGTGCGTTTGATACCGTTCGTGACAACATCACAGTACCCTGTAGGATACGTCATCCAATATCAAGACACAAAAAACCTCAACATGAACTTATCTTCCATTGTACCCGGACAAGTTCCTCCTTCTCCACAACATGTGCCTGCCCAACCAACAACTTCCCCATAACAATCTCATGGACCTCCTTCACCTTATCTCCACAAGCATCCTCACCTGGCCACGAAAATCACTGAGTCCAATCCCCAAAGAACGAGATTGATCTACCAAGAACAATGTCAAATGACTTGAAGTAGTCCCTGGCTCAGCTGAGATACTCCTGATGATCCTGTATCACTGCACATAGAATGAATTTTCTCGAACGCTTGAAAGATGAGTCAACCTGTTGAACGAACTCGCAGTTTCCAGCTGGAGCTATAGATGTATTCATAATTGTGACATGGCCAATGTCTGTTCGGTGTCAGTATTTTGGCTCTTGGTCGAGGAAGCTCTTACAATCGACGTGATAATAGGTCAAGGCCATTCAGGATTTCATCAGCCCCTGTGCCAATGATGAGGGCCCGAGCCTCCCTTACAGATTTCACAATAATTCTGGTATTCGATGTTTTTGAAGCACTATTTTTGCCGCTTGTCTCGTTTCTTGAGGGATCTTTCGTTGCACTTTAGCGATTGCCAAAAGAAGCCGAGACTCATTTCGTGGACCACGACAGAAGTAAAACCAGCTCGCTATGTGGGCACTCTTGCAATGCCAGAAAGAACCTCTCCACTTGCCGAGACATTGAATTGAGTGGCAATAAAGGTTAAGCAGGCTCGGATATTACTGATGTTCATACTAGCCCCGGCCGAAATCGCATCTCCAGGCTTCGGTCCCGAACAAAGCGCACGAGCCATGTACTCGTAACATTTCACGCCTCCAAAGCTTGTCCACGACCCGTTGTTCCGTACGGAGTTGCTAAAGAGAAGCGAATTCCGTACTTGGTAATCTACTGGAAATATTATCAAAGAGAAGCTGAACTGACCCGTAGTATCCCGATTCTTGCGGATTTCTGAAGGCGTTCTTCGCAAGATCAAAGATTGCCTTTAAACGTTTGACTCAACTCGAAAACCATCGAAAACACTGTCTTTCACCTCCTGCGAAATAGAAAAAAATCCAACATGACAGTTTCAAGATATCTCGTGGTTATTGGCGGCAGTTATGTGGGTTAGTCCTCATCACCACAATTTGAGAAGCCGTTTATGCTCATATCACGATGCAGGTGTCAATGTTGCTCAGCAACTCGCAACCAAGTTCCATAGCAGCTTCAAAGTTCTATTAATCGAGAAGAACTCTCATTTCCAACATTTGTTTGCATTTCCTCGGTTCGCTGTTACCAATGCAGTGGAAACGCCTCGAGCTTTCATTCCCTACGTTCCTGGCACCTTTGCAGCTTGCCCTCCAGGGTCAGGTACAGTGGTTCAAGCCCGAGTCACAGGTCTGGACCGATCTACTGTGAAGCTCGACAGAAAAGTCGCACTGGATGGTCAACGGCTGGAGAGCATTCCTTATTCGTTCCTAGTCCGTCCTACACAACCCGTTTGCTGCAAAGCATGTCAGCTGATTCCTTACAGGTCATTGCAACAGGGACTAAGCTCACTCCACCATTCAGCTTACCAGGATCAGAAAAGCTCGATGGAGTGACTTATTTGAAGAAGCATGCGGAAAAGGTCATCAGAAGTTCAAAGATTGTTGTCATCGGCGGTGGTGCAGTGGGTGTTCAGGCAGCTACTGACATAAAAGAACTCTACCCAGAGAAGTCTGTTACCCTAGTACACTCCAGGAAAACTGTGATGAACAGGTTTCACACAAAACTTCATGACATTATCGAAGAGAGATGCAACGAGCTAGGGATTGAGTTGAAGCTGGGATCAAGAGTGAAGCTTCCACACGAAGGGTACCCGACAGATGGGAGTATCTTCAATGTTGAGTTGGAAGACGGGACAGCTATCCCTGCAGACTTCGCTCTCATCTGTATTGGTCAAGTGCCACAATCGAGTCTCCTTCGAGATCTTTCACCCGAGTCACTTGACGCTGGCGGCTACATCCGAGTTCTCAAGACCTTACAGATCAACAACCCAGACTATCCTAATGTCTTTGCTGTTGGAGATGTCGCAGACACAGGGGCTCACAAAGCTGCTAGACCGTATGTCACAATTCCGACGCACCCTAACAATTGAACGTATAATAATTGAGGATAGTGGGGGAAAACAAGCTGCTATTGTGGCGAACAATATTGAGCATATATTGAACGAGCAGCCCCTGGAGGACTACGAAGTCACAGACAGCCCCGCAATTCATATGAGCCTCGGCATTGTAAGAACTTCCTTTCGTCCTAGCACATACGTACTCACAAATTGCTTGCACAGGAAAAGAACGTCGTTTTTGGAAATCCCGCGCCAGGCTCGGCCGAGCCAATGATCAAACCTAGGACCGACGGGTAAGTGAAACCAATGGACTATCCGAGACTGAGAGCTAACGTTTGTCTGCTATCAGAACTTTAGACATGAATATCAATGGAGTCTGGACTCGAAGAGGTGGTGGTGCTGATGCTCTTCTGTAGAATTTATTGTTCCAACGCTAGACATATCTGAATGAAACTCTAGACATGAGCGTTCTCATTAAATGTGAGAAGCAAATGTAATACCTACAGCAAACAAACCTGCTTATAAGTCGCATTACCAGATGTACATCAATCCTATTTTATTTCTCGCTCTATCTTCTTGGAGGTCTGAAATGTTTGTCGACAAGAAGCCTTTCACCATCCGTCACAATCTCTGGCTTTTTCTGAAAAGGCTGCGGGCCACCAGCCAGAGTGCTCAGGTCATTTACGCAGATGCCATCTGCATCAACCAAAAAGATAGTGAAGAGAAGGGGCACCAAGTCGCCTTGATGAGCGAGATCTATATGCGCGCGAAGACGGTGTTGGTCTGGCTTGGCGAGCATGACACAAACAGCGAGCTGATGTTCGGCACTCACTTTGAGGATAAGATCCCACGGGCCACGATGAAGATTTCTTTTGTCAATGTTCGATTCATCAGCCTTTCAGCCTTTAGTGAAGTAGTTTGCTCGAAAGTACTAAGGCTCGAGATCACTCAGCTAACACCAGTTGTTGATGGTAAATTATTTAACTTTTCTCAGCCTTTGTTATCTAAGGCGTTGAAAGTAGTTTCTAGCACACTTATAACGCTAGGCCTATATTGCATTTCGACTTGGGCCAAAGTTATTGCTTTAACCACTATAATCATAGTTTTAATTTAATTGCTTACTATAGAACAATGTGACAGCACGGTGGGAAGCTCAGTACGTAGACGAAGAATCGATTCGGCTATCTCTTAGAATCTAAAGGTAAGGAAAGAAGAAGGGAGTGGGAGCGCCAGAGCTTATATACACCAGAGTGAAACATGCTTGAGCTCTAGGCCGGATCTGGCCCCAGGGAGGGTCACGTGAGCTAACCGAGGGTATTTGCGCTAAAAACACCTACCCACGTGACACACGTGATCTCTGGCCAGGTGATCCGTAACACGTAGTAAAGTTTAATAGCAAGCAAGAATTTTGCTAAGCAACCTAAGTAGAGATTTAGGTAAAATAAATAACGCTTCAGTAAACTAGCAATATTTACTAACTATGTTCGAGGTAAATAAAATAAAATATTATCTATGATTACATTCATAATGTCGAGAAAGGTCGAGCACGATGCGTTTCTGTGTTCTCGCAGATGAATAAAAGATGTGGCTATATCTGCATTCCATCCTTTTCATAGTTCTCTGGCATTCTCTATTAACCATTTCGAGCATAGTTCCTATACCTCTTCATAATTTCACACAGCTAGTCTACCATGACGGCTCCAGCAATACAACCTTCCAGCAGCGATACCAACTCGACGTTTCATATTTCAAACCAGGAGGTCCCATACTTCTACTTCAAGGAGCAGAAATTATACCAGGTCTGGAGGCTGAGCCAATCGATGAATTTGATTTCTACGATGATACAATTGAGCTCAATGGCATAGCGGCTGGCATCGAACACCGTTTCTTCGGAACAAGTTTCCCTCCAGGATTTGATGGGTCGAAAGCATCATATGCCCCACTCACGCTGGAGAATGTCCTTACTGATACTGTTGCCTTAGTCGAGTTGATCCGTGCCAATGTTTCTGGAGCTGAACACAGTCCTGTATTCGTACAGAGTGGTACGGCTTCTGGCTTCAAGAGTACCACCCGTTCGCCAAAGTTTAATTTACAGGTTCTTATGGCGGGTTTCTTGCGGCGATGTGTAAAATCCGATACCCAGATACATTTTATGGAGCGTTTGTCTCTTCTGGCCCAGTGAGGTCATTTGGACCGTGGCCCAATAATACAGACAAGTCAGAAGTCTATGATTGGGTAAGTAATCTTCACGCAACTGTTTGCAGTGCTTCCAGTGCTTTCCGAAATGCTGATGGTGGTTCCGATGTCTAACGCATACTACGATATCTCATCTGCTGCGGCCACTAAAATCAAGTCAGCGATGAGATCGTTCGAAGAATGTTCCGCCAGTGGCAACTGTAACACGACACTTGATCTCGGGCTTTGTGATCCTCAGCCGAATGCGACGGGGTACCAAAATATGTACGGGGCAGTACTGGATTTATACAAACGTATCCCACAGTTCTCTTATCCCATCGGTGCCAATCTACCAGCCAATGCGTTTCAGCAGCTCATAAATTTAACTGAAGCTGCGAACACAACTAGCGAGGTTTTGCGCGCTCCAATTCAAGTCGCCAATTGGGCGATGGCAAACCTTTCTCAATGCGTCAATTACACCACGGGCAATGCAACTGGTGGTTTAGAAGCAGCTAGATCTGGATCTTTTGGATGGGTACAGTGCAACTACTTTATGACCAACCAATACAGCATTGGCGCGAACAACATGCTTCCACCGAACGATGCAAGTGGAAGAGTTGAGATATGCGAAATTCCAGAATGGGCAGGGCCGAGGGTCAACTGGACGAACGAAGAGTGGATCCAGTGGTATGGCTTCTCAAACGAACAGCTGAGTCAAGAGCAGAGAATGGTGTTCATTGGTGGGCAGCAGGACCCGATTGCAGGTATCAGCTTGCCAGACTTGCCCGAGAGTCCGGATCGTCAAGCGCCAAGGAGTATTGTTGCCCCTGGAGGTGCGCATACGGGAGATATGATGGGTCAGATGATCGCACCGAAAGGCTTAAGTGTAAATTTAGACACGGTAAGTCTTTTTCCTGGGAAACTGTCTACTATTGGACGATAGAAGGAAACTGACATAAATCCTCAGATTCGAAACACAAAACTTCAGTACTTAAAGGACTGGGTCCAATCTTATCATATGAACGAGTCGAACAGCACCTCAACTGAACTTGGGCGCAAGGGTACGAATTGCATATCGTAGTGTGGCGAAGTTTAAGTATCGATTTGGAGTTCAGGTAATATTCGACTGAAACGTTGTTCGATAGCTGAATGAGTGTTCAGATAAATTGTACTTCGAGCTTTTCGCATGGGTCGATGACTTCAGAGCCGCGCCCAAGTTTAATTGACACGAGTTCAAAGTAGATGATAAATTTTACAAGGAGTACTACTCTGGCAATTGGTGTGACAGTTCTCCCAAATCGACGATGTGCAGATGGTTTCTCTTCTGGCATGTCGCGTGGAACCGACTCTCTGCATACTTGGAATCAAGTCTTGATCTTGATTGGCTCTACATGGCATGAAAGACTAACCCATCGGACTTACGTACCGATTCATAACCTTGTCGGAGTCGGCTTGCAGAAAGACACGGGACGGCCCTACATTCTAGGGTTACATCAATCCATATAGGCTCAAGGGGTGCACGTCGGCTTACTGATAGCCGGATTCTCTTCCCCGACTGGAAGTTTCCTGGGTTCATACATGCATGAGCACTTTTCATTGGAAATGAAAATGATTCATTGGAAGGCCATGCATATGTGCAAGCATGTGAGACCTGTGATACCCCGCCACTTGCGCCACACTTCTACGCCGCATGGACGGCAGTTCTTCTGGACTTTATCTGGTCAGATTCAACGATAAGCGACGTACATTGAAATACAATTCGAAGCTGATTTGCCTTGCGATCTCTCTTGTCCATCAATAATACTCCTAAGCTTTTCTTCCTCTAGTTTTGAATGTTCAAGCTTTTTAGAACTTGACCTCGCCCTTTGTCAATTATAGAGCTGTTCGACCAGGACAATGACTGACCGAAAGCGAGATGACGGCTTTCTCGTATATTGGAAGTCCATACTTGCCTGCTTGCTTGTTGGCATGTGTCAATTTCAGTACGGCCTGGACTCTACACTCATTGGAGGAATTCAAGCTATGACAGGCTTCTTGGAGGTATACTAATCACCTGTAAGTGTAAACATTCAGCTGCTGATACATACTATAGGTATTTGGGTACCGAGACCCAGCGTCACCAATTGGTTACAATATCTCAACCCTCCGCCAGCAGCTCATTTCATCCTTGATGATTCTAGGTGCTTTTTTGTCCTCGATGAGTGCCGGTACGAATCAACTTTCTACAGAATTTTGCTCTCAAAGCAGCTGCTGACATTAGAAGGATTGATTGCAAAGTATATTGGACGAAAATTTACACTTTGGATAGCTTGCTTGCTTTGCCTGATTGCTGATATAATTATGATGACAACAACAAGTATTGGAGTATTGTACTTTGGACGACTGCTTATGGGCTTGTCGAATGGCTTATTCAACACATTCGGACAGTTGTACATTCAGGTCTGTTACCCAGTTGTTGGAAATGGATAGAAGCTCACTAATATCTCGACAGGAGTGCGCTCCATCGAAGTACAGAGGTGTGATGATTGGAGCTGCAACATACTGGATAATATTTGGTATCCCGGCTACAGTTCCTCAGTCAACAGATACAAGAATTGACTCGTAATATTAGGAGCCTTGATTGGGACCATCGTTGACAATTTCACCGTCCCATTCGGTGGCAAGAAATCGTACCTCGTCCCGCTCGGCATTGCCTTGATTATGCCAGGTATCATCGCTGTTGGACTTCTGTTCTTACCCGAGTCCCCAAGATGGTTCTTGCAAACCAACAACGAAGAGAAAGCTCGCAGCGCACTTGAGCGTCTAGCCCCATATCCTGAACTTGTGGATGGAGACCTCGCAAGCATGAAGTTAGCTATTGATAATGAGGCAGCACTTGCGCGAAGCACTGAGATTGTTGATCTGTGGCGTAGTCCAGTTGATCGTCGCCGAGCCCTTCTTGCGATTGGAGCTATTGTTCTTCAGCCAGCTTCAGGGGCGTCATACATCATTAGTGAGTGATTGCTCTGAGACGTTGCGTGGTTAGGCTGATGAGACTAGTTTATAGCACTTACTTCTTCGAAATGGCTGACATTGGCAAGCCTTTCCAGAACTCTTGCATTATGTCAGGTGTTGGCGCTGTAGTTCTGATCCTCAACAGTCTCATAATTACAAGATGGGGATATCGTCGAATCTTTCTCACCTGGGGATTGATACTGTGTGGTCTGACGCAGGTGATTATGGCTGCTGTCTACACCGCGCACCCTGGCACGATCTTGACTGGAAAGGTGACGCCCATACTTAATAATGAAATCTAATGTTGCTGACTATTATCTCAAGGTAATTGTTGGATGCACCATCCTTAACGTCACATTTTACAACGGCATGGTTGCAACCTATGCCTTGCTTTGTGGTGGCGAGTTTCCGTCCCAGCGCTTTCGATCATATACACTAGGCATTGCAACAGCAATGGGTTACTTCTTCGGATGGCTCGTTGCATTCACGGCTCCATATTTTATCAATCCTTCCTCTCTGAATTGGGGTAATGCAACTCGTCCCAGAGAATTAGACAGACTTCTTACGTGATTCAGGTCCAAAGTATGGGTATATATGGGCAGGGAGCTGTTTGATAGCTGCAATTTGGACCTGGATATTCCTACCCGAAGTGAAAGGTAGAACCTTTGAGGAAATAGATGAAATGGTACGTCCTATCATAAATCTATGTGATGCCAATTTTACTAAGCTCTTACTCCAGTTCGAAGCACGTCTTCCTCCTCGCAAATTTCGAGCATATAAATGTACAGGTCCGGCGGCGTTGGGAGCAGCGGGTGACGGCCCAGAAATTGAGCATGCGTTGAGAAATGCTGAGTCGACACCGGGAGATTCGAAGCACGGCGTTACAGTATTTGGAAATCATGTCGAGGAGAAGATTTGAATGGACTTGAGATCGATACCCGTTACTGCAAGACTAGGTCGGAAGGGGTTAGAAGGACTCGACGCATATGATACTCGACTTGAGGCTGAACCATCTCCTCAGCCTAGTGGTTTCATTCCTAATTACTTCCACGGTTAAAACAAGTTGGTTCGAAATATTCAGATGATAAGAATTCCACCAGTATTGATACTCTTCTTCAAAAGATCCAGACAGAGTCGTGATGAGCTCGGTAGGTGGTCTGGACTTACCAGAAGTTCCTTATAGGCAAATGGATGACGAAATGAAGGAATTGGATAGAGAAGTTGGCGTTGAAGTTGTTGTTCTCTATGAGGATTCAATCATGAAGGAAGTCTCCTTGAGCAACCCGAAAAACGCTGGGCCACGTTTCTGGGAGATTCCAGAACAGATGTGATGATCAAGGTCACCCACTGTGTGCTATAAGCTTTGTAAATAATAGGACGTCTAGTATAATTAAATATACATAAACTTAATTCTGAAACAATCTTGTCCACGCACGTCTGCATCCCCCAATAAAGGCTTAATCTGAGTGGTGAAAACAAGAGAATAAGAAGCGCCGTGATGCTAGTCACTCGAAACTTTCCGAACTTCCATACCAATCCTCCTGCTGACCTGGAGGTATCCTTTCCCTTGATGATGTCCAAGAACTTTGCCAGGGGAAAACTTCTGAGTCCTACTATAATGTCTGCCCGGGATATCACCTGACTGCGTTACCGAGCGCGTTTTCGTCGCGTCCATTTCAATTCTGCTTCTTCGCACTCTTCACATCAGCAACGCCAGCATGGCCACAAGAGGTACGAGCCTGCCAGAAGTTATGGCTCCTCAGCTTGATACGAACTCCTCTACCAGCCTGCTGTCTCTATCGAACGAGCTTTTGGCCATCATCGCGAGCTTCTGCGAGCCAGTCGACCTCTGCGCACTCGCTCGAACATGCCACCGTCTTTACGATCACGCGTCGCCAGCCCTTCACAAATCCATCACCATGAGGAGCACTAAATCTCTGCGACTTCTATAGAATAGTCGTATCTCATTTGGCCCACAGCGATTTCAGCGGACCATATCGTTCGAGGCTCACTTACCGTCGTCCTTTCCTCAAGATAATAATTACGAAGCGATTCCGGCGGTGGATCACATGGTCAATTTAAAGCATATGTCACTTGAGTACAACCACGACGATCCAGACTTTTGGGACCTATATCTCCCGGCGAAAATTTCGCCAAATTGGTTTCCTGTCAGTTCGTGCGCGTCAGCGTCTTTTCATGCATGTAGCTAATCGGGATATCAGTTACGCTGAACTTCAAGTCCTTTTCCCGTTGGCTTTTCGAGGCAGTGTTATCACTCTTCAGACATACACAGCTGCGACAGTTAGAGATTCACTGGGCGACCTCAGATTGCCCCGGATACGAGAGTATAGAGCAGGATCACTTATATTATGGCACAACACGGCTGGAGGACCTAAAACTCATTGACTGCAGGTTCACGCCTAGCGATTTGACCACACTCCTTGAATATCCTCGAGCCCTTCTGAATCTTTCGATATGGTCTGATCTCGACCAAGATGTAATCGATGACAACGAGCAAGTGAATCACGAAGATTTCTTTCGAGCCATAAGTGGAAGCCGGTCATGTAAATCTTTGGAGGCACTCCGAGTTGATTTCACGAGTCGATGCTGGATTATTGTGCCAGCTCCTGGAATGGACAGATTACCGAATGTTAAGTATTTGGATGTCTCCGCCTACCATTTGCAGTTCAAGGATGAATCGATGGAAAGGTATCCGGCACCTGACATCGACTGCCCCCTCGAGCGCCTTTTACCACCCAGAATAGAAGTTCTCAAAATCGATCCTTACGATGCACAGAGTGACGAAGACGTAGTCCGTCAAATCCTCCCACGAAAATCGGAAATTGTCCCCAGGCTGAGAAAGATCGTTTTGACGAACCACTATCGAGACCAAAAAATGGCCCAGGAGCTCAAAGAGGCCGTGGCAGTCGAGGAGGACAAACAAAATTATTGTCGGGCTCGCAGCGTTGTCAGGGATGGCTTTCCTCTCTATACTACCAAAGCGCCGATGGATGAGCTAAAAAGCCTATGCGCAGATAAGGGCGTTGCGTTGGTGCTTCTTTACGAAGATTCAGTCAGGAAAGAGATATTGAGGGAAGGTGCAGGACCTGCTCTTTGGGAAATACCGGAGCAGATTCGATGACACTAGCCAGAAGAGACAGAAAAAATCCTTATCACTACGTTTACATCCAGTCACTGACTACGATTCGTAGAAGAATCCTTGAAAGTGGTCGAAGATCCACAATACATCAAGTGGTTTCCTGCAAGACACTAGGTATGTTCTCTTCGTGGTAACTATATATGCTGAGACCATTTTTACTTCTGAACCTCGCCTGAACTCGAATCAACAGTCATTGACATGATCAACAGATCGAGGGCGCGATGGTGTACACTCGATATCAAGTTTCAAGTCTCAAGTGTTCTGTAAAGCATGGTCACACCAACGCTTCTTTTTATGAAAACAACTTCACATCGGAATTGATCAAACGAAAGTACTCATTTCATTGTCTTCCATGATTTTCTAAGTTGCCCACGACCATCACGCCGCAGTTCCAGACGATCTGCAACGCGACTCGAATTTTGAGTATTCGGAGGCATGCTGCAGCTGCAGAGGAACGTCTGTCAATAATCGTCTTATTTTTCAGCATGGCTGCAATGTTTTCTCCGAGTCATGTAATGTCCCGAATAATATTCCCAAACATTTCTTCCCGATGTCTGGCTCTTTGTGGAGCTCAAGCACCATCCGTGGCAGAACAGCTTGTATCATTCCTTGCCTGTGCCTCTCCTTTTCATTGCGGTTCATCATTTTTGCTACAGCCATAGCACCTTAGCACATCATCTCCCCCCTCCCTTTTCTACTTGCTTAGTTACCGCTTCTGCTTTTTCCCAGGTGTGTTGAGAACTACGCACCTTGTCACACTGTCGCATCTTCTTCCGATCTTGTACGACAAGACTTAAGCTCTGTCTCACCGTGCTTCTCGTGAAGGACCACGTGTTCTTCCCATGACCCATGATTTTGTCATTTAGTCGATAGCGGGATCTTGACAAGACAATGTGTCAAAGAAGGTGTAGTGTGCCTTTGTTTCGTATTTGGTGGGAGTTGTGCTTTCCGACAACCGTGGACCTCAATCGGCCGGAACACGATGTCAGCCATGTGAACTTCTGAAAGACCTTTAACTTATATACCAACACCTCGCACCACCAATTTCCTGTCCTTTGTGTTATTTTCTTCGAGCTTTAATTTTGTACTTGTGTTCTCAGATTTCTGCCTATTCTGTCTGCGTTTTGAGGTGGCGTCTCTGAGTTGAAGTTTCTCATAATCACCAACTGTTAATCTTATCCCTAAGCCCACACTGCCCGTCTCTTTTCTACTTGACGACCCAGCCTGCTCTTGTGAAACTCTTATATTACCAAGACTATTCTTCTGCTTCTGTCTCTCTATCGAAGTTTTCACTAACCCCACGTGATACATGCACAGGGCACCGTTAAGTGCCTCGGCTGTCAAGCTCGTGGCCCATGCGAGCAGCCGTGAGTGAAACATGACGATGAACTCAATTCATTTGGTCTCTTGACCTTCCCCAGACTCCACACAATCTCTTCTAAAGTTCTGCATCGCTACACAAGCTGCATTGACCCGGCGTACCTGAACATTCGATCTTTCCATTGGTAAGCCATCGCAGGGCAGGTAAAATTACAATTGAAGCCATACTCGATACTCAACAACAACAATAGCGGTCAAAAGTCACACAAGAATCTCACACGGTGTTACTTCCATTCATTCGACTCTCCACCATTTCAGCACTACTCCATGCAGAGTATTCCGATCCCCGAGGCTGATCCTAATTTGAATTACCACCACCAACTGGACGGGCAGAACTCGGTGGAACAAGGTCCATGGCTCCCGTATTCAGTCGTTATCTGCTTGGCTTCCTCAAGCCTTCTTGGCTGGCTTCAGGAGGCGTGCCTACTTGCCTACCAGAGTTACTCTCTTGGCCACGCGGGGCTGAATCCTCGATTCGACAATTCTTACTGGCATGCACTGGATGGCGAACGGCGTGCCCCGGGTTTTTCTCACTTTGAGTGGCGTCTGCGACGGCAACCCCGTGGTCGCTGGGTGGTCAATTGGGGTGGGTTGGTGTTGGATCTGACGGCTGCCGCTTGACCATCCTGGACCTTCCTTATCGAGGCCTGCCAAGGTTTCCGTTATCTCGGAGACAAAGACATTCCAGTGATTCCATTCCATGCTGCTGATGCTCACTCGCCCATTCACGCCCTCACTCACTCTTGCTTATCGCGTTGCACGAACTTGCTGCAGTTCCATCCCCCAGTCTGCATGCGGTGATTCGTCGCATCGCGGCATTCTAGCTTGCCTTGCCCGACCTTCTAGAAGGCGTCCCCTTTCCGGCAAAATACATATGTAGGTCCAGCGCGTGTCGCTGAACCCTTCCAGCTGAAGGTGGTGAGCGTCGCGACTCTTCTTCTTGTCCTCCTCCTCCTCCTCCTCTTCTTTTCTTGTTTAAAAATCGACATCAACTGTCACCATGTCAGACTTTGTACACGGCGATCAGGCCGATGCGAGACCTAGCCACGATGGCAAGCACCCTCCCGCCTACGACGTTGAAGCCGCGGCCCACGAGAAAGAATTGCATGGGGAAACCTTTGCGGCGCAAGACGATGTCCATAGCGATTCTGTCGAGGTGATCAAGGCTCGAGAACTTCGATCAAGAGGATTCTTCAAGACGATGCGCGATGGTGAAGAATGGCTCGATGCCAAGATGGGTATTGAGACTCAGGGCATCGATCGCATCCATGAAGAAGACAAGAAGCCTCCGTCTCTGATCAATGTCTTCTTCCTCTGGTGGTCGCTTACTTGCCATGTGGGAACTCTGCCAATTGGTGTACTTGGTCCCGAATTCGGTCTCTCACTCAATCAGTCAATTGCAGCTATTGTTGTCGGTACTATCCTCGGCGCTCTTTGCACTGCGTATACTGGTACTCTTGGTCCCAAGGTAAGAATAGCCTCTCATTGCGAGTTTCTTTACTAAGAGCTACAGCTCGGTCTTCGTGCCATTGCCACATCTCGATACTCATTTGGTTTCTGGGGAGCTAAGCTTTGCTCTGTTCTCAACGTTGTTATTGGTGGTGGTTTCGCCGTCGTCAATGTCGTCGTCGTTGGACAAATCCTTTCCGCCGTCTCCGACTACCACATGACAATCGCTGTTGGTTGCGTAATCATTGCGGTCCTCAGTTATGTGATCTCCGTCTTCGGTTTCGCGCTCATCCATACTTTCGAGAAATACTCCTGGATCATGACCTTCATCCTGATGCTCATCCTTATTGGCCAAGTTGCAGACAAGGTTGATCCTAGCATTCCAGGAGAGGACACCGGACTTGGACTAGCAGGATCCTTCCTCAGTTTCCTCGCTATCAACTTCTCGTCTGCTTCCGGATGGTGTTCTATTGCTTCAGATTACTACTGCAACTACCCCGCCAACACCAAGTCATGGAAGATCTTCTTCCTGACTCTATTCGGCATCTCCATTCCCACCATCTTCGTGACAGTCATCGGCGCCTGCCTTGGAAACGCAGCAGTGAGCTCTGAAGTCAACGACACGCTCTCAGCCGCCTATACAAACCACGGCCTCGGAGGTCTCCTCTCAGTCTCCTACCACCCCTTACCATGGGCCAAGTTCTGCCTCGTCTTCCTCACCTTCTCCGTGCTCGGGAACAACATCGCAGTCAACTACTCCTCGGGCCTCAGTCTCCAGCTCCTCGGCCACTACTTCCACGCCATCCCCCGCTTGATCTGGTCCCTGATCAACGCCGTTGTTATCGCCGTCCTCGCTATCGCTGGTCGTCAACATTTGTCTGTTATTGTCAGCAATTTTGTCTCTTTGTTGGGATACTGGACTGTATCGTTCACTTTGATCCTTTTGATTGAGGATCAGTATTTCAGGCGTCGTACGGGGTATGATTTGAATGTCTGGGATGTTCCGGGGAAGCTTCCGTGGGGTGTGGCAGCTGTTTTGGCGCTGTTGACGGGATATCTGGCTGGTGGTGTTACGGGGATGAGTCAAACTTGGTATATTGGTGAGTTAAACCCCCTTTCTTCATTTCTGATTGGAAATGCTAACGAGTTGAAAGGTCCTATTGCAGCTAAATTTGGCGGATTTGGTGGTGATGTTGGAATTTACCTCTCGGGTGTCTTTACCCTCATCGTTTATCCGCCAGCTAGGTGGTATGAGCGAAAGCTTACTGGACGTTGAGATGGCTTTGTGATGGCAGCGACTTATTATATATGGCTATGATATATAAGTTTTTGCATATATTTCAATGTTTAATATTTATCAATTTTGAAAACTGCCGTTGCATTCTCTCTTCTTTCCTCATGAAGAAAGCAGTAGTCCAGTTGGTAGAGTGTGGTCTGTACTGAGATCGACTTTGAAAGACTAATGTTCAAGATCCGGAATGATGAATTGCATCTCTGCATCTTTCTAATACTTGCGAACTATGGTCATTATTCGAAGTCTCAAAGTGGCCAAGCTAGATCAAGGACGGTGGTCCTGAGATTTCATCACCATCAAACCAAAGCACCACTTCCATCACATCCAAACACCAAAAATCATCTTCCAACCCCCCACATCCTAACTCTTAAGCACCACAGGCGTAACATCCTCCTCATCAACCAACGCAAACTTCTTCTCACTCCCCACCTCCACAACCCCAACCTCAGACCCCAACGAAGCAGAAGCCCGTCCCAGCTCTCCATTCCTCTTTTTCTGCACCTTCTCCCAATGAGCCAGCACCGTGATGACCGTAAACACAATCACATTCAACCCTCCCACTACCGCCGCTGCTCTATTTCCCGGGGTAACTATAGCCATCAGTTAAAACACAATAAGGAAGGGCGAGAGACAACATACCATTCGGTTGATGGACCTGCTGGAACCAAACGAGCGGGATCCAGGCCGAGAATGTATCTTGCATTGTGATTAGCACGCTTCTTCGCCCGTGCGAGAGGAGGAGGGGATCTTACATTGCAAAGTATTCATCGCCGCAGCAGTAAAAGCCCTCTGCTCCGCATTATCGGAAATCAACTCCGCCATCCACCTATTTCTGATCAGCATCGCCCCGTTCCCCAAAACAGAATGAAAAACTCACGCCATAGTCAAAGGAACAGCGCTCCCCCCGATCGTAGAAACGATATAAAGCGGCGCGCGATGCGAAAACGGTCCAAAGACAGGCGTCACGGCCAGGAGCACGAAAATCACAATGGAGACCAGGTTCCCGAAGATGATGGTCGGCCAGCGACGCCCGCGGAGGGGCCCGTCGGAGATCCAGACTGCGAGGAGGGAGTAGATGGCTGTGAAGGCGTTGTTGAGGGTTGGGTATTCGTTCTGGTGCCTTTTTGTTAGCTGGGCAATGGGGAGGGGAAGAGGGGAAGTACGATTTGAGCGATTGAGTAGACGGATGGTTTGCCGGGTTTGTTGTGGGCTTTTAGCCAGAAGACGAAGGATGTTGCGGGCTGGCTGCCGAATGGTTGCATTGCTGTTTGTTCTGTTAGGAGATGGAGTGAAGAGAGAGAGGGGGAGAGGGGTACTGAAGATCAGGGTGAAGAGCACGGTTTTCCAGCTTGTGAAGTAGCTGAGGATGGCCTTTACGGTGTATGGTTTTCCTTCGGGGACTCGGCCTACGCGGGCCATTCTCTCGCGGGCGAGTTCGACGTCCTGTGTCACTGTGAGTCAGTAGCTTGTTTATTTATTTGGATGGTTTTTCTATATTTACTCGTTCAGTGAACAACCAATTCGCTTCGGCAGTGCCAGGGGTATCGGGTAAGAAGAAGTAAGCGAGGATGGCAATGGGCAGAGAAATGACACCGTTGATCACTATGAAACCAAATTAGGACGAAAATCAGTGAGGAGGTGAAAGATCTTACCGAAGAGCCATCTCCAACCAGCCAGGCCAGCGTGACCGTTCAGGGAATTGTATATTCCGGCTTGCAAGAATCCACTGAAGATGGGAGCGATCGATACAGCTGACTGCAGAATACCATTACGTTTTCCGAGCTCACCTATTGGGTTATCAGCACTTGCAGAATACTAGCAAACTTGGAGAAACTTACGTTTATTGTACCAACTACCAAGAATATAGTAGAGTGCTGGCCAATACCCTGCCTCGAAGAGACCAACCACGAATCGCAGAGCGAGCATCTGGTGATATGTCTTTGCACCTGCAAGACTGAACGTGAAGATTGTCCATCCGACTTCAAGGAAGGGGATCCAGACTAAAAAGTTTATAAGTCACTACTTGGAGGAGGGAGGGTAAAAATTGGGACTTACTGTGAGCACGAACTCGAGTCAAGATAAAATTCGATGGCTTATGAGTCAGTAAAGTCGGACAAGACAAGGGATAAAGAACTATACCCATTGTCCAATAATGTACCCCACAGTCCATGATACAACAATGTAATTATACTGATTCCCATAAAGATCCAAGTCTTCTTTCATGCCTGACACAAAAGCATTGGTGATATTCGAGGTATCAATCTATGCCACCAAGATCAGCCTTTGCTTGAACCGAACCGAGTGGATTTACTTACCCATTTGATCAACATGCCCAATGTCCCGAACGTCAAAAGCGTAAAGTCTAACTGCAAACAAGTCAGATTCCCAGTCCTCAGAGAATGACCAAGATTCATCGAACCTTGAGAAGAAACCTTCTCTCCTCCTTCGATACATCAGCTGAATCCCACAACCATCCTCTCCAGGTATTAGACGGCGTCGAGGACGCAATGGAAGCTATTTTCTCTGCCATTCTTCAGAAGCTGCAAGAAACACAAATGATTTGATTGACAGGGCTGCCTTGCCACAGGCAGGTCATATATGTAGGCAAGCCATAGGTACAATATACAAGAACTCCAGACGCAGAAATCCCATTCCACTGTGGCGCAACGTGATGCGATTCGCAAGACAAGCCTCAAATTCCGAGGAACGGTACGGCACGAGCTTCACCAATCTGACGGGAGCCCCTCCATAAAGTGGGGATAAGGTAACAACTCAAAGCAGTTAAAAGATAAGAAATTGGTTGATAAGATGCCATTTACTGGATGGTATCAAGCCCAAGCGTGAGAAAGCAGAGCGTTGCCGAATTGTCAATTAGCTGTGATAATGACGTGACACAACCTTATTCGAGGATTGGGCCGTTCGAGACCCGAGGTGTCTGGGATGAGAAAACTTTTCTGGTACCGATGCTACGCTATCTTCGCCTTCGACATTTTGTTGTCCTTGCTGGTGATGGGGTTTCCGTGATGAGAAGCTCCTGATTTGCTATAAATGCCAATAAGCCATGGAGCTCGGGAAGTGGCTTGCGGAGACTAGTCTGTCGCGATTTATAATTAGAAGCGAGAACCTGAATACTTTCTTTGTTCATACATACACTCCTCTGGAGAAGGTGAGTGTTACTTGAAAAGGCAGTACTGACATTTTGTCTGGCATTGAGGAGAAGGAGTGATTTGTCTCCTGAAGGTAATTATGCCGATCTCCTCGCCCATTTGAGCTGCCCAGCATTTCACTACCACCAACCTCTCTAATGACCAGTGACTACGGATCAGCTAACTTCAGCCTCAGACTGCACATTTGGCATCCTTAAGAACAATGATTTCTGTCATATGCAGCAAGTTGCGAACTGGTACTCTGTCGTGCTGATTACTTAGAGCGGCGTTCAGAGAACAGGACATGGCCAATAATTTCCATTGGTCTATGAGATATGACCGTGTTTGGTCATCACCGTACTTCCCTGAACTTCTCCTTCCCCTGTGTGGACCCCGCATGCTCCTCGAATTGCTCTCTTGATCATGCTCAGCCATCTATTCCTGGGTGGATCGTATCTCCAATCCATATTATGTCGCTCTCCTCCGCTTAGCCATATTCGGTACTTCGATATACATCAGCCTGCATTGGAATGTATATTCGATATCTCGTTCGGCCATGCTTGAATTTCGAGCTTCTTTTGCATGTCGGAGGTGAGATGAATCGGGTAAGGAGTCTTCCTCATCGGCGAGTTTCTGCTGCTCTATACCAGCACGAACTCCTCAATACCCATTCCTGAAACTCGCATCACTAGTCGTCATCATATACTTCTCCACATTAGATGCCACCGTCCCTCTCTGTCTCAAGAAAACGACCACTGCATAGATCACCCCAACAATCAATATCAAACTGTCAACCATTAGCCTTGCCCCTCATTCGTTCCGCAAATGGAAAACACTCACTAAACAGCACCAGCGAAGCCAACCACCACATAAATAATATAATTATTCCACTGCCCCTTCTCCCAATTCGAGCTCACAGCCAGAATATCCAGCACCAAAACCACCGTCCAAGTCCCCGCCTTGAGCGCCGACGACCCCAGGAAGATGGCTGGTGAGAGGTCACTATAGACGTAAAGGACGATCTCGGCGCATGTTAAAAGCAGGGCGATGGCTGCTAGGACGAGGTTTGCCACATCCCAACTATTCAATTGTCAAATTTTGTTTGTGTTTTCGGAGATATATTTCGGTGTGGGGAAAGGTCCGGATAGACCGGAACCAAACAAACGTACCTCTGCGTCCCAGCCTCAATCGTAACATTCTTTCCCCCAATGCTCACTGTCTGAGCCGGCGTGTTATTTGTGATGCAAACGAGGAGAGCTGCAATAATGAGGTCCACGGAAAGCAGGATGAGTTGGAAACTCCATATTGGCATTATAGCCGACTTTCGCCATGGGGAATGGAGGTTGTAGACCATTTTCGAATCCTCTTTTAATTCCGAACACAATTTTATTGGAAATAGAAAAGAGGAAAGAGAGGAAGAAAAAGCAAGAAGCAAGAACGACGTTCAAACAATACAGCAGGAAGGAAGGAAGTATATAAGCACTAAACACAGCAGGAGCAGGAACACGAAATCCCACCATATGTCATACATCGTATCGCAGCCGGCACTTGCCAAGAGCTGCGTGCAGCGTCTCACGTAACAATTGACAGCGAAAAACTACTCCGCCTCGTCATCAACACAGAGAAGTGAAGCCGGAGGCCTACGGAGTTTGGCCCGCGAGTGGTTTGCGAAGCGCTGACGAAGGGGCTGAACGAATGGGAAAGGTCATTGCGGCTGTGGACTTGTGAGAGCGAGACGAAACGCGAGGTTGGGCTTTTGGTCGTGAGGCTGGGTGGCCCACACGTGACGGGCTGGCCATTATGAACGCCGGAAGCGCGGATGGGGTTTCACTTCTCGAGTCCGCATGTCAAATACCTTTGTTCAGCACAGGCCGTACAAGAAAACTTCATCAGCGCTTCTGGTGTTCATACGGGCCTCTCATCACGTGTGACCTAGCTCCTTCATCAGCCTCACAAGGACAGGCCGATCCACACATGCACGGCTTGCAAAAGGAAGTACAATCTCATGAAAAGGCAAATTGAGATTCCTATCTGGTCCCTTTGAAGCTTCAAAACACCATTGCTACGCTGTGCTACTGTCAAAATACACATACACGGCGTCAGAAATGCCAAACAAAACTCTATTCGCGGTTGAATGTAGTCCTAATCGAAGAATGTGAGCTCAGCGAGGCTTAGAATCTGGTTCATTTACCTCCGCAGACTCCAGTGCTCCTTTCTTCCTCTCTGCACAGTTCTATCTCCAGAAAGCAGTGGTGAGTAGTCTTCGAGTTTTTTCTCCTCTCTGCGTGCTTCTGTCCTCGGGAGGCTGCGGTACGTTGCACAGAGAAGGCCCATTGTTCTTAGTAGACTCAGATGTCTCCTCAGACACTCTGGCGACAAGAATACTTATGTTATAGTTAAAGCACGCATTCCCTACCATTATGATGGACGGCTACCCGTATCCCAAGCAGATCCCACGCATCCAAGAGGATAGCGATTCTGATATTTTCTGCCCTGCGTTACCTTGAAGCAACCGCACTCTTCATGGCTAAAACTTTTTCAACTTTTAGGAACACCTCAGGTTTCATTTGCTCCCAAGTAATTCGCTGGCGCTGACTGCGCTGATTGCGCGAGATGCGCTACTTGCGCTGGACGCGCCAGACGCGGGCGTTTTGCACCACGAAATTGAATTCATATATTCCACGCTGAAACAAGAGATGAGTGTTGCACTATAGCGAGTTTCATGACATCAAGTAATTGAAAGAGTCACTTCACAAGAGATGAAACTCGGGCGGAACGAAATAAATCAACAGAAACAGTCAAACACCGCTGTCACGTCCATTTCCTGCGCCACTATTGAATGAGCTAAGAATCACAAACACGGCCTAAGTAGAAAGAAAGGCATATAGATATTCTCTCCTCATCAAGGTCCCATTTGGATGAGCAGACGTTGTATAGAGTGATCGACTCGATCCTGAATGTGGGATGAGACGGGTGTGAACTACCAGACCCACGTTCAAGAGATCAATATGCACCTCTTCCCAGTCGAGAGACTTTGGATTGTTGGACGACAATGTCCACAAGTGCAGCAAAAGAGAGCAGCGTGAAAGAATCGATGAATTATGTTTTGGCCAAGCGCTCCGCCTATAGTACAGTACGTCTGAGCATATCTGAGTCACTGATCACCGTGATACTACTCATTCGCCGCACGTCCCGTGACAACGGGTATCTCTTCTGAAACTAGGGCCAAAGGTTCCTGGCAGTCCGACCTTCCCACCGCTGCATGCCAACCGCGGTTCTTCGTCGTCACATCTCTGTCTGAAATTCATCCTTCCGTGCCACTGCTTCTGAACGCGGCACATAGTGCAGCATAATGATGTGTCAAGTCCAGGACATTCTGGGGTAAGCTTGTTGCCTGGATAATACTTCGGACCTTCACTGCTCCTTCATCCTCGATCAATGTTCGGATTGTGTACAGCAATTCAGGGCTGAACTCTGAATACCATCTGTACTGCCATGTGACCAATCGGATCACTGCTCCCACTGTTTCGCGAGTTACTTTCTCCTTCTCAAAGTCGGAGAGAATGCCAGTCAATGCTTTCGGAGAAAATCGAATTGAAAGACAGGCTCGGTAAGCTTCAGTTGCTTCAGCTGGGTGATGTAAACGTTCAGCGAGTGAACCTAAAATCTCCCACTCCTCTGCCGATTTCTTGTACTGCATTTGCTGAGCTCGGTACTGTGCCATCTCGGTACGCCATATGGTGTAGATGCGGAGATCCTCGTAAAGGACCATGAACAAGCTATCTAGCCATCTTTCGCAGAGTCGCTTGTTGTTAAATCGTGACAATTGTTCTTCTGTCACTTCCGCCTGCATTGGGTTAGTAGCAATCATCAACACAGGAAGAGAATGTACTCACATCTTCATTCCCGCTCTTCACTTCTTCCGGCGTTACGGTATGTGAAGGCTTCTCAACCGTTTGGTCAGCCACCGACCCCCGTACACCATTCTCAGCTACCAATGTTGGTGCTGTGGAATCTCCATTGGTGCTTCGTTCGTCATCAGTGTGGTCATCACCGTTGATGGGAGGACCTGGACTTCCTCTCAGTACGTCGGTGCTTGCATTACGCTTGGTTGGTTCACCTTGGGGTGGCTGCTTCTCGCTACGATACTCTTCTTCCATCACAAACACATTACTCCTGATCTTAAGCAATTGATCCCAGCCAATCTTTGCGGTCATCTCGGTCAGTATACTGTACGCATGCTTGAATGTACCTTTGTACTGAGCAGCACGTAAGCTTAGCAGACTTGGATGCACTTGCTCAGAGTACTTCGATTCTGGCTCGCTGTCGATTTCGTCCAGCCGTGTCTCTGGGAGAGTTGGCAGGTAAACTTCTTTCGGCTCGGGCATGATAGGCGCGTCCTTGTCTTGGTATGTGAACATTGGACAAGAATTCAACGTCGTCAGAGCATTCTCCCAGTCTTCCATCGCAACATACACTTCTGCTAGCCTCGCCCAGGTACCGAACTCGCTTGGTGCTGCGACCGTGCTTCGGTCAGCGCATCCCAGAGCCATGCGGAGTCGATCTTGTTTTAGGTCTGGTGCATTCGGGTTCAGGGCCTTCTTCATCAAGAAATCTGCTTGTGTGTCAAGCATAACATAATCCATGGGTGATTGCTTGACTGAATCGTGAAGCACTCTGACTGCTTGTACCTCTTCGTTGCCCATGAACATGACTTTCGCCAGTAAAGAAGAGACTTCAACGTTGCGCGTCCGAAGCTTCTCGAAAAGGTTGATACCTGACGCAAAGCGGCCAGTTGTATGGAAGTATTTGAGGAGACCAGAAGTGAGATGATTCGAGACATTGTTTGGTACTTGGACGACAGAATCTGACCCGAGTTGCCAACCTGCAATGATCAGTATAACTCTTCTCAAACTGTAAGACGGTTTTACCTCTGAAGAACAGATGTTCCGCGGCTTGCAGGAATCTATGCTCAGTTTCAGTGTTGGTAACTGGATTGAATCTTCTGACGCCCATAATCTTCCTGATTGTGTCCCCACTTCCATCATCGGCGTATGAATATGCGCGCAAGACACTGCAGAGGTATGTTTCTAACCACAATTCATCGGAAGCTGTTCTTTTCTCCCCTCGTTCGTCTATGCAATAGCTGTCCACACTGCCTGGAATTGTAACGTGCACCCGCATGTCAAGTCTTGAGAATGCATTGTAACAGCTGTCAAGATTTAGCCAAAATCCAATTACTTTCTCCTGATGTCCCTACCAATAAACGCCCTCGACTATCTTCGTTGTGGAGGCGTGGTTTTCCTTGTAGGTGAGGGTGTTGATATAAGCTGCAAGACTTGCAGAGGACGAAGCATCGACTCCAGTGACATGATGGTAGACTCCAATCTTTCTGCAATCAGTACAGTGCGCCAGACGTACTAAGTGTCCATTGCCTACGTACCTGCTTGCCCGGATTCCTTGGAGCTTGTTTGATTAATTGGACAAGATCGGGAGGACCTAATTCTCGCAGCGCCGCAAGAACTTCTGTTCGTGAATCAATGGACTCGTGAAGCACCTCTTCCGTGATTCTGAATGATTCGTAAGCTTTATCTTCAGGTTGTGTGCATTTGTTGATTGTGGGGCTGGGACATACTCGGGGACAGCTGGCGCAACCATCTTGTCTTTCTGCTCGCAGGCAGTGTCTTAGACACTACTTGCAGCTTTATCGATGAGAAGCGTGTTGGGAGAAGGAGGCCAGATAGTGAAGCTGAAGCAGCTACACCTGTGCCCGTGAACGCGTTGCTGTCGTGGGTATCGCAGAGTTCTGGTGATCTTGAGAATAGCTTCTTGGAATTGCTGGGATGATTTAAGTGGCAGTTTCAAGCTTGGACCATCAGCATTCAGCCTCGTCACGTGGCATTCTAATGTATACAAGGTATTGCAACCGTGGTTTCTTTTCCTTTATTAATTGGAGAGTTTGAATCGATGGAGAGTAAATATTCATATTCAATGTCGATTCTGAAACAAAGTTATTGTTGTGATTCACGTGTAGAAATGAAAAGCCATCATAGAGAATCTCTTTTGATCCAGGCAACGACTTGCAAAGTGGTTACTTTATCTACAAATAGACCACACGTAAAATGGGGAGATAATTTTCAACTTGATTTCCTCAAAGTCATGTTCATAGAGCGGAACCAAAGACCAACATTTCAAGGTACCGTAGCTTCTATCTCCATACCCTCCACGAAACACGTTTACCAGAATCTGGTTGAATAGTCTCAAGGCTAAAATAAACAAGTTTCAACCTTGAACTACAAGTATTCCCCAGATTTCCATGTCGTAGTTTCGTAGTTTCGTATGGAATAGGCAAGAATAAACATGCTTGTCGGCCAGTCCAAAGCCAGGTGGACGGTCAACTCGTTTGAAACACAAGTGAATGATGCAGTCTGCTTGCGGTTTTATCTCCTGACCACATCACTTGTCAGATTCGAGTCCACTTGGTTCTGGACAATGATAGCTGAATCCCAACATCAATCAAGGCTCAGAGGCGAAAACCATGTCGGAGCTCTGTTTGAGAATTTCCCCATCAGTATTAGTGTATATGACTTACCGCCTTCGCCGCGGCAGAATTAACTGTCTCGAATAGCTTCAATGGTCAACCGCAGAATAAACTACTGCTCTGTAGATGATTCTGTCAATTTACTTTTTTTTGCGCGGAACACCAGTCATTACTCTCGACCCTTTCTTTGACCCCTCTTCCTAGCGAGTAACGTGCGAATGGGACCTTGATCTCCGTTATTCCTTTCAGCAGACCAATCTACGAATGTCGCAATCTCCAACAGAGCCCGCACACACGCCTTCGGAATCGGAATCGGAATCGCAAGACGACCACGTCCTCTCAGAAATCTCGGGGGTTTGAAATTCGAAAATCAACTGGTCAAGACGCGTTCGTCTACCCCTCTTTAGACGTCTTGCGACGCGTTGGCTTTTTACAGCCTTACTACTCGATTGAACCCTCTCCACCTCACCCACAATGGTCAGTACTCTGCAGATATCCGCAATATACTTCATTGTTAACACAGTATTAGGCAAGCTTTACAGCCTTGAATATTGAGCCCGACGATCAGATCGACGATGAAGTTGATAATACTAAAGAATTACAGGTGGGTCATCTTGCTGCGAAGTCATGCTCATTACTGACCGTCTGCAGATCGAGGAGGCCCTGAAGCTGTATCAAGCTGCGCTCAAGCTACATTCCCAAGGACCTGCATCCTATCCCCAAGCTGCCGCAGCGTACACAACCCTTTTCAACTCCGAAATCTTCAAATACCCAGAGAGCGAGACGGAATTTCGGCGAATCGACAAGCATCCGGAACTTGAATATACCGATACTTACCCCTTAGGTCTTGACATTGGAGCTGGCGGTGTCGATGGTGCCCAAACTCTTCCTCAGATCTTATATCTTGCATACAAGAACCATGGCCAGTTCATATTGGACTGCGTCAAGAGTCGTCTGCGATTAGAGCCTCTTCCTAAACCTGCCTTGGACTACCAAGTTCAGGCTGCGATCGACAATTTCGCTCTTGCGCTTGCCAGTGATGAATCAGATACGGAATTATGGAGACGCGCTGCTCGGATTGGTGCGACATTGGGTAGCAGAAGAATTGCTAGATACTGCTTGGAAGCGGCTGTGGAAGTTGACGACGATCCAACAGTTGCCGAACTTGATCCTGCAGCTTTGGAAGAAGGCTTTGCAGGTGAACAATTGAAGGAGCATCTAGACGTCCTTGGAGATGAAACCGCACTGTCACATCCAATTATGGCCCCATTCAAGAGAAAGACCATGCCCGATTTCCTATTGAAGCATATGGACCCCTACCCATTCCTTCCAGATTCAACAAAGCTTCTTGATAGGGGAGAAGAGGACGGAAATCAGCCTGAAGCTGCCGAGCAGCGGAAGATCGTTGCAGTTCCAGAGCGCAGCTGGCATTCTCTTGGTAGCAAACTTTGTGATGTTTTTTTGGCTACAATGGGTGGTGCTGAAGATTACATTTCAACAACCGGTCTTGTCATTAATCTGCCGCCAGATGTTGAACAGATGCTAGGAGTCGAGTTGGCCCACACGGACGATCAAGTGATGAAAGACGCTCCTATCACAGAATCACCAACGGCCGAGAGTGAGGCGGCAAGCGCTACTCCTGTGACTGGAAAGTCGGACGAACAATCTGTAGAGGTTATTACCACAACAACTACTGTGCCATTAGCCCAAGAACCGCGCCAGTCGAGCGTGTCCTTACCTACAAGAAAGAGATCGCAGTCGGCAGCTGGAATTCGAGAGACACCAGAGGAAGATAGTAGCACCCAAAAGCGCAGTAAGCGTATTCGCAATCGGGACAGCACTGCCGACGGTACTGCTGATGTCACGACTCAATATGCAGAGCAACTGAAAAGCTTCGAAAGAGCAGACGAAGATGCCTTCAAGTTCGTTGGCTGCTTGCTGCAGAAATTGAGTGTCGATGATCTGGGATCTTTGGCAGAGCTGCAAGAAGTCCTGTCGCCTGACGAGAAGACCGATGCAGCTGAAGTCACAGGCAATATCGTGATACGAGACCTTCGAGACATCCTTCGAAGCTGGGATGATGCCAAAGCTTCTGAATTCATCAACAGCAACGCGGCAGAAATCTTAGGCTCTTCTGTTAATAGTGCCAATGCTGGTCTTGCCGCTTTCCTGGAACACTCCAAGACCGGCCCTCAAAAGCTTAGCAATATCCCAATGCTCGGAGAGAGCGAAGGGCTCGCAGACTTTGTTGAGAAGGTCGACTCATCTTGGATGCCCTTGCAAGATATTGTATGGGAATTTGTTTGCACTCTGATGTCATCATATCACACCTCATTGTGGCAAGAGCAACTAAAGTTCGTGATAGTGCGCCTTATTACGTTCTTAGACTCTACTGTTTTTGACCGGATCCAATCGGAAATCGAACAAGCCAAATCTCCCTCTGATCTGCAGAAATTGGAAGACATGGTTGAAGGCCTGTTCGAACTACATATCGACATCTACACTCGAATTACAAACCCTAACAGCGTGGTTCCTTTCGAGACTCGACTGACTACGAAGGAAAGACTCGATCGCTGGGCAGATCTAGCGGCTGATGTCGTCCAGTCCCGAACGACTACTTCATCGAACGATGATCTATCGCTTCGATATTTGTGGGCTTCGGTGTTCTATGCTACCATGGCAGACAATGTCTCACGGGAACACAAGGTACTCTGCTGGTCTGATTTACAAGCCCTTCTGCAAGAGTCTGGTAAACCGGTGATTGAACTTCAGAACAATGCTGTTATGCTCGAGATCTCAGCAGAAGCAGCCGAGCGGGAAGTATCAAAGCTTACTACCATGGACTTCTTCTTCAACCTTTTCCAGACCGACCGTTCAGATCCATTAGCTATCATTGAGACTCTAGAGCCTGTTCTAGACCCCGAATCGGCTTGTGCGGTGCCTGACACAGAAGTAGTCAATGGCGTGGAGGTCAGCGATGGCATGGATAGTACTCCGGCTGCCTTGAGAGAGATGTGGAAATTCTTACAAACCGGAAGCACCTCCCTTCGCCTGTTCCTATGGCAAAGACTCAATGAAGCATATGGTAGCATTGGATACTCGACCAAGGTCTTGTCCTGCAACCTGAAGAGTATCGAAGTCATCGTTGGTGCGCTGAGATCGTCTGAATACGCGGATCTCCCGCCTGACCATCGCCACCGCAGACTCCTAACCTGGTTCAAAGCCTTAGATGACCTTCTTGTCAAAGCATTGACCCTAGCGCTCAACGATGCTGCGGCATGTTTTGAAATCATCGATGAAAGACATATCAAGTCTACCTGTAGTGCCCTGGCCCAGCTTACTCGAATCCTCCATGCTGCTTCGTTATTTGATGACGAGGTTCGAATTGGTATGACCCCGCTCCCGCAAACTCCTGCTTATGCCCAAAATGGGACTTTCTCCAACTTTACCAATAAGCTGCGCGAAATGCAAGTACGGACTTGGGCGCTGCAATACACCTTGATCAAGGAAGCAATGACCCAGAATCACGAATTGTTCCCCACTCCAGACAATGACCTTGCAGACTATCTCGCTCTAGTTCATTATGCGTTAGGTATGCGAAAAGCCTGCAAAGCCTCAAACAAGATCTTCTTAAAGATGATGAAGGTTGAGATGACCCGTTTCAAGCACATCGAAAAGTGGGAAGACTACCTTGGTCAAGTTCTGTACGATCTATTCGGTCTTCGTCTTGGTGTCGGTTTGTACGAATTAGAAGAACATGGATGTCCAACTGAGCCACTCGACAGACGAACTGTTCTCAACATTGCAGACCAGATTATCGTGCTCGCAAACAGGATGTCGATGAAAGATCTCCTAAAGCATGAATTACGGCCAACCATTGAAAAGATGCAGACTGCTGTGGGCCTGGCAAAGTCTACCCCACATATGCTACATAATCTTCGAAATTATACAGAGTACTTGAAGACATCTTTGCGGCCCTTGGATATGTACAAAGCCTGGCGGGGACAAGTTCTTGTCGATTCGGTTCCCGTCACAACACCAGAGACTCCGCTTGCAGACAAAGGCTGGTACTTCTTACTAGGAATGATCAACTTGACCAAATTCCGCTCCCAAAAGCGACTTGGTCCAGGTGCCCAGACCGATGATCTTCGAGTTGGCGTTTCTTTCTTGAGGCTGCAACTTCAGTTCACCGCTGAGCACTGGGAAACATGGTATCGACTAGCTCAATGTTTCGACTTCGAGCTCGAGGAGGAGGTATTGTGGAGCGCGGACAAGATCAACAATCATCGAGCGGAACTCACCAAAACCCAGCGGAGCGCCATCCATTGCTACGTCATGGCACTATCCACAGCTGTCCGCAATGCTGACGACTCATTCGCTACCGCTGAAAAACTTTCTGAGATGTATTACGACTTTGGCATGCGTATCTACTCATCTTCGCGTGAGCCTTTTGGGATGGAAGCCTTCTGGACCGATGAGTATGAGAAGCACATGAGTGGGTCCACTGGCATGTACAAGAAACCTCTCCATGAAGAATTGAGCAGATATCGGGCTTGGAAATATGCTGGGAGGCTCTTCAGAGAGTCACTCAGAGATAAGCCAAACAATTGGATGTATGTATGTACCTCTTGTTAAGTTCCACCTACTAACATTCCCAGGGCCCATTTCATGTTGGGCAAATGCCTTTGGAAGATGTACTGCAAAGCAGACGAAGAGTGGGACGAAAAGCTCAGAGCAACCAGACCTTCCGTGGACGCAGTACTCCGTGCATTTGTCAATTCGATTAGACATGTTCCGAAGCCACGAGACAGTCGCCAGGAACCAGTCCTTGAGCCTCACTATAAGCTTGTCTCTATCGTCCACAAGCTGGTTACCATGCGAGCTCTGGAACCTCAGGCCGGCGCAGACCTGTTGCAGAAGCAGCCATTCGCCATCCGAAAAGGAGAAGATGTCACAATTGCTGACTATGAAGAGTGGGAGCCGTTTGTACTTGAGAGTCTACGTCATCTGCGAAACTCCGATAAGCAACATTGGCACCATCGTATGATTGCGAGAGCAGCCAACATCTTGTTCGACGAGAACAATCCAGATTATGTTCAAGCTCAAGCGGCCAAGCACGAATTCCGCGAGTCCATCTTCACGAAGACTATGCATGTTATGGTTTGGAAGCCAGATGCAGAACGTCCTGGCAGACATTGCGTCTATATGGAGCGTTATGTCCATTACATGACAAAGCTACTGTGGATCACAAACGATAAGCCGAATATGGAAGCTCTGGTCAAACGTGTGCGCAAGAAAGGCAACGACTTCCATCGTTTCGAGAAAGTCTGGTCTGAAGCCTGCAATACCTACCTCAAGATGATCCGCCGCACTTCGAACATCCCTCCAAGCATGGACGACGTCTTCAAGAACGTTTCTCATGAAGAATTCGAGATCCTTTGTGATCGTCTCGGCACATGGACCGCTGATCCAAATGTGCAACATCCAGCTCTTGAAGCTCTTCGGGAATCCAGTGAGCTCAAAAAGCTTAATGCTGGGTTGATGAAGCCACCACCAATTGATGATCTGATCAATGATGCTTGGGCAGTGCTTTACACCCAAGTTGCGAAAAACATCCCAGGTCCGGAACCATCTTCTCTGCATGCTGCGCAGACGGACGGAGCATCCGCATCTCCAGGAGCTGCAGCTGTCAGAGCCATGGGTCCCATGAGTCTCAATAACCTCGTCATGGACATGAATGGTACACAGATATCCGTACCTTTGACTGTCGCAGGCTCAGAGGCATCACGACCACGCAAGACGGGGATCAGCAGACGAGATGTCTTAAAGCGAGCTGAGCTAGCTGTCAGCCGCATTCCGGATATCCCACGTCTAATTGCACCGTCGACTTCGAGGCCAAGAATATCGGAGCCATCACCATCGTTGATTTTGGGATCCAATGCAGAGCAGGACCAAAAGCAGAGAAGCGCCAGTGTTTCTACGCCGCGAGTCGAGGCGCCTTCTGTACAACAAGACAATGAACAAGGAGACCAAGAAGAGCAAGAAGAGAGACACGACGATCAGGAAAGCGAGAGGGGAAGTGTGCACGATAGTGCAGATGACGAGAGTGACTTGAGCGATGTACCGGATATGGATGACGTGGATTCAGCCACGATCTTTCCAAACCTTGTTAGGAGAGACGGTGGCAGCAGCGATGCTGAAGAGGCAAGCACACCAGCTAAGGACTGAAGGTGTAGACGAAACTGTGTTTGTTGGATTCGAGAAGCTTTGGGCATGTGTTGCATTTGCTATGGCGTTTTCATGGCTGTTCTGATACCCATTGCAGTGTATGATTTTAGAAAAGTGTACCATAGTCTAACGATAGTGTTGGAGAAGAATGAAAGAGTCTGTACATGTAAAAGCTTACGGCCCTCCATGTGAACACGAGCCATGTTTGAGATTATGTCAAAGTTTATCTCAAAGATGTACAAGCAAATCAGTGCTGGGAACATATTTACTGACTTATCAATAGATATTAGAGCTGCAGAAAGAATTTGAGTATATTACGAAGTTTTCGTTTCCTAGGAGAACTTCCACGCACTCAGAAATGTTACGCTTGCAAAGAGCAGGATTGTGATTTATACCACGACACCAGCAATCAAGCCCACTAATCTATAAGGTATTCTATTTCACCAAGTGAAGTCCGTCCCACGGCTTCACACTATCCAAGTTCCTCCAACCCCCAACCCTGTTTTCGTAACCAAATGTTCACAATCTGGGTGTACATTATGTCTCTTATTTGGCTCCAGAACCACTTGCCACCAACTCCTCATCATCCGAGTCCTCGAAGCCCTCTTCAAATATCTCTTTGCTTCCCCATTGCCGATAAACCCCCACAGGAGTCATCGAAGAGTGGAAAGTACGGGTTTTCCCGTCGTTAGAGGAAGATTCTTTGAGTTTAATGGTAATCATGGTGAAGGGGACACCTTGCTTTTCCTCGTGGAGTGTTTTCATTATTCCTTCAGCCGTATTGAAATCGTAGTCCAGTCGGCTTGTGCAAGATTTCGGCCATATCGAGGAATGAAGGATGAGAATCTGCAACTGGTGAAAGCATGGAAGCTGCTGTAAAAGCTTCGCACAGTCCTTTTGATGAGTCAGTATGCTGTTGTTCAATGTGTTCAAATGAACTTACGGTAGATTCTTCAAGGTAAAGATCCATCGTCAAATCTGTGATTTTAGGACAGGCCGTTAGAATTGCAACCAAATCCTGAACATTGGGTTGCTGTCGATCACATCGTCCACGGCTTCGAATTGAAAGCTTGCGCAATGTCGCACCAAGGCCTGCAATGCCATCTAAAGGGGCCATCTTGTACTGGTTCTTAACGAACGTGATAGCCAGTCTCTCAAGCTTGGTCATTGTGACGAGGAGCTTTCCCAAGACCTTCTTCCGCCCGTAGAGATCCCAGTCCCGGATATTAACTAGTGGCATTGTAAAGTTCAACACAAGAATAAGGGTTCGAAGTTCTGCGAAATCCACCGATTTTATAAAATCAAATTGCGATGATAGCCCACCGCATTTGACGATAAGAGTCCGCGTTGGTGGAAATATGACTTCGGACGCTCCATAGCCTGTTGGATACTTGTGTTCTCCGACCAGAAATAGAAGGTCAAGGACACGGGCCGGGAAGTCTGTAGAGACAGGAGACATGTGAATTTCTTTCGAATAAAAAAAATGGTCCAGAATTTCGGAAGCCTCGTCTTCAGAAAAGTCCGACACAAATTCTCGATATACTCTATCAAGGCTTTCGCTCATGGTACCAAGATCGGAAATCACTAACCACTCTTCAGATAGACCGAATCGATATGCTTTTGCCTCGGGTGTGACTTGCAAGAAAATCTCGAGATAATCTGATGCGAGCTCCTGGGACTGGAGATAAGACGTCTTTGGTGGTTCTGAGCCCCAAAGTCCCAGAGAGGTATCTGCAGCCCTCCATCTAACTTAATGTCAGCCTGAGAGAATGAGATGCCATGCTGGAAACCTACTGTATATGCTTGAGTTTCTTGCATTGAGATAGCAAGCCAAGAGTCTGCTGTCGGTACAGAATCTCCGGTTCATGGGGAAGTTGCAGAATGCGGCTGGAGGACGCAATATTTTTCTGGTAAGGGTCAGCAGATGTGTGGACTTTGTTTCCTGAAAGTGTACAACGCTACCTTAATCCATTTGCTTGAGTTATCATCCATGTATGCGTCGGATATATTCATGATTTCATACGCAGCAGGGGTGACTACCTCATTGAATGTCCGGGACACAAGGCGGAGGTCAGAGAACAGTCGAGTCCACTCAATGGAGGGTTGACGGTGCATGTCGATCCAGTTACTTGACTGCAAGCTGGAGTTAGGCTCAGCCTTCAGGGAGGCATCTATATGCTCGTCTCTCTCAGTAGCGAGCTGGGGCAAATCAGTTGTTGGACTTTGGCCGAGCGCATATTTGCTCACCTCTGCAACGATCATTGTCAAGATAGAGGGTGGCAAGCGCGGTGTAGAAGTCATGACGACAGAGTTTGAAATACTTGCGTACCCGCCGGCAATTATGTTGAGGATTAATGGAGAAGTTCGCTGAGAAATACGTTGAGGGTTTGGGAAAGTGTTAGTCGAAGCAAGATGCTGCACTCAATATGATCAAGCATTTGAGTTGAACAAAGCGCAAATGTTATTATGCGCGCTATCTTTTAGGACTAGCGTTCACCTTCCATCTCAATGTATAAGATGAAAAGGTAGATACTTCAGTGCTTGTCACATAATAACCATATAAGACTCTAATTCAAAGTCTTAGATCTCTGAACGATTTAATCGGAATTGCTGCAAGGTGCGTAGCTCTTGACCCAGCTTTCAGAGGCCTTTGCGTGAAGAAACTCACTGGTTCGTATACGGGGTTGATAAGATTACTGTAATAAGGTTTCTTTCTAGGCTAAGGAACTACTCATTGACAACAATCTAATACAACTTCAGGCTTGGTCCCTACCTCATTATTAAAGCAAAGCTTGAGGAAGACTATCCTCGGCTACTGTATGAGATTGCATTGGCAAGGTATTCTGAGCTGGAGAGAGGCAGAAAAGGATCTTCCTCACACGTAGTCTCGTTAGTTCTAGGTTTAGCGTGCTTCACGTGACTGCCAATATCCTACAGCCATGTAGGTACAATCCGTGATCATAAATGACCATGGCTTCCAAGAGGCTTATTCCAAGTCAGTGGTTTGTTTATGGCTCTCGTCTGATATATTTCAAAGTGTATCACTGGTCTTGAAATGTCTTTCGAATCATTACAAAACGTACCCCTTTTTAGCTTCGCTTAATTTCGCTTCCAACAGAGGTAGGTAGGAAACTGGTTCTATTATCACATGTGGGCAATAATTTTCGCGCTTACCGTAAATGCTTGCCGGATCTTCATGTTTGTTCCTGTCTGTGACCTCGTTGATGTTAGCTATCCGGGTCTTACGAAACCTTGCGCTTGTTCATAGACATCAATGACTTGGTCAGACCGATTTGGGATTTGCTGGTCTGGATGGTGCAACTTGAATGAAGCGCTTTCATTTTCCTCCGTGAACTGATAATGTCGATAGAGTAACATGTAAGGAGTAAATAGGGTCTGAGAGATGTACTCACTTGTCATTTTCAGCATGCGCTTGAGAGCTAGCTCGAACCTTTGGTAGTTGCCATTGCGGCCTACTTGTCACGATCACGTTCCCGGGACCCTGCGGTGTCCCAGGATACAGAGGGATCCTGGGCGTGCGTATCCCAGAGCACGTAGGGGCCCAGGGGACATACGGAACCATTGGTTGTTTAGTGGGGTAAACAACCAGACGGCTTATTGGATGGAGGAATGAGCGACCAGTGGGTCACGAGACTAGTGTCACGTGACTGCAAGCTCTGCTAGATAGCTAGCAAAGCGCGCGCGACATGCAAGATGTCTTGCACGTCTTGCATACCTTGCGAGTAGCGACTATATAGGACTGGCATTTCTGCCATTAGATAGGAGCTTTGTGCTCAACTTGATTAAGTTTTCCTAACTACAATATCATTGCCTTATCTTACTTCATTCACCATACCAACCCACGTGACCTTACCAGGGTAAGGAGTTCGACGTGACACTACTTTCATACAGGTGTCAAGGATAGAGAACCATAGGTCAATATCGGTCAGCTTAGCAACAATCTAAGGTTTGTACAGCTCCGTACTCTTTTAGAGCAGACTGGATCTGGACACTTGGAGGCAGTCTAAAGAAGCTAGAGCTAAATGATGGTGAGGCCCGAACTCGTCACAATATCCACACTATCTCTGTCGATTATTTCAGGAGTTATCAAATTTTGCTGCCCAGAACTCTCGACCCTGATTTTGCTGTCGACAAAGATGAGGTAACTTGACTTGATAACCTGTATAAAAGCCACAATTTAATGGTTTCTGAACAGCTGTCTTTTCCAGCGTCTCCAACAGCCCAGCCAAGAAACAGCCTTCCTCAGCCCGCCGCCGCCTTCCTCCTCCTCGCCAGTGATTTTTTAATCTCCGCCTTCCTTCTCCTCGCCAGTAAAAAGTGATCAGCCAGCTCAGCCAGCCGAAAAGGTGGCTAGTTCGGAAATTAAAATCGGACTTTAATCTCGTTTAAATCCTTGAAAATCGCATTTAGGGCCAGCCTGCTTAGCCTTCCTACTCCTCGCCAAAATATATGCCAGCCTTCCTTAGCCTCGCCAAAAGATCCGGAAACTCAGCCTTCCTACTCCTCGCCAGCCGATTCAAGTTAGCCAGCTCAGCTTGAAGCCCCGCGAAGGAGTGGCTGGGCTGTTGGAGACGCTGGTCTTTTCTCGAGACGATATACCAATTTGAAAAGGTGCATGAGATTGTTGAATATGTGCATCACGAAATTCAATATCGATGGCCTCGAGATTAACAGCGATATGACCAACCACGAAAACGCAACGATCCTCATGTGTTTTTCTGCAGAGTAATGAACGTGGAAGCCCGATCCCACGCATCTGCTGCTACAGTATCTCTTCTGATCGGATCATGCCGGGGCAGTCAGTTAGTGAAGTAAACCATCCGGAATAATTGAGCATTGGGGAAGAAATATAGCTTTGGCAAGCATTAGAGTGGCTCTTCTTCAAGGCTAAGAACCCTAAATAGAAGACAGTGCGAGTACTGTAGGGAATGATACCCATTTTGGTCTGCAATCGAGATTGAGTAGTCCCAAAGAAACGACATCAGCCTGTGAGTTCTTTTCATTTGCAGGGTGCTACATATAATGGCACCAGAGCGAACAAAATTATAGCATTGAATATCACTACGACTTTCACATCATGACATGATCTTGAATCGAAGCTTGCCACTTCTGGTAGAGAAGACAAGCTCAAGGTTTTAAAACGTGAAATCATTTAGGTAGTGACGTAGAGTTTTTACATTCAAGGTAAAATCCCCTACGATGCCTAGCAGAAGTCCGTGATGACAATATTCTCTGAGTTCCGGCCATACAAATCCAAATTAACTCAATGATTGTCTTGAAACCCAATTAACCATAGTAAAACCTTTCCTACAATGAAGTTGTATTTGCATGGTATTCAAGTTTTTGGTCGATGGACACAAATTCGAGAGGTTTGCCATATTTATGTTCATGGAGGAAGCCCACAATTTGTCGAGAAGTTGCTCGGTATTCTGGACTCAGGCTAGGCTTTTTAGAAGGCCTCACGTACTCATAGTATTGACCGAGAGCTTGACTTTCGTATGTGGTCTTGGCTTCAGCTTCAACTGCAGCAAATTCGAATGGGTCGGCTGCTGTGGCGAATACGAGCACTCGTAACTCCACGAATCGGCATACCTCTTCGAGGAATTTATGTTGCTAAGGATTATAAAGTCAACAAAGAATATGGATAAATCCGTTACTCTATAGTTTGATGAGGGTCGGAAAGCGTTAAAGTGGGGCTTTACCTCAGATTTGTTGGAGTTCCATGGCCAGTCGATTTGAAGACAATAAATGCTTGGACAGTGAACACGAATGTTCCACAAATCTTTCACCGACATTGATCTCCGATTGACTGGACCAGTCCTATCATGTAGGGCGAGCCACTGGAGACTGCTGCCAATCTCGCAAATAAGAATTGGCGGGAAAATAGAGGCCCATCGTTCGTGATCAATCCACAGCATTTTCAACTTTTTGATCGCCCTGAGAGCTGCTCTAGCTGAGCCTACAGACATCCCAATATCTCTGGATCTCTCGTCGAGATAAACCCGAAGGCAGAGTGAGTGAAGATTCTCAAAATCTTTAGCGCATACGATCTCAAAAAACCGAAGGAGATTCATCTCAGCGAGATCCAATTGTTCCAACTTCGAGAAATTCCAAACATTGTTATATGTCGAAGCCGAATGGATCCAAGGATAACGAATTAGAGACAGATGTGTAACGGCAGGGAAGCGGTATGAGAATTGTTCGGAGTTGGAGAAGGCTCGGTTATCAGGGTGTCGAAGTAATTGAAGAGCTCTTGGTTCACCTTCTTCTTTCGGTAAGATGGATTCCCTTTTCTTGTTTCGGATCTTCTTGGGAAAAGCTCCTTTGTTCTTCGGGAGGGGGAGGATATGGTTAGATACATTGTCTGATCGGATCTTGCAATAACCTTGGTCGTACCATATCCTGTAGAGCATGCTCTTTCTCAAGAAACCCTCTAGGATTTTGGACATGAACTCTGCTACAGGGGACCCAGGAAGATCTTCTGTTTTGAATCTGATATAATTAGAAACGGCTACAGACACAGATGAGACGTTCTTACATGACTCCTCTCAGGCTTTCACATTCAGCCATGAGTTTGACCAGAGAAGACAAATAGTTCTGATTGATACTGACTTCGAGAACCATGATCTTTGTGAATTGTGAAAGGTTTTTCTGTGATGAGATCAGCTATATGCGCTCGGACATCCGTGGATCAACAGAAGTATTCGTGATCCTTACTTGAAAATCCGAACACGAGACAACAATCCCGAATAGATCTCTGCGCGGGATTTGGCATCTCCTCAGCTCGACAGTCTCGTACGCGAATGGTGTCAAAATTTGACTGAAATCTTTGGACACCAATCGTAGATCTCTCAACCATTTGATGAGGTCAGGCTCGAACCACTGCCCCGGGAACAGTAGCGGATTTCCTTTAGCTTTTTCCAGTACCTGAAGACTTATCAACATGACGAGCAATTGTGCTGAGCTGGCTCTCTCACCTCGTCGAAGATCATGCACCATAAATCGTAGTTCAACTTTGCTTTCCGGGATGAGGTATCCGCTTCAGCTCCCAGATTATTTTCCATCGTTGACATTGTCTCTGTGATGATGACGATTGTTGCAGAAAGGGCTGTAAATACTCGTAAAATATCAATCTGTGTTTAAGTTTGATGTACGCGCGAACAAGATATTGAGCACTAGAATTTGCGATTGGCAGGTCGGGGCAAGTGTGAAAGTGACCTCTTGCTACTTCGGCCAATCAACTAGGGCTCGGGAAGCGGGACGACTACGAATATTCATCCATACTTGATTTTCTGCTTATGACTGTTCGCCTTCAAGTATCGTTTTCATTTAGATTTGTACTACACAGCTCAACTTCAAGTATATCAGGTAGCATATCAAGGATGACAACTCTTGGCCAATTTCTGTGTGTTGATCGTAACTTAGTCTCTCTATTGAGAATCTGTCATGGAATGGGAAGTCTTATTTGGGAAGACATTGGTCTCTGATGACATTTATCACGTTTTCAATGGTAAAGAATGATTTGTCTCCTGACCCCTTACACTATCTCTGCTATCTACAGACATTACCTGATCTCATTCAACGTTCATTGTATTTCGTTTTCAAGTACGTCCTCCGAGTTTGTTCGGCTCAAGTCAATCTCTATGCCCTCTTCCAACTCCTGGACCTTAGCTACGACTGGGACATCTCCAACCCTAACATCTCCCAAGCGTTCAATCCCGGATCCGTCTGTGCAGTAGAATTCTCTGAGTTTCAGATTAGGAGGGTTTTCAGTTCCTCGTTGTTCGTCCATCAAGTGCCAATTTGGCGGTGGCACGGAGTGATGTAATTTGACGATACTATAACATATAGTCTTGCCTCGGTTGTTCTTCAAAAGATAATCAATCAAGATCCACGCTGAGTCGTAGTCAGGATCTGTACTGTCTAGGGGAGTACCTTCAACTTGGATACTCTCTATACAATATAATGTATAGGTGTTCACCTCAGAAAAGGAGGCTAGAGTGTCAAGAAATTGTTGACGCTGTGATGGTCAGCTGCTGTTGCGCTTCAGAGAGGATAGACCGACTACGCTTTCCAACCGGAAGAGGAACAAGCATAGAGGTTTGTGACAAGAAAGCTAGAGATAACTTACTTCAGAAGGAATATTTGTCCAATCTATGCCAAGAACGCTAATCCTGGGGCATTCTATTCGAATCGATTCGAGATCCATTACAGACATGGATACGTACTCAGATGTGTTGAATATGCCGGTGAGGACAAGAAATCGTAGCGAGCTCCCAATCTGGGTTATCAAAGCTGGAGGGACAACTTTATGCCACCTTCGATCCCACACCTTTAAGGTCTCTAATTGATTAAGGCGTTGAAAGAGGTGCGTCATTCCATCTTGCGGATGTTCGAGGTTATGATTCCTGATATGATGCTTAAGTATGAGTTGGCGTAAAACAGAGAGGCTTTGCGGATGGACCATAGTGAGGAAGGATACCCAGTCCATCTTGCCAAGGAACAAATAATCTAAACGCGAGAAATCCCAACGTAGAGCGTACTCGTCGGCTGGATTCGTCACAATATAACTCATCAGGCCGAGCTGCCGCATAGGTGGGAAGTGGAAGTTGAATGCCTCGCTAGTGTAGAAGTCGAAGGTCTGGGACTTAGTGCGAAGGTCTCTGACTATTAATGATTCCAACCGCGGAGATGGGTAAGGTTGGGACTCGGATTCCAGTGACTGGCTGCTTGTAGCCGCATAAAGATCTTCAACACCCTCAACGTTTACTGGCCGAACTTCGGGTTTGCTAAACAGTAATCCAGAATTGTGGTTTATGATTCTGAAGTACATGTCATTCCTGAGAAATGCTCCTAGGTAAGCCGCAAGAGCGGGATGGAAGTCATCGGCGCTGACCTGCGATTTAGTCAAGCTTCCATTGATTAGTCTAATGATACAAACATAGTTAATCGTGACTTACTTGACTTGCAATAACTTGTGAGACTTCGATATAATCTTGGCAATAGCGTCAATCATTGTGGTGTTGGCAGTCGTTGGGACTATCAGGTACTTGACATGTCGATAAATCTTTTCCTGTATTTCATAAGCCGATTTCTAGGTGATGCGACAATAATCTACTTTGAATTTGCCCCATTGAATGCTTCTTTGAGTCGTGGTTGTACCCTTGTGCTCCATCTCCTGCATGGCTTCCGGGCTAGATAGGTGCGTGTCCTCGAAGACGAAAGGGGTAATAGCCCAGTCAAAGTTACGAGATAGGGAGCGCAAGCTGCCAAACCAATGAGCCACGCTCTGCTCTGGCCAGTCTTGCGGCAGCTTTGTTTCAGGGTCGATATGAGCTTCTAGCCATATCTGAAGAGGAATCAGCAAGTTGAAGGGCATAGGGAAGAGACCAACCTGTTCGAAGATGAGGTACCAAACCTCGGGCGGAAGCGCAATTGGATTTGCGCTTCTGAAGACGGTCAAGTCTCGATTGGAATTCATGATTTCTGATTATTCAAGTCCGAATTGAAATTAGAAGACTTTTGTGATTGGAAAATGTTGATTTTGGGTGACGAGGTTGAAGAAAGGCCCCTCAGCATTGTCGAGGGGTATACAGAGGTGGTAGTCCATCCACTAAGCCAGAGTCCACTAGCGTTATACGCACGACAACCTAAAGAAGAACACAGGATGAAAGCACAGGACAAGCAAAGATATTTAAATAGCTGAAGTACATGTAATTAACAGCAAACATCAAAAGCGCGCATGCTAACCAACAAACTCAATCCCCACACGACACCACATCACAAGCCACTCCTCATGACCCATCACCCATCAATGCCTCTCTCCCACGCATTGGGAGCCTCTACCGGTGGCGACACTGGCCCACCCGGCGCTTCGTACCTGCCTTGCATCTGCGGACTGCTACCATACTGTTGCTGTTGCTGATGGAACTGAGGCGGAGGACTACTGTTTGGTGAGGCATAACCACCGGCACTCCTAATCCAGCGAACGGAGTCAGTATATACTCTTCAAAGCTTTCTGCAGCTCAACACTCTAAGTTCAGTAGAGCATTTGAACCGCCTAATACTATGGAAAGGTTGACAAGAATCCAATTATCTCCGGAATCCGGCCTGCTTCGAATTCCTCCCCACATCTGTTGAAGGCTGTCTCATGACATACTCCACGAACCAGAAACATCCCGCGACAAGGAAAAAGACAGTCACTCACCCGGGCGACGGAGTCGGACTCCCATACTGCGGCATCACGCCCACCACAGGCGTCTTATACTCCTGAACCGGACTCACAACATACGGCTGCTGCTGCTGCTGCATCCCCTGATTCGGCACCGCGCTATACATCGGCGCCGGCCCAGACTGATACGCATACCCCTCATTATTCATCTTCGTCTGCCTGCCTTTCTTCGCCCGCACGCAGCGCCAGAGCACAATTGCGCCTACGATCAGTACCAACGCTGCGCCGATTGCGATTCCGATTTCTGCGCCGCGGGAAAGGGTAATAGTTGCCGTTCCTCCGCCTTTGGGGGTATTGAGACCAGTGCCCGTTGCGCTGGCTGAGCCCTGTGTCTGTGTCGCGGTCCCGGAAATGGCGGTGGTGATGGTCGTCACACCGCCGTTTTGCAATGTACTTGTTACTGTCATCGTATTCGCTGCTCCTCCTCCACCAGTCTCTGTCGCTACACTGGTCACGGCAGCACCTCCTACTTGGCTAGCGGGTGTAGCGATCAGAGACGAAGCAACGGTTTGATCGAGCGGTTCGCAGATCCCTGCATAGCCGTGGAGGGGAAGGACGCCGAATTGGTCGGGTTCACAGCAGAAGTAATTGCCGCCGCCTTGGGTGTACATATTCCAAGTAGAGTTAGCGCAGACGGGGACATTTTCGACGACGTTTGAGCAGTCGACGGCTATTGCTGTTAGAGTGTGGGAAGAGAAGGGAGGAGAAACGAACATGTTGGACAGCAATACGGTCTGATGTCGCCGGAACAGGTCTGTCCTGAGGGACAGCACATGGGATTCACGGACCCTGATTGTGTGCTACAGGCGACAGGTGCGTCAGATGGGCAACTCGAGCCTGAGAGACCCAGTGCCCAGCCGCCATTGTACGTTACTCTCTTGGAGATATCTGGCTGAGGGACGGGTTGAGCGAGTCGAAAAGCTTGAGTTGTTGCCAGTGAACAAAACAGCACTCTGAAGACCAACATCTTGACTATGAAGTGGAAATAGATGGGAAATCTCAAGAAGATGTGGGAGAGAAAGGGATCAAGATCCGCAGGAGGAGGTCAACGGCAAGAGGATGCTCTCCCAAAGCTTGGGCTCAGCCATGACAGCGGTGCAGCACCGTCAACCCCTATCAAACGATGCCGTAAACGACATGGATGGCACAACTTCGCGCTTTGTGAGCCAATTCCTCGCACCTTCAATTCGCTCATCCTCACGATGCCCAGCATATTCAGGACGTCCTCAGACCAAAGAAGGAAAGTGGCACAGCTTGGCAACGAACCAGATCTCGGATCAGAACTATAAATTGACGTTTGGGAAAAGGAGAGATTCAACTGCGGCTGAGGTGCATTCAAAATCCGAATGTTGCAGGGTTGTGATTCGTCGCTTGACGTGTGGCTTTGAACAGGAGCAAGCTTTCGGCTTTTGCCATGTCGAACACAACGAACGGGAGATGGAAAAAGCAGGTACTCATTTATGCATGCCAAGTTGAAACGTAGGGCCTCGAACATTAAGTACCGGCTGGCTGGTGAGGGTAATCATCTGCCGCCTATCAGATTAGAGCTGCCGTTTGTTAGTGGCGCCCGATTCGCAAGAACTTCACATATCAAGTGAAGAGTATTGAGGTGGCCGAATCTCTCATTTATCTCTGCCTCTGACGAGGGCCTCATCTGGTAATCCGCTAGCGGAAAACCCGTCTATGATCATCAAGAACACAAACACAACTACCGCGATAGCATCCCCATGCATCCCAACAAAAAGGAGATTGAGTGGTGCGAAGAAGTCGCCCGACTTGTGGTTGAGTCCCTCCCGTTCACAATCTTGCCCACAGAGCCGTTGCGATCCAAGAGTCCAAGACATCAAAAAAGCAAACGCATTCCTTCCATTCCTAACCAAAACAGCAAAGCAGGGGTATTATAAAGAGTGGAGGATGATGTTACTCATGTATCATCGGAAGGCGGCCAACCTCATGTGATGAAGGGAAATGCGCGACGATGCGCTATTTCCAAATGGTCCAATCTGATGGAGATAGCAATCGTCCTCTATACAATTTGACACCGGAGCTGAGTACCTGACGCAAACTCTACACAACTTTAGATGGTCTTGGGAGATTTGGAATTCCTGTCATTGTCAGCACTTTATCTATACCACAGGAAGCGAGTTAAGCTTACCCCATCTCGACAATATCATCGACATGATTGCATAGAGCCACGAAAAGGTCAAAGAAAAGTTTACCGCCACTCTCCATTTCTGTCTGCATGGTTCCGCTCCTCTTAAATGTCTTGCGACATCTGATGATCAGGGCGAGATAATGAGCGCGGAGCCGGGAGTCCGAGTCCGGCGTGTTGTCATAGGCATACCGAGCACTACGAAGAATAGTAGCGACCTCGATTCCGCTCTGCAGACCTTGCTTCCGAAGCGCAAGGCGCTTGAGTTCCTCCAAGCCGTACTTCTCCGCGGCACAGTATATGACGGTGTCCTTCAGAAGGTGTTCTCCCACGCTGGAGATGAAGGTTGTAGCCTCGACGGATCCGCGGCCACCTGTATTTTCTGGATTTGGTGAGCTCACCGCATCCTCGAGTTCCCAAGAGTTCCTGCGCTTGTTATGCAACAAGCGGGGGTAGTAGTCGCCCTTCTACAAAGTATACTATCAGCACATGTTCCCAACCCAAGGTTTACTTCCAACCCATGGCAGACGTACGTAAAGATACTCGAGAACACAGGAGAAGATTTCTGGTTCCTCGTCTGGAAGATCGATCCTCTTACTCTCGGCCTCGAGGAATTGGCCTCTAACAGCGGCCGCAAAGAACGGTGACGCTGAGAGAACATCCTCGTGGGCTGCGAAAAGCCGTCCCTCCTTGCCGACATTGAACGTTACTATCGGCGAGGTCAGAGTACTGCGGGTGCGCACGTCAGTCAGGCTTCAATTCCGTTTGCGACGACCAGGCAGCTTACCTCCCGACTGGCGGGCTCCGATCGAACGACTTCTGCAATTTCGACAACTTCGCGGCATCCTTATAAGACTTCTTCAGCTTGACAACCTTATCCACGCGATCATTCGAGCGGAAAGAGCGCTTGAACATGGCTGCCATGGTGATTGACGGTGAGGCTGGGGAATCTTATCGGGATGGTGGGGTATTGAATGAGTGACGAAAAGAGTGTCGAGGGTTGAAAACTGACGCACAAATGATTGACAGGGTCCTGGAAGAGATCTCCAGATATTCAATGAAAGTCTGAAGATTCTTGTGGTATTATTTGCGACCCGAGGTGTGGTGAGGAAAGAAAGGAGGGAAGACGCGCGAAGTCAATGGATGATATACATGCTGGCGTGCCTGGTTGCCTGGCACGACTGTGCATGCACGTGATAGGAAGAGCCCAAGTTGGGCATTGGAGCGATACCCGATGAGGGAAAGTGTCAGGATGTGCCTGGATGAGAGGTCGAATTGGAGAGAAATGTTTGGAGGCTGATGTTGTTATTCGTCCAGTTGTCATGCAGGACAATCGTCACTGTTGATGCCTGTCGCGTCCGTCCAAGGAAAATACGCGGTACAGCAGCGGAACCTTATCAAGCGGAGGGCCTCTGAGTAGGCGCAGCAACCAAGCGAATCAGGGGCGCCATGACCACCGAGGCGCAGTCACTGATCTCGGAAATACAAAGAAAGAGACGACGACTTGTGGTGAGAGAGTCACCGTACTGTACAAGTACAATTGTTTGAGAAAATCAAAAGAATTGGACAGGCTTGGAATCTTCGTCGCAAGAAGAGTACAAGTCTAAATTTATGCTTATCTCCTAGCTCATGGCCATATGGCTAGCTTGGTGGAGAGGGTGGTGGGCGGAGTGGAGAATGAGATGTAAGTGTATACTTTATATGAACGTACTGATGCGTCAATTGTCTACATAGTATATAATAGATAGGAAGACAAGAAGAGAAAGATAATATGATTGCGAGCGTCATAAAAATGTTTGCCCACAAACTCTCGACTCGAGACCACAATTCATATCCTCAAACTCCCTTCCCGATAAATGCTTTTCCATCCATGTGCAACGAACTTTCGTCCTACGTCCTACATATGTGAAACGCCAAACCCAAAATAATTGAACCCAGAGGTATCTCCAAACTCCTTTGCCTTATCGCTCAAATCAAACTCCAAGGAGAATAGTGAGTCTTCCATCTCTTCCCCAGGACTGCTTAACCAGTCCGAGTACTCTCTCAAGAGCAGTAAGTCTCGGCAGCAAGCGTTGCATGCTATCATCCCACAACCAGGACATTCAGCAGCTGCACATTCAGCAATGAGCTGAAATGATGTCTGTTGACATCTCCCGCATGGCTGCTCTCCCACGACTCGCTTCCAAGTTCCTTCCAGGTGCCATGGCCCCTCTGAGCCATGCACAATAGGACATGGGACATCTGCAGCAGCTTTCACTCTTGAAAGTGCCTTCCAGATATTGATGGCTTGACCTCTTCGGTCGATCATGCAGAAAAGTGGTGACTTCAGGTCACGTGGACCGAGTATCCCCAGAGCCTCTCGAATGCGATCCTGCCTTGCTTTTGCCTCTTCCTTCTCGTATTGTTTCCAATCGTCTTGCATGTTGCTTACCAGTTCATCCAATCGAGCTCTTGCCGCCTCAATGGCGTGGACCAACTTCGTCGCATATGCTCTTCGTCCATCAAGCAACTTCTTCAATATCAGATGTTCGTCCTTTACCTCGGCACCAGCTGCTCTGGATCCCGCAGCAGCTTCGTAAAATCGAATTGTAATCTCTTGGTCGGTCTCTCTCATCTGCTTCTCCAAACCCACTTCGTGCTTCTGGATATCTTGTTGGCATTGCAATATCAGCACCATATTGCCCGTGCGTTTTCCATTCCAACCAGCAAGTCGTTTGAGATAATCCTGCCTTGCCATCACTTTCCAAGCTCTTGCTCTACCTCGTCTTTCCGCGTCGGCTTTTGCTGCCTTTTCTTTGGCACTGCTGTTCTCTGTTGGAGTTGCACTTCCCTCACTCCGAAACCTTTCACTTGCATCCCTGTCAATATCTTCTCTCCGCCTCCTAGCCCTCTCAGCCCTCTCAGCCTCATCTCCATCGCCATAATTCTCCGTTCTTGTATCTCCCCAATCCCAATCCCATTTCCTCTTTCCACTCCCACTAGCCCCCGCTGCGCTCCCAACATTAGCACCGATTCCAAGCCCAATCTTCACAACCCAATAATTCCTATCATACTCTCTCCTCTTTCCCTCATCTTTCAAGCAGTCCCACGCCCTAGCCAGCAACTGAAACTCCTTCGTCGCGTTCGGCGAGTTGTTTTTATCCGGGTGGTATTTCAGGGCTAATCTCTTGTAGTTCTCGCGGATAAGTTCGAGGGAGGCAGATTGCGGGACTTGGAGGATGGCATAATAGTCGTCGAGGGTTAGGGAGTCGGCCATGCCATTGTTTAATTTGGGGGTATCCTCTGAGAAGGGATTTGGATTGAGGAAGAAGAGCTGGAGATAAGGAAGATAGAAAACAGATGGGAACGAGAGGAATGCATGGTGAGGCTGCAAGCTGTGCCGTTTGGTTGTGGTATTATTGGTGGGGTGAGTTGTAGGCGGCGCGATGTAATCGTTGGGTTTGGAGTGGACGAGCCGAGGCACTTTTGGGCAGATTTTGAGATGTGGGTCTGTCACACGTGATTATCCTCTCCTGATCTGGCAGATTTCGCAGTATTTCATGAGTTTATTAATTATCAATGGTCAATTAGACGACCAGTGAAGCTTTGGTACTGATATTTAAGCCATCTCAGGGTGTTCAAAGTAGAATTTGTGGTCATCAAGTGCAGCCCAGTCACGTGGAGTTCTCCGTCGCCTCGGCTTGTTTCGACCAGACCAAGCTGATCGTTCTTAGAGGCGCAGTAGTGTCTGGACCCTGAACGAACTCTGAATTCTGGGGCCTGTCAACATCTTCCACCGAGGTCTAGATTTCGCAGGTAAGAAAGCTGCAAGCACGTCAGAAAGCCACTGGAGATTACTCAATGGCCATGGATGATGCGGAAGCCATTGACAGCATATGTCAAATGTTAGATTAATTGCGAAGATTACGATTCGAGTATCTAGTAGTACTAATTGTGGATGTTTGGAATGCTCGGGTAACCTTATGGTTGTGTCCTTCCGCCTTATGGGCCTCAGCCTCCACTCCTATGTTCTAGGCAGTCAAGATGCTATCAATATCCACTCCACGTCAATAATCTTTGAATTCACAAGCATCTACCATGTTTCTGGACGCTCAATTCCAAAGATCCTTCATATTCTAGTCGGTCGAGTTAGTAGCCCGATGTTCTTCGGACGAAATCCACGACTTCGTCAATGACAGCAAGTCAGTGATTCTCTTGGAGAAGATGGACAATTGTAATGGAGCGTAGATTCGAGAATTTTGAGTCTCCCATTAATGAATTCGCTGAATAGTGCAATTCGTGATCTTGTTCGTGTTTATCCTGCTTTCTTGGTGCATGCACATCCAGCGCAACCAGCGCAACCAGCACAACCAGCGCAACCAGCGCAACCAGCGCATCCAGCGCATCCAGCGCATCCAGCGCGGTCTACGCATTCAGCGCGTTCAGCACATCTAGCGATTTATAATTGTTCAGTAAATATATATTTGCTTTGCTAAATCTTCGCGAAGCATGAAATATTGTGACAGATTCAATTCAGAACAGAGGTATGTGTAGCGCAAATTGAAGTTCAGAGATATGGTTTGTCGCTTCTCGAGAAGAGGAAATTGTCATGCTGCATTCTTGCAATTCTCTCCAACAGTATCATTTGAAGTTCATTTAAAACTCCATGAAAGGTTAAATAAAATAACGCAAAGAATGAGACTATGTTCGTCCGCTGAGCAAAAGCGATATGATGGGAGATGACATGAGCACAACAACGAAGGCACTGCCAGGTAGCATTCCCGAAGGAAGCACAATTGTACCAATACAGGATGAAACTACGTTATGAATGGAACCGGGTATTGTTGCGTATTGATTGAATCTAAAATGAAGTTACCCCGCATAATGTATACAATGCTTAGTAAAAGGCTTGGCACAACAACTGGATATACAGATCTGAGAATCGGAGGGCTAAATAGGCAGATTTACATTACCAACGTGGCGATATATTAAATGATATCGATAGTCTTCCAAATACTAAGCACGTGGTCCCTCGGCAAATGAGAAAAGCTTAAAAATTCAAGACATTTGGAGGCAAGATCTTTATTGAAGCACTGTTAGTGCTCGCGGCACTTTTGTGGGCCAACCGTAGAATTAAATCCCCATATCACCGGATGATGAACCTGGTGATGCGGGGGTAAACTTATTCGTCTATCGAGCAGATCTGAACTATCTCGTCTGGTCGTCACTATCTGCCGTGCACGTTCCCAGGTAATGAACAAAATACCAGGCACTTGATCTGGTTTGGAAAAAGAAGTTAGAGAAAATGTATAGGGCTTTCAAAGCAGATACAAATATATAAGAGACGCGTGGGCCCCGGATTTCCCCCGCGCCTCTCTTCTTCGCTTACCTCCATCTGCAAGACTTCAGCCCCCTATTGTCAGACCAGAACTGTCAACACAAGGTCCACCTCCAAGATGAAGTCGCTCACTGCACTCCTCGCGATTATCGCGCCTGTGTATGCTGGACTTCGCTTTCCATGCTCGGAACTGTCCGTTCAGCGCCTAGACCCCGTTGTCGAGCCAGGAAAGACGCCGTCCTCTCATCTACACCACATCGTTGGTGGAAATGCCTTCAATGCTACCATGTTGGGTGATGTTGGTGCCCGGGCCACTTGCACTACATGCCAGATGGCAGAGGATTTCTCCAACTACTGGACTGCCCACGTCTTCTTCAAGCATCCCAATGGCTCGTATCACCGAGTGCCGAATCTTCCTGTTTCGCCATTACTAGGTGGTTCGAATGGTGCTGTTGGTGGAATTACTGTTTACGTAGGTGTTGGGGAAGCCCCGTTTTCCATTTCTTTTCCCGAGACATTACCTTAACCTTTTCTTGAAACACCAGAGATGGAAAATGCTAACGTCCCCTCCCCGTTACCCAGTACACCCAGCACGATTTGTCGACCGATAACCTCAAACAAAACGCCGTCAAGACTTTCCAACCAGTAAGTACCCTCGGTGCCGCAGCTTCCTGACCTTTCTGATGTTGTGTAGGGTTTTCGTATGACAGTGGGCAACCCAACCAATACCGGTAAACCACAGGTCGGCCTGCGTTACCAATGTCTCTCAGCCAGCGGCGGCAGATCATTCCCTGAGTTGTCCGACTTTCCTCCTCAGGCTTGCCCAGGCGGTATCTTCACCACTCACCACTTCCCAGCGTAAGTGATCGATTCACCGCGAGGAAGCAGCTCATACTAACTTGCCACAGATGCTGGGATGGCAAGAACCTTGACAGCCCCGACCACCAGTCTCACATGTACAACACCATCACTTCAGACGGCTTCGTGGCTGCCGGCCCATGCCCATCTTCTCATCCAGTCCGCATGCCACAAGTGACTTTCGAGACCGTCTGGGATACGAGCAAGTTGAACAGCTTGTGGAAGACAGGTGATCCTAACCCGTATGTGTGGAGTTTCGAGGGAACCGGTGCTGGCACCCACGCCGATTACATGTTCGGCTGGAAGGGAGACGCGCTTCAGCGTGCCATGAACAAATCCGAATGCTTTTATGATGGCTGCGGCTCCATCACAAAGCAGCCTATGGCTACTGCCAATCAGTGTAGCATCCAGAACACAGTCACGGAGAAGACTGAGGGATGTACGTTGGAAGCACCCTGATATCGATGATATGAATGCTAACTCGCAGTAGGGCTCCCAGCGCTGCCGGGTATGGCATAGTTCGGCTACCAGTCTTCGTTAGATTGAGGGTGCCTGTATAACTCGGGAGAGAGCGAGATTTCTAGATTGAGGATTGTAGTCGATAGTGATGCTGCTTCTGCTGCAAGGATAAACGTATTTTGGAGACGCAACGAAGAAGACGGAGGGGAGTGTGAGAGAGAAGACCAGATTGAGATGGACACAACATTTCGAATTACAAAATGCTTGATGACCAGCACCCATCGTGATACAGAACTTCTGCATTTGAACGATATCAGATCTGCGTGAAAAGCAACGACTGTCCTTTTGCTATTGCTGGTGCCATGATGTAATCCCTCGAATGTCGCATAAAGAAAGATAGAACCAGCGAGAGAATAGGGAACCAAAGCATACGGTGAAAGATGGGTCTCAGACAGACATACAGGTGAAGCACGTGAGGTTAAGATTAACGTTGGTAAGCCAAAGAGACAGAAATATACGCCCTAATTCTCCGATTACCCTACTTGAAGGGCCACGGTCTGACGTTTCTCTCCTTGCAATGATGGAGTGATCCTGAGCTACAGGAGCAAAAAACCGATGATCATATCATGCGCAAAACAGGAAATCTTGTAGATGACTCTTCGCTGTAAGTGGCTCCTGTACGACTAGAGTGACTCGAGCTCGTGAGGGAAATGAGTTTCGATGCACGCCGCAGCTTCCAGGTTGTTCTACTTTGGTCCGCGGGATGGATGTTGGCATGAATGAGGAACGAAGATTGCGACGCACAGAGTTTAACTCCTGCCTGAGGCATCAACATCACAGACCTGGACATTTTGCGAACATTCCTCACAACCGCATCCACATAATCACGACAACACCATCATCTACCCTCCTATCACGACGGCCAAAGTGCGCAAACTGGGGTCGGCCGATCTCTCGCACCTCAGCACCTATAATGATCGCCCGGCATCCTTGTTCCGGCAATCACTCAGCTCCCGTACTCAGCAAACGTCTTACGGACCCTTCCGCACCTCCGTAGCCATGAACGAATATAATGCTTACATTATGGTCATTAGTCTCACCCAACATGGAAAGAGCGAAATGTTTGGAATCATTTGAGCCAGATTGCCTTGTGGGGTGTGCTGCGGATAGTCAGTCCTCGGTGAGTCGTGGTTATCAAAGATCGTCGGCCGTAGGGCTGAAGGAATATCAAAGAAGCAATCACTGCATACCCGAAGTTTCGGGGAAAGCGCACATTTCCTCTGTTTGTTTGCTGCTGGTTTGCAATGTTTTACTTTGCTCGAAATAGTAAGCATATTGACCAGTGTCAAGTGTATCTCATCTGGTGGAGGCCCGAAAAATAGCCAAGACATTCGAACTTTTTCGAACTCTTGAAATAGAGAGTCTTATAGATAAGGTACTGATCTCCGCAATCAAAGCGTCGTCACCCGAGGCTCTCGAAGAACGTTCTCACCACCTCTGCACCTTGTTGCTCCCGTGGCCATGGTTACATTTAGAAATGCTGCACCACGTTGATCAAATTAGCTATAATTAACCACATTTACTGTGCCGCAGCAACTTTCATTGGTCAAATTCAGCCCGGTGGACCTTGGCATGCAGCCTTCACTGCTTCTTGTGATACCACGTGATGTAAGCCTCGTTCTATCTCACCAACCGTGCAGGGTTCTGGTCAGAAATGGCTGAACTAAGTAGTAGTTTCCACATCTTTGGAGCGGGGCGAAGTAATCTTTAATCTTTAATCTTCGCTGGGATTGCGGCTCACTAAGAGATAAGTTTGCTGTTGTGACAGCGGAATGGCGCAGGCTCACCTTCTACGACCTGAGCCTTGTGAGGGGTTGTACAGGCCAATGATAGTCAAGTACCTTTGGAAGTGGCGTCCTCCGAAGATGGAAATCCGTACTCTGATTACTGACAGAGTCAGATCACTTAGATATAAAGATGCACCATATTCTTGTCTGAGAACTTCATTCAGCATCACATCAACAACATCAACAACATTTCCTACAGTCTTATATTTCCTTTTCTGTTCCTTTTCCTAGGTCGTTTTCCTTGGTTCCATCGATACAATCTTTGTATTTCCTACTCTTCTCATTTTCCTTCAATCAAAACTTCCCGCTTTTCAGCAAACCATATCAAAATGTATACTCAAACTTCTATCCTGTCTGTGGCCCTCTTGTTGGCCAGCTCTGCTATCGCAGCACCAGCATACGGATCAAACACTACCGTCTCTGCCAGCAAAACCACCATGATCACCAGCACCCTATCTGCAACCCCGTCTGCTGTCAACAACCAACAATCCTCATCAGTCGCACCAAGCACCTGCACATCTGCAGCACCCAACCCAACGCTCTTCCAAGAGTTGGTCCTCGCTCCCAACGCCGCCGCACGCATAGCTCTCCTCACTGACGACGAATTCGTCTTCGACTTCGCCGACCCCTGCAAGACAACCAGCAAACAAGGTGTCACCGCCGGCCTTGGAGGAGAGACCGTTCGTGCCGACCACGCTACCTTCCCCGCTCTCGTCGGCTCAGGTGGATCCGTCACAATGGGTTTCCTCAAAGGCTGTGGTTTCAACACTCCTCACGTCCACCCTCGATCCTCAGAACTTAATGTCGTCGTCGAAGGTCGATTATTCGCTTCCGTCACAGCTGAGAACGGAGCTAGACACATGAACCACACTCTCGAGAAGTATCAAATGACGGTCTTCCCTCAAGGCGCAATCCACACCGAGTTCAACCCCGACTGCACACCTGCTGTCTTCGTCGCTTCTTTCTCCAACGAGGATCCCGGAGTCGGACAAATTGCTCAGGAATACTTCGGTCTTGAGGATGAGATTGTTGAGGCCACTGTCGGTGGTGAGATCACAGTTGACGGCGCGGATATCGATATCTTCCGAAACAAGCTTCCTGCCAACGTCGTCATTGGTGTCGAAAGCTGCTTGGCTAAGTGTGGGATTTCCAAGAGATAAATGGGTTTGAGATGTTTGGTTTTCTGTATAGCGATCGGCTTGGGTCATAGCATAGCATGGGAGTTTTGGTATCTTGCATTTTAGAACTGGCTATACTGCATTAGCATGGCGCTTCATTTAATACCAACATTCGTTTACTTCTTCAATACGTTCATCTTTCATGTGATATCGAAAAGAGTCTTCACAACTGTGTATCGCTTTGCAAGATCTGTTTCATTCTTAATTTCTAACTCTCGGCCTTCCCGTCAGACTGGAAACATCTACTCCTGCAAGAAAAGCATCGGTTCTTGGACTCTGAGAAATTCTCGGTTCTGCCAAAACATATGTGTCTCTTCCCAATCCAGACCAAGACTCGATCAGATGGCTACTACATGCTACGCTTACTATGCCAAAGAAATACCCAGTCTATTGAATCTTCTGCATTGGGGTATGCACAGTGTCTAGCATCCCAATGTAATCTTGATACTTTGACTGAAAAAGCTGACCCAACTGCCTCCGTTTTCCAGCAGGCGTCAGCGTCAGCGTTGGAGTTGGAATGCTTGCATCAGCTTTGCCCGTCCCACCTCCAGCTCCAGCTCCCATTCCAGCAGGTGTTGCACCCTGGCCCTTGGCCCCAGATCCTGACCCAGCAGCAGAACTCACGTTGCCCGGAAACAATCCCGGAACACTATCTCCAGCCAGAGCCGGCTTGAGCACGTAATTCGCAAACTGATCACTGAGATTGCTCGCCACGGCAGTGATAGCCGTCACAGGCTGATTGACATAGTTGGTAATGACTGTCTGAATAACACCTTCAACAGAGTCTACCACCAGCGTTACATATGGAGACGGCGTAACACTACCTCCTAGTGTGATAGCCGCGAAGATCACAGAGACATCCAGAGATACTTTCGCAGCGTGCGCGGTCGTGTCACGCACAAGCTGCTCTACGGCTCTGGTGGCTGCTTGGACGATGATGGCGTATGCTAGTCCTGCTCGGGCGATCAGATCCTCTACGGTTGATGATCCGAGATTGGTCGGGGTTGCAAATTGGAGGATAATTTGGTTGAATAGAGTGAAGATGTTGCTGTTGGTGGTAGAGGTGTCGATTTCGTCGAAGTATTTCTTGAGGCCATCTTCGCCTTCGGGTTTCCATTCTTCATGTCCGATGCCGCCTAATCGACCGATGACCATGTCGTTGTTGGCGCTCGGTGAGTGTTAGTGTAACGGACAATAATGTGAGGACAGGCTTCTCAATCTGAGCAGCCAAGACCACTCAAAGGCCTCACTTGCGACTTCTTCATGCTCTTAGTTCTCGATTCCACTTCTCTCCTGTCAATGAAAATTGCTAGAACCTGAAAAGAATATGGCAAGAAATACCGCAATCGGAAAGCATGAAACAAGCCTCCAAGCTAGGAATCCAAACACAGAGAAATTCTTACATGAAGTGGGCCGTCGCAGCAACGGCGTTATCTGCGCTCTCCTTATCAAAATCCACATTACTCTTCATCACAGCATCAAAAATCAGCTGCTTGACCATCCACTGCTCAAAAACAGGGCCTCGTCCAATCCTGACCAAGATATCAGAAGTAATCAATTTATTCGCTAGCACCTCGACCAAGAACTTGGGATAATCTCCTGTAACATAGTACCGAAGCGCTTTCACCGTAGCGGCGTTCAAAAGTATATGTTCTCGGATATCATCTTTGTTGACAAGAAGATCAAACGCTCGCTTCATTTCTCGCTCAAAAAGTCGAGTGTGATTCGTAGCGAAGAGGATTTGGTTTGCAGCATCGTCCAGCGTGTTGCGAGTGCGCACTACGCCCTCGCTGTCGACCCATTTGGTGAGTATTAAATCCGGACTCTTGGCGGACGTGTCTACGAGGGTGACGGAGCCTTTTTGTTTGCTTGTAGCGAGAGTGGGGGTTGTGGCGCTGGGCGCTGCGGTTCGGCCCACTGGTGTTGAGCAGCGGAGGAGAGCGAATTGTTTGTATTGGGCAAAGGAGTTGGCGATGGGGTCATTGGGGGAGGTCTTTGAAGTGGCTGTTGAGGCTTCTTTGAAGTCGGCTTCGATTGGTTTGAGCATTGTGGGGTATTTGAGGCAATAGAGGAGCAGCTCGAATACGATGTACTTGGCAATAAAAGATAATGAGGTCGAAAGCAGATGAAAACGCAGGACGTGCCTTGTTGTTGGTTTCATTGTGAATGACATAATCTGACATCTTATCTTATCGTTGTGGGTCATTAGCTGAGAGCACGAGCTTCCTTAACAGGTCACTTCAACCTAAGTCTCATGCTTGTTTTGTATCAAGTGACTCGATCAGACGCAGAACTTCAAGAAAAGAATACCTAGGCAGTCGCTCAAACTTCTTCTCGGTCACACTCTGCAATCAAATGACAAAATGGGGCTTCACTAGGGCAATAATCAAGAATGTTCTGTGAGGAGGGGCCATTTTCACGTGACTTATCACTCACAAATACATCACAGAGAATGATCCTCTTTCCGTCGATATTATTCTTACTAAGGAGCCGGCAGAGTATAAGACAGTGTTGATTTAAGTGGCGGTTGAGTTGTGATGGCTTGTTGTTTTTCAGACCGTGGTTAAGATGATTCAACCTTGGAAGTATCCTTCAGGTCTCCTTTAATTTCACTCTTCTCTTTCGAATCGACGGTACTGCTTCCAGAAGATCTTCTCTTGTACCGAAACTCTTTCACGATATCCGTTAATAGGCATTCGAGCTCCAGCTTATTCGGCCAATTCTCTGCTTGGAGAAAGTTGGTCCCTAATCTCCCCATCACTTTAGCGAAGACTTTAGGCCGGACGCGAAGATAATATAAACAAGCAGCATGGACGCACTTCTCATCGATCTGGCTGCCAGTATACCAGAATAGCCGTTCCAGAACGAGCAAAACGTCAAGACAGGCCATGATCAACCCGAGACCCAGCTTTTGCGCATTGGCAACACCAGCGACGGCAATGCCGCCTACCCAAACTGCGGCTCGTGCAAAGACACCAACTGGTCCCAGTAAGAGCGACATAGCACCGTAGACAGCGCCTGTTGCAACCCCGCCGGCAATCCCACCAGGAATCCAGGAAGCAACGGATTCTGGAGGAGTTGGTGGCCATAGTTCGGTCCTGATCAGCAACACGTAGGCGTCCGGATTGAAATTCTTGTAATGGAAGATGCTTGCTGTTGTTTGAATTGCCGATGTGACAAGTTTCTCGATTCTCTCATTCGAATTGAAGAAGGCAACCTTGGGCCTAGTTTCAAGAAGCATGGAAACCAGCTTCGTGATTGAAGTTTTGAGCTTTCGGTCCACGAATACGTCTTGGGCGTGGGCGTGGATCTGAATCATCCGATCGCTGCTCATCGATTCTCGCGATACGTCAAGTAGATGATTGACTGACTCTGGGTCCCTGGACTTTCCGCTGACGAAAACATAGTCCGAGAAGACACCAATCTCTTCGAACCACTCAGAGCTCCGTCTGAGCATCTCCTCTTCATACAGCTCTTTCTCTCGTTCTTTCACATGTGCTTTATCGCTATTCGGTATGTCGCTGATGTCTTCAACATCGCATTCGTGTTGGATTTGGTATTCCTCGATGGCCAAAGACTTCATCTCTCGCTTGAGCCTGTCCGACTTGGTAAATACCAATAAGACGGGGACGCCTCCAAAGTCGATTTCCTTGAACTTTCGATCTGATCCTTGAATCCGACGATTATCTGTACTGACGCAATACCTACAACACAATCAGTGCTGGATTACGGCACGTCACTATCAGCTTCTTACCAGATGCAATGCACTTGCTCCTGAAAACTTGGTTGGTCTCTTCTCTCAATGAGAAAGTCTTGCACCGCAGTATAATTCGACTCTTTCCCCGCTTCAAATCCGCACGAATCATGTATGATAAAGCTTTTGTCTTCAGATTCCAGTGCGACCTGGATGTCATGCTCTCCTGGCTGGTGACCTTTCGACTCTTGCGTCTACAATCAGTAAGCTTCTATAATCTCCTCGTAATTCGTATCCCGCAAAGGTTCATACCATCTTCTTTCCCAGCGCGGCGTTTATGAGCGTTGATTTGCCAACCTCGGTCATTCCACATACTACGATCCTAGGATACTGAATTTCCTTCTTCGCTGCAAGTTCTTTGTGGATATTCCAAAAGTTTTGTTCGCTATTTGGGACGGAAAATACCGCTTGAGAACGCAAGGCTTCACAATAGGGAGTAGCATTTACAGTATTTGCAATGCTAGCAACTGTTTCATCTAGGAGGAATACAGAGGGGTGAATAAAGGTCCCACTTCGAGCTAGATACCGAGATTAGTAAAGCACCTGCTCAATTCGTAGAACTTACCTGTTGGGTTGTATCCGATCAGCTTTCCAGAGTTGGCACCTCCAGTGCTGAAGATAGCCCGATCACTGATGGTTGTTATGAATACTGATGACCGTCCGCTGTCCAACAGAGGGAAGAAGCCTTCCGTATCCAGGACAGGCGCCAGATTCCATATACAAATATTAATGCCATTTGCGCAATCAATTTGTTTCATGCCATGGGTACCCTTCGGAAATATTAACTTGGCAGGATCTTCCAGCTCAGACTTTGGCATCCGATTGAATCCTAACACTAATCCCTGCTTCTCTGCTTCGCTCACTATCCACTGTAAAGGCCACAGGGCAAGTCCATCTTCTTCACCTGCACCACCAAGATTTCCATGGGAACCGGCAAACCACGCTTCTTGGAATGAGTGGTCGTTTTTGTTGCTCACTTCCGATTTTGGTACGTCGAAGCGTTCAACTAGTAGTTGATCACGCTTCTCAAACAGAGCCATAGCGTGCCGTACATGGAGGGTACTATCTAATAGTCCGATGTCGTTGAGATTTGAGTCATTTACCGCTTTTATGGTATCGAAGCAGCCAAGGAACTTGATCTTAGGGGCAGGCCGGGTATTTTGGGATCTTCAATCTCATCAGCTGAGCTCTAAAATCATTTAATGTACCTCGGACCCCATACAAGTGCCGGAAAACCTGTGACACAGCATGATTTAGTGCCATTTACGGATACAAGCTGGAGCTAGAAACGACTCACCGAATTTTCCAAGAATTGAGACTTCGTCTGAGCCGCTCGATAGATGCGAAGACCTCGAAGAAACTGCTCGTCAAAGTCGGGGAGGCTGGGTTTAAGAGCTTGCAAGTGATGTAAAAGACCAGCCACAGATCTCAGTATAACTTTAAGCCTAATTAGCAAATAATTTAGCGGACTCCATCGATCGGACTAACAAGCTCCCCGACTATATCCAAACATGAATATTTCGTCTCTGGAGGGACAGATATCGCAGCACATCTAAAGTATATCATTAGCTGAGCTTAATCTGAATCTCGAAAAGCTCGTTTCTCACTTTGTATATCTGTCTGATTTTGACCTCGTATCCTGTAGGTCCTTCGCCGGTAGCCCCAGTGACAATTCTTTCAATGATCCGATCCACAGCTCCGATCCCATCGATGAATGGTGCGCGGACCTCGAAGTTGAGCCTTAGCTTTAGTCATTCTTCATTTCCCAAAACACTTACTTGTTTCCACTGCTTGCCATTCATGTCCGTTACAATTCCTTCTTTCACCATACACCATATGCGGAATACGTTGCTCGCATTTCCCTTCATGGACCCTGTACGCACCTCGAGGTTAGTACAGCTCTTAACACCACAAATACGAAAGTAAGCTCACCAATTGCACCATCAGGTAGCATCCATGTCCCGTCGTGACATATCACCAGTCTCTGGGGGAGATGTGCCTTTTCGCAGTCTGCGCACACATCCTCACTCTTGCCTTCAAGAGTGACATCCGAGAACTCTCCAGTGGGTACTCGGCCTTCCGCCTCACTTTCTATGTCAACTTTTGCTGAGCCTTGAGACTCTTCTCTGTGAGTTGTGATATAGGGCAATGTGTCCTTCGCAGCCATCTTGAACAGAGCTTTACCAAAGCCTAAGTTGAGTACTAGAATCAAATATCCAGGACAAGTAAAGCTGTTTCTGTCATTGCGAAACATCCGTCATGATAATTGCCGTTTGACAGGTAACGTCGGTTGTGTAACGCCCGTTGAGCAAATCAGCAGTGTGGATTTACGCCTATCGCGATGCAAGGAGACGCGGGAAAATGCCCAAGGTTGTTTTCGAAATTGCACGAACCACACGCAAAAGCAACACCACGGACTCGTATCATACTTCAGTAGAGTTACATTCTCTACCGTGTTCGTTGCCTCGTGGCAAAACTCCCCGCTGCATTCAATTTCTAATAATAACCCACCAGGCTTTCTCTTAGCACGGTAGAAGTGCCAAACCTGATTCTCCCTCAGTGCGAAACAGAGTGGACAATGCGCTGATTTGTGTAGTGACAACAACTCTTGACCTGTGCACGTGTACTGCATCCATAGGAAGTCAATGACCAGACACCAGAGTGCCACCTAGCCGGTCGAGAATTAAGAGATGCATCGCGCTCGACACCCTTCGACCTTAAGAAATCAATCCCAGACAACATTTCCTCCTATTCACCTCGAACATAATCAGTAAGTATTGCTGCTTTACTTAGGCGCTACTCACCTTTGCCTAAGTCTCTACTCAGGTTGCTCAGCCAAGTTCCTGCTTGCTACTGGCTCTGCTGCGCGAAAATGGTCAACAGACCAAGCCAGCTCCAGGGGCAAACCCGTCCCTAAGCACCACCTCCACCTCCAGGACCCATCATCCCCGTAGTATTCATATTGTTTATATTATTTACAATCATCATGTTCATAGTGTTCAGGTTCATTTGGTTCATTTGGTTCATCTGATTTATGTTCTGTTGGTTCATGTTTTGCGCGTTGCGTGCGTTGGCTGCGGCGGCGGCCGTCGTGTCTCGGAGAGTGGTGTAGTGGCTCCAGAGAGGTTCGTCAAGCTGGAGATATGACAGGCCCGGTGGCTCATGGATCTGGGCAGTATGCTGAAGATCATACCATTTCCCATTGTTCTTCTGCGTCGCCCGCCACTGTCTCGTGACAGAGATGATTTGATCCGTAGTCTGGAAAGCTTTGGTCTGTGGCAGTATCCATTGCTTCCGTTCTGGTTTCAGGAGGCCGAAATGATCGAAGCCCTTGAAGATGGTAGCAATCACCGTATTGTTCTGCGTTTTATACTGGCTGTTGTCGAACAGGATGTCCAAGATCTCTTCGGCATGATCAAAGGTCAACCTCAAGCCGCGGAAGAGCTTTGGTACACGCCACACCCCATCATCAGTTACTTTGCTGTTGTTTCCTGTAACTCGAGGAAGTTTCAACATGCAGATATCGATGAACAAGATCTGACCAGAGATACCGTAACGTGGTGTTATAGGAACACTCTTCCTCACATCTTCAAGTGCCAGTAACCCATAGACGTGGTCCAACATTACCTGGCACTCGGTGTACTGGAAATTGAAGGCGAGCTCGAAGATGTCGATATTAGCAAAATACGGTGTCCCCTTGCTAAATATGCCATGACGTTTCTGATTTAGTTTCCAGAAATATAGCAGAAATGACCTCGGAATGCCTTCCAATTTGCCCTTCTTCTTCTGCATCATCCGCATGAAGTGATCTTGCAAGGGCTTGGTGAAGATCAAGTCTCGATCCATGTGGTCCTCGCCGCAGAAGACGACCACGGAGCGGGCGAGGAGGAACTCCTGTACAATCCAGGTTCGGTTCCAGTACGATCGCGAGAGGACTGCCGTCCAAGCAGCGATCCGTTCGGCGCTCGAAGCTGAGGTCGCACGCCTCACACGTCCAGCGACGATAACTGGCACCGCCAGTAAATTAACAAAAGGAATCTTCATCGTCGCCCGTGGGATCTTATCCTCAAAGTGAGTGCCGAACACCAACTCGCTGCTTGGGTCATGCTCGCCAATCCAGACCAGCACTGTCTTCGCGCGCATATAGATCTCGCTCATCAAAGCGACTTGGTGCCCCTTCTCTTCGTTATCTTTTTGGTTGATGCAGATGGCATCTGCATAGATGACCTGAGCACTCTGGCTGGTTGCTCGCAGCCTTTTCAGAAATAGCCAGAGGTTGTGACGGATGGTGAATGGCTTCTTGTCGACAAAGACTTCAGAGTTATGGGTCGACTCGGGGCCCCATTCATACGACAGCGCATCGAACTTCGGTTTGTCCTCGAGGTTGACATGTCGGAGCGTCGTTTGTATTGGTGATGCTTCCGCGCCAGGGAGGAGCGTGAGGAGGCGGAACTGCTTTGTGGTCAAAGGTCGGTATGATAGCTCGGCCATTATGTTCACGACTTTGGAGTTTCGGAGGCCACTCCAAAGTGAGGAACATTGATGGGTTTTTATGGGGATGGGAATGCCCTTGCCAGATTCTGGTACAGGCCTCTCTGCATTGAGTAAAGCAAGAAACCCACTGTAGGGATTACTAGTGCTTACGAGGTTACCGTACATTCTGTAGCGCAGCGGGCCGCGCTTTGGCACAGTTGGGGGCGATTTTTCAACCGCAAACTCGGATTTCCCACAGGTCAGAGGACTCCCCGTTGCAGTACCACAATCAGGAGTATGAGTAATTTAACCGGCAGTACTGAAACCAGGATCAATTGCTTGGTATGATGTCATAAACACACCTTCTGATATATTGTCCAATGATTTCATAAGGCGTGGAAATTGCCCCGCTGTCCTGCAGTGAGCAAGTGAATTAAAGCTGTGATCATAGTGGCTGGAGCAGTAATTCTGGCCCAAGTCGAAATGCAATGCAGGCCTTGGTGCTATAGGTGTGCTAGAAGCTGCTTGTCAGCGCCTTTGATGACGAAGGCTGAGAAAAGTTGAATAATTTACCGTCAACAGCTGGTGTTAGCTGAGTGACCTCAAAACTTAGTACTTTCGAGTAAACTGCTTTTCTAAAGGCTGAAAAGCTGGTGAATCGAACATTAGAGGGATGGTTCTTCCCATTGACGAAGTTCTGTAAAAGAGGAAGAGTGCTCACAACTACGGCGGGGCCAGAAAGGTGCCTAAGACCCGAGAAGTAGCCCTGGATATGGCTCAGTGATAGTGAAGACGCTCAGCATATACAGGGTGATCTTGTGATCATTCACGGAATCTATAAAAAGGCCGATACTCGGTGGGGCCGGCAATCACTCTGCTCAAAACGATCAAGTAAAGTCAAGTCGATGTCAACAAAGCATCCAGGATCAATCTCCTAGGGAGATCAGACATCAGAGTACAAATCAGGCATGTTAAGTCTAGATGGCTGTGGATTCTGCAGCCTCTTTTTTGTCTTCCGGCAGATTCACATTGCTTGGAATACTTCCCGGAGGGCCGTCCCTATTGAGTGAATACATTCCTCGAGGACGGCCGCTTTCATACTTATATCCGTACTCGTGTCGTATTGCTTGGTTTTCAATGAAGATTTTCAAGAATGCGAAGTATAATTTTGGAACTTACACATCTAGCGGTGCGCAAGATGAGTGGCTCGCTTTCTACTGGCTAATCATCAGTGATTCCTTTGGTTTTTGAAGGAGGAAAACATCACGTATCTGAATTTGGTGGAGAATCGCCGAGACCAAGCAGAATGATGTTGGTTACTAGGTGACACATTCCACTCCATGATGCCAAAGGTAGGTGCAGATCAAGTGGAACTATAAATCAGAACTCCTCGCCCACTTTGTATCACTTCGCACTCATCTCTGGCTATTGTAAAACACTCAATCACCTCTGTTGAAATCAAGCTTAAAATACAGCCTGTAGAGATCCTAATCCATCACAATATCCCACAAGAAAACCCAATCCTCTAGCCTCACAAACATTCGAGCACTGTCACAAATCACCTCATTCAGAATGTTGATCGCAACGATGATTCTCCTATCGGCGCTTCAGGTGTTATCATTCACTGAACCAACGATTCCTAATTGGACATATCTGGCATGTTACACAGATACTGCTAACAGAACTTTCAATTCGATCCCTAGTGAGATCACGTTAGGTATTCAGAGTACGGTTATGACTAACGAGGTGTGTGCGGGTATCTGCACGGGTTATTTGTACTCTGGCACAGAGGCTGGCAACGAGTGAGTCCTCTCACTGAATTATTCGTTATTATACTAAGAAAACTTAGGTGCTTTTGTGGCAATGGTATTATGAATAATGGAACAGTAGCTACAGATGGTCGTTGCACCTCTGCATGCGTGGGGAATGCTACAGAAAATTGCGGAGGCACATGGGGACTAAACTCATACATGGCTCTGAACTATGTCGCAAACATAACTGGACCCACCACTACTGGTAAGTCTACAGCTTCTTCAACTCTTCTCGCAGGACAGTCCTCTGGCCTCACAACCTTGACTTCAACTTCCTCTCCAGTGGCCATGACGCTGTCTTCAACTTCTTCTTCTATTCTAACATCGTCAGCCTCTGGGTTCACCACCATCGGAAAGCCAACAGCTGCAACATCACCGATACTACCGTCGCCTACTTCACCATCGCCTGTCCTCCCGTCACCAACGTCTTTGTCCTTGGGCCCATACATGCAGACATCTTGGTTCTTCGATGGATGTTTCGCTCCTAACCTCAACACTCAATACATCTTCGGCATCTCCGTGTACTCTACGATTCAGCCTTGCCTCCAATACTGCTCCACGCAAAGTAATGTAACAAGCAGCTTATCAATGTTGACCATACTCGCAGGACTTTACGAGAAGTAAGTCTTCGTCTGAATCTACATTAGAACAGTGCTAATAGAATCAGTGTTTGCTTCTGTAGCACCTCGATGCAAGCATTCTCTCTCACCCAAGACGTAGGAGGTAGTGGTGTATCATGTGTAGCGCAATGTCTACAGAATTCTGGAGTAGCTTGCAGTGGAGTCTTGGCTATTGAGGTCACAAGTCTTGTTCCCCTGTTGCCGCTACCAAGCGCTGGTCCATAGATGTCGCAAATCTGAGTGTAGACGATATAATTCTTGCGGTGGAGAGCTGGCAATTTTCTGCAACCACGTCTGCTTTTACATGGCGGCTTGCTTCTGTTATGCTACTTTGTGTTTCTAGCCTCTTTCTTGGTAAATTGAAATTATCGTTCGGACGCAAGTATGCAGGCTACCACCAATTGTGAAGTTGTGATTCGGTCTGTCATCACGCATCACGACACCTCATGTATAAACACGGGTACGGACGATTTGATATGATAGTGTTCTTATAGTCGGTTGTAAAACTGCAATATACGATGCTATCTGACAATGTCCTAACCCTCCTGAAACATTCAAATGTCCTTCTTCTCGAATTGCCTTTTATTCTTCTCTTCTTCTTCCAAAGATTTAATGTCCAGTGCAATTCTTCTCAACCGCAAGTTTTGTCCGTCTCTCGCCTGCATTAGAAGCAAGAACTTCAGGCTCGCAGCTACATACTCAGCTTGAGCCTTCTCGTGCTCTCCAGATTCTATGTCAAACAATATGACGCCCTTGACTCGATGCTGAGCCTCCTTCATTTCTTGTGTACAAACGTCCAGCTTGTGCATTTCGTCATCTTGGGCTTTCTCAATCTCCCTCTTCTCTGCAAGCAACCTTTCGAGCTTCATCGCGTTCGATAGAGGAGGAGGCTCGAAGTTGACTTCGCTCTCAGCAGGTGTCAAGATCGTTGTAGATTCGTCATCGCTCGAGTCGGTCAAAGGGCAATTGTTAAGATGAGGTCTTCCGCTCGCTGGGACAATCGATTCCTGGAACGTAACAAAAGCTACCCTAAGCCGGTGCGCAAATGATCCGAGCTTGGAGGCAGTGTGTGAGGTATAGGGAGATCTTTCGAGGGCACTAATGTCGTTGTGATTCAACTGAGAGAGCTTGAGGCATAATCCTTCGATCTGAACTACAGTTTCTTGTATTTCCTCCAGCAGCTTCCACTTCATGTATAGTTCAGAAAAGTGGATACATCCGGACACGGATGTGGATGTCGTGATGAATGTGGACGCATAACTTGTACAATCTGTATACAAGATGGCGAACCATATGCCGATGACTCCTAATGCGACACTCAGAGCCGAAAAAGCCAGAGCAATGGTGGAACGTTTGGGGAGGATTCCTGGCATTGCCATTCTGAATCGAGCGGCCAATTTCCCTGCGCGAAACTAATTGCGGAATGTGATGATTGTTTTTCGAATGCTGAAGATGGTGCAAGAAATGATCGATATTGGTGTAGTGCAGTATGGTTGAGGTAGTCACGGCCCGAACCACGTCCCAGTTCCTTCCCGCTCCAGAGCCTTGATGTCCAACCTGATCCTCTCCAATCGGAGTTTTTTTTACCAGAAGTCAAGCGAGCTCGCGCGACCCTTTCTTTGGTTGCGTTCCATGCTCTCTTTACTTGACGTATCTCATCGTCCCCAATGTCCATGTCCAAGGCGATCAGGAGCCTTTCACGAGCTTCGTCATTCAGAAGGCTAGCCTCTTGTTCCTCGTACGCGTCTTCATCTTCGGTCTCTTGTATGTGATGCATCTCTTTCTTCAAAGCCTCAACTTTCTCTCTTCTGATCGTTTGTGAGGATTTTTCAGTGGACGTGTGACCATCTCTTGCCGTTGGTGTATACACAGGAAGGGGTAAAACTTTCTCGCCAACCTCAGATACAGCTGTACCTTGGATAGAATGGACCGATTTCAACCGGCGAGCCATGAATAAATGCCCCAGGGCTCCACATTTAAAGCAGCAGATTGTCTGTCCGAGAAACTCTAGTATAAGCTTTGGTGGCGAGTCGGCGAAGAAAGAGCACAGTAGAAACGCCAATCCGAGGCAGAAGAGACTAGTTACCGCGGATCTACATATGCTGACATGCGGATCTTCCATCATTGACGACCTTCTTATTGTGAGTATAGTTTAGATTGTAGTTAAGGAGAAATATTTTGCAATTGAGGTTGCAAGGTGTTCTTATAGTTTAAACTAAGTACAAGTGGAGACAATTAGCACGATGGCGCCTCTAACGGTAAGACTACTCTTAGTTCCCGAATGGAGAGAACCCCGTATTCCCACGATCTAACCCTGCGATCTGAGTTTCGAGTCTTGCATGGGACAATGGAATGGTTGCCCTGGTTCCTGCACTTCCATTACCACTTTGACAGTATGACTCTCTGATTGTTGTACTTCCACGGATGGTGATAAAGGAACCGCTCCAGGTTGTGGTCCACTCTCCACTGGCAAGGCCGGTGCTGTAGTTGGGTTGTAGTTTCTTGTCGCCCCTGCCAATATGCAAGCATGCAGGCGAAGTAGCAAGCGAAGGAGACAAATGTAGCCAAGGCCAACTTTCTCTTGCTGGGTTTCGAAAAGCTTATTAGAAACGACAGACAGATGTAGACGAAAGTGCATGTTATCACAGCAACTGGCTTTGGCTGTACAAGAATCTCGACGAGGCTGTCGGCGGAAAATTTGGTGGTGGACTGCATGTTGGATGTATCATCGAATACGTTCTATCTTATGCTGCTTAAAACAAGAGTAGAATTTATAGAGCGACAAAGTTTCTTGCAATTACATTCTGGACTAAAAGATTATTCTGCGCGGGCTTAGTGGCGGACTGGTCTAGCTCAATTCATCGGGCCCGAAGTTTGATACTGAAAAGAACAAACTTAGTGTGTTCAAATATGGTGTCGTCATTTCCAACACGTAACGCTATAATGCCTTCAAGAGAACAAACCTTTGAAACCCTTGAAGAGCGCGGATCCAGAGTGGAGGTGCTGGTTTGATCATTACAGGCCGAGAATGAAGTTACATACTACAGTAGTCTCGAAGGAATAGGAAATTTCGAGTACGATAACACAGAATCTTTGTTCCTTTATCAAACTTGACGTTATATGAGGTCCTACCGAATTTGGAAATGTACTGGTTTCACTTGATGAGAGGTGTAAGAGATCGTCTTGGCATTAGCCTCCTTTCCTTTGACTTAGAATCTGCACAGCACAAAGACATGTTATTCAAATAATAATTATCAAACTGAGGAAATCTTCAGCATCCGAAAACATAAGCAATGAACCTTCTCGCCACCAGGTAACCGAAGTGGGGTCGCTTCAACCCCTGAGATTGCCCCACATCGATCTATTTTGAAGCGCGGATGCAGGTCCAAGTAAATATCCCATGATAGCGGGGATTTTATGCATTTCATGAAGGTGGCTGATATCGATTAATTGAGCCCCGCCAGGTACCTACGCAACACCCAAACATCTTCATTCCTAGTGGTCAGTTGATTGAAGGCTGTTGTATCCCGAGCTATTTTCCAAAGACATTCAGCGGCATTCCGGCAATGGAAGATCATTTACATCCGAATTTGATACATGAGCAGACACTAGAATATATAATCATGCGGAAGTCCGTACGGAAGTTGGAAGTTGGACTTCGAAGTAAAAACCATTGAACTCATTGCTGTGCATTCGAATTCAAGCCATTGAACAGTTTATTATTGTACCGAAATCATGTATCTTGTTTTACTCCCAACAATTATTCTCTCACTGTCCACCAGCGCTCTGGCAGACTGTACACGAGAATTCCTCCGCAATGCGACGGACGCCTACATCAAAGTTCAGCGAGATGGAGCAGTCAAGTCCCCCGACCCAGCTTTTGCTGTCCATCTATCCCCGAACTTGGTATATACCGAAAACTTCGCAGTCACTCCCCTGAACAATTCCATCTTGAACACTTCTCTGCCGATAACGCATAACTTCAGTATGCACGACACGACCGCCTGCTCTACGTTCACCGAACTGGTTATCCTACCAACCAATACCACCAAACCATACCTCATCCATACTCGCATGTTGGCCAACGCCAACACCAGCAAATTGACCATGGTCGAGTCCCATCGTCACTACCACAGGTGACTGGGCATTCAACGTCACAGGCTACCTACACTACTCCTCACTCGAGACTTGGGACCCTATCCCAGCTGCGAAACGCGATACTCGAGCAGTTGTTCAAGCGGGTGGAGATGCTTACTTCAATCGCTTCGACAACGCCTCGGTTGTTGTTCCCTGGGGTGCGCCTCGCACGAGGATCGAGGGTGGTGCACTGGTGACAGGCACCTTGAGCGGCGATAATTGCACGATGGTGTTCCCAGATACAATTGTCGTTACGGATCGTCGGTATGTGGTCGATGAAGTGATGGGGACGGTGGATATCTTCGAGGGGTTCCCGGGATTGGGTCGTTCACAAGGTAATAACCCGATGCCGGATAGTCATTTGTTCAGGATCGAGGCTGGAAAGATTAAGTATGTTCATACCGTCAGTCATTGTGTGGAGAGGGGATGTGGGATGAACGGAACATCGCCATTTGGTTAAGAGACATTATCTTCCCCAAGAGTTTCATACAATGTCTCTGTACGGTCGTACTTTTTGGATGGATGAAGTTATCTTGGGGGAAGTTTGACTACAAAAAGCAATGTATTTTAATTTTCGTGTGCATTGTATTTCGATGTAGGCGTTTCCACAGATTCTACAACTTGATCTTCACCAGGTGATCTCTTAATTATGCGTTTTTGAGAAGGATTTCGCATTCTGCTAGCCTAGGTTTGGTGCTCGTGAACCGCAGGTTTAGTCGCAAGAGAAGCCAATAAAAGCTAAACCCCCCTATTCATTTTCAAGCTCGCTTGATTTTAGCGAGTTCGGCATACCTCTCAGCACGTGACGGTGTGCCACCGCAATTCCATATTCTCGGTGGAATGCCTGAACACCTGGCAAGGGAGTAGAACTTATGTGCCCTTATTCCAGCACGGTAGTGTAAGGATCTACTTTTCCCTTAGGAGTAGAGGAGATATTGAATGCGACACCAACGAGAGCTTGCAAACGATGATGTTTGAAAGTCATGCTTTATTTTTTGCTCGCATCAAAGGTTCAAAGTTTCTGATGACGCCTAAGAACTCCACCTGAGCACATGCTCTAGATACTAACACTCATTGGCCTGAGCTTTCATCTGAATCCCCCCATGCTGAATGGTTGCACACAATCTGGCCAGTCTTCCAAATTTCGTTGTAGTACACCGATTTCGAGAGACCATCCATCAAATCCTCACTCAACGGTGTAGCCACTCCCATTCCGAAGTCACTACCGCCCAAGAACGTCCACTCTGGCAGATTTGCACTGCCTTTATACTCGGCACGTGCATGTTCCCACTCGCCATCCAATTGATACCCAATCTAGAATATCGTCAGTGGAATGGTTCATTCTCAAAGTGAAAGTGTACACACGGTCACTTTCGTGCCCTTTCTCGTGATCAAAAAGTCACACATGGGTTTGTCAGTTGCGAAGAGCTCGAAGCTTTTGACTTGAGGGTTCAGGAAGGTCTCGAGTTCCTCGGTGGAGTGATAGTAGAGCGCTGTCATGACGGCATCGATGGCTGGGAGATGAATGTACATTGTTTCCTCGTTGAACATGTGAATGCATTATTAGCATAAAGACTAGGTATTCAAGTCATGAATGAAGAAAGCGTAGAACAAAGACATTGTTACTCTCTCAGGGCTATCAAAAGTATGAAAGTAATCTTTGAAAAGATTTCGGACAATAGGGACGCAGTACCCTTCTTTCATTGTTGTTAACACCGTTGAACAATATCGCCATATGGAAAAAAGTCTGCAATAACCCGTAGTAAGTTCGAAGGAAGGGAATTATCCCGCCCACAGCGCAAACAGCGCAGACAGCGCAGACAGCGCAGCAAGCGCAAAAAGTGCACTTCACACCCGTCAAAGGTAGAAAAATAAAACGACCGGAATCACCTGAAGCGAAGCCAAATTCATAACCACACCACCGTAAAAGATGGAGTAGTTGACACTCAACTTAAGGACATACATTAAACAGAGGAACACAAAATGATATCAAGAATAAACACCACGATGATATTGCTACCCTACTCCACAACGCCTAAGCTCACACAGTCTCTCGCCATACTCCAATAGACAGTCTCAACAATCACAACAAATCATCATCCTCACCCATCATATCCCACTTCTTAGCAGTCAACTTCCTGACCTTTTTCACGGGACTGCCGCCACTAGCAACCCTCTGACTACCCCCACTAACTCTCATCTTCTCCATCTGGCTCCCCAGATCGCCCACATGCATATCTCTGAGCGGCGCCCTTTGTCCCTTGCTCGGACTCCGTCCCTGAACCTCCCGTCTCAGAATCTCCACCTCTCTCCTCAACCTCTCATTCTCGCTCTCCAAACTAATGTCTCTCACGGGCGTATTCTCCTTATCCTCTTCACACGCATCAATACTCCGGGTATAAATCTCCAACTTCCGATCTATATGCTCTTCACTCTTATCCTGTTCTTGCGCCCAGCTCGCCTTCCATCTCCGCATCTCAGCCTCCATCGTCTCTTCCATTTCCGAGAAACATTCTTCGCGGACTTCGGCTTCGACTTCCATGATGCGGTCGGTCATGGATTCGAGATGTGCTTCCACTTCTAGTCTCTGTTGCTGTTCTGCGAGGAGTTCAGCGCGGAGACCGTCGATTTCTTCTGACATGCGAGCAATTTCAAGTGCGGCGATTTCCATCGTTTCACGTTCTGTGTCAGTAGGTGACATACGGCCGGCACGGGGACTGAAGTAGTGAGATGCGGTGGATTGGGCGAGGATTGTGGATGTCACAGATGGGATACGTGGAACAGTGATTTCGCGGGCGAGAGCCGAGTAACGGAGGATCTGAGAAGTGGCGTTGAAATCCCCAAGAGGATCAGCAGTAACAATCATGACTGCCTTTTGAGGGTTGCGAGGTTGTTGAGAAGAGTGGTGATGAGATGGCGTTGAAGGGACCGACTGATGAGAAGTCGAGGGGAAAGAGTTGGAGAAAAGTAGCTCCGTGAGTTTGCATTGGCGAAATGGAACCAGATTGGGCTGCTTATGTTAGATTTCAAAAATCAACTGGATACTGAGAACATACCTTCGTAGAGTTACCAAGATCTGACTGCATCTGCAAGCACTGACCAAGATACATCAAGCTCTCATTAATCTTACCAGCCTCAGCCAGAGTTGCACCTTGTGTCTTGGCATCACGAGCTCTCTCACTACCAGCTAAGTCGACAATGGTCAAAGCAGAACCTCCCCATTGAGTAGGCATTCTGCTTCTTCTTCGCTTCTTGACTTCAACGCAAAAGAATCCGTGGCTTCGACTTGAGACGCTGTTTGAACCTGTCCCGGCGACACGACGTTCATGGAGTCCGGCTTCGAGAACCATTAGGGCTTCCTTCATCGTACCACAGATAATCTTCCTCAATCCAGCAACTACTTTCCGGTCTGGAGATTGCTCCGTGGATTTGAAAAGAAGTGGTCGTCGACGAAAGTCTTTCGTAGATTTGTTCGGGATAGCAGGCGTGAGAAGATCAAAGATCCGATCATTATATACCTCATACATCGAGATCAAGATCGCGTACTCGGCATTTGAATCCGCATCTACAGTAACATTACTGATATCCGGCACAATCGGCAAAGCCGAAGGTCGCTGAAGATGTCTTCTCGGAGTAGGAGGTGGTGCATAAGATTCGCCCTTGAGAGGAGATTTAGTAACATACTTAAAAGCTTTCGAGAAAGTGGATTGCATGTAAGAAGGAAGATAGGAATTCGGATTGAAGATCCTACTAGTCTCTCCACCCTGATAAGGAGGACCTGGTATCTGGGACTCTCGTACTACTCGTATGGACTTGGGGCTTCCCGTCTCCAAGCCTAGCAAGGAGGGGTACAGGCCATGCGACGAGGGATGAGGTGGAGCGTGAAATGTGGAAGATGGGGATCGTACTACCATGGGAGTAGGTGCTCGTGAGCTGGCTCGAGATGCCGCTGTAGGATCGCCATACATGGTATCGAGGAACATCTGCGAGGACATTACTTGTGCTTCTGATGGGTCTGATGCTGCGACTGTTGCGTGGAGTGAAGTTGTGGTAGCAGGGTCGAGGATATTGTTCGAGATGGAGCGGAACAGGACATCGAGGGCCAATTGCGTCAAGCCGCGCTGTGTTCGAGATCCTAGGATTGTATGGCTCTTGAATAACGTCAGTATTTGTATCGTTTGCATTGGAGACTATTGCCAAACCTTTCCACTACCAGTAACACCCAGAGTCGCAAGTAATCCATCTCTGCCCTCTCCACCTTGTGGTCCAAGAACGCCTTCAACGAGCGGCAATACACCTGTCCCATGGAAGAGATCAAGTTGATTCGAATCCTCTTCAAACACCTCTGTGAACGCAAATTTCTCCACGGCGCGTCGTCTATTGTCATTTGGCGGGTTCAACGTGATATGGGTTGGCGGCGCATCGTCCCCTGGTTCTTCGACTGTTAGAAATCGCTCCGAAACAGCTTGGCCAGGTGGAGGTGGTCGCAGTCGTAGATAGACTTGAAAGAGGGCATTCTGGGATTTCTGTGATTGTTCCATTGTTTGTTTGTTGGAGTTTGAGTGTTCTGATCTTTGTGTGACAAAAAGTTCGTTGGAGGTGGTGTTGACTTTGGATCGCGAATCGTTGCCACAACAACACCACACTTGCCGCCGCTGATCTTTGTGATGTCCAGCCTCAGCTCAGCACACGAACACTGAATAATGATTGTCCCATGAAAATAAATATGGGACGTGTAAATGTGATTTGTATTGAAGGTATCGTAATCTTAAGCCCCTCTTTCAAATCCTCAAACCTGGCTATGTATGCTAATTTTTACCTCCATCAAACTCCATGTGTAATGCACCGAAAAGTCGTAAATCATCATGAACACCTATCCCATCCCATCCCGATCTTCCAATTCTATGTGCCACAAGAAGCTCCAGCTTACAGCTCTATTTTATATCTCACATTAAACCTCAACAGCCATTCCCATGGCCCTTTTCTTCCGTCCGAAAGACAGTCCGCCTTTTCTTGTACCTTGCCTTCCAAGTCCAGTCGTCCCAGCTACTTGACCCAACTTCTCGGCTTTCTCCCGCTCCCGCTCTTCAGCATAACCCTTTCTTCGTTCTGCGCGGCCCTTCTCGATCGTGTCTTGGCTGAGATGGCCAAAGCCATTTCGTCGCTTGTAACAAGTTTCCATGACCGTGTTGCAGTCGATGAGTCGCCTTGGGATGGTTTGTACAACCTGGAAGATCTCCATCGGATCACTAACAGCCTTGATCTCTTGCTCACCCAGCTTGAAGATGGTCATTGCAATTCGGAACAGGGTCTTCGATCCTTCATAGAAGAAACAATCCCATACTCGAAGGGTACTCTCGATTGGTAAAGTGCCGATGAAGCAGGACATGAACCAAGCTGTTGTACAGAGGGTAATTGGAGGAAGTCGGAGATGTGAATGTGGGACTGAAGATCCATCAAGCTCGCCGCCAATTTTGGCCCAGATGCCTGGCATGTTATCTTTAATGCTAGACATCAGAACACCGAGATCAACGTTGGCGCCTTCGAGGTTCAATTCGTGAGTGCCAGGAAGATAAACTCGAGTTATGATGTTCAACATCCAGAAAGACTTCTCCTCATCCATGAATAATAGTAAAAGGCCAGCCAGGAAATTCAATGACTGACAATACCCAATTTTCGGATTCTGAATCGAGAATGCTTGCAGCACCCGCCTCAGAGATTGGACTATAGGAGTTTCCGGTTCCTTGATAGACCGCACACTATCTCGAGCTGCACCAGGCGGCGGATCTGGTTTGAATTTGACGTTGTCTGGAAACGTTCGATTCAGGTCCCGCTCAATGATCTCGTCGTCTGTTTCACTGACACCTCCAGCCTCGGCCTTTTGAACCAGATTACTGTACTCGCCAGGATGCAAGGCAAGCATTTTTGGACCACCAGCATAGTACCACCAAGCAGCACCTCTCCAGTCTGGTGGTATGCCTTTCCGCACAAAACGCTTGACTTTGGCTGATTGCGGAGGGAAGCGTTCTGGACGGTCAGAGGGTAGACCAGCGTCTTTCATAAGAGCGACCCATTTCTTCCACCGCCGAGCTAGGTGTTCCTTGTAAGGCCCGTTCCAAGCTTCATACTGCTCCCAAGAGATATGTTGACTCTTCTTCTTAAACCCGTACCGATCTCTTGTCTCGTCAATTGGTTGGGTAGCAGCTCTTGTTACAGGCCGACTTGGTGGTGGTGGCTCAAAATATGTTTCCTGGACATCCAGCTTCTCTTCCCTAGAACCCATTTCTGGGCTTGGGGTCCCTCTCCCTCTTGTATTGAATATCTGCGCAGAATCTCTCATTATTACATTAGATGGTGGCACCATAAGCATATCATTCATCGCCTCCTCTAGACCAGATATCCTCTTCTTCTCCGAGTCTGCCGTTATTGGTCGGGGTCCGTAGTTATCCTCAATACCAGAGTCGGTTTGGAATCCTCCCTCGTACATCCCAATCGCATCATCCACACTCATCCCCTCGTCTCGCCCATAGATAGATGTCGCTGAACTGCTTTTTGTCAAGACACTGCTTCGTTCCGTCCCGCTGGTGCCAAGGAAGCTGGAGTTCGTGGTTAAGGCTGAGCGAAAGCTTGCCCGGACCTCTTCCTCGTCGAAGCCTGGCCGCGAAATAGGTTCCCTTCGATGCGCAGAGTAATTGCTATCCGGTCTACTGATGTCTCTTCTTTGTCTATATGCCGGATTGTTCAGATTCCGTTGTCGAGAGTATAGCGATTCCGGAGCACCGTAATCAGGTATTGAAGGCGACGGCCTGAGAGGATGAGCCGAAACGTTCGCCGCAGATTGTGAAGAAGAAGTTGAGAATCCTCTATCTCTCGAAGATGCAAGATCTGTAGGTGTACGTTCCTCGTCAATCTGCAGCGGGAAGGTGGCCGCGTTGTGAATCAGAGGTTTCGGAGAGTGCTCGTTTCGCCGACGAACACTGGGAGCTCGCGGTCGTGAGAAATTGTCGATATGCGGTTCTGGAGTTCGTGTTCGTCGTTCAGGAGTATTTCGACCTTCCGAGGATTGGGATCTGTAGCCATTATTCAGGGCTCGGAGTCGAGAGGCTTCAGATGGTTTCTTGGGGAGGTTGTGTTGAGCCGAGGGAGATGTGTAAGCTCTGCTTTCCTGCGACTGTGTATGGTGGGAAGTAAACGGTCTCTGATACTGCAGAGATTCTTCTCTTGAAGGCAGCAATTGAAGAAGTTGAGGAGCTGTTGGGGATACAGGAGTGGTGGGGCCAGAAGGTATCGAGCTCTTTGAAGCTGTCCTAGGACGAGAGGCTTCAGATGGGTAAAGGCTAAACTTCATGCTTCGCTGCCGTCGAACGTGTAAATCTTCAACATCGAGAGAATCCGACGTCCCAGCCCCATGGTACCCATCTGCCATGTTCATTTTTTCCCTCAAGAAGAAGATCTCCGCCAGGACGCTGGCCTCCACGCCAGGTGCCGTCCAAAACCTGGTCGATATCGCGAACCCTTGTTTCGTTATTTAATATCCATAGATGGGGGCCGTCCAAGTGCTATTTCAAGCTGCCAGAGATACAATTGTCCAAAGGGAAGACCAGTGAAGCTGTGGCAGATGTCGAGATTCGAAGAAGAGTGGAATTGGGTCCAGGGAAGAGAGTTTTGGGGGATTTGTTTTGCGGATCTGATCTCGGATGTTTCGTGATGCTAGTGGTCCAAGCTGAAGCTGATATTACCCAGATCTCAGTTCCTTTTCCGATGAATCAGAAATGCCACAGAGCTCACAAACTTTTTTTCACTGCGCACAAAGCATATCATCTATGGGAATTGCGGTTACACTGTGAGCAATATTGAATAATCTAATATACTTTAGTGATTCAAGGAGTGCACCATTGGGAAGACCGTCTGGTCTGGAGAGTTTGGCAGGTGTTGCTTTGGGCATAGTGACGGATAACTGCATAGGTTTGCTGGGGGCTTTACTCAAGTCTCACTGGTGGATACACGCTGCCGGCCCTTGGGTCGCGTCTTGGGATGACGGGATGTGATCTTCGTGATTTAACGCGAAAGTGGACCGGGATGGAAACGAAATTGTCTCCAATGGAGTTGCAGATCCACTTCAGCTCTGTATGTACTTTATGTACGGTTCGACGTTATGTCTTTCAGCGGCTGGGAGTTAGCTGACGCCGTTGTTGACAGCGGAAGGAGTTGTAACAACAAAAGAAAGCATTTCAGGGACAGGGCTTCAGAGCCAAGAGGTACAGTCTTCTCAGTCAGGGGTGATTTGAGATCCATTCTCCGGTGACAAAAGTAAATATCCACGCCGGTGATGCAAGTCCTCTATTCTTCCTCTGATGTCCCAAACGCCTGCGTATAATTGACAAGTTCGTATCCTTCATTTCCTACCCTATGAGACCTGATGCCGATCTTATCAGCCCCTCCATCACCTTATTTGGCGTATTTCTTCGTCATATCCCTAGCCTCCTTATCGAACGCTTTTCGGTCCTCCTTGAACTTCTGTGCGGCTCCTTGTTCAACGGCATCATCAGGTACAGGCTCGAGGAGTAGTTGTTGAATAGCCGTCAACACGTTAGGGATCCGCGAGCTTGGCTTCCACGAATCCGACTTGAGGATACCGATGCACATACTTCCGTGCTCGTCGAAGGTAACGTTGGGGTGGTAGATGCGGGTCTTAAAGTTGATCTTCGGTGGCTTAAAGGGATATTCGGTGGGTAGGACGAGGAGAAGTTGGAATTTCCCGCCCTGGAAAAGGAAAATTGTTAGCACAAAAGAAAGGAAGAGAGTCCGAGTATACGAGACATACGACATATGGAGAGTCGGCAGGACCATCCATCACGATGTTCCAGTTGTGGATATTGCCTTCATCGACCAGGTTGACCTTGATGCCCGCTGGCGGGGTCGTCAAACACTCCTGAAGCTCCTATACGCCGTCAGTATAGGTCGCGCTCTCTTGCATACCCTCTACGACCACCCGCTGTTGTTATAACATACTTTGGATATTCTCTTCTGCGTCATGATGCCTACTGAATAAGGTAGCGGGGTAGCAAAGCAAGGCCGAACAGAAGGCTCCAACTGTCAAGAGTGCGCAATAAAGCTGCTACTGCAGGATATGGGCAGATACTAGAGCTGCACGAATGGATGTTGGGAGTATATGAAGAATACTGTGCTCTTTGTATGTTGGGAATCTGGGCTTCTGCGAGTCGCAGTCCAGAAGTTTGAGGAAGCTGGCCGAGCTTGGAATCAAAATCCCTGTATGTCTCCGCAGCGCGCTAGTAAACGAGGCTGTGAGGATTCAGATGAGGAAATTTGTCAACAGACTATGGAATCTGGTGAATGTGAAAGTAGCATAGCATATTTTGTATGGTAGAGATATACCGGTGGAGACAGCAGTAGTGTTGTAGCTATTGATTTGGTGTGAGACATAGCAGATGTATTTGTGGACTTCAAAGTACGTCTGCATCCCACCAACACAACAGCACAAGCAAGTATTCAACAAGGAAGACGCTGTTTTATTCCTAATACAAGGAGTACACCGATCCGAGTCCTCCCATATGCAAAGGCTTTTGATGTATCATACAGTGCCGGGTATCCATCCAAACGCCGAGGGCCATGCCGTTATTCTCTCTGCAATACCACCACCAAACCCATTATTCCCAGCATCACTGTCTTAAGCCACGGATGCTCACTCAGCATTATTGTTACGTAGCCTACGAAGGGAATATATGCCACTACACTACCAACAATGTCCTTTCGCTCGAGATAATCCTGTCCTCGTGCGTAGAGCTCAGTGTCGTCTGCCAGATTGTTGTCTCCTTTGGTGAGTAGCTTTGCTTCATCTCTGTAATTATGATGTGTTAGCGATAATATCCAAAGAGAGGACAGAGTGCTCGTTGATATAGAGTCAAGCTCAGAGATCACTTACCCAACCCCGAACTTCCGAACCACACGATGCACAATGGGGATATCCTTCCCCTTCACATTGTATACCACAATCTCTCCAACTTTAGTCTCCTCGAAGATGTTCCTGCCCCATAAAAATAACAGATCTCCGCGCTGAAATGCAGGCTCCATGGACCCGGACAGGACAACCACTATTGGAGATGGAGAGTCGGCGAGCACTGATAAGCCTTTCCACATCATAAATGCAGTCGATAGGATCAGCACGAAGTTGAGGACTTGTGCAGCAGCCTGCCGGGGATTTTGGAGGGCGGAAAGCATGGTCGCGGAGAGGTATTGTTGCTGAATACTTGGTTCACAAAGCAAAGCTTAGGATTCGTGTGGTGTGGGAAAAATGGAATGGGATGGCCGAGAGATTGTAGAGTCGAAGCTCAATAATAAATAATCGTAAAGGAATGGCAGCCTGCAGAGCGGTTGTGAACAGGTGGGCTGGATCGAGGTTGGAGAGTTGTGGACAGCTTTGAGGTATGGATAAGTTTATGCTTATTTGTGCAACAGCGCTAATGTTTTGTGCATGCATAAGCATATCGACGCGCTGGAAGGAGTTCTGTCTTCTCCAACAGCAACAACAACAGTGAGCTGAGGATGGACACGCTTTGCAGAATACTGCAACTCAATGCTATCCTCCCTAAGAAGTCTAAGAAAGGAATTGTAAGATATTCTCCTCGTGCTGTAGGACTTCTAGCCAGGACACCATCTCTTTCAGTTCTTATCTCCCTGAAGACCGATATATACCTAGGTATGTATCGTTACCCTCCGTACATAGGTACGTGGGGATAATTTCAGGCTTCAAACGGTCAGTATTATAATCTGGGGGAGGAGATCCGGTGCTGCAGATTTGAGATGTTCGCAGCACGTTCAATGCCCAACTTCACAGGAACATTGCCGCTCCCTACCATCCAGCTCATCTCCCCCCGAATTCGTCAGGACTCAAAGCACGAGAAGTCTCTACACTATGCGCATTTCGAGTAACTAAAGCAGATCCTGTCCGCTCCATTCGGTGTAGTATTCTTCATTGCTCTTTCCCAGATTTCCCTGGCTTCCATCCATATTGTACTTGCCGGTTGAGCATCCCAGCTCACGCTCCTTCCTCAACTACCAGAAAGCGTAAAAGTGTTGTTTACCTCTTGCTTCCCTCTCCATTCTTCTTCCATTCTACAACAACCATCCATCTGCAGCGCCTCTTCAACGTTCATCACAACGCTTGCAAGATCTTCAAGTTTTGGTTTCCCGTTTGCATACATCACCTAGAAAGTTCTTCAATCGTTTCCGTCAACACAATGTCTTCGTCGACTGCTCTTCTTCCCAAGGACCGCAAGAAGGATGATCATGTAGGTCTTCTATCCCCTCAACGCCATCAATGCTCATCGATGCCAGCCCATCTTCCTTCGCGTCTGCCATTCGCCATGGAGTGGCATCGGTCAGAAGGCGCTTGTTGGTCTGAGAGGTCTCGCCGCTGCATACATGCTCGCCAGCTTCGCTTTGATCATCAACTACGAGCTCCAACACCTCAAGCATGACTGGTTGACAATCTTCGAATTCTCCAATGTCCAATACTTGCTTCAAGTCATGTACCATGTCATCGCATTCGTAAGTTAACCCATCACCGCATCTTCGCACAGATACTGACCTCCTCTGCAGACTTGGACCTTCATGCACCTTCACTATCCTCATCACGGCAGCCAGGAACAAACATTTGCAACCCAAGTTCAAAAATTCTTGTCGCCACCCCGACAACACGCCACTACTAAGAATCGCACATGGTTCAGCATCTTCTACTCTGCTGCCAATGCTTTCCCATTCACATCTACACTCATCCATTGGGCTGTCATGATCCCCTCGAAGAAGACATCAATTCCAGGTTCGTCACGCCTTCTAAGCCTCTAGTAAATACTAATAATACTTTACAGCTGATCAGATTTTCAATCACGGCTGGCACACCACTTTCTTTGTCCTCAATAAGTGGGGTGTCAGCTCTTTGCTATCATTCATCGAAGTTCTGTTCTTCTCCAGCATCAGATGCCCTGAGGTGAGTTTGCAGAAACCCAACTTTGAGTCTGCTAACAATGCTCCAGCCTGTCGGTGCCCACGTTGCTGGTCTAGGCGCCCTCTCCTTCATCTATGTTGGGTGGCAATACGTTGGCTATATCGTCTCGGACAAATTTGCCTACTTCTTCTTCGATCACAAGCAGGTCGGCTGGGAGTATGTCATCGCTTCGTGGTTCTTCTTCGCCATCGTCAACAATATTTGTAAGTACTTCTATTGATCAGAAATGCAACACATCGCTGACTCCTATAGCTTACTTTTTCGTCTACGGTGTCACTGCTGTTCGTCAACAACTGACTAAGAAGGGCGATGGCAAGAAGAGTGGCTATCAGCAGCTTCCTCAATAGCTCTCACGATACAACAGGCCATCTTGGCCACTGGGTTACTAATGCAGATGACGTTGGTTTGTTGAGTGTGTTTCTTTCGGAGACGTGTTTATAGACTGGTCCGTATTCTTTGTTAGTCGGAATGATTCTTTGTGGCAGTAGCGGTCAGTCGGATGTGGCCGTATTTCGGACTCGAGGCTTCACTTCTGTATTTTTACTTCACCTGAGGATCATTCCTCAAGCTCTTACTCCTAAATAGTAGTTTTCTACATCTCCACAACTCAGACTGCTCCCTAGTCCCTGTGATTTGCTACAGGCTATAATCTGAGTCAGCTGTCGATTGCCACTACTTTTATTGCCGCCTCCCATCATGATACCTCATCTCCTAAGCCCTACTACAATCAAGATTTCTCTTTGCCTAGGCGCTGCCAGATCGGGAGATCCCAGCGCGAATCGCGCAAACTATCATCAAGTGATTGATCTTGCTGGCGCTGTCATAATTTGGTGAACCCTACCACCGAGTCTCCATTCCCACTCGCCATGTACGAACCATGATCTTTCTTCTTGGATTGGCTGATGAACAAGCTTTCCAGGGGCAACCAGCTGCGAGATCGTGACTTTCAATGGATTGCCGAGTACAAATATTTGCGGCTAGATGGGCATTGTTGGTGGGACGTCGAGTGCGAACACTTGTGAAATTAGCGTCATTAGTTGGAGCTCGAGTGCGAGTAGCTGCAGCGAACCAAAGTCTTTGGTAAGCCTCGATGATCACTTGGACGTGATAGGTCCGTAGCATATGGATAATAAACGATTCCAACATCCTTGGTTTCCAGGAAGTCTGGAAATTCAAAGCTTTCAATTCAAATAGCAGTTGATCTGGGCTTCTTATCGGCTTCAATATTGCTATTTTCTTTTTCATGTTCTTGAGATCTTCGTTTCGATCATCAGCAACATGAGCAGTTCCAACACTATCGTCCCATATGGCCGCCGACTCGTGCCTGTAGTCATCGACGAAATTGCTCAAAACGACCCAGAGAGAGTCTTCGCGTCAATACCAAAGACTACCGATTTGAGCGAGGGCTACGTCGATGTCACATATGATGCCTTTTCCAGAGCAATTAATCGCGCCGCTACTTTTCTGGAAAGAACATTTGGCAGAAGTGGAAGCTTCGAAACTCTCGCCTACTTGGGTCCCTTTGATGTCAGATATTACATTCTAGCATGTGGTGCCTCCAAGGTTGGATATAAGGTTAGTGATTAGAGAAATTCTAAAGCACTTAGCTGACAGCATTGTCACTTGGAAAAGCTGCTTCTCCCGTCCCCTCGCAATAGCCTAGAAGGACAACTCAACCTCTTCAAATCCACAGAATGCGAAGCTCTCTTAACTTCTGAAGGTTACAACCTCTCCCCGCAGCTCATTTCCGAATCCGGACTCACCCCAATCTCAATTCCATCACTTGCCACCTTCCTTGCCAAAGGCGAAGTTCCGCACTATCCATTCATCAAGACTTACGAGGAAGCAAAGAACGATCTATTTATTGTGCTTCACACTTCTGGATCAACTGGTTTTCCTAAACCGATAGTCCTCAAGCACGGATGGCCGAGTGCCATGGATGCGTTCAATGAGCTAGAGCCTATTGATGGGTATGAGCATTTGTGGTTGAAGTTAAGGAATAGGAGGACTTTTGTTGGACTTCCGCCTTTTCATGTAAGAAATGAAGTGGTGTCCTAGAGTCTGTGAAAGTTCGCTCATGTGATTACAGGCTGCTGGGGTTATTACTGCTTTGCTGGCACCACTTTGGTATCTTTATTCCTATGATACATCAGTACCTTCAGTTGGGCCTCGACTCGTCGCTAATCCTGTTGACAGGTTCAACATGATTACTGTTTGGCAGCCATCAAATCGACCTCTCAGCGCTGTACTTGTAGATGAAGTTCTCGATGCATCCAATGCTGATATGATCTACCTTGCGCCATCAATCATCGAAGATATGGTGCAATCGCCAGCCTCGTTGCAAAGACTGGAACGTCTTGCTGTGATTGGCTATGGTGGAGGTAAACTTCTGTATCCTCAAAGCTCACCAATGTCTTTACTGATAAAATTATAGCTCCCTTGGACCCTCGAGTTGGAGACTTGCTGTCGAAAAAGACCAAAATCGTCAACACGAACGGCTCAACCGAGATGGGCCCATTGTCATATTGGGATAAAGCACCAGAGGACTGGGCATACTTCCATTACAACCCCGCTGACAAAGGTGTCGAGTTTCGTCCCGTGGGCGATGGCGCTTATGAACAGGTCTTCGTTCGCCATCCATCAACCGACCGATATCACTCCGCTTGGTGGACATTTCCGCGTCTCGAGGAATACTCTATGAATGACCTCTACACTCCACATCCAACGAAAGCTAACCTTTGGCTCTATGCTGGAAGAGCAGATGATGTGATTGTACTAAGCAATGGGGAGAAGTTGAATCCGACTAATATGGAAGTTACACTTCGTCAACATCCGAGCGTGAAAGGCGCTTTGGTAGTCGGTCAATCAAGGTTTGCACCTGCTGCTATTATGGAATTGAAAGGTGATGTGGCGAGAACTCTCACTGGTCCGCAAGATAAGGCAACCTTTCTCGAAGATGAGATTTGGCCATTGGTAGTCAAGGCAAATGAAGCTGCACCAGCCCATGCACGGCTGAGTCTTGATAGGCTTATCTTCAGTAATGCTGAGAAACCATTTGCGAGAGCTGGGAAAGAGACAGTGCAGAGGGGTGCTACGGTCAAGCTTTATGCTGACGAGATCGAGGAAATCTACACGAGGAGTGAAGAGAGTCAAGATGGGGCTCATTTGCCGAAGATCAACGTCGGTGAAGACTCGAATATTCTGGAAGTTGAACTTGGAAAATTGATTCAAGGTGTTACAAAAGTCACGAATTTGGAGCGGGAGCAAGATTTCTTTACTACGGGGATAGATTCCTTGCATGTTATGACGGTAGTGAGGTTGCTGAAGAAGACACTGGTAGGTATACCGCACGAGGAAATCAGCTCGCGCCTTATGTACAGCCACCCGAGTCTATCTAGGCTTGCTGCGGCTTTAAAGATCATGGCTGAGGATGATGAAATTGCAAATGGAGATCGGGACGGTTCTCGAGAAGCATATATGCAACTGATCCTTGCCGAATTCAGCTCGCAACTCCCAAAAATATCACCCAAACTACCAGAGACATCTCAGAACCTGGTTGTTCTACTCACAGGGAGTACGGGCTCACTTGGTTCATATTTGTTACATAGCTTTCTTGCATTTTTCGGAGTACTGAAAGTTTACTGTTTGAATCGGAGTGCGGATGCCGAGGATCGACAAATGAAGGAGAATGCCAAGAAAGGCCTCTCCTTTGGGTGGGAAGATCGAGTAGAGTTCTTGTATGCTGATATTAGCAAGCCAATTTTGGGACTCGGTGAGCATGTCTACAATAATCTAAAAAGAGAGGTTTCTGTTGTGATCCGTAAGTGCCCGTGTCGTCTTCTTTTCATGATGGCTGACAATAGACAGATAACCAATGGCCAGTCGACTTCAACCTTTCCCTCACTTCTTTTATACCTCATTTACAAGGAGTCTCGAACTTGATCGCTTTCTCCTCCCGATCCCCTCGTTCACCACCAATATTCTTCACCTCAAGCATCGGGACTCTTGGGCATTGGAACCAAATCAACCCCTCCTCTCCCCTGGTTCCCGAAATTGCACTCAAAGACCCAAGAATACCACTCCATCAAGGCTACAGCGAGAGCAAATGGATAGCTGAAAACCTCCTGGATGCCGCGCGCCTGAAATCAGGAGTCAGTTCTGCGATCTTGAGAATAGGACAAATTACTGGTCCTGTAAATGTTGGGAAGAAAGGTGTTTGGAATAGGAATGAGTGGTTTCCAAGTTTGGTGGCTAGTAGTAAGTATCTTGGGATGTTGCCTGATGGATTGCCGGGTCAGGAGGATGTCGGGTGGGTTCCTGTTGATATAGTAGCTGAGATTGTGGTGGAGTTGGTGGTGGGGGATTGTATTGGAGGGGAATCGAGGCCGTGGACGAGATATTATCACGTTTGCAATGCGAAGGAGGGAAATTGGGGTGACCTGGTGGGTGTCGTGAAGGAGCATTTGGAAAGAAAGCATAGGGAAAACATTGAGGTGGTGGCTTTCAAGGAGTGGCTCAGGCGGCTGGAAGATAGCGCGGAGGGAGAGAATATCGACATTGAGAAGAATCCAGGGGTGAAGTTGTTGGACTTTTATAATGCGATGAGGCATGATGAGAGTGGAAATGTCATTATGGATGTTAGTGAGACAGAGAGAAGGAGTGAGAAGATAAGAGAGCTGAAGCCTGTGAGTGCGGAGTGGGTGAGTTTGTGGATGGAGCAGTGGGACTTTTAACCAAGACTCCTGGGCGTGGGACATGTTACTGAGTGTCCTTGAGAAAAAAGTTACACTTTGATAAGGAGTCCTTCAACAAAGATCAAGCAATGATGTGTTGCTCAGCCACATAGTGATTTCGCATTGGCTCGATTACAGTACTGTAAGCGCCCAGTCAACCTCTGAATTCGAAAAGTGAGGCTGTCTAAAGAATGCCTCGGCGTGATCGACGTCTTGCACAGCCGGCCTCAAAAGCAAAATCAGTGCATCGCCTCAATTGGATTTTATCAAGTGCGAAAATTCCTTCGAAGAAATGTTACCTGCATGCAGACATACTATGACTACTTAGTTTCAAAATCAGAGAACAGAGAAAATAGCAAAATGACGACCATAGCACAATGTACACAATCTTCGCCAGACAGACCAGTAGAGTTTGTGATAGTGAGAAAAGATTCGGAGTCTGAATCCTTTGAATGTCCAAATAGAGGTAGTCATTTCCCGACATCATGGTATGTTGATCAGTACCTGATGTTTCAAACAGATGAAATCTATAGCAGCTATATTTCAACAGAAAAGGAGTGTTATTATGCGCCTGTTGAAAATGTTCTCGCCATCCGAAGCAATAAAGATATAGAAGCTATAGAAGAATTATTTCCACTCGACAGCAACGAATCATCTGATTACATAGATCGAAATGGGAAGAACTCCGGCTTTGCTCCAGCTGATTCCTCTTCGCAAAGAGGATCGGAGACATGTGTGCGGCCCGTTGAAATACGGGCACAGTCACATCGCATGAGGAATATCAAGCTTTCTAAGCTAAATCGGGAGGAAGTTTCGACTGGCCTGAGATCGAGAAGGCGAAAAGACACGATTTTGGCAAGAGCTCGATCGTCAATAAAGCCTCGCAACATACCAAATGCCAGCTCTGTCAAGTCAGGCAGTCCCGCTCCGCAAGCAAAATATGATAGTATACAGCTCCATCCATATGATGTCCTTGGGGTGCCAAAGGATGCTAGGATCGATGAGATAAGAGTTGCGCACCGAGAGCTTGTGCTCAAATGTCATCCTGACAAACTCCAAGACCAGTCCTCAAAGGTGTTGAAACAGAAAGAATTTGATGAGATTCAAAAGGCCTATGAGATTCTTAGCGACCCTGTGCGGCGGGCAGAGTTTGACGAGAGGATTCTGAAGGAAGTAGCAACAAAAGAAAGGCCACAGGGGGTTTCTTCCAGAATTCTCAACTCTCGACCATCTAGGTCGTCTCAAGCGAGTATGAAAACAAAGTCGAATTCATCTCAGATCAAGAGTTGGACCAGTACAAGATTCGAGAGAAGAGCAAACTCCTTGATCGACAATACTAGCTATAGTCCCTTGAACAGATTGACCAAAGTCGACGACTCTGTCAGAAGCATCTCATCAAGTCGGCTTCAACCAGATCTATTCAAAAGTTCGTTCATCGAAGGACATTGGACAGGCCTCACCCAGTACTTAGATCTAGCCCTAAGAATCGTTTATTTGGCAGAACCTAGGCGTTTTTTATCCACGGATAGTACTGCTGCTGACCATCGCTCTGCAAAAGATCCTGCTGATACGAAGAGTCGAATATACGTCGAGAGTCCCTATGGAATATTTCAAGATACTCTGGAAGGACAAAACGAAGATAATTCGCTCATTCGGCGAGAAAACTTCAGGCTAAGAGTCAGTAACCAGGAGGTACTCTTATCGAAACCAAGAAAGGTCAATCACACATCTTTGAAAGCCATAAAGGAAAATGAAAGATCGCTGAAGGTCAGAAGACGTCACAGTACAAGTGGGCTCGTCAGGGAAGAAGAGCCCAAGGAGGAGTATGAACTGGTATGGGACAAGGATTATTTGACGGTTGAAAATCCGAGTGAAAAAGGCGGTACGAAAGATGCTCTCGATCTTTCTAAAGCTGAGAGACAGAGATCGAATACAGTTCGTGGAAAGGCGCCCACAGATAGATTGGCAGCAATTCTTCGCTTGGAAGGAATCGAAATAAGTCCTAAGGAGCAGGATAAACCATCTCAGGACAACACGACCGGAAACTTCGCTACGTCTCTGGGCACGAGCGGAAGCAGCATGCCTCCTCAGCTACATTTCATTGACCATGTTAGACGACTGGCGCTAGAGCTTGGGATAGCATTGGAGGCGCGAGTGTTGGGTAGTACTTATGTATCTAATCGAGCGAGGCCCGCAATGGGGAAGACGAGAATAAAATGGAGCTGTGTAAGTCTAAATACCGAAGTAGTATAGATATTAACAGTGATCAGCGTTGTGGGCACGAGATTTGTGATGATTTCGTGGAATTGAGGCAAGGTGCGGCAGAACAGTATCGACAAGAGAGACAATCGAAAGCAGATCATTCCAAGCTTCAAAATGAAGAGCAAAGAATGTTGCATGATCAGACTGGCGACAGTCTGTTTTGGCCCTCGTGGCCCACAATGTACCAGTTTGTGTTCCTCGGAGGAAGGTACACTCTTGTATGGTATCCATGGCAAATGAAAATGTCCATGCTCTGCATCTTAGGTATCATCGTCATCGAATGGGCAAGGTGGCTATGGTGTAAATGGTCGAGCGGCCCCGGATGCGTTCGATACATGGATAAGAAGATGGTAGAAACTTGGACAGCAATCTTCTGTGCTACATTCTTCGGAATTCATTTCGTGGTCAGATACTTAGACTCTGGTGGCACATACAGCGCAAAGGTCGCAAACTTTCTTGGGAATGGAATACGCTACTATCGCAGACTGCTACACCTTGACGCTAAATCAAGAGCTGAAAGAGATCTCGGACTCCACCAAAATGAATCTCGCTCGGATACCTCGGACCAGCACTTTCCGCAAGCAGTTCACAATGCGCCACTGCCGTCTGAGCTATTGTTTCTGCTCCTGTACCACAGCGAAGGACGATACGCTACCCGGCTCTTGCAGCTCGACCTTGTGAAGCTTCACGCTACGTCGGACAAAGCCCTTTTCAACATATTGCGTGGGAACTACAAGTCAGTACGAGGTAGATGGTGGTCCTGGTGCTCTCTTCGAACACTTTCCTGGATCAAGTTTGTGCATTTCGAAATGTATAGAAGCGAATTGGTCGATGTACGGAAAGTCGATGATGTACCACCGCCAGACCATGTAGAATACAGGTACTTGCCTGCTCCTCCCGATCTGATTCTGCCAATAGGGGACAAACATATGATGCATCTATTCCAACATCCTGAGTGCGCCGAAGAAGAAGCATTATGCGTCTCTCGTTTCCCAAAGAAGTTGAAAGAGAAGCTAAAATGTAATGGCGGGGTAAATCCGGGGTGGGGCTTGCATTTTGTTGAAGGGTGGGACTGGAGAAAGATTTGGATACTCTCTTTTGTTTTCTTCGGATTGGGGAGTTTGATGATTGGGATATTGTGGGCAAGTTTTGGGCATAGTATTCAGGATGCGTTTGCAATTGCAGCGTACATGATTGGATTGGGAACAGTGACGGTGGGAACGTTGCAAGCTGCTCTCTTGATGTAGTGTCGTGCTGAACTCTTGGAACAACGGCATATTTTATGACTGTTATGCAGAGTATTGTATGGGACGGAGCACGGTCATGCGATGCTAGAGGGGAAAAGCAATCTGGCTGAGATATAATGGCGATGACTCAAGAAATCTCAGATGGGTTCAATGCGGTAGCACTACTGAGTATTCAACATCGGTAGCATGTAACATGGAGCAATAAATGACAAGGGAGACTGATTTAGACAAGGTGGCCTACTAGAGACAACTCATTTGTCAAACAGAGTTTCTAAGAATTGGTTGGGAGGCGAAAGGGGGAGAAAAGACAGCATTTACAGCGAAGCGAGCAGAAAGGAGGTGCTGGCTGCTCCGTACTAACACCAACAGTCCGACACTTTCGATGTGCTTTTTGATGCCGGTACTTCGAAGGAATCTCGGAGGAGAAAATTTGTACAGAACCAATGTGGATTTGGTGGACGTTCCACTGAATTACGTCAGCAGCTAAGACATAGCAGCCGCTGCAGAACCAGGTCTAGGCCTATGGCCAGTCTAGTGAAGCTTTTCTCCTCTCATCTAGAACTTCAGCCACCGCATCGTTACGCTCTTCCACAGCCAGAGATTCGATACAGATTTCCTTCTGTCTCAGCGGTGCCGTCATAGTATTTCGGCCATGCTTCCTCGTGACTTCCAAGCTCGGCTAGTCTCGATATCAGCCTCAAGCCACATTAATTCAAGGCCCATGTCGCAGGAAAGCCTTCCCCAAGATATTATCCTCAGTCACACCGATACAATTCCGACCTTCTCTTGATCAATTGCCATGTCTCTAACATACCCTGGATATAGCAGAGAACTAATATCGTAAGCATAGGAGGAGACATCGCTGGCGAAGAGCTGGAGCTCACGAACCTCGAATACCAGCAGTACGCGCCATATACGTGGACATGGGGGATAACATGCGGCCCCAGTAACCCCGATACATACCCCGGATCTGCGAGTTGGTCTGCAGATTGAGGGTGCAAGGGCACAAGGAAGCGGAACCATGGCAATGAATGAAGAAGATGGAGCCTTGCGACAGTTGCAACCACATTGGAACCATGGAATGATAGCAGCATCCATTGCTATTTCTCTCCTAGGGGCATTCACCTCTACTCAATTGTACGTGGCTATCCACTTAGTCTGACCTATGTGGATGTGACCTAACATTCTTTAGGTTTTGTCAGGCGAGGGTATCAAATGGGTTCCAAGCTGTTTTCGTTTGGACTCTGCTTGGAAGTTTGACATTTGGATTTTGTTCAATATGGAGTCTCCATTTCGTTGCGATGTTGGCATATGAGCTGGATATACGAATTGGCATAAATGTTCCATTGACTATCCTGAGCTCTGTGCTGGCTGTAGTCTTTACTTTTGCAGCTCTGGCATCCGATATGCTGTTCGATACCTACTGGCGTGAACGACAGAAGAAGGCTAGGAAATCGAGGAAACGACGAACAACGAACGGCGCAAAACATCGGCAACGAGGGCGCGACTCGGGTGTTGAGATCAGACCGCTTTTAAGTCATGCAGAGGATGCTGATCAGTTTTTCCAAGACCAGGAAACTCCCGAATCGGCTCCCGCTGAGTTCCAGGTGGACGAGGTGACTGACGGCAATGTTTCAATAGAATACAACGACGAAGTCAACGATTACGTCTCACTGCGGAATGGGCTAGGGGATGATTCGACCAGGAAAATGTTCAATTTTCCGACGGTGGAGCCAATGCTGAACGATTCACTGCAAAATTCTCAGCCAGTGCAAGAGCCAATCATCCCAGAAAGTGCGGACAGTACTACTGGTCTCACAGATTCCGGCGAACCCTCTGTATCAGGCCGATCCTCCTCTTTGATGGGTTCCAGCTCCACCTCTACTTTTGGTATCAGCAGTATTATGAACATGGCCTATCGAAGCACAGCTCCAGCCAAGAATATTTTCTTAGTGACTGGAGAGACATTGTACAGAGGCTGCACTCGCAAGAACATCGGCAAAGGGTTTCTATGGTCAGTAGCAATAACCAGTATGCATTATGTTGGACTCGAGGCTCTCCGAATTCCAAGTGGGTACTGTGAGCTTAACTACACATTGGTCGTATTGTCTGCTGCAATAAGCTGGATTGTTTGTGTGGTAGGGTGCATCTTGATTTCACAAATGGAAACTCATCTCAAGCAACAATTCCTCTTCTCTATCACTGCGACCACTGGGGTTGCTTGTATGCATTTTACAGGTGAGCTTCAGGCAAATCCTTTGGAATAAATCGCTGAGTCTGTCTAGGAATGCAAGCAGCAACCTTCTGGTCCCGGTCACCACCAACAGAAGCCAGAGGTTACCCACCAGCCCTAGCTACTGCCATTGTCAGCATTGCTATTGCAACTTGCATTGCGGCCAATGGATTACTAGCTCATGCAGTGACTGTTTCTCGAAACAAATTGGCGGAGATTGTGTTGACACGAAAGAGACTGTGGAGGACGATTGCTCAGAAGGAAAATGCGGAAGCCGCTGCTGCTGCTAGAAGCGAGTTTATTGCATCGGCATCTCACGAGATCAGAACTCCTCTACATCATCTTCAGGGATACAGCGACCTGCTTTCGCAGACCGAGTTGACCGAAGAAGGCCGTTCTCTGCTTCATGCCATCCAAAGGGCTACCAAGACTTTGTCTTTGAGTGAGTTGACAACATTCCATCATGCTGCGTATATACTGACCAGAACAAAGTAACAAACAACGTCCTCGATTGGTCAAAGTTAGAAAGAGACTCCGAAACCATATGCCGTCCAGTAGCTCTAGACATCCGAACTGTCTGCGAAGCTATCCTTGTTCTGCTACCAAACAAAGACGACGAAGCAGAGGTGGAGTTGATAGTCGTCGTGGAACCAGATGTCCCCAAGTCAATCTTCCTAGATGAGACGTACATTCATCGAATCCTCATGAACTTGCTTTCGAATGCCTTGAAATTCACAAGATCAGGCTACATTCTGCTGCTGGTCGAGATCAAAGACGGCAATCTGGTTGCTACCGTGAAGGACACTGGGCCTGGAGTTCCACCATCTTTCTTGCCTCAGCTGTTTGAACCGTTCAAGCAGGCTCAGACCCGAGGATCTCAGATAGGCACAGGACTTGGTCTCAGTATTGTCAAACAATTACTGCATAACATGAATGGAACTATCAGCGTCGAAAGCAAGCACCCCGAGGCGGAGGAAGTTGAACTAGAACATACTGGCAGCACTTTCACGATTTCAATCCCAGTTCAATCTATCAGCACCACAAACGACTTAAACATCGGTATGCTTCCCAAAATTGCAATCATGTACAATGGGAATCGACGCTCGACCGAAGGCTTGCAACTTGCCTGGGAAAAGTTTGGATACGACGTGGTTATTGCAAATAATTTTGGAGACCTTTCCGACACTGACTGGACGTACATATGGGCAGACTTGACATTCTTGAAACGAAATCCCACGTGTCTACAAGATCTTTTGAAACAGAAGAAATGGCCAGTACTCGTCTCTTACGACACATTCAATACACTATCTCGGATCCCGGAACTCGCATCAGCGCCGCACTTTATTCCACTACCGAGACCGTTAATATGGCATTCTTTCTCACAACGCATCGCTGCAGCAAGCAAAGATCCAGGGAAACATGAGGTCGCTAGGATGGTAAGATTTGCTTCGAAAGTGGACCTCGTAAACGGAAACGGGGAATCACATACACAAAAGCCAACCGAGAAGAACCTCCTGGTCTTACTGGTCGAAGATAACCCTGTATGTCAATCCACGTTCACTTCGCTCGCAATAAGCTGGCTAACGATATCAGATAAATCAAAAGCTGGGCCAGAAAATGCTGACAACCTTGGGGTACAAAGTCCAAATCGCAGACAATGGTCAGGAAGCAATCAACCAAATCCTCGGCAATGATCTCAAGATTGACATCATACTGATGGATCAATCCATGCCTCTCAAAGATGGCGTTACGGCAACGAAAGAGATTCGTGAACTGGAGGCAGCCGGAACTCTTTCGAAACGACATCCAATTATTGCTGTGACGGCTGTGGTCAGTTCGCAAGCTCAAGCACTGTTCAAAGCTGCGGGAGCAGACGACTTTCTTGCTAAGCCGCTGTCTTTAGCGAAACTTGAGCATACTTTAGCTGTGCACTTGCCTGGGAAATGGAGGTGAAGTAGAATGCGATATAGTGGTATAGAAGATATCGCTTGGTGTGGAACTCAACTGGCTCGTTCCGGGAGTCACACACTCACCGAAGAGACGCTCGTTCGAAAAGAATACGTCTGGGAGCAACTTGTTCACCCCGTCTCGATAACATGGTGGCATGAATATGAAGAGCGCCAACAGAAAGGCCGATTGGCAGTCGTTCAAATGCTTGATAGTGAATGAGCTATGTATCAAAAATGCGGAAAGTAGTGTATAGAGAATCTGATATAGTGTAAGTCTTGGGACAGCCTGGCTCCAAGTTGGGAGGAAGTTGTACGATTTGGATATTGCTCAGATGTATACCTATTTCGGAATTCCAGGGTAGTAGGATACGTTGAGACATCCCGGAACATGATATAATGCATGAAAGAATTGAGATCTCAAATATAGACCATGCCCATGTTCTTGAGGTCTGAATGTGTCAAAAAAGAGGAAGAGGATTAGCATTGGACGGAGAAGTGTGCATTGTCAGACAGTATGTACATCTAAGCTGTTCAGCCTTACTCAACATCTTTCATTCCCGATTCAAGATACTGAACCGTCCTCAAGGTCCAGCGTCCCTTGGCGCATCACCGTCTCGTGCAGCCCCAAGTATGACCAGGATAATTGTGTAAACAGGTCCAACAGAACTGTTTCCCACAAGGGCCTATCACGAAACATTAGTAAAGCCCCAACAAGTGCCGATCAAAACACCTACACGACATATGCTGGCAACCCCCGACCTTTGTGATATATCTCTTGCACCCAGGACATCTCTTCGCCAACCTCTTGATGATCTTCTCCGTCTTCTTATCTTCCTCTGTAGGATTCGTGATGATGTTCTCCCCGTACTGCTCGCACGTCTGTCCAACGTGCCACGGAACATTATGAAAAGAGCAAGAGCTGAACCCGCACGCGCTGCAAGTGGCGAGGGGCTGCTTGGTTGGATCGTCCGGATGCTCTTGGCCGAATGAACAGCCGGGTCCGAGACACCATCTGAAGTTTGGGATTTCACTTTCAAGGGCCTGGCGGGTGCTTAGATCGTCGTATCTGAGATAGATGTTAATGTTGTTCGGAAATTATCACGGGGAAATCACCTTCGAAATGTCTCGGGGGTTGCGAACTCGGCTATGTCTTTGTGTTCTAATCTGAGATTGCATATTGGACATCTGATATCGTTCCAGACGTTGCTTTCGAAGCTAGATGTGATGCTCCGCGCCAAACATTCTCTGCAGCAGTCTGTTGTTTCGTGGAAACAATTATCCGTGGGGTTTCTCGGTGGGAACTGCTCTGGTAATTTCTCATCTAAACAAACCTGACATTCGATGATCCTTGGTAGGGAAGTGATTGGACTCGCAACATTGGTTGACATCGCCTGACCGATATGTGCCATAGGAGGTGGAGAGATCTGAACCATGGCCTGAAAAGGAAGATGGGTGTTTGGCGGTGGTAGCAAAGGAGTGTTCGGTGCAGTTTGAAAGTATCCTCGGGGAACAGTCTGGAGCACTCGCTGTTCCAAAGGCGCCCGAACGTTGACTAATGGCAAACGCATAAGTTCCCGTTCTGCCCGAGCTATCCTGAACTCCCGTATCCATGTTGGCGGCCGGGTCAGGAGAATGAAGATTGCCTTGAAGGTATAGTACACCATCATCAAGGCAAGGATCAATGATGCGAGACATAAGGCTGCGAATGCAATAGCACATAGTCCGATGGCTACGCATATTATGATCGCAAATGGAATGCCAACAATTGTGATGCACATCCATTTCAGTATGATCGCAAGCGTGTGCCATGAGTGTATAAATCCATGCCACGCTGCTGTCATTTTGTCGTTGAGATTGTTGTTGCCTTTGGAGGCTGAAGCCCTTGGTGATAAACGAGGCCTATCCGAAGCCTTGCTGATTCACCTTCGATAACCAAGTCATAGAGAGATGCGACCTGAAGGGAGAGCAGGGGATTTAGAAAACGTTAAAGAGCGTGTAGTGACTGTATTCCTGCAGAGGTTACACAGAGACCGTGAATTGACATGCATATGAAGGAAGGTTGTCGAAAAGCTGACATGGAAGTGGAAGAGGTTGAAGAGGTTGAAGAGGTTGAAGAGGCTGAAAGTTTTCGCACGTGAGAAGACAGTCAATGCCCATTCATTCACCGAAAAAGAATATATGGCGTTATCATCGGGCGCAATTGAGCCACGACTGCCTCGCTCGCATGCAGCCACCGGAGAAACGTGCCAATTGAGAGAACGAGAGACACCGAAGCAATGTTTAAAGAATGAAACAATTCCAGATGCATCCACACAGCCAAGGAGCCAAAGTCTCTAGGACTTTGGATATATGCCATCCGAAGTCCTGCCTACGGATGGAAGACAGAGACTGGACGAAAGTTCCCTCAGCCCCTTGTGGTGGCATGAGAAGGCATCAAGCTTTCTTGCCCCATCCATCGTTTCTTGCCCTCATTAGGCAGAATCCCAAGGAGTTCCATTCAGGGACTGAGACTTCGCGAATCAACGCGCTGTACAACTTCCCGTACTTTGGGGCTGTGCCTCACTGCAGAATGAATGAAGCTCGAAAGCTCCACTGCCTCGAAGGCAGACAAGTGATGAATTGCCAAAGCAACACGAAAGTAACAAAGAATCATCTGGATAAGCAATGAGCAATTGAAACTTCAAAATAGACTTCTCATAGCAATGCAACACAAACAAAATAAATAAATAAAAGTTGGGAGGAAAGGAGAAAAGCAAGAATGCTCTTGATACTGCGACCGCCCATGTTTGCTGTTGGCCAATTTTCGCTTCTCTTGTCCCACTGGCGTCATCGTATACTTTTTCTCCGTCCAACCTCGAGTTGACCAAAACAATGTCCGACCCAACATCAACAACTTCATTTCTACCCCTCGATGTTCTGTTCAACAACCCTCTCTTTGCCGGTGGCATTGGCCTCGCAGGTCTAGGGGCCGCAGCGGCTCTTGCGCGACGATCTGCCATCAAGGGAGCCTCACTCATAAAGCGCCGTCTCTTGGCTGATGTCGAAATCAGCAAACAAGATGCTTCATACCCGTGGATCTTGGCATGGCTTGCTCTGCCTCGTCCACCAGGAGGCTTTGTTACGTCTAAACTGACTCGGATCCACCAGTTCTCCATGAAGACGATGGCTGGAGCAGTCCCGAATAAACCTAAACACACACAGTTCTTCCTCCAACCTGGCTATGGCAGACATATCATCCGCCACAACAATGCCTACATTTCGGTCAATCGCGAGAAGCAAAGCACGGCGAATCACACAACGGGGGAACCGCACGAGATTATTACCCTGACATCGTTGTATGCACAGCGACATATATTCGAGGATATCTTTGGAGAGGCACACCAATTGGCGATATCTGCACATGAAGGGAAGACAATGATGTTTGCCTCCCGAGGCATGGATTGGGAGCAGTTTGGTGACGCTCGAAAGAAGAGGCCTCTACAGTCTGTTATCTTAGATAAGGGAGTCAAGGAACGGATTGTGGGTGATGTGAAGGACTTCCTCCAACGGCAGAACTGGTACGTCGATCGAGGTATACCGTATCGGCGGGGCTATCTACTCTACGGTCCTCCAGGGAGCGGTAAAAGCTCTTTCATCCAAGCACTGGCTGGAGAATTGGACTTTGGAGTATCAATCATCAACTTGAGCGAGAGAGGGATTAATGACGATAAGCTGGCGTACCTTTTCACGAAAATACCTGCGAGGACGATTCTATTGCTAGAAGATGCAGATGCAGCATTTATAAACCGACGGAAGCCCGATGCGGAGGGATATTCAGGAGCTAATGTCACATTTTCTGGACTTCTGAACGCATTAGATGGTGTTGCGGCTGGAGAAGAACGAATAGCATTTTTAACGACGAATCACATCGACCGACTTGATGAGGCCTTGATCCGACCTGGTAGAGTGGATGTCACTGTCAGAATTGGAGAAACGACACGATACCAAGCTGCAGAGATGTGGAACAGGTTCTATGGGGACATTGACCACGATGGAAATGGAAGGAAGCGTTTCCTGGACAAGCTTGTGGAGCTTGATCTTATTCCAAACGAATCTGGCGTTGTCAAGCCCAAGTTACATACAAGTGCGGCGGCCATCCAAGGACTGTTCTTGTTTAATAAGGACAATATGGAGGGGGCCATAGAGATGGCTGAGGGATTGATACCAAGAATATACGAACCGGAACCACAAAAGGGCATCAAGGTGTCCGCTTGAGCTTTGCAAGGACATCCATGGAACTGTACGATACGATACGCTGGTTAAGACTACAGCAAAGATGGCTTGTATATATGGGATGGGAATACCACTGTACATTTAGACATGTACACATCTGAATGCGACTTACTGTTCATCTCTTCCAGCAGCGTGAATTCTTTTCAGGATGACTCTATATCAAATCCAATAGCGCAGGTTTGTTGCTACCCATTTTGTCACAGAGGGCACAGATGAATGTGGTGAGAATTGCATTGAGACAAAACAACGATACTTATACATGCCATTCATCACATACATCCGAACATTACTTATACACACTATCCTTCTTCCTCAAGCAACCCACTTACTGGGCACCAGAGCTAGTGCCATCCTCTGGTCCAGGAAGACCCTCCTCATCACCCGGCTCACGATACCCTCCACTGGGCTTAGCACCACGAGTCCTCCCATCCACAATATTACTCTGATCAATAGCCTCATTATCATCTCTCGCTAAAACGCACCATTAGCATTCCTCCCGTAAATCATCATGAAGGGACGAGAAACATACCCAGCTGCTCATCACTATCAGCAGTGTTAGGATCAATCGGATCCTCAACACTGGCTCCGTCGCTCTGCACGGGGATAGGACCGCCCTTCTGTCCCTGGCGGGAGACGTAGTCGTTGTCTTGGGCGTCGCCGGCTGGGGCATCGCCGGAGACTTGATCGTTCATTTGTTCGTATTGGTCGTCTGCTGACATTTTGGCTGATTGTTTTTCTTGAAGAATGTGGAGTTCTTGCGGTTGTAGTGCTGTGAATAGTGCTTGCAAAGAGGAAATGGTTCCCCTTCTTGTACCTCGCGGTCCCAGACTTTCAGAGATTAGAAGAAGGATGTTGACATCATGACTTCTCCTTCTATCTCGCGCCGGTCTTATTGTTCCTGCGTTAATTCTTACTTTTCCATACTGTTGTAAGAAGTCAATGACGGGTCTTCAGCCTCGTCAAAACGTCAATACTCGACACTAGGCTTAGTGTCGAGCTTAGTCGAGGAATGGGATTGAGGCTTATCTTAGTGCAGGACTAGACTTGGGGTTTCGAATCGAGATTGGATTCGTATTCGTGTTGTGAGATGTGCAACATAGGGGCAAAGTGATCGAGGGACCTGGAAAGTTGGAGATCATGACTATCATGTCATTGGGTCTTGACGTTGATGATTTTTGGTGCTTCCTGGGCATCAACTGGGTAGATCCTTAATTGGGCGTGAAAGGGTAAACTGTACCATCAACCGGTTAGTCTCTAGGCGTCGATTGTTGCCGCCAATGGTATTCAGGAACCAGGGATATCAATCGATAGACAGAAGAGAGTAGCCAGACAGTGATTCATGAAGTCATATTTCATCCTTGATATCGTGCATTTCCCACGTTACCTATTGGGTCCCATCAAAGCTTTACGTCTGAAAGCCTCGCTCTTGTAGGCATCAACCCAAAAGTCGTCCAAAACTCCCTCGTATCATAGCATCTCCCCAATTGATCCATCGATCTCGGCAAGGCTTTTACGTTTTCCTCTTCCATGAGTTCTCCAACCCATTTGAGTTGTGTTTTGGCTCTTTCGTCGTTTCCTTTCTGAGAATCGATTTCACCGCCGAAACCAAGAATCAGTTGCCACCAGTCATAAACATTGAGATCTGTGAGCATCTGGGATTTTGTCAACTAGTGAGAAGCGGAGACGAAGTGGTGAGGACTTACCCATCTTTGTCCTTTCGCTGCTGACCACTTTTGATGAACTGCTACGATGGCCCTAGCGACGTCTTCTCCGTGGATCATGTGCAAAGACCTAACATTACATTAGCAGCCTTACAGATCCCAGGGAAGGTTCTCAACTCACTTCTTAGACTTAAGTTGCTCCTTCGAAGCAGCAACCCTATCAACCCAATGCCAAACCTGCCTCTCCCCACCCCACAACCCCGAAAGATCCAACGCACACCCACCCTTCCCCATCAACCAATCCTCGGCCTCCGCCCTCCCATCCTTAACATCATACTTCGAATGCCTCGTAACCCACTTGTCCTGTCCCTCGATACTCCAAATCCCCGTACTACCCAGCAGAATAACCCTATACCTCTCCCTCTCATGTGTCTCGCGATAACACTTCATAAAATACTCCATAGCCGCTTTCCCCCGGATCGGAAAAGTAATCAGAAGCGCCTCAGCGGTGGGCAAAACGCGGTATTGCTCCAGATCATCATTATCTGTGGGCAGCCCCTCACGTGCAGGATCGTAATTGAACTTGAATTTGTAAGATCCATCTCGACCTGTGGTTGTTGTGCCCGCGTGTTCGATTTTGGCTTTCTGGAGTAGGGGGACTAGGAAGGTGGAGGTCCATCCGAGGCCGAATATGAGCATGGAGACCTCTTTGGAGTTCATGTTTGTGATGCCGTAGTCACCCTGGGTTGAGGTTAGTGTGTTGATTTAATGAGCAGAGCGGGGAACGTACCATTGGAATTGTTTTGGTGTCAGTTGCCAATTCTGACTTTGCGAATTGAATCAATTGAGTATTATTGCTTCAATTGGAAGAGATGGAAGATGATGAGCTCATGATGTACTGTACCTGGCACGTGATGGCGAGCTCGCTATTGTACTAATCCGCTTTTGGACTGGCCATGAACTTTCATCGACCCTTTTGCTTTCTTCAGGGGAAAAACTTCACAGGCAGAAGATGCATGTCTCTTCTCATCATTGGCAACAGCACACTCCGAATTCTCCCTATATTCACAGTCGTACAGTTCATGGGAGTGAGACATGGAGGTAGAACACTCCGAGCTTATGTCTCAGCCTTGAGATCTGGCAGTTGGGTTATTGGGAGTTCCAATTGATTCTTGTCAACAATGCTGCTCAGAAATGTAAATTTGAGTTGTCGTACGGCGAGAGTACCACTGTCCCCTTTTGAGCTAGAAATCACACCCCTTTCTTCATTCCTCTTCTTCTCAAAAAGATGACGTTCCCTCGAGAATGTCCATTGCTTGTTTACTACCTGCCTTCGTGGTGATAATTTCGCTGCATATTGCATCTCGACTCATAGTGATTGCAGCACAGCCACCAACAATTGTCTGTCACGATGAGTCTTCGTTATCGTCTGCTGCAGAAATGGCCTCGCTGTGGCTTGAACCCCGCCAATCTAGCCCCTGTTCACCCGCTTCCTTCCTCGCCCAAGACCGGGACTTTGCAAAGGTGTAACATCAGTACCCTGAGCCTCAAAAGGCCAAAAGGGAAGATAAATACGACACGAAAGACGGCTGGAGATTCAACTTTGCTATCAACATTATCTTCTTCTACTGAAGCCTCGCAAGGTCTTCGAATTCGTTCCTTCTCCACCTCTTTACGTCAAAGAATGGTTGAAGATTTCCTCAAGGATCTCGAACAAGCACAGAAAGAGCCTCCGTCATTCTATCTCGATCAATACAAACAAGCAACACCAATTCTCATGCCACCTCCAGGTCAAATAGACACAATGGACGCAACCACCCAACCATACAAAATGCCAGCGGGATGTCACGTTATCCCACCTCATCTCGTCGACTCCCGCACCGATGCAGAAATTCAGCAAGATCTCGCAACATTCAAACCTGTCACATCCACCAAGAACTTTTGGGGCTTCTACGGCACAGGCTTCGAAGAAATGCCCCCTCACTACCGACGCAACGTTGAGACCTGGGTTCGAAGGACGTCTCGACAGGGCTGGACTGTTCGAATACTCAACCAAGTCAAAGATCACCCTTTGAACGTGGAGAAGTTTCTTGATACTAAAGACCCCGACACGGTCCCCAAAGCATTCATCGACCAGAAAGTTGGAGGAGATTTCTCACCTCAGCACGTGTCCGATCTCGTTCGATTTCCTCTGCTCCTCAAATATGGTGGCATATACGCAGATGTGGGATGTATGTTGATCGGCGACTTGGACCGTTTATGGAACTCCACAGTCGGAGATCCAAACTCGAAATACGAGATTCTCACCTTCAACACTGGAGATCCCACTCATCGCAGCTTGACCAATTACTTCATGGGCTCATTACCTAACAATCCATATTTTGAACGCTCCCACAAACTACTAGTTCAAGGACTCTGGAACGCAGATGGAGGCAAGACAAGCACAAAAGGAATGCACAAAAACCCCTTACTAAAAGGCCTCCCCTTAATGGGCGACGACACAAATATGACCATCAAAGACAAGGACGGGAACGTAACCCACGGCCCACAGGAAGTAAGTGAGATGTTAACAGACTACATCATCCAAGGCCAAGCCATGGGCCAAGTCGCCGGCCTCATCGACCACGAAACCGGCTGGAATGGCCCCGAGTACTGGGCCCAGCACGTGTACGGCATCGATTACTTGCAATACTCGCAATTGATGAACGTCTACACGCAATGGAACGGCCAGCGAGCTTTCGATTTGATGTCCCTACATCTTCCCGCAGAAGGTGAACAGGAAACGCCGGATCAGAAAGAAGCTAGGACGATAGTGGAGCATCATCTGAGTAATAGTACGATCGTGAAGCTGGCGCAGGGCATTATTGTGAAGGTGATGGGTGATACGTTGGGATCGCTTTGGCAGAAGAATCCGGGGGCGGATAATGTGGAGGGAACGTATGCGCATTGGTTGAGGTATGGGATGTTGCATTGGAATCAGGAATCGATCCCACCGACGCAGTTGTTTCAGGTTGAGCCAGCCACGAAGGTAGGACCTTTGCTGAGGGATGAGTAGACGGTTAGAGTGGCTGAAGAAGACTTGTATTGTATGATAGACTCTCCGCTTTGATTTAGACTATGGAATTGTTTCCGAGTTGGGACAATCGATTTGTGTGTTGTTTTCGGAGAGAGGTCTCTGAGTAGGCTCCCATTTCAATCAATTTTGTCTCGAAGTCAGCTGGACACTTCATCTGCTTTTCACCGTTGGCCATCTAGCATCTGAACAGCAACGACGCACAGTACCGTACTCTTCTGTGGCTTCCGCAGCATTCTCTTCCCGCTCGTCAACCAGAAGGGTTCAACAACACTTTGCCAAAGCTGATGCACTGACAGGTGGTTCGCTGAAACAGAAGAGGTGCTGATTGTCCAACTTTCAAATCAGACTTTGAGGCATGAGTACGGAGCAGAGAAAAAGTAGCCTCTTCATCAGAAGAGAGTGTAGGGCGATAAAAACTTGTTCCCGCAGCTTTGGCTGCTCTCTCAGCGTGGAAAGCAGTAGCGCGGTCTTCAGACCGGCCAGTTGGCGAAAGGCTTGATGGGAACGCTGATACTGACGGACAAAAGTTGTTGAACATATGTGAATTCGAAATCTTGTACGTCAAGATGACTTTCCCGGACAAGTCAAGGTTCCCGTTGTCTGGAGTAGAATCTTGACGTCGGGGTAGTGAACTAGTGGGCCATGACTACGTACTTCCTTCAAGGTCCAATGTCCAACTCCGGAATCCGACATTGGGATCGTTCAAGTATGGAGTAGAGGGAAAGACAACGTCCCCATTGTCCAAAGTTGAATCCTGACTTTAGGAGTAGTGAAGTAGTGACCGATGGATGAGTACTTCCTTCAAACACCAATGTCTAACTCTGAAACCCCACTTTGTCAATGTTGAAGTATGGAATAGGGGACAGTTACTATAGTTCGCCGAAGTCTCCGTTATAAGGAAGCAAAGAACGAATACGTACTTTGAACTTGGTGAAATGAGGATCAGAGAGCGGATACTTTACTCCCCAGTTTTCCATATATAATCAACTTCATGAGATTAGTGAAGTGAGGAGCAGAGAAGATGACGACACCGGACTTTCTATAGGGACTTATTTCTTTTCTGCACAAGCACATGCCTGAATACCAAGACTCTAAGCGTGATTGGGAGGTACCAGACAAAGGCGATATCTCTGCTCAGCTGGCGATCCCCTGCCGCGGCGAACCCAAGATGGGACTTAGTCACTTGCAGAACAAATCTGCCATGCAATCGAGACTAAGGTCAACACTTCAAGTCTTCACCTTTGGTCTTGTCAAGATGAGCTTCTCGACGCCAAAATGCGATGTGCAACAAAACCTCTCGTCATTGAGAAGTGGAAATTTCCAATAGGGCCAGTAAGGAAGCAGTTCCTCCACGCTCAGATAGAATGTTGAGACGATAATACTCGGAGGAGTCGAATCTAGTGAACCCCAAAGAAAGGTTGCTTGTGATCTGCCCCGCCTCAGTATCATGTCTAGCACTGGCATGGAGATGATGGACCAAGCTTTTTTCTGTTTCAAAGTAATTGTATGGAACAATTTCTTGGACTTGAAAGACCGATAAAGAGCATAGAAAGATTGGAATACCTCTGCAGGTGAGAGGAGAATAGGATTCAAGCTCGAAAGGTCAACACATCGCCGTTGCTGCCAACGTCATCTATTATCTTTCGGCCCCCACCGTGAGTATAGTTCACTTCGTGCAAACTCAGATATGTTGACAAGCTGCGGACCTGCTCGAGCCTGGTACGGGTGTCCTCGTAGCCAAGCCCGTCCGGAAAAGCGAAAACCCCGTTCGTGGTATGATCATCCACTTCGAATCACCGTACCGGTACTCGTCTTGCGAAAACAAGGAATTCTGAGCAAGAATCGTATCTGTGGAAGCCTGAGTTGGACGTCGAAGTCTTCGGTATTAAGGAAGGTTCTGACTGATAACATCAGCTGTTGGTTCGATTCATGGAGTGGGATGCCTATTTGCACCGGGCGATAAGCACTGTAAGTCGTTGATCGCACTTCTTTGAGTTGAGGTGAAGGAGGCATTCGATTGGAGTGGCTTTCATTGAATCTCAAGGCTGGATTGGGGGAATTCCATAGATGTGACCTACAACTGGATCTTGGGAGAAGGTATTAAGCATGGTGGCTCGAGACTATTTCATGTTTGTGTACACGACACAAACACGGGAGTAGGATGGGACCTGAAATTTCCCTCATCCTGAAGACCTTGGCAAGACTTCCATGGATATTCGGCGGGACCAATTCTGACTAGTGTGGAAACCTGCGTAAGCTGAAAAAGCTTTTCCTGAGAAGGTGGAGCAAGAGGAAGGAGATATGAAGTGAGACGCAGAAAAAGTGTAACGTAGCTGTACAACAGAGGCGATACGTAGACGCAGAGCTAGCGGGTGTGGCTGAATGGGGTAAATGCTCGCTTGGCCCTATGGCCCTACCACTCCACATCTCCTTTACCGTTCTGTTTTAAGAAGGATGGAGCGAGAGGAAGCAGCTAGGTACAGACACACAGCTAGTCATAAGATATGACCAAGCCTAAGTTCGAGGGCTGAGGTAACGGATCAATGCTGTCAGCATGTCAAAGACCTTGATGGACGATGTGTTATTGAAAGCGGCTGAGATAAAGTATTTGGAATTGTTGACTGCAACGCTACTACCTCCGAGAGATCAACGTGGAATGCCGCCCCGCCCCAGGTACGGCCACGGAGAGATTTGGGGCCGTGTACCCTAAATATAATATTCTTACCAGGGAAAAGCAAGTGAGCAAGCAGAAGCACAGAAGCTTGGAATATAAAACCTTCGTGAATGGTAAGTAGATGCACGGAGGTGATACAGCTCCTACATTTCGGGGGGGGGGAGAGAGCGAGATGCATTGCATGATATTGCATCGAGGACACCAGAAACATAGCAGGCAACGCAAGTTCGCTGAACCTTCAATGCAATGCTGAGTTCCGTAGCCGTTTTCGAAATATCAGACTATATATCAGCAATTGAATGTCTCCCGGTGACAGGAAGGATACGGGATACGGTATTGACCTTGATCTGCAAATGACTTCAAATGCCCAGGTACAAGTTGAAAGATGCATATGATAGCGGCATGATGTTGTACCTTTGTCTCCGAAGCTTAAGCTTGCCCTGAAAGGCTGGGCTGACATATAATCTGCGACTCGCGCATATGAACCAATCAAGTACAACAGTCCTTCCCGTGGCATCCTGGACCGGTGACGAAAGGGGCAATCAAACCATTGCACGTGACCGGTATATGAAGGTTCTCATTTCAATGCTGCTTCAATGCTCCATCAACACCAAGAATGGGGACGGCCAAACGGCGGCCGTGGAAGTCGGCACTTTATGCTTTTCTCGTTTATAGAATATCAGGAACCACTGGATTGCCCCGAATCTGGGTTCCTGACGTCTTTACAATTCCTTTCGTGGTTTGTTCCTGTGGCTGAAGTTCAGGGCTTCGCTCTTGACTGCATGGGTCGGCAGCAAGGACGGGGACGCTACTGAACGAGCGGTGGTCTACCATCCCTACGAGCGGAGAGAAGCCCGCCGTGCCCGTTCATGTTTGAGGAGCGGTGGGAGCTGTAACGATGGTATCGATGCCGTCTGAATCATCACCGACCATCAACCACCAATGATGGGGACTACCGCACGGATTCAGCCTGTCTTTCTCCTGGAAACGAGGGTTTGACGCCGCAAAGCGACATATTCTAGATGCGCAGCGCTTGTTCTTTCCTGCAGCATCACGTCAAAGTCGGGGTTCTGATTCGCATAAATATACGACCATCTCAGGTTGCTTCGTGGGGGCCGTGCCTACCGGTCGAATCTCCAGCAATGCCCAGCTACGGCCCTGCGATTGTGCCACCGGTAGGCTTGAACGTTCTTGATATTCCCCGGAGCCATGCAGCAGGGTCCGTCCGGCCGCTGTTCATTCATCCCAGGCCTGATGGTATGGGATGTCAGAATAGTTCAGGAATTGGAATTTTGATGGATCCTAGCCAAGATGGTGCTAAAATACTCCTCTAACTGGCTCTTGAGAGGCTGCGGTACGATATAGCCAATGGAGCCGCAGATCGCCATCTAGGGATGGATATAGCCCTATACCCCGTAGGGCGTTAGAGCTTCGATGGGAATGGGAATGGGCTGGGTGAGTAATCCTAACCCCAATTTGAAGCGAGGCTTGTTGAAGCTTGGCATTGATGGGAAGCCCCAGCTTAACAACTCGCGTTCGGTTTTCCTGACAGCCCCTGTCAACGCAGGCTGATCAATTATAGTACGCTCGAATCGGATTTATATCTTTGCAGCAGCAATGAAGACCGTCGAGATTTTTGCTTTTTCATTGTTCGACCGCTCTGCTGCATCAAGACTTCTTGATTTGAATTTAGGAGATAGGGAGACTTCCTGTTTTGTCTTTCGCCGAACGCAGAACAATGCCTGACAGCACGGATACGGATACAAGGGAGGCAACAGAGGTAGCCGAAGTAAATGCAAAGAAAATTCGGGGGCGAAGAAGTACAAAAAGGAGTCGGACAGGGTGTCTTACCTGCAAGTATGTTTGTTATAGGCTCTTCGCCGAAATTTTCCAGCTAACATAGACAACAACAGATTCAGAAAAGTCAAATGTGACGAGAAAAAGCCAGAATGCGATCGATGCATAACTTTTGGCATTGGCTGTGACGGCTATGAAAAGCCAAAGCACAAATTCAAGTCGTCCACGCAACCTCTTCTCCCATCCCACCCCACTCACTACAAACTCCTTCCCGCACCTTCAGGGACGTTGCAGTTCGAGAGTGAGCTGGAGGAGAGTTATTTCAACATTTTCCAAAACGAAACTGCTTCGGAGATCTCAGGCACCTTTCCTAATGCCTTTTGGGATCGAGTAGTCTTACAAGCTTGCCACGAAGAAAGATTTGTGCTTCGTGCTGTCACCGCCTTGAGCGCTTTCAACACTTATTTGAAATTAGCTCGAGATCCGGACCAGAGCCATTACAGTCGAAGCTTACTCTCACAGCATACGGACTTTGCTTTAGCACAATACCAAAATGCTTTACAAACGATGCGGGGTTCCTTAAGCTTAGGCCGAAATCCACGGAAGGCTTTGATCGCGTGTCTCTTGGTTTGCGCTTTCGAAGGGCTTGTGGGAAATACACTGACAGCCCTTGCTCATGCTCGAAGTGGGCAAAAGCTCCTCGAAGAATGGCTAGGGGAGTATGAACAATCCAAAAGCTATGTTGCTGGGATCTCGTCGCCGGCGCCACACATCGTGGAAGATCAACTTATCCAGGCGGCCGGCTTCTTCGAAACGCAGATTATAGGTTTCTTTGACCACCGGCCAGTGGAGACGCATGCAATCATGAAGACAGAAGGTTCAGAAACAATAAGGTTGATGCCAAGCACTTTTCGAGATCTCGAAGAGGCCCGTCGATACTGGGATTTAATGGCCAGGAGAATAATGCATTTCCTGTGTGAAATTTCTGCGAAAGGAAAGAATGTTTACAAACTCAGCCAACAAGGCCCAGACGACGACGATACCGTCGACCTTGGGTCGGACTTGACACACCGAGCACATGGAACGCCACTCGACGTCCTCGCAGACTTCAAATCGGAGCAAATGCGATACAGTCAGGAAATTGCGCGGTGGCGATCGGCGTTCTCGGATCTGTACTCGAAGATCAAGCGGTCGTCAAACAGACGCTTGATCACAGGAGCTCACACACTACATGTGAAAGCCCGAGGCCTCGATATCGGACTGGCTGGAGGAATGGACACTACTAACTGTGCCTTCGACAAACACTTCACGGAGTTCCGAGATATCGTGACGATATCGAGGGAGATCATTCGTGCCAAGAAAAGCTACTCGAAAGCGGAGTTTACTTTTGAATATGGGATCTTGCCGGCGCTGCATATCACAGCGAAGTGGTGTCGAGACCGCGTGGTTCGGCGAGAAGCCATCGAGATAATGGAGTGGTATGGAGCTCGAGAAGGCCACTGGGATAGTGTCGTGTTCGCAGATATCGACAGATGCTTGATGAACCTTGAAGAGGATGGGATTGAGGAGGACTTTGTGCCTGAACGTGCTAGAGTCAGGATTACCAGCTTGAAGGCGAACCAGGGTGGTCGGTGGGCGAGTATGGAGTATATCAGGGGTTCGAGGAGGACCGGCGAGGTGAGGGGTGAAGTGAGACTGGAGTGGGCAAGATATGTCGGGAACAGTCCTGCGACGCAGGTGCAAGTGAATGGCATGTTGCGTATACCAAGAGGGCAGCCTTCGACGTTGGAGTTGACGCATACATAAGAATATATGTCTCCATGAAAACGTGAAATTTTCCGTTCTCTCTTGAAACTTCCTTGCTGGAGAACAGAAACTTGCAAATGCATAAATCTTGAAACTCCAACAACACAAACAGCAACACGTAGCAGATGATTTGAAATTCTTTCTCTAACTTCAGTTTATAATTCGAGAGCCTCTCGCTAGCTCAGTATCCGGGTCGCGGAAAGCCTTCCGTCTTACACATAGTGAGCCGGAAGAAAGCAACCACGGATATATTACTCAAGATCTGCTGTACTGGTACGGGCGTAACAGAGCCATGTGAAATCATTTGTCAACTAAAAGAGGCGGTTCTAGTAAAGAAATAATGGATTGTCAGGAGTAAAAGCCTCCACGTGATGGACGCGCTAAGTGGGTCAAAGACCGTGCACCACGACGCGTCTCCCCGATATCTCCAAAGCCGTGAACTTGGACCATAAACAATTTCTTCAAAACCACCACAATTGTCAATTACAGTGCATTCGAGCCCCCGTACCAATGCCGCCAAAAAGAAAGGCACCCCTCGCAATGGCGGATGCCAATGCCCCTCCTGCAAAGAAGGCGACAAAGGGCAAGGCTGCTGCTGCTGCCAAGAAGACGAGACCTGCTGCTAGCAAGGTGTTCAAGTACTCGGATCCTAGTACCGTAAGTGTATCGTCCCAGCGTCTTGTAAACGTTCAAGCCAACCTAATCTCTGTAGTTGGCCAACCAAGAACCAGTTGACGTTACCTTTCTTATGTGGCCCAAATCCGAAGAGGAAGAAGAGGAGGAAGAGGAGGAGGATGACGACTCCGATGATGATAAGGCTGAAGTTGGGCCTCTGCAAGCCATCTTGGATGGTTTCGAAAACGAGCGAGAGAAGGCGTACAGCGAAGCATTCGATTCCTTTGTCAAAGAGAAGGGTATCTTTAGTGGCGGCGAACTAATCGACCTTCGGAAAAAGGTCTCTGCTCCATTTGAGAAGAGAGCAGATGTGGCTAGGGAGGAGGCCGTGAGGTCTGGTCGCATGAAGAAAGATGAGGCGAAAGCTATCAAGGGTATCAGCGACAAGGACCGAAAGGAGAAGCGAAAGAATAAGAGGATGCTCCAAGATCGGCTGAACGAGATTCAAAGGGAACGCAACACTGCCGTGCACGAGGCTTTGAATAAGGGTGGTCCTAAAGCTATGACTGTCGCAGCGGGATGAGCTCGGATTGCAAAGGCAGAGAAGCCGTTCTTGGAGAAAATGGAGAAGTTGAAGGAGGTTGTGGTGCAGCACACACTATTGACGGAGGAAGAGGTCAAAGCTATAGTACCAAATATCGAGTTGGACGATGATGGAAAAGAGATCCCCAAGCCCAAATCTGCGGCCGAACTTAGGAAAGAGGCGGCACAGCTCAAGAAGAAAGCTGAGGAAGATGCATTTGTAGCGCCGCGCGTGGTTACGGAGAAGGGCCTTCCTGTTACTCAAGCGGGCATGAAAAGATCGTTTGAGATCCGCGAAGAGGTCGACAAGCGTGATCCCGATATGCATGAAATGTACAGTAAGTGGTTCTCGAATTCATCACTTCTCATTTCGAGTGCGACATACTTGACGCCTTGAACATACTTTCTCCCAATACTCTCATTTGTCTTTGTCCCTTCTCTTCAGAATTGATTGAAAGGAAGCAAATACTAACTGCGATACCTTCACAGTCTACAACGACTTCGCTGGCTATGGTGTGATTGAGGTGATGGAAAACGTGGTATGTTCTCACCGTTCGGACAGGTGCTACATTCGAGTTAACCTTATTGGCTGACTCATCAACAAGCTGTTGGAGTTCAACGAGATCATTTTCAAGAAGGAAATCTCTCCAATTGAAAAATGGACCATCATGGAGGGCCTCACAACGTGAGTAACATCTGAGCCCCTTGTGACGACAAAGATGCCTTGGTTGAGCAGGCCTCGGTGCCACATTTCAACAAGACTATCTTGAGGACTCTTAAAAGCAGCATTGACTTACTTCTCCAACTTTTAGGTATTTACATATAGGCGATCACATGACATGGATGAGTAAGTCTTCTCGAGTCCTCTTCCTCGTAGTTTCAACTGACGATTGACCAGTGAACGACAATTCCGAAGCTATAGAAGACGTGCTCAACATGATGGGCATCATGTTCATCACAGCTCTCGAAATGCTACACGAGTCAAAGCTAATTGGAGGCACGAGCCCTCTTCCAGACAATGTCGGCATCATGACTCTTCTATTCCTCGATTTCATGAGCAACACTTGCTCAGACTTTGACCTTGACTGGCTCCACGAGATTGTTCGAGCTGCGGACAAATATGGTGTCGTTCTTGCGATCCCTGAACCAAAGAGAATTGGTGTCTCTCAAGATCAACTGGACGAATGTGGAGATGAGTGTGAAGAGCGTAGGATGACGGCAGGACTTACTTGGAAGACTAAGGTGAGACTGTCCTCCATTCAGTTTGCGCTAGGGCTAATTGTCATGTGTGATATTATCCCCAATTCAAGAAGCAACATCCGGGAGGGGACAGGTATGATATCACGAAGATGTCGAAGGCAGAGCAAGCCCGGTATAAGTTTTCTAATGTGGGTGATTCTGGGTCCGGAAGCGAAGGAGACGATGATGATGAGTGAGTTGCTGTCAATGCGAGCTGTTGTCGAGCTTTAGATTTTGTTGGTTGTTTCTTCTTACAAAATCTTGTATTTCGAAAATCGAAGTAAAAAAGAGAGTAGTTGATTAGATCTAGATCTGTAAAGTACTGTACGAATTGATTCTCTTTGTCTTTATCGTTTCTTGTGCCATATTGACTTCTTGAATTATTGATTCTTAAAAAGACGACGTTAAATACGTGCCGCACACCCCACCCATTTCGTGAAGTACGGGGGAAGAACAGTGAGCTGTACCAGGTTCTGGTCTAAAAGATTTATGTCCAGAGCAGTGTATGGGATAGATAATGTTCCAAGATGTACACAGGGTCACAGCGACAAGCGGAAGTGAAGTGTTGAATTGCAGTCTCTAGAAATACCTAATTGAAACTTTTCACACCCGATAAGCCGATCAAAGTAAAGTCCTTTTCCACAATGCCTCTTCCTCCTCAATAGCCTGCTGCAAATGTTCCTTCATCTTAAAACCATGTCCCTCACCCTTGAAAATCACCAGTTTAACATCCGCGCCTTTCTTCTTCAATATCCTCTCAATCTCAAAAGATTGTTCCGGTGGTACCACCTTGTCAAGATCACCCTGCAACAGTAGTAAGGGCTTTTCGATCTTGTCCGCATGGTAGCAGGGGCTTCGGTCATGGTAAATCTTTTCCTTCTCTTCTTCTGGGGTATCTTCTGGGAACAAAAGCGCGAAGAGGTAGTGGGACTCGAATTTGTGGGTATCTTCACCTAGACTCTTCAGGTTGCCGATTCCATAGAGACTGTTACCTGCTGCGAATGCTTGAGGGAAAGAACACATTCCTTGGAGCACAGTGTAGCCTCCGGAACTGCCACCGGTAATGCCGACTTTGGAGCCGTCGATGAGCCCTTTCTCGGCGAGGTAATCAATGCAAGAGACAGTATCTTCACAATCTTTCACACCCCAGCTGTAATCCAAGTCTTCGCGATACTTGCGGCCATATCCAGTTGAGCCTGCGTAATTGACATAACAATATGCATATCCCCGGGAGGTGTAGTATTGTGCTCCAAGAGAGAGTCCAGGGGAGACATGTGAAGTAGGTCCCCCGTGGATGAAGACGATGAGAGGTGGCTTGGTTCCACTCGGTGCTTCAAAGTCGGGATTCCGGGGTGGGATGAAGATAGCGTGGGACTTGCTGCCTAGGTCACTGCCGTGAGTTCGAGGGAAGTCAATGGTTTGGGCGGGAGAGAAGACCGAAGTGGGTAGGATGGCGTCCGTAGAGCTTTTCAACAGCTTCTTCGCTGTGGGATTAGTGATATCGATGAGGTACAATCCAGTAGGTGCGTCGAGAGTGTCACCTATGACTACAATTTCCTTCTCGGAAACCTTTTTCACGGCAGTTCCTTCGATCTTGACTAATCCTGCAGGGAGTTCGGTCGTTAATTTGGTCGCCAGATCGAAAAGAGTGAGGCCACTGGTAGCATTCTTGGTATAAGAGACAACGAGCTGATTTTCGTTCAGTGAGATATAAGTGCAGCTATTATCTGTTAGTGGGTGAATCTCGAGAACTTGGGGATGACGTACACGCCGAGGATATAATCCCGCCCTCCTAACTCCGCTTGCTCCAACCCCTTTACAGGAAGATGTTGTACGTCTGGAGACTTCCCATCCGATCGGTACAGTTGCCAGAAACCTGTTCTGTCACTACAGAACAGTAACGAGTCATCAACATGCCACTTTGATTGAGATATACTCTCTTTGCGGGCTTCTCCGGCAATCTTGGTAGAGTTCACGACTTTGTTTCCATCCCAATCAGCCACGTACAATTCGGTTCCGGTCCATGGCATGTCGGGATGATTCCATTGAAGCCAACAGATCTTCTTGCCGTCATGGCTAAACTTTGGCTGAGAATAGAAGTCTGCACCTTCGACAATGGTTTTCGCTTTTCCATTCTTAGAATTGATGACTGCCAAACTGTTGATAACTTCTTTCTCGCGGTGTTCTTCTTGAACTGCAGCGATGATTTCGTGAGCGTTTGGATGGACATCGAAATTGGCGTATCTCAATTTGCTTTCTGGAGCGCCAGGTAGGATCTTCTTTACTTCCCCAGTCGGCGTAAGGAGGAAAACGGAGTCGGAATAGAAGTCATTGAAGACGATGCTCCCGTCAGAGCTCGTCGCTGCAGCACCCCCACCATACTCGTGTACTTTCGTTCTGAGGTTGAAGTCTGCGGGGACAAGGTCAACACTTGATCCATCTTTGACCTCGACAATTGCTGCTCTCCCCTTTTCTGCTGGGCGTCCTTCAATGAGATAGATGGATCCGTTGGTAGGCTTGAGGTCAATGTCAGCTCATTGTTGTGAATCAAATGCGGGGTAACAAACGTTGACATGCACTTCAGAAAACGATAGACTGCTTCCTGATACTATCTCAGTCGTAATTGGGCTAGTCCATGTACCATACGGAGCGGTCTTCTTGGCAGCCATGACCGACCTTGTACTACTCTCGTGGTATCTCCTGTCAAACGTGATAAAATGCAGTGGCGGGTATTTCGGAGAGGTTGTACAAACGAAGCAGGAAATCAGTGTTTGTGGAACTTTATGAGAGAAGAGTGAGTATATAGTGTAGACTTTCGTTGGTCTCACATAATACATGAGATCCAAGTCTGTGGTTGTCCTACGAGCAGACAACAGTTGACGAATGGAGGTCTTCATGGCAGAATGGCATCGCCCCACCAACTTTCCTTATTTGGCTTAGACTGAGCCGGCTGAATTCTTCCTCGGTTGATTGGACGAAAATTGTCAAACTTTACCAGGACTCGATGTTCCAATTAACAGAAGCCTCTATGAGCGAGTGTAAATCTCAAAAGTCGATTCAGAATCGAACAGATACTATGTCTTTACTCTACAACTCCCATCGATAAATAAGTTCTCACGTGAGCTGCACGCTTCCGGATTAACCCCTGACTCAAACGGGCAAACAATCGACAAACGAGCCAATAGGAAAAACGCCCGTTCAATTTAGCCTTCTCGTCCGGCGCCTCAACCATTTAGACTTCACACCACTGAAACTCAATCGTCCCAAAAAGCCAAGCACCTAGTTATGCAGCCGCACAGATATGATGCGGAGAAGGTCCATAATTCTGAAAGATACAGATGCATTCTCAAATATTCTCTTAAGCCTGCAAGGATTCTTGGTAGCTCTTATCCAGGAAGTTGAGATGGTAACACACAGACCTTCCTGATAAGGTCGAAAGATCAACACAGGGCAACCTATTACAGAAGGAAATCCGTGAGGCGCAGAACGATGATGGAGATCACAACCAGGTACAGATTCGACCATGGTCCTCCCCGCTCTGTACTCCCTGCCATCGACTCGAGATAAGAACATCACATGCCTCGACCTGGCGCCTCATCATCTCAACTCGTCCTCTACTGATGTCTACCTTTCTCTCTTTCACTTGTATCACACGACACTTCATTGAATATCCCTTCGCGGTTTCTTATCACTCACTTGTATAGCCGCAGAGGCCTGGAAGTCAACTATATGAAGACTTCGCTGTTCTTCATTACTTGAAGGCAAGATGAGTACTAGTCGACAAGAGAACGTGAAGTGGGTAGATGTAAGTACATTGTAGTACAGCCTCACTAAAAGACCCTAGTACATCAAACAAGAACATTAATTGACTCCATCTCCTTTAGGGCCTCCGCGGTATTGCATCCCTTCTGGTTGTGCTCACCCACCTTACACGTGCCTTTGACGATGCCCTCTTCAAACCAACCTCCGCTGAAGGAGCTTCACCGCGACTTCTCCAATACCCTTTATTACGGATCCTAGTTCAAGGTCGAATCGGTGTACCGATCTTCTCTCTTGTCACTGGCTATGTCTGTGCCCTGAAGCCCATCCGTCTATTCGCAACTGGCAACCAAGAGAGAGCCTTGTTGAGCATCACCAAAAGCGCTTTCAGAAGAATACCGAGACTCGTATTACCAGCTTCCATAGCGACGATATTGATATGGATCATCTGCCAGTTAGGAGGATTCCAGGTTACGAAACATGTTCAGTCGTGGTGGCTGATCTATACTTCTCCGAATCAACTCCCTCTCGGACCAGCGATTGTGAATCTTGGGCTGAACTTGATAACGACTTGGGTTAGGGAATGGAATGTCTATGAGCCGAATCAATGGACTTTGTTACCTTTGCTCAAAGGAGCCTTCTTGGTTTATATGATGTTGTTTTCGACTGCGTTCATGAAGCCCAAGTATCGGATGATGGTGGAACTGGCTTTGTTTGTCTATTATTACATCGCCAATGACCGTATGCCAGCCTATCCCCCCCCCCCTCTCCTACTTCATACTAACATAACCACAGCCGAATACGGCATCCACTTCTTCTTCGGCGCCTTCCTCTGCGACCTCTCCCAATACACCCCCTACACAGAGTGGATCTCGACTCGCAAATGGCCCTCCCGTATCCTCTCCCCAATCCTAATCCTCATCGGCCTCCTCCTAGCCTCGTACCCCGAAACAAAACCAGAATGGATGCCATGGTCAAACTTCATGCTCAAGCTAGCAGACTACATCTTCCCCCCAAACCACCCCGACACCCCACGTTTCTACACCGGCCTGGGACTCACCTTCTTGGCGCTCGGCATCCATTTCTCCGATTTCGTCAAAGTCCTCCTCTCAAACAAATATCTGCTCTGGGCGGGCAAGAACTCCTTCGCCGTCTACCTGCTCCATGGAACGCTCTTGAGAACCGTGCTGGTATGGATGGAATACGGATTCGTTGCGCCGGCGGATGTCGTGCATGAGGATGGCAGTGTGAGTGAAGGCAAGCATCTGGAGTTGGGTGGTAGGCTGCGGTTCTGGTTTTGGATTCCGGTGTGGTTTGTGTTGCAGTATTGGTTGGCGAATCTGTGGACGGGGTATGTGGATCCGTTTTGTGCGAGGATGACGGAGAAGTTGGAGAAGTATGTTTTCAATAATGAGGAGGAGAAGAGTGTTTTGCCGCAGTGAGGAACGATCCCAATGAGACGATAGATGGATCGAAGAGACTTAAGGAGGAGAGGATGGGGTGATTGTCGGCTTGAATGCCGATTCTGGTTCGAGTGGACTTTTATATCAGAAACCAGGATTGAGGCAAGGAATAATGCATTTCCTCTGATATGGCTTATGATCAGACGGCCTAAAGCATGATGACACTGGGCTTATTGCGTATCAGGCGTTCTGGAGAGGATATGGCATCTACACATATAATGAGATACAACAGGGATGATTCGGAACTGATCAACAATACCGTTCTCACAGTTCTGCTCGAGCTGTTCCCTCCTTTCTGTTTTTCTTGACACTAATGAACGGAAAGTCTCGAAAACCACGGAGCCTTTTCATGACAAAGATCCTAATTTCTATCATGTCGATTCCTCAGCCAAACAGCCCTTCAACCATTCTTCAAACCTCAACTGCGTCACACTTTTCTTTTTATACTGAAGCAAAACATCCATAACCGGCCCAATATGCGCCTCCGCCTCCACAAACCCCACCACAACTCTCTCCTCCACCCCACCACCCGCCACCCAACCCATACAGAACTTCGCCTGAAAAGCATACATCGAATCAATAAAAACCTCATCTTTCCCACCAAAGATCCACACATCTCTAATAACCTCATGCATGCCCTCCCACCACGAAGCATTCCCGAGCAGCGGCTCGCTGTAACTATCCCCTCCCATCGTGATCCCAGGATCGACCTCCCCTTCCCCAGTCCCGAGATACATACCCGCCCATTTCCGAGGCACGTTCGGGACAAGGGAATCCTTCTGCGCGTTCCTTGCGTAGCTGTCCTGGGACGTATCGAAGCTTACCCATGGACTGTAGAGGAAAACTCCTCGGAGTGGTGCGTTGAGGTTTAGAGTGCGGATGTCGGGGTGTGGATGTAGGAGATGGGAGAGTAGAGAGAGGGATAGGCCGCCGCCCGCTGAGTCGCCTGCGATCAGGATGGATGAAGCTGGTCTTGAACCTTCTTTTAAGAGGTAGGAGAGTAGAGTGGTGGCTTGTTTAAGCTGGGTTGGGAATTGGGCTTCGGGTGCAAGGGTATAGGCGAGAAGCAGGACGGTGATGGATAGTGTGCTGTCGGGTAGGTTGTTGATATCTGTGACTAGGCGATGGAAGTATTGCATGTGTCCATGTGAGCATGGTTGAGTGTATCCACCGCCTGCTTGTGTTAATTTTATGCTCGACTCCGCTGACAAGGAGGAAGGACTTGCCATGCAGGAAGAGGATCACGATATCGGCATCTTCTTCTCCTATCCAATGAGCTATAGTATCATTCTCTTTCAGATGTAAGGGTTTCGGCTCTTGCTTACTTCTTTGCAGAAATCTTCATAAGTTTTCGATGTAGTGGGGTATATATATCGAGATTGCGCGATGGTTATATTGGTGAGCATGGAGCGGATGGCGGCGAAGAAGACATCTTTGTATACGACTGGAGCGCCATTCCAGCTCCTCCAGCGAAATGGAGCGGTAAGTAGTCTAGATATTGCAGCAGAAGCTATGGCATTTCGTTAGGTTCTCGACTCAAGTTTTCGAACGGATAGGAATTTTAACATATACCAATTCGACTGCCGAAATAAACAAGATTTGAAGTGGTCGGAGCAGAAGAGTCAGGCATTATGGCTATTGTGATGATTTAGACACATGAATATTGCTAGGGTGACTCTCACACCGTTGAATGATTATTCATGAAGAATCAGGGCGGTGGTGATGATACTGAATGCTGTAATGCAGAGACAGCGGGCTGACAATTTAACCGTAACCTACTGTACACCGGTACCAAGTTCTTGGGGCACCAGGACACTCGTACGCCGTACCGGAATGAAGAGCAAACAAAATAGCAACACGGAGCAAGTATGTGATCACAATCGCGACAGCAAGTGAAGATATCCGTATCTCTACGTTCCACGGCACTTACAGGTAAGGTTAACAGTACCCCTCATTGACGCCGCACACTTGCGTCGCTGTCAATTAATTGCCTTGCACACTCGCACAGAGGTCGCAATGACTTTGACCCTATTCACATCTTCAGTGGAGTCAGTGAATCATCAAGAAGAAGAGCAAGAGACAGGATTTTACATCTTCGAGATTTATCATCACCTTGCCAAAGTTCTCACAGCACGGAAACAACTCTTCCATTCTTCGCCTCAGCTCTTGAACAGGACAGCACACCTCTCAGTGGTGCGTATCCTTTCCCCTCTCGCGCTTCCATCCACCTTCCAGAACGGCTTGCAGACCGCCGCCCTAATCTAGCGCACGCCAACGCTGTGGTCCTTCCACTCTCAGCGTAGCACGTGGGGCAACTCAAAGCTTTTCTCGGCGGCTCAGGGCACGGAACCTTCCGTTCGGGGACGCCCATCCTGGTCCGAGCCCTGAACTCTCGCCCACGTGCTACCTATCGTTGGATTGCAATCAGTGCCGTCCGGTGCCATTGGAGAAGAAAAGTCCAGTCCAGTCCAGGGCAGTCTCATGCATCAAATGCAGATGGGGCGAATAATGCTGGGCTGGGCTGGGTTGTGCTGGAGATATCTACGCCGACGTCGAGCCTACACCTGCATTTGCATTTGAATGCTGAGAATCATGTCTTGCGAGCCTTCTTCCTCTCTATCTTCATCTGACTCTGTCTGTTCTTTTTTACTGAATTAAGACAGTCACACAGCGCTGCACGAAAGATCACGGCGACATTCACGCCAACACCCATAAATCGACAGCAACGGCACTCACCCCGTGTCGCAATCTCTCCCCCCCAACATCCCGCGCCTGAGACACACGGCAGCATGTCTTTCGCACTGCTGAAGAACCTAGTCTTCCGCCAGCCCAAACAGCAGGTATATAACAAGATCGGTACGCACTCGACCCCGCAATCTCCCTCCCACCCCCAGATGAATACATATTTTCCTCGTCCGCGTGCTGCGTCGAAAGTCATACTGCCATCAGACACTGATACTTTACTTGCAGAAGCATTCGAGGGGCAATCATGGGCTTCGTCTCCTACCCTGTCGAGCGAGAATAGCGATGTCGAATCTCAGCAATTGAGAGATGAGATCTCGGAGAAGCTACCTCCTCCTTCGCAGAAGGTAGAGCCGTCGAGATTCAAGGTCGATGCTAGGGTGATTTCAGATGCTATTATCGGATTATCAGATGGCCTCACAGTCCCGTTCGCCTTGACAGCGGGTCTTTCTGCCATTGGCAGCACAAAAGTCGTGGTGTACGGAGGCATGGCAGAATTGATCGCAGGCGCAATCTCGATGGGGCTGGGAGGATATCTTGGAGCAAAGAGCGAGAGGTAATCTATCCTCTCCCACTATGTCGAGCTTCCACTAATCATCCAAGGGACTCATACAACGCAACTCTCCACGAAACAGAAGACCTGGTAAACGGCAACCCCGCCGCCATCGAAGAAACAATCACCTCCCTCTTCGAATCCTACGACGTCCCCGAACCCACAATCCGAGCCCTCACTTCCCACCTAGCAACTTCACCGCACCTCACCAGCTTCATGATGCGTTTCGAACACACTCTCCCCGAACCAGTTGGCTCTAGAGCCATTACATGCGCCCTGACCATCGCAATGGGATATTTCATGGGCGGCTTCCTACCACTTCTGCCATATTTCTTCGTCGATGGAGTAAGGAGGGGATTGGCGTGGAGCGTGGGCATTATGATTATAGCGTTGTTCTCGTTTGGATATACGAAGACGTGTTTTGTGTCTGGGTGGAAAGGGTGGAGGAAGTCATTGCTGGGAGTGAGGGGTGGGGTGGAGATGGTGGTTGTGGGGAGCTTGGCTGCTGGAGCAGCGATGGGGTTGGTTATTGCTTTTAATAACCATGCTGGGGCTTTAGGGTAGGCGTTGGTAATGAGAAATGAATAAGTTCATGTTTATGCTTATGCTTTGCGGTTGGGGCGGTTCCAGTGCTTGAGAGGATGGCAAGTACCCGGTTGATTCTATTCCATATCTGCTTGAAAGCTTCGAGTACATGTGGAGTGGGTTGAGACTTAAGAAGAAAGCGATCGTTTTGATTTCAAGTCCTGCCAGTGCAGTCTGCAAAGGTTAATGTTTAACACTTGGTCTTCAAATATATAGCCCTCTTGTTTTGATTTGGAAGTCGCGGAAACAGATAGTTGACTGGTTCCTTCTTCGATGTCCGACTCCCTGTACGGAGATTTTTGATTCTAAAAACCTCTTTGTCAAGGAGAAAAGCAATTCTTTCGTCCGAAGAGGTATTCTGTAGAAGAGAGAGGGAGAATCTTCCAAAAGAGAGGGGTATAAATACAACTCAAAACCAAGACCCATCTTTCGCTGGTCCTCATGTCTTCCTCATCTCACTGTCATCAGATTTCATCTCACCAGCTTCAACTCTCTCTCAAGCACTTTCCACTCCTTCTTTATCTGCCACAAAATCGTCCCAACCATTCCAATAGCCATCCCAATAAGACCAACCGTAAGCCCTGTCCCCTTCGGATGAATCCACCCCACATTCCCCTCCAAAGCACTAGCACTAACAGCCACAAAATCCCACAACCCATGAAACATAACCGCTGGCCAAATAACACCCCAGATCCCAATTTTCTCCCCGCGGAAATCCCTTCTAACAGCCCTCAGCGCCGTCAAAACAGCAGAACCCACATGTCCCGTCTGCCCAAGCACCATCCTCTCAAACACAATCAGCAGAAATCTCGACCATGCCTCATTTCTCGATCCGTACATAAACCCTAAGGCCTCCACAAACCCGAAACCTAATGCTCCTGCAATCGCATAATCTACGTACGCCCTAGCTTTCTTCTCTTGACACCGCCTTGCGTAGACGACAGGAATATACTTCAACACCTCCTCCACCAACCCCGCTCCAACGAAGAATAGAACACCATTAAACACCCAGTTCTGCCACGAAGCAGCAATACGCGCTCTCCTGCCCAAAACTTCCGCGTTCAACCCCTCGATACTATGGCGCTGGAACTCAACCCAGAACTCATCCTTCAACCCAGGATTCGAACGAAAGATCAAAGGACTAGCAATGCTGACGATCGCCATCTGGGCAGCGGCAACAATCGCGAGTCCTAGTGTCCCGGCGGAAACGAACGTCCAGATTAAAGGTTCGAGATCCGCGCGTTGGGAGGGAGGCGAGTGTTTCCATTGGCGGTAGAAGATGGTGGAGGGTATGAGGGTGAGGGGCGACAGAAGAGCGGTTTGCGGGGAGATGGAGAAGGTTAGGAGGAGGAGGGAGGGTGGGCCGAGGTAGGTGAGGAGGCGGGTGGAGAGGGAGAGGGTTGTTTTTTGGGGGAGGGGTGGTGGTGGTGGTTGTGGTTTGGACATTGTGGGGTTGGTGATGTGCGGTTTTGGGAGGAAGGAAAGAGGAGGGTTATATAAATACTGCCTCGCGTTTGGGTAACGTCGGAATGGGTTTGGCCGTAATGAGGCCTGGAATTGGTGCTCGCTTGTTGTTACGCGTATTCTCGCTTAGGGGTTGTGCTACCCCTGACGAGTGTCCCGAAGCCAGGAACAGTTGGGTAGCGGAAAGGGATACCTTAAATTTAGGTTTGTGAGAATGATTTCGCAGGCACCTCGATTCTCATTCATCTACCCACGTCTCTGCCTCGCACGTCTTCATAATACACTCATCTCATCTCATCTCCGACATCTTCTCTCTGACCGTACAATCACTAAGCAGGTCCTCCACCACTGAGACTGCCAGTCTGGACCTCAATTTTATTTCGGCTCTCTATTTATGTCTCTGCCTCCCACACCCCTACAATACAATCATCTCCACCGTTCTCTCCCTGACGACCTTGTCACTAAGCAGCTGCACCACTGACACTACCAGTCTGAACATCGGTGGTATCGATCCCGATAGTGATATACCCAATAATTCCATTCGCAACATCAACACCGTCCATGGCAACAAAGTCAATGACCGGGTTATACCCACCAACGACATCCTGATCGAACACAGAATCATCGGCGTTAGTAGTTCGATTGATCGCAGTATGCGAAACATAAGGCTCAAGCGCCATCAACTGCTCCGAAAGCGTCTCATTGATGTAGATCTGGCCAGTGCTAACTCGGTTTTTCACTCGAGATCGTGCCGTTGGCAGCTAAGGTCCAGTCAACGTGAGCTTCAACATGGATGTGGATCGAGCGCTGGATGTAGAAGCCTGGAACGATGGTCTTCATTTCCATCATGCCGTCGGAGTCAGTCGGGGTCGTCTCGTCGGTGTGGAGATCTGTAACGCCGATCTCGAAGCTGTCGGTGATATTCATGGATTCGAGGAGTTCCTCGAAAGGAGTATCGGGGGAGAGTTTAGTGAATGAGGAGTAAGAACCCGTGGCGTTGCAGTGCCAAAAACCCATAAGGACGTTCTCGAGTGGCTCGCAGGTCTGTAAAGGGTTAGCATTGCTTGTTGTAGAAGATGGGAAGGACGTACAGCCATATCGAGAACGCCAACGTCGAGGAGCATGGGGACACCGGCTTGGCCCTCAGTCATATCCTGACGAAGGGTTTGAGATCGTGGCCAAACGTACTGGATCAATTGGTCAGTATGTTTTTAACGTCCAAGATAGTGATACACACTGGGCCTTCGGTGACAGTCGAAGTCAGAACACAAGTATCATTCTGAAGGACATCGTAGAAAGGAGCTTCAGTCGTGATCTCAAAGGTAGTATTTTCAGCCTTTCGAGCTTCGAGACTACGCTTGGCTTGTCTCTTCGCCCATCTCTTCTTATTCATATCACCTACGGCTCCAGCGCAACGCTTTGCGAGCGTGCTACGCTTTAGAATCTCGGACATGGAGGGGATGATATCGTGTTCACCTGGATGCGCAACGACAGATGAGGCTAGGAAGCCGGCAGCGAGGAGAGCTTGAAGGAATTGCATCTTGAATGATTGTGAAGGTTTTTACACCAATAAATGGGTGTGTAGAAGAGACCGTGGATGATCAGAGAGGATGGTGAGAGACACAAATGGGTCTAGTGGGAGACTATATATCCCTTCTCTCCACTGTGCATCTGAGCGTTGCACGACGAATGATCCTCTTGTCTCGATGCTTTTGATCATGATGAATGATGCATTGTTCTCAAGAATTCAGGGATCGAAACAAAAGGTGGATCTTGCATGGGAGATCTGTTTGTGGTAAGAAGCTTCTTGGCGAATCCACTTGGAATCCAACGGCTATTGTGCTCACGCCTTTTTGGCATGATTGTCACAAAATGTGATTGAGAAAGGCCAGAAAAATCATACTTGAAAGTCAATTGTCTGGAAGACATGTGTGTCTACTGAATGAACAAAACATTGTAGGACTTGGATTTGGAGAACGGCATCCACGTGCTTTATTCATCAGAGCCTTACTTGCCACTGACTCGCTCAAAATGCTGGACTAGGGGATGGATGTCAAGTTTCTATTGTGGCTCCTCCTTGACAATAGAACAATTCTTGGCAGAGTGGCTTGCGTGCAGAAAAGTGTCCATAGAAGTGGCATTTGCCAAGAAAGAAGACGTAGCCGGACAATTGTCCACGGCGATAATCATAAACATCCGGCAACAGAAGAACGTGGTGTCCAGTGATAAGCATAACAGAGACCACCTCAAAGTTTCTCATAAGAATGTAATACCTGCTCATACATAGAACAAAATGCCGGGAACAAAGGAAGGAAAGGAAAACGACCTTGAACTTTTCAGCCCCACGATCTGCAAAGCACCGTGGATTGTTTTGTTTGCCGGCGCCACAACCTCGGAAATTTCTATAGAATGTAATGCAAATTTTCCGATTGCTTCGAGAACGACAAGGAGAATGCGATAAAGGAATTTGTGGACTGATAAGAACGCGATGGGTTTTCGGCAGTTCAGCGGACGCGTATACAATTGTGGACTTGAGGAGATGAAAATTGAAAACGAGATGTCTGTGGATAGTACCTAGATTTCGAGGTGTTTGCTGACTAACAGGAGCTAGCGCTCCTGGAGCACTTCGGACTCGTCCTCGTCGACTCCTTCTTTCTTCCCTTCTCTCATCAGCGACAAAGTGAGGAACCACAATGCTCACTTCCAAAGCCCGACGCCGAGTTTTGCTCATGCCTACGCTCACCGCATAGCCGTTTCATGTAATCAAACAACGATCTAAATACCAATCTCTTGTGCAGCAGTCGCCTGTTTCGGAAGAGTCACGTGGGCCAGCGCAGCGCTTTCTCAGCGCCAAGAATGACTTACAGGATGAGGAATCATGATCGACCAGTCTCCTCTGATATCCCACTCAATCTTTCATGAAGGATTTCAATGATGAGAAGATGGTGACGTTCTGCTTTGCTGGTTTTTCCTTGGCTTAAGCTTAAATGTTTTGAATTCTTTTCTCAGGCAGTATCGGCCGCCATTCCACAAATGGAGCACCAAGTCTCGTTTCAGAAGTCTGACATCAATGACTACTTTCGGCAAAGTCAAATTGCTTGCTATTGGTACTCACTTCTAAGATGATAGAGTAAGCACTTTCTGTCGTTGTTTGTCTCCAGCCACCTTCAGGCTGAGTCCCTCAGCCTCACCGTGTGCAGCTGCCGGTATTCATGGAAGCTTGTTCTTTGGCTCTCTGGATGTGAAGTTTTGACATTTGCAAAGGTATTCACAACAACGGAAGTCATATCGGCCGACATTGTGCTTGCTCAAGCAAAATGCATGAACCATTTCAGCCTATTGTTAGATGTCGGCCTTCACTTTTCTGTTCAGTCTCTCGGTATCAAGATGAGTTCGAAGATTGGCAATTTGTATAAGAGTAGACCATTTGTCCTTGAATTTGAACTTCATCAGCATCATCAACACCAGCATCTTCAGCATACAATCATTCTTCTCTACTTCCCCTTTTCATTACTGTGCAATACTCTTTCATTATCTTAATTCTCTCATCCCTTTCTACCGACTCAGCTCAATCAGAACCACATCGCAAGTCATTAGACAAAATGAAGTCCTCCACCATTGTCGCCATTCTTTCATTCTCGGTCGCTTCTCTTGCAGCGCCGACCACCTACACCACTCCAACACGCTCTTCGCATTTCGGAAAGCGTTCTGAGCAAGATGCCATCAATGACTGCCAGAACACAGGAAACCCTTCCCTGTGCGAACAGGTTGTCACCGCCGTTAGCTCCTGGGACACCTCTGTTAACATGGTGAACATGTTTCTCAATGATGCCGAGACTTCCAGCGGCGAGACTTTGATCGATTTGGAGAATATGGCTCTTGCTTTCGCAAATCTTGAGCCCGGATTTCTCAGCACCCTCGTGGGTACTCCAAACATCAGCCCTGACGGCGTATCAGCCGCAAACACGCTTATGCAAGTCTTTTCTGCCGTACCTGGAAATCTTACCCTTCTTATCAACGGAGATCAATCTGTATCTTCAACGGTTGACAATATCAACAATGTTCGTTGCGCGCAGATTCTGGGAAACATCGGCGAGCTCTGGCAACAAGCCGCAGCGGCTGCCGGAGCAGACGTTCCCGGCACGCCACTGGGCCCAAACTTCTGCCCCAAGTCTGGTGGAAATTCCGGAGATGCGTACAACTAGGGATTGACGTGGGATCTTGGGACCTAAGTTTCGACGGATACTTCGGACTGGCTCGGGTGGTCCTGCGAAAGTCCGAACATGCATGAGCGGGTGGTGTCTTGGGGGTTGTTTTTCTCAGCTTTGATTCATGTCTTTGTACCCCTTCTGTCGTTTCCATCTATAGATCTAGCTGAATTCTTCTATTACGCTTCTTGGTTTTTTATATTCTCCCACGGCATGTCCAAACCAAAATATTCTGGCCCACCAGTTTTCAAGCCGCGTTCGTCTCCTGTCCAAAGTGGATGCGCCGGCATACCTATCACAACAACTTTTAGCCCGTATCTTAGTTCTTGCGACCCGATAGCTTCGCCGTCTTCTTCTAAAATTGAAATGAGGTCTGGAACAGTGCAAACAACTTCCGATTCGTTCAGTCCTTTCTCACCAGTGTACGCCGCATATAAGAATTCGTTCTGGAATGGTATGACTAGGTGCTGCTTCTCAGTAGCACTGTCTTCATTTTCGACCTCATCATCGGCCAGAGGGGCGAAAAGACATCTTCCCACGGTATAACCTCCTTTGCTAACGCCGCGTGTGACATCAATCACTTTTCCAGAGAACAATTGTCTTCCAGGCATGACATCAAACTACAATGGTAAGCCAAATCTGAATGCTGTGAAGAGAACTTACAATGGCTTTCACATAGCTCGTTTTCGTCCTCCGAGCAAGATGAACAGCTCTACCCAGATACCAAGATTGAGAAACCGTGTGGGGAACGACAAAGTTTTTGATTACTGACCCCGGAAGCGGACGAGCTACGATTGATGTCTTCAATCCTAACTCGATGCAAGTTGCTCTCAACATTTTCTCCAGGCGAGCGTTTGATTCCGCACTCTGTTCCTATCAGCAAAATTCTCAGGTCCTCGGGTCTTACATACCATTACGATGGAGACATTTCCTTTCGCATCAGCCATAGCACATGGCGCAATAGGATGTCCATATACATATGGTGTGCCTGGCGAAGTCAGCGAGTTCGCTCCGTGCTCGATCAGCACTCACCATGCTCCATGGATGGGTAAGCTCTACCCATCATATCCCCATCAATTGTTGGGCGATCATAATGGACACTAGTTGGGAACGTGGCAAGCCTGAAAGTCAGTCTGGTTCTAAGGAAATCGACTCTGGCTCTTACCCGTTGCCTCCGCCAATTTCGTCTGCAAGCAAAGCCTGAAAGCTCTCGATGCCCATGATCTTGTTCAAGGCATCAATGGCCGCTGGGATTTCTGTCCCCGCAGACAGTCTTTCTCCGGCCACGCTCGGAGCCCCGTACCATGATCCGAAGACTATCAAGTCATCATCTTTGAGATGATCGGGAGAAATCACCCGCATTTTCTTTCCGCCAGCACGCAATGCGTCAAGTGCCACGAGATAGGCAAGATATGATGGCCCTCCTCCACCGGTGCCTAGGATCCCTGTCCCACACGCAATAAATTCCAAGTCAACTTCCGAGAGATACCAGACGTTGTCTCGGACCTCTGGGCGATAGTTTCCAATGTCGATCTCAAGAGAGGGTTTGGTTCTGGTTCTATGACTGTTGGGGTCTGCCGACGTCTTCTCTTTTTCTGTTTCAGTGTCCAATGTATATTCATCGTCTGACAATTCATCACGAGAAAATCTGGAGACCGTCTCTAGAGTCTTCAATTTCCCGATCGCCTTGACCTTGATCCGAGTCGCTTTGTTTGATACGTACTGCAAAGGAATTTTCTCGATCTCCACGATTCGAACGTCGGCAGGGTCTGCTCCTTTCGCGACCGCGGCTTGGATGGCGGATGCTTCAGCAGATCTCAGTACAGCAGACTCATCTCTTCCATCGAGAATCTCGATGACGTCTACTTCTCCGGCAACTTTGGAAATGGCTGCTCCAACTGTATTCGCAGAATCGTGATGCGGTGGAATGATACACTTCGTGACGCCTTCCAACTCTTCCATGTACACAATGGAACCCCCTCCAACAAGAAGCACTGTCACGGGAGCGGAGGATACTTTCATATCTTCAATCGCTCTTTGAAGTATTCCTCTGATCTCTTTCCGAACACTTTCGATCACATCTGCTGGTATGGATCGAACAAGTTCGGTATCACCTATCTGCTCTTTGCCAGAGGCAACAACAATATCCGTCGTGGTCATGGTCTTTCCGCCGAAGACTAATGCACGAGTTGTGAGGTAATGACCAACTGAATCTGGCCCAACTGTTACTTTCCCATCTACATCCACACCAACTCTACTTCCTCCACCAAGGCCAACTGAGAGTACATCAGGCATTGAAAATGCTGTCCTTACACCCCCTACTTCCACGAAATTGGGAGCCTGCCTGGGAAATCCAGAAGGGAGAAGGGCGCATATATCTGTCGTTGTCCCTCCAATATCGACAACCAACACTTGAGATGCTGTGTCATCACGGCTTTTGTCCAGTCCTGCCAAGAAAGCTGCTCCGGTCATGCTGTTTGTCGGTCCACTGGCAAATGTCTTGATCGGTAATCGAGCAGCGTCATCTGCCTCTGTCAGAGTGCCATCATTCTGTGCCAAATACAGTGGACATGATAATCGCAATCCTTTCATGGCTTTCTTGAATCCATTTACTGTCTTCTGGGCGACTGCCAGAATTGAAGCGTTCAAGATCGTGGCGTTTTCTCTTTCCAACAAACCAACTCCACCAATTGTATGGGAGCAGACAATGTCAAGTCCAGGGGCATGCCTCATCATGAGATCTTTGCATCTCTCTTCATGCGTGCCAGAATGGTCGAGGGGCGAGAATACTCCGACGAGAGCAACTTTCGTGATTCCTTTGCTCTGAATATCCAATGCAGCCTCCTCGATTTGCTCCAAGTTCAAGGGAAGAATTTCTCTCCCGTCAATCTCCAATCCTCCATCGAGATAATAAGTAGGTCCCTTCATAATCTTCCTCAACCCAAGTGGATAATCTATGAATGGTGGGACATCTCTCGTGGACGGTCCACATAATCTGACAACGGCGACTTTACTCAATCGCCTCTCATCCGCTTCGACGACGGCATTGACGAAATGAGTTGTTCCAATCGTGACGCTTAATACTTTGTCTTTTTCAATTTGCGACTTTTGAAGGGCATCTTCGACAACGTGGATTATTCCACTTGTGATATCGACTGTGGTGGGCGTCTTGCTCGATACTAGGACTCCTCGTGAGGGAGTGTCCAATTGATTTAGATTGAGGATGGCACAGTCAGTATTAGTCCCACCGACATCTACCCCAATTCTATACATCTCGTACGAAAGCGGGAAGCAACGAATGCGCGGGATACCGCCTCTTGCTCTGGAACTTGGAAGCTAAACTGGTAAACATATATCGTCCCGACAGTCCCGGCTTCCGGGATGAGCGCGGAGTCAGACGAGAAAGATTTGGCTCCGAGACAAGTCACTTGCACTCAACTCCGGGACCAGCATGCAATTCTAGACGATCTTGAAAATAGAAGAACCGTCCCTCAAGCATGGTACTTGCACCGCGGATTTGGAATTGATCGGAAGTGACCGAAGATAAGATTCCAATGGAATGAATTGGATAGTTTTGACAGCCGGAGCCAAGAATGGGGTACAGCCTAGACTCAAGTGATCGGCCAAGTCGAGATAACATTTCTTTGACAGCTGAAATCCTTCCCACTTCAGACTCATTTTCGATATTCCCCTCAAGGCGCATCTTTCAAGATGGGCTTCATGGAAAGATTCGAAGTCGCTTCTGAGACTGAGTTGACGAGATGGATCAACGATGATATCAAGCCGATTGAAGCCGGGCGCCGGACTTGGACGTTTTGGACATTTCACAACTACTGTGAGGATTCCGATATACAATGAATGGAACCTAGCTAATATATTTAGGGATATTGGTGAATTCTAACATCTCGACCTACTTGACTGGAAGCTCTCTCATCGCCTTGGGATTAACTTGGTGGCAAGCGATTATCTGTAAATATGTCCGACATTCGAGCTTTTAAAATCGCTGACGAAGTCACAGCTATTGTTATTGGAAACATCCTAGCCACAATCTTCGTTGTCCTAAACTCAGTTCCAGGTGCATACTACCATATTGGGTTTCCAGTCGTCAATCGCTATGTCTGGGGAATGTACGGCAGTGCATTCGTGATCTGGAATCGAATACTTCTCTCTCTGGGTATGCTTCCAATTCCTGACGACTCGTCCATTGCTGAATACTCCAGTGTGGTACGGTTTCCAAGCTTGGATTGGAGGAGAATGTCTCTATGTCTGCCTCATGGCCCTGGATCCCAACCTTGAAAAGCACATCCCGAATCATATGCTGGCGTCCACGGGCATGACAACAGCACAATTTGTCGCTTATATCATCTTCAGCATTGTGTCTCTGCCAGTCATCTGGATTCGACCCCACAAGCTCAAAAATTTCTTCTACTTCTCCAGCGCCACCATCCTTATCTTTGAAATAGTGCTTCTTATTTGGGCGCTGGCAACGATGGGTCCAGAAGGGTTTGGTGATACGATCTCTAGTACACCAACAGCCGAAGCGAGCAGTACCGGATGGCTCATTGCTTATGGAATCATCAGCACAATTGGCTCTATTGCGGCTGGGATTCTCAATCAGAACGATTACGCTAGGTTCGCCCACAAACCTCGAGATGCCATATTGGGACAGATATTCAGCTTTCCTCTGTATGCGGTCATCTGTTCTATTATCGGCATACTTGTCACTGCGGCAACCCAAAATAGATTTGGAGGGGCTCTCTGGAATCTTCCTGATATCTTTACGACGTTGATCCAAAATGGAGGATCGAGAGAAAGAGCCGCTGGATTCTTTGCTGGAGCTGCACTCGTCATTTCACAGATTGGAGTCAATGTCCCAGGCAACGCTCTCTCTGGTGGTTTCGATCTCGCGGCAACATTTCCAAGGTACATCAACATTCGCCGTGGGGCATATCTCACCGCACTTGTCAGTGTTGCTTGCAACCCATGGAGACTTGTAAATACTGCAACAACTTTCATTTCAGTACTTGGAAGCTACAGCGTGTTCTTTGGACCAATGACTGGACTGATGATCTCGTCTTATTTCATTATCAACAGACAGAAGATCAATGTCGACGATCTGTTCGTGGGAAACAAGCAAAGTGTATACTGGTATACTTGGGGTGTCAATTGGCGAGCTATTGTCGCCGTAAGAAGTTCTTCTTCCATTCTCACCCCGACATTCACTGACTTGTGAATAGTGGATATGTGGCGTTGCTCCCTCTATGCCTGGATTCGTTGCTTCTGTACAGCTATTAGTGTCCGTTCCTATCGGGTTGACTCACCTATACTATATCTGCTTCTTGATTGGATTTGCCATCAGCTCTGGTGTATATTGCTTGTTGCATTTTATTTTCCCAGCTAAGGGACTGAATGACTTTGTGGCAAGTAGTCCGTCTCCTCGGTCTCTGATGGCAGAGTATCAGGAGAGGTGGGATGGAGAAATTTCCGGAGTCAGCGATATTGACAAAGATGCTCGAGTGGTGGATCGAGAGATCAACTTCAATTGAAGTACTGAATAGTGTCTTGTGGGACTGGAGATCTAGACTATGACTATTCCTTGAAGTGGAATTAACGAAATCCTGCCGAACAATTCTGACGTTGCAAATATGCCAATATCTTTACTTTCTGAGCAGTGATTGGCTTTCAGATGGGTTTTCACATCTTCACAAGATCTCCTCACGAGCAGTTCAACCATACAGTTTACCCATACCCTCATCCCGAGACCTTGGCAGCGGGGTGTCCCGCCAAGCCGGCGCCAGTGCTGTAGTGAGAAGTCCTTTGCCAAGCCATGCAAGGCTTGTTGATACTAGTTATCTCGCCTTGACCCAATTGACCAATCACATCTTATCGTCTAGAGAATATATTTTTCTTGACTCCTTCCTCTCCAGGGCGCCAAGATGGTACAGCTGTGGAGATCAACCTTGGCAGGATCACGAACCACTGATATCTTCCCGTCATAGGATATCATCATTCTGCCCAGGCACGACTAATTTGATGTGTTGATGATGCAGGACAGCAAAAGATGGGAGCCGGGAAAGCGTATTTAAGGAACTTCCCTCGCACCGCAAATTGGGCTGCCCGCACACTTTTCTCGCCATCATGTTTAGTACCACGGTCCTCCTGTCAGTCTTCGTTGCTGCGAAAGCAGTCTTTTGCTCGCCTGTCCAAAGGCGGGCTGGATATGCGGTGAAGGAGACCCATTTCGTGCCGCAGAAATGGAGCAAGATTGGGAAAGCTGCAGATGATTTCAGAATTCATCTGAATATCGGCCTGACGCAGGGCAACTTCCATGAGCTAGAGCGCCACTTGTATGAAGGTATGTTTTCAGTCCACTAATGAAACGCAAATCTGACGCCCAGCAGTATCCGACCCTGACCATGATCGATATGGCAAGCACCTCAGCTATGAGGAAGTCAATGACTTGATCAAACCCAGTGAAAAGAGCTCAAGCCTAGTTGAAGATTGGCTGAGAGACAACGGGATCGAAAATCTCAGCTACAGCTCAGCCAAGGATTGGGTTTCTGTCTCCCTTCCCATCTCGACTGTTGAGTCTCTCCTTGACACCGAATATCATGTTTATGAACACGAGGACGGCGGTCAGCTTGTGCGAACATCAGAATGGTCGTTACCAACCCACTTGCACTCGCACATCGATTCCATCCAACCAACGACGTCGTTCATGCGAGCTTCTGGTCAAAAGACGGAATTCCTCCAATTCCCTCCATGGATCTCGGCAGATTACACACCACCAACCAATGAAACCATCTCCAAAGTCTGCAATATAAGTTCCGTTACCCCAGAATGCTTCATGAACCTATACTCGACCAAAGGCTACAAGCCTAAAGTTCCTGGTCTAAATACAGTTGGATTCAACAACTTCCTCGGCGAGATCCCCATCCGTCCTGACGCATATCAATTCTTGCAGAAATACCATCCAGGAGCGGAATCGGCGGCCTATCGATTCCCTCAAATCTCCATCGCAGATGGTCCGGTGCAAGATGGACCTCTAACGCTGAATCAGTCCCTCGAAGGAACTTCCAGAGAGGCAAACCTAGACGTCCAAGCCATAGCTGGAATTAGCGATCCAACGCCAATCATTTCATACTCCACTGGCGGCAGTCCTCCCTTCAATCCAGACATTAGTACAACGGACAACACAAACGAGCCTTATCTCGTCTGGTTGAACTACGTCCTAGCCCAACCCATTGTCCCACTCGTGATCAGCACTTCCTACGCAGATGACGAACAAACAGTCCCGAAAGCCTATGCTGAACGAGTCTGCAAACAGTTCGCTCAACTAGGCGCAAGAGGCGTTTCTGTGTTGTTCGCTTCAGGCGATAGAGGTGTGGGTATAAATAATACATGTATTAGCAATGACGGGAAGAATACCACCACGTTTGTCCCCCTGTTCCCATCAGGTTGTCCTTATGTAACGACTGTTGGCGCAACACATCAATTCGAACCTGAAGTCGTGGCTTTCCGTCCCGGGTATTTCGGAGCGGATGGTGCGTATCGGGAGATCTATTCCAGTGGTGGGGGATTCAGTAACTATTTTGAAACGCCGAGATATCAAGCGAGGGTTGTGAGGGAGTATGTGAAGAATTTGAATGGATTGTATGACGGTCTTTATAATAAAGGTGTGTTCATTCTGCCTTCTTGATAAATGCGAAGCTGATGATGAAAGGTGGTCGTGCATACCCTGATCTCGCGGCACAAGGACAATACTTTGCGTATGTCTGGAATGGGACGGAAGGTGTAATCAGCGGGACTAGTGCTTCGACGCCTCTGATGTCTGGCATCATCTCATTGGTGAATGATGATTTGCTTTCCAACGGCAAAGCACCTCTTGGATTCTTGAACCCTTGGCTCTACACTCGTGGATACAAAGGATTCACTGATATTACCAGTGGGAGTGCAGCTGGTTGTGGGGTAGATGGCTTCAATGCTACCGAAGGCTGGGACCCCGTCACTGGATTCGGGACCCCGATCTTTCCTCTACTGACGGACTTGGCAAAGAACTGAAAGAACGGAAACAAACAGAGAACATTGTAGCGCAAACAATAGTCTCAGGTTCTACTAGTAATAAAGTACCATAATTACCCCACCCTCCCCCTAGCTGTCGATAGGGAACCTATCAATGAACTTGAAGGTCTTCAGTCCTCCTTCAAAGCTAGTGACGAATGAACCGACATCAACACCCGTGAAAACACCCGGCGTAGTTGTGGCACCAGCGAGCTTCAACACCGAGCTCGCATTCCCCAAAGCACCAACTGGTTTACCCCATCGATACCCATCAGTCAAGATCTGCAAAGGTCTATCGGCTGGGAAGAAGGTGCTCGAAGACCCATTCGTAAACAAAGATTCTGCACCGGAAGCCACAATGATGCCATCGAAGCCCGTTGCGTCTGCAGCGCTGTAGGTTTGATTGACACCCGCTTGAAGGATCTCACCCACAACGATAACATTCACACCGGCACCCTGAAAGCTCTGCGCAAGTGAAGCTGCTTGTGAGAGTGAGTCGGAGGATTTGATGCTAGCTAAGACACCAACGTTTAAAGTAGCGATAGTAAGCAACGGGTTGCCAAAGATGGTGACAAACTTGGTGCTATTATTGTTATAGAACATTGGATCAGGAGCTGGAGCGGCGACTCCAATCACTTCGGCAACTCGTTTGGCGAGATCGTTTGACACACGGTTGAGTTGAATGATAACGTTCGCCTTAACAATTGCGGATTGGATATGCGAGACTTCGAAACGCATTGCGTTTATGAGGAATTGCTGTTCAACTGGAATCAAGGAGTTGAAAAACAGTCGAGGCTGGGACCAGACGTCAGAGAAAGTGGAAGACGTGGCACGCATGAGGTTTCCCATCACGGTGCGGCCCGGGGTGGTGAAGAAACCGTTTCCGACTGTTTGGTTGGCTTCTTTGGGATTGCCGTTGTTGAGCGTGTTGGGCGAGTAAGCAGCGGTGTTCAGGTGGATACTGCAGCAAGTTAGTAAGAGGTTTTCGTTTGAGATTATAAGTCTGAAAAGACGAAACGTTTCTCGGAAACGTAATATGCATAGCTAGAGGGGATGGAGAATAGATGGAGGTTGCGACTTACTAATTTTGAGCAGCTCCATCTCGGTTGTTGTTGTGGATCGGGACATGGGGCCGGTTGATGGGGAGTTGCTCGAAATTGGGCCCACCATGACGATTCAGTTGCGTGTCAAGGTAAGAGTAGATGCGCCCTTGCAACAAAGGATCTTCTGTAAAATCGATACCACGGACAATGTGACCCGGTTGGAACTAAGAATGTCAGTCACAATGTCAGTCACAATGCCAGAAGAGTGTCTGAAAAACGGACCACTGCCAACGTATTAGCATAGTAAAACATCGAAACGAAAGTGAGGGGCTCTGGGAGCCGGGAGCTGTCTCACTGATTTGCTCTGTTTCTGCGAAATAATTGGTAGGATTGGTATCAAGCTGCATCTTCCCAATCAATGTGACAGGGACGAGTTCTTCGGGAATTATTTTCGTCGGATCCAAGAGATCGAATCCAAATGACAAAGCGTCAGCCTCATCAACAATTTGAACGCCTAGTTCCCACTCGGGACCATTGCCAGAAGCAATAGCATCCCACAAGTCCTGACGATGGAAATCCGCATTCTTCCCCGCAAGAACTTGCGCCTCTTCCCACACCAAGCTGGCTTTTCCTTGCTTGGTCTTCCAAAACCATTTTATGAGCTTCGAATCACCGCTGTCGGTCACGAAACGGAAAGTGTGTATGCCAAATCCATCCATATGCCTGAATGATCGAGGGATGCCATTGCCAGCCATGGCCCAGAATAGTGTGTGTAAAGAGCTTGGCTGCTGACTGAAGAAGTCCCATGCAGAATCGTGTGCTGTTGCGGCTTGAGGGATTTCTCTGTCTGGCATTGGTTTGACGGCATGAATCAGATCAGGGAAGAGGATAGCATCTTGGATGAAGAAGACAGGAATGTTGTTGCCGACGATATCTGAAGTGAAGTTGTTAGCATAGACGCATCGTCATTCCATCACCCAACATTTGTGGAACATTTCGGCGTCATTCCGTCACCCAACATTTGTCGAACATTCCTTGTGCAACGGGCCATGGAAAGTTGAAAAAATCTCCGACGACAGAAGGATATTACGAACCAAAATTGCCCTCGTCAGTATAGAATCGAGTAGCGAACCCATGAACATCTCTTGCAGTATCCGCACTACCTCTAGAACCAGCTACTGTCGAGAATCGAACAAACACAGGTGTCTGTTTTCCTGCCTGGGCAAGAAAAGATGCTGCAGTGATGTTACTGTAGTTGCCATAGCTAGTGAACATTCCATGAGCACCTGGGAGAGGTTAGAGCATTCGTTGGGAGGTAAAATTGGAATGTTACCTGCTCCGCGAGCATGGACAGCACGTTCCGGAACCTAAATCGTAAATGAGCATTCATAATAGAATGAATTTCAGAAGGGAATGTACCCTCTCGTGATCAAAATGTTGAATCTTCTGCCTGAAGATAAAGTCCTCTAGAAGTGTCGGACCTCTCTCGCCAGCCTTCAAGCTGTGATTATCCTCGATTGGGCCACCCGCGTCGGACGTGATGAATGAATCGGAATCATCAAGCACGAATTGCTCGAGGAAGTCTGCATCGGTTTGTACACCACGCTGCTCAAGACTTTCTGAAGCATCAGAACGGCCATTGATCTCAGGCTCAGCGCCATACGGACAAGCAGCTGAGGCCAGGCCGAGAAGGCTAAGGAAGGCCAGACAGATACGCATTTTGACAGAATGGGAGCTCGAGCAGAGATGCGAGAGAGAAAAAGAAGCTCAGAGTGATGCTGCTAGATAAATGAAAATCCCTGGGCCAGGTCGTGCTTTTATTATCTGCATGACCACCATATGGGATTCCAAGATTTGGATAAGACAGTGGAGCTCCATGAGGGCTGCAGTACGTAGTATGCTGGCTTCCATGTTACAGTCTTGGCAGCCCACAAAACAGACGCCATTGATTTGAGAATGGGTAAGAAATTTTGATCACGGGCCAAGAGGATGACATATTTGAGGCAAGGTCGCGAGTAGAATAGTAAAGCAGGCATACAGGGAGGAGCTACCGCGTACAGCTTCCGTGCAGGCATCGTATGCACGTCCACTGTCTTCGGCCAATGTTTTCCTCCGCAATTTAGATCGGCAAGCAAAACTTTGCTCCAAATGCGGGTATCTGCAAGGGAAATTATGATATGATGATAAGACCGGGAACAAGCATCAAGGTACCTCGGCACCACGAAATCATGTGGTGAAATGTAAGAATTCCAACTGGCCGAGAAAAGCAAACAAAATTGGGTGACGAATGAACAACGCAATTGAAGGAAATACTTGAAGGCGTGCTTTCGGAAGGCAATGGGGATACTCAAATGAATCCCGAAGCTAGCTCTTAGAGCTTCAAGACCCTTGTAGCTCACCATGCGGGGTGTGGCTTGGGGCTGACAGTCCAGAGGACTGTTCACCTTAACGGGGTTGCTTGTAACACAAATTGCCGGCTGGCTGAGTGACCTGCTCACCAAAATGAAAAATTGTTTTGATATTCTGATCCAAGTTGCGATATTTAGCATCCGCTGCAGCCCGAACCGGAAATCGCAGAAAAAACAGGAGAATATTTATTGAGTTAGAAACGTATCCCGCCTTATTCTTGCATTAGAAATGAAGCAACGGGGTAGCCCCAAAGCTTTGTGATTCTGACGTGATGATCATCCAACACGTGGAGGAAGTATTTCTGGCCGCAAGAGCGTTCGCCGGACTGGCTGACTCCCGATAGGTGAGGTCGCATCCTGGTGTCATCCTACCCGGATTGTTGTGCCCATTGTGTTGGAATGACTGGAGAATAGGTGGTATATTGGCTTCATTCTCGACTGCTATGTTCGCGCCTTGCAAAAATCCGAAAGTTCGAGTCGAGTACCTAACATGAGATTGAGTGGAGTCGGTCCAAAGCCTTGATAGGGCTACTCGTATGCATGAAGATTATCGAAGGGTGTCAAGAAATTTCGGTGGAGTTGTATAGACGCTTGCTATTGCCAATTCCAATCGCGCAGTTGGCGGTGGGAATACCTTACGGTTGAAGCGGATCAACTTTTGCATATTCTTATCGGATCTTAGTGGCATCCTGTGGATGACAGAGTCAATCCCAAGCAGCGCCTTTGAGCTGCATGCACAATCTGACGACCTTGTGTCATGTAGCTCCCATATGAGAGGCTGCAGTCTTTGACGTGTTGACGTCGGAACGCTCCCGCTCTTTTCTTTGGAACATCAGTTCCAATGAAACCGAAAAGGAATGTATCCATATAAATCCACTAGTCCAATCCTCTAGATATCTGCCTTTCAAAAAGCTTATGTGCAGTGTTGCAGAAAATGCAGATTGGGAGGGATGTATTCGGTTGGAGGAGGGTTCGAAGAATAGAATACGTATGGAATGGAATTCGTTCAAACCGATCTTCTGGTATCTTCGCCGACTCGGCAAGCTGACTGGGTAAGCTTAGTAAAGGACAAAAGAGCTGAATAATAGCAGATCTGGTGACTGATATTGCTTACTCTGTTAATGTCATACGCCAGTTGAATGGAGTGGCATATTTTCGAGGCGCTGGTTGCACCAGTATTATGTTATGATGCTTCACCCCAAGGATACCTCAGCAAGAGACCAAAGTCAATTCACATGTACTGTGGATAGATTCTATACTCAAGCCATTTGCAGATGAACATATGCAGATGTGAGCTGATCGCGAGAGGATGTGTTGTTGCTTGCACGGTCTAGGTGCAGTCGAAGGCGGTGCTTCACTGGCTAATGTATGAGTCTGTTGCGGATATAGCTTGACATCGCCTCGTGAGGATGATAAGAAGGGAATATATGGTCGACGAGGACAGAAAATCGCTTTCTGGTTTTGAGGAACGCAAGAGTCGAGCTGTGTCGAGGAGTTGGGATGGAGTCGAAGCTCGGCAGGATGAATCTAGCCAAGACAATGGAAGGCGGTGAGCACTCATGCCTTCTCTTTCTCTCTCCTCTCATGTCCTCTCTTCTCTTCTCCTCTCCTCCTCTCTCCATTCTCTTCTCGGGCTGTGCTCTCTCCAGCCCTTCATCCACGGCCAAATTCTCGCACAATTGCAAAATTGTTGCAGCAAGAAGTTCCACTGCTCAACAAGGTCTCCGGCATGTGTCGGCCCGTTTATTCAGCAAGACTTCGGAACGACGCATCCCCCAGACTCCATGGCTCCACTGGAGTCCACTGAAGAGCTCTCCCCTACCGAAATTCACTCCCTCATTGCATCATCAAGCTTCCCCAAGCTTCACTTGCGGGGTCATTGAGGAGAAACCAAGCGATGGCCAGGTACTATTAGTATACACCATCAAGACACTCGCCCCATCTCAAACTTACGTGAAAAACTACTTACAAGCAAACAACCGCGAGGAATTGCGAGAGCATCTTCACTGCGCTCTGAAATTCTCGGTCAATTGCTTGATCATCAGGGATAATCCAATCGCTGTTACTTCTTGGACGTCTGTCTCAGTGAGTTTGTTCCTGGTGGCCAACATGGCTTATCCCCAAGCAGCAAGATCTCCCGCACCGCTCTTCCAGGTTCCTACTAAAACACCGAATTTTTCATCTCTCGGCCCTTCTTTGATCCCCTCTCACTCCTCTGTGGGGTGTTTCCTTTCCCAACGTGTTCCTGATCTCGGATCGTGAGCTCATCCCATGCAGTGTTCCTTGAAAATTGCGAGGTCATTGAGCCGCTTGCGGGGGAACATGAGAATTATTTATTCATCATGACAACCAACTTTCGCTTGGCTGCTGCAGCCTCAAGATCCCTCTTCTCTTTCAGTGTCTTCAGTCTCTTGTTCTGGAGCTCTCTTCTCTTTTGCCTGCCTACCTGCTTTCTCATCTTCTATCGTCGACGGAAAATGGCGGCGAGAGCAGCTCTTGCGTTAGGCGCTTTCTGCACCTCACTTGCCACTGTATATGCCCAGAGCTCATCCACTTCAACTCCAGATGCAACGACCAGCTACCGTGCGATCTTCACAGTCCCAGCTGCGGCGGATGCGAGTGTGCCACTGATACCAAATATCTACGATTCGGAAGCTGTCAACGCTCAAGATGTCTGTCCAGGTTACCTTGCTTCAAACGTCGTCCGGACAATGTATGGATTGACAGCCTCATTAAATCTTGCTGGTCCGGCCTGCAATACCTATGGCACAGATATCGAGAATCTGAACCTCACAGTCGAATACCAGTCTGATGACAGGTTGCACGTGGAAATTGTCCCGACATATGTTGGCGATTCAAACAGCTCATGGTATATCCTACCAGATGTTCTAGTCCAGAAGCCCACTATTGATGCCGATGCAAACACGACATTGGATAGCGACCTAAATTTTGTCTGGAGCAATGATCCGACATTCAGCTTTCAAATCATCCGCCAATCAACCGGAGATGTCCTTTTTGACACTACAGGAACGAAGCTTGTCTATGAGAACCAATTCATCGAATTCGCCAGTGCTCTCCCTGAGAATTACAATCTATATGGATTAGGGGAGGTAATTCATGGTTTGCGAATGGGTAACAATTTCACTCGTACATTTTGGGCTGCGGATGTTGGAGATCCCATTGATTACAACATTTATGGCGATCATTCTTTCTATCTCGATACGCGATACTACGAGATCAATGAGACAACAGGAAATCTCACATATGCCCCAAATGCGACGGATGCAACTGGGAACTATGTCTCATACTCCCATGGCGTCTATATGCGCAATTCCCACGGCCAGGAAGTTCTCATGAGACCATCAAATATCACATGGCGAACTTTGGGCGGTAGCATTGAGTACGTCGAACTCCGCCCTTGTTTAATATTCATCCTAGGAGCCAAGGACTTTGAAATCCTTTTGGGCAGCTGCTTGTCAAGGAAGATTTGTTTCAACTCTTCGGACAAGCTCTTCGGCTGCTGGCTCTTCGTCAAAACTATATACTGATTTGTGTACAGTTTGTACTTCTACGCGGGTCCATCTCAAAAAGAGGTTACGAAAGCATACCAGGAAAGTGCTACTGGCCTCCCAGCAATGCAACAATACTTCACATTCGGTTACCACCAGTGTAGATGGGGGTACACCAATTGGTCTGAGCTTCAGGATGTGGTGGACAGCTTCAAGAAATTCGGCATTCCTTTAGAGAACATTTGGTAAGTTGCCTGGTTTGCTATGTTTCTCACAAATCTGACAATTTTAGGACTGACATCGACTATATGAATCAATATCGGGATTTTGATAACGACCAAGGAAGATTCGGCTACGTCGAAGGCGCAAAATTCCTCTCTCAGCTGCACGAAAATGGTCAACACTACATACCCATTGTTGACTCGGCAATCTACGTCCCAAATCCGGAGAATGCCAGTGATGCTTACCCAATTTTCAATCGTGGCAACGAGAGCGATGCTTTCATGTTGAATCCTGATGGCAGCTTGTACATGTACGTCAAATTTTGCCCTTATTCTGTATTCATCCTACGAGCTGAGGATCTCGGGGCCTCTTCGAGATCTAAGGAAGGCTTTTCCTCAACTGTAGTTGCGAAAGCGATGATGTTTGAGGAACCACAGATCCAGGAAGATTGAGTTGGTGTGCCATGTGATTTGCACGTGACCATGCAGCTTTACAACTCTTCGGCTTCTAGATCTTTATTAGAACTGTAATGATTTAATTTCTATAGCGGCGAGGTCTGGCCAGGATACACTGTGTTTCCTGATTGGATTGGTGCGGTTCTCAATGGAACTGGGGCCTTTGACTGGTGGTCAAGTGAGATGACCATGTGGCACCAGAATATTTCCTTCGATGGTATATGGATTGACATGAGTGAAGTATCTTCATTCTGTGTTGGTTCTTGCGGCAGCAATAACCTTACACTCAACCCTGTCCATCCAGGATTTGGTCTTCCAGGAGAGCCAGGTAACATCATCTATGGGTATCCTGAAGGCTTCAACATAACGAATGCCACCGAGTATGCTTCTGCGCAAGCAGGATCTTCCAGCCAGGCATCTGCAGCTGCCGCAACCGCTGCTCCTGCTCCAACAACTTCTACGACATATATACGGACAACTCCTACTCCTGGAGCTCGAGCTATTGAGTACCCACCTTATGTGATCAACAATGTCCAAGGGGCTTTGGACGTCCATGCCGTGAGCCCCAACGCCACTCATCACGGCGGAACCCAGGAATACGATTATCACAACCTGTTCGGCACCCAAATTCTCAATGCTACCTACCACGCTCTTCTCAATGTCTTTCCAGGGAAACGACCTTTCATCATCGGTCGATCTACCTTTGCTGGATCTGGAAAATGGTCTGGACACTGGGGAGGTGACAATACCTCGTTGTTTGCTTATATGTACTTCTCAATCTCTCAAGCACTGTCGTTCTCTCTCTTTGGTATTCCCATGTTCGGTGTCGACACTTGCGGATTCAATGGAAATACAGACGAGGAACTCTGCAATCGATGGATGCAACTTTCAGCTTTCTTCCCATTCTATCGAAACCATAACACCCTGTCTGCAATCTCGCAGGAACCATACCGCTGGGCATCAGTTGCGGAAGCCAGCAAGACTGCGATGAACATTCGCTATACTCTTCTCCCCTATATCTACACCACGTTCTACCTCGCACATTCGACTGGGTCAACGGTAATGAGAGCGCTAGCCTGGGAATTTCCAAATGACCCCACCCTGGCTGCAGTCGATACCCAATTCATGTTCGGGGACAGCTTATTGATTACGCCCGTTCTAGCTCAAGGGGCCACAACTGTGAATGGTGTCTTCCCAGGCGTCGGGTCAGGTGAAGTGTGGTATGATTGGTACAATCAGTCCGCAGTCACTGCCGGACCTGGAGAGAACATTACCATTGATGCCCCGCTTGGACACATCCCGGTATATGTGAGAGGCGGAAGTGTTTTACCGATACAAGAACCAGGATATACAACCAAAGAATCTCGATCAAATCCTTGGGGATTGTTGGCCGCATGCAGCATGGAGGGTACTGCAAGCGGACAACTCTATATTGATGATGGAGAGAGTGTTGTACAAAACTCAACTCTTTGGGTAGAAGTAAGTGCCTTGTCCGGTCTGGCGGGAATATGCTAACGAGATACAGTTCTCACTTACGAAGTCCGCATTGTATGCTTCCGCTCGTGGGCTGTTCCAAGACACCAATCCACTTGCCAATATTACAATCATAGGTGTTCAGTCAGCTGTAAATAACGTGACTCTGAACGGAGCCACCATTGCTAGCGGATGGACATACAACGCCACCAGTAAGGTTTTGGCTATTGAAGGATTGATGAACTCTACGTCCGCCGGAGCTTGGGTGAGCGACTGGGTGTTGAGATGGATGTAATCAGATGAAATAACGTATCACGAATTATGAGATGAAAGCAGGTTGGGATAACAGTACTGTACAAAAAAAGCTTGCATGAATGAATAGCATCCTTCCTCCATGACGTTACCCATCAAAAGCCTCGCGATCATACTGTATGTTATCCCGTGATGGTAGTGAGGAACGAATATTTGGTGGGCGTGCAGTAGTTTGCCGGGACTCCGAGTCCGAGGTGCGGCTAAAGCCGTAGATCCTCTTGCCTCAATCCAGGGGAGTACCGAATATCACTGGTCGTGCAGATTACAAACATCTCGTATTGTTCTGTCTGTTCTCAATTTAGAGTCTTGAGAAGGATGACCAAAGACCTGCGGATACACAACACAATAATAGTGGGTAAGTCTAGCTGAGACGCAGTAGGCGGAGCGCTTGGACCATGCGCGCACCCAACTCACAACTCACCTCATCCCTCCTTAAACTCTCGCTTCGGGTTGGCGATGCGATGCGAGGCTTCACTCCCTCTCACCCGCGAAGGAACTGAACAGCCTTCCCAGCTGACTTTGCCTCCGAAACAATGCTTCTTCTTCTTCGACAATGTATCACCTCATCTCCCGCTGCGAATTGTTCCTGAATACTTCAGCCTCGTTTCAGAGCTAATTGTGGGGTTCTTGATTGTTTTGCACAGCAATCGGATTTCCCCACCGAGTCCGCCCGTGGATGGAGTCCGCAACGCAACGCAAGGAAGAGAGACCAAGACCTCCGTGGCCCGACCAGATACGTCGCACGATGAAATTTTCTTCAGAGTATTTATGATGTCGTCCTCGGGCTGGAATCGCATTCTTTCATCAATATTCAATCCATTCTCCATCTTCACCAAACCATCCCAAGAAACGAAATCAGTAAACATGACTGTTACACCACTCACATTCGAAGGTGAAAAAATTTGAAATCCAAAGTCATGCAATCCAAGCTAACGAGTTGACAGAGTCGGCGGGTTGTATGGGAGCTTGCTTTGAGTGGGCTGACAGCTACGACTCCAAAGATTGGGCTCGTCTACGAAAATGCATTGCACCAACACTTCACGTGCGTAGCCGACACTATTTTCCCATAATGCTCGTACTAACTTGGTTTACAGGTTGACTACCGCTCCTTCCTCGACAAGGAATGGGAAGCCATGCCCGCAGAAGAATTCGTCCAAATGGCCTCCGATCCTAAGGTACTCGGCAACCCCCTTCTCAAGACTCAACACTTCGTCGGCTCAACACGCTGGGAGAAGATTTCCGATGATGAGATTATTGGATGGCATCAACTTCGTGTCCCCCACCAAAAGTACAAGGACGCAACCATGAAGGAAGTCCTGGTCAAGGGCCACGCCCACTCCACCAACAAGCACTGGTACAAGAAGGTCGATGGGGAGTGGAAATTTGCAGGATTGAGCCCAGATATCAGATGGTTCGAGTACGATTTCGATCAGGTCTTTGCTGAGGGACGCGAGAGTTTCGGAGAAGTCGAGGCTGCAGAGGCGGTTGTCGGTGGTACCAAGTCTGAGGCCGTCAAGGTCGAGACAACGTCCATACCTGTCATGTGAAGTCAGGCTGTGTTCATATGGGAGGAAGTGAGCGTGTATTGAGCAAGTTCAACAAACACGGGTGGGAGGTGACGACTGCTACCGGATGCATACATGCTCATGGAATTTCATATGGGCACATGCATATTATACCATAATTATGACGAAGACCTAAAGTCTCGAGGAGGCACAGGTGGAATTGTGGACGGGTGATTGGCATTAGAAATTTAGGATCTGATTTATCTGGTGCATCTGGGGTTTGTCCTAGGGGACGGGAGTTTACTTTGCACGGCTTTACATACCATATCTACCTAGGTAGCTGCTGAGAAAATGAAATCACGATGACATAACATATTCCATCTTATCAACCTCAAATCTTCCCTCTAAGTGTTATGTATCCCACCGCTTTCTTCTCGATCAAGTCCTCTTATCAACCTTCTTCCACTCCAATCCCAAGCTACATAGCAATGCCATGCCACCACCCACTGCACAGAGCACGAAGACTTTCGTCAATGCAACATCATACGCCTCCAGAACACTTCCAAGAAGAGTCGCAGGCACAACACTCTGAATCTTCGTCGCCCCTGCCCTGATAACAGCCGCTGCATCGACACCGGGAATCTTTTTCAACATCTGGCTCAACGAAGTAGACAATTTGTTCTGGCCAATACTAAGCCCCAATGATCCTCCTAATGATTGACCAAAAATCACAAACGACACGCCCATCACGGAATCATCAGCTGCTAGGACATTCTGCACAGCAATGAAACTTATCTGTTGACTCAAGCCATAACCTGCACCAGAAATGACTTCAAAGCTAAACCAAGCCCCAAATGAACTTTTCGTCGTCAATGTAGTCAGAAGAGCTGATCCGACCGTGAACAAAGAAGTACCAATCCATACCAGCGGAACGTAGTGTCCGAACTTGGTAACCAACGTCCCAGAAATGAGCGAGCAGATGGCAATCGTTATGCCGTAAGGGAGAGTGTGGAGACCGGACACAGCGGCGCTGGTCTCTTTCACGGCTTGGAAGTAGAAGGGCATGAAGTATGTCTGGGTCGTCATTCCGAGTTGGAGGAAGATTATATAAAGCGAACTGGAGATAACTGTGCGTTGATTGATGATGCGACCTTGGATCATTGCTCTTCACGAATCTATCAGTACTATTCTGTAGGAATAGTGAAAAAGCGGTCTTACCTTTCCTTCAAATATGCTTGGGAGAGGATGAAGAGGATAATGATACTTCCAAATCCAAGAAGGCAACCCCAAACACTTGGATACGACCACGGATAAAGTATCCCTCCCCACTGCAGAGCTAACATCAAGCATGTGATAGCAGAAACCAGAAACAACGCTCCGAGGAAGTCCAGGCGTTCAAGCTTTTGCCGTAAAGTCAAACCGATTGACGTACTCGGTATCTTCACCGTCCAGATAACGATCGCGATTGACAAGGCTCCAAAAGCTATGCACTGTCTAGAAGATTTCTCGGTAGAGGAAGATGGGGCTCACGAAGATTTAACCAAAAGCAAAACCTCCAAGTCAGTTTCGAATCCGTCAACAAACCTCCAAGCAACGGTCCCAGAACACCAGATATCGCATAGACACTTCCCGTAATGCTTACAACTAAAGGTCTCTTCTTCGTCTCAACGGTGTGCCTCATAATGGCCATTAACCCGCTATACATTCCCGAAGCGCTAATTCCAGCTACTGCTCGTCCGATAATGAACACTATGGAACTGGGTGCAATGGCACAGATAATGGACCCGATTTCGAAGATGAGTTGAGCGACGATAAAGGTGTTACGGACCGGGAATAAAATATACACACGCCCAAAGGAGGGTTGAAGACTCATTTGTGTGAGAAGATAGGCGGCCCCATACCAGGCAACGTCGTCTAGACTTTTGAAGTCACTGGTTATTCGGGGAATAGCGGTGGCTAGACTTGATCAGCGGAGTTCGTGTGTAAAATGTCTAGAGGAAGGTTACAGATTATTGAGCTATCGAGCGCGATGGTAAAGAGACCAGACATGAGGGCTGTGGTTAACATGACAATCTTCACTCCGTGGAGATAATTCTCCTGTGGTTCTGCATCTTCGTTCGATGTTGATGGTTTGACTGTGGTGACTCCTGCTTCGATTTCAGGAAGATTCTCAATCCCCATGTCACGCTTCTCGAGAGCAATTTTCTTGTCCGTCGCTGGCGCGCAGTTGATGTTGTCGGCCATAGTTTTAAGTATAATTTTGTCCTGGAAAAGTTTACTTGATTTCTATAGACTAGCTGTTATTGAATTATGTTTTTTACTTGAGTTTTTGTCTTAATGCAGTTGTAAAAGAAATTGGGCAATCTATTTAGCGATTTGAAATCAAGAAAGGAGGACTTCCATCCGAGGGGGAATCGAGAGAGCATTGGGAATTCTGGGGCGTGGAGCCGGTCAGCTTTACCCCGACCATTACCCCGCCAAACACGTGATGGAGGGGTCATCTCGGTCATGTGAATGAAGAGGCAGTGGTAAAATGGTCGACTGCTATTCAAAGATCTTGCATCAAACCTAGACGATGGTGTTTCTTCTTAGACAAGCACTTTTCGTTCCTGTGGACGTTTCTACATATGGATTTGGTCTTTGGCTTGTATCAAGATCAGTCGATGGCGCATGCAGCGAGGGCGTCATGATGCTTCTAAGGGCGTCATAATCTGACGTCTTGTTTCTCAGCATAAGGACTACTTAAACCCTATAAACTCTTCAACCGGAATCGCTCTCTGTGCTCTCGCATACATATCGGGAAATCCACCGAGATTCAGCGCATTCTTAACTTCGAAAGCAATTGAGAGATGGAAAGTTCAAAAGCCCTTGAGCTGGGAGTACTTGCCCAACCATTCTTGGGGAATGTCGTCGAGATTTGCATCGTAACTCGGGACCATCGAAAGACAATGGACGGACTTCTCAAGCTCGGAATTGGTCCATTTCAAGTCCACAATTTCTCTTCTGGGAATGTCACAGACCAGACTTTTCGATTTCAGCCAGCAGATTTCGAGCTCATCGTCTGTTTCGCAACTCAGGGCGCTGTCGTTTGGGAGATAATGCAGCCTCTCTCTGGTCCCTCACTCATGGCCGAGTTTCTCGAGACTCGTGGCGAGGGAATTCATCACGTAGCTTTCGACTGCAATCACGTCCCAGCCACTCAACGGAAAGCAGAGTTCGAAGGCAGGGGATACAGCATGGTTCAGTCTGGGCTGTGGCATGGAAAGAAGGGAACCTGTAGATTCATGTTCTTCGATACTGAAGATGCAACTACAACATGCTTTGAGTCTTACAGTTTTTCGGAGGATTGGGAGGATCCGGAGTCGACGGTGTGGTATCCTGCAAACAGGTGATTTCAGTTGGCTCTGACTCCTCAGTAGCATACCTAGGTAGTCTGCTCTTCGATCACGTTCGTCGAGTCTGTCGAGAGTCTCACATATTTTCTTCTCAACACCGTTATAAAAAAAAACTTCATACGAGTACTCAGGAATAGATTATGCAAGGACGAATTTTCTCGCCAAGAATTTTCCACTTCATTCGAGAGCCTCTCATCGTGAAGCATTAGCCTTCAATGCGCCGCAAGCCGTGCCGAGAACCAAAATCTTTCAAAGCACGATTTGCGTGAGCATGGAACGCCACTGTTAACGGCCCAGAGGTTCGAAGTTGATTCACTCAATCATTGCTAAATTCTTTATACTACCTTCCTCTTTGGTAAATCATCCCCGACAAGGTTCCCAAAAAAGGTGTCAAGAGCCCACCGTACAAGCTCCTCGCTTGAGATTCGTCATTTTAGCACTATATTCGAATGCCTCAGAGATCCTCACTCACGATGGCAGAGAAAGAAAAATCTTTAAATCTTGCAATAAATGCTGGCGGTGGCATTTATATAGTGCGGGATCTTCCTGGGAGTCTCGGTTTCACTTTTTCTCGCAATCATCAACTTCCCTGCCGAAGTTCGCCATTACACCCAACCCATCATGGCCACCTCACCCACTCTCGAGTCTCAGCATGTGGAGGAGAAAAGAATATGGTACCGCGGCACACTATTCAACGCCTTTGTTATTGGTGCAGTTGGATTTCTGGCACCTGGACTATGGAATGCGATGTCTTCTCTCGGAGCTGGTGGAGCTGAAAGTCCTTTCCTCGTCAATGCAGCCAATGCGCTGGTTTTTGGATTGATGGGTATATTCTGTCTTCTTGGAGGCCCGATCGCGAATCGCATTGGTTTGAACTGGACTTTATTTCTTGGAGCAGCTGGATATCCCGTGTATGCTGCTGGACTATATACTAATAACCGGTTTGGTAATGTTTGGTTGGTTTTGGTCGGAGCTGTGTTCTGTGGTGTCTCAGCTGGTCTTTTCTGGGCTTCTGAAGGAGCTGTGGCATTGGGATACCCTGAGCCCTCTAAGAGAGGTCGATACATGAATATTTGGCTTATATTTCGAACTGGAGGGCCCCTTGTCGGTGGCGCTATTGTATTGGCGCTGAATCATGCTGCTACCCAGAAAACTAAAGGAAAGGTTGGACCAAGTAAGTGCCTCCTGAATTACTCTGTTAGAAGCAAACAGTATCTAACAAGTTCGCTTGTAGAAATATATTTGATCTTCATCGCACTCCAAGGCATCGCTGCACCAATCGCGCTTTTGCTCACGAAGCCAGAGAAAGTCCAACGATCTGATGGAAGCAGAGTCAAGATCGTCCATGAGACTTCATTTGCAGCCGAACTCCGAGCCCTGGGAAGAGCTGTGTCAAGACGTGATATCATCTTACTGCTCCCAGTATTCTGGGCAGCTTACTTCAACCAATATCTGGGGAATTTCGAGGTGTACTACTTTGGTGTGCGGGCCCGAGCTTTGATTGGTTTTGTTGGAAACTTCGCAAGCTTGCTATCTTCTCAGCTTATAAGTTTATTGCTTGATTATAAAGGATTTGCCGTGAAGAAGAGGATCCAGATAGGGTAAGTTACGCGCTATTCATCATTCAACATCCGCTAACCTGTGACAGGTTCTACTACGTTATCTTCTTGCATCTGGTAGCATGGATATATGCGTGGGTTGTTCAATCAAAGTTCGCTCGCGAAGATCCAGACTTAGATTGGACCAGCAAGAACTTCACTCTTGGATTCTTCGTGATTTTGCTCTGGTGTATGTACCCTCGACATGGTTGATCGACCTTCTGACTTCAAGACTAATGATACTTTCAGATTTCTCCCAACAAGCCCTCCAAAACTGGCTTTACTACTTCGTCTCTACAAAAACAGACAATATTTCCGAACTGTCGCGCTTTACCGGCATTTTGCGCGGTCAAGAAAGTTTCGCTCAAGCCGTTTCGTTCGGCATCAACACTCGTGATTGGTATGGTGGACGAGTACCCCTGGCTGTGAATACTATATTGCTCGGTGAGTCTTGTCGTCTCGTATTCAGGTTAGACGGTGGGCTAATGATGAAAAGGACTTGCGGTTGTTCCAACCTGGCTTGCAGTAAAAGAACATACACCTGTTGAGATTGAGAAGAAATATGGGAGTGAGGAAGATTATGTGGAGACAACAAGTGAAGTGTTAGGTGGAGATGCCAGAAGTAAGCTTGTTGTTGTGAAAAGTAATGCCCACTGAAGGGTCATTGAGGTAATCACTACGATAGCACTCGGTCCTAAGAAAATTGGTCAATTTGTATAATCAATAGAAATTGGTATGTCTAGCTTACGTAGAGATGAGTATTTGCCAGCAATTGTTCGAAATGATAAAACATTTACCAGCAAGAAGAGACAACTCAATTAGAACGGCCCAAGTCCCTCTGAAGTTGATCAAGTTTTACGTCTCTAGTACACATCACGGCTTCGGAATCCCACTCCTATGTTTCTTGCTAGCTTCTACGAAAGTCATCCCTTTTCGTATGTCCTCGGCGATTTTCAGATCAGCTTCGACCTGTGGGGCCATCAGAGCAATAGCTTTCTCGGCAAACTCTCTCGGCAAACATACCACACCATTCAGATCTCCAATCAAATAATCTCCAGGTTTGATGGAAGCATCTTGTTCAGTGGACTGGAGCTTCACCGTAGTGTTGATCTGAATGTCAGCAGTGTCTGTGCTAAAGACATCGTACTTACTGAACTGACGCGTACAACTTCATAAGGACTTGCTGTCCCGATATCCCGGGCGAAAACCTACTGGTCAGTGACATTCCTGATATGTTCTACTGAACTTACCGGATATTTCAAGTCTCTATGCTCTTGTAAATCCCTGACCCGTCCATCAACAATGGTGCCAACTGCTCCAGAGACCTGAGCTCGATTGCTCATCAGTCCACCATAAACAGCGTTGACAGTCTTTGGTGATGAAACAAAAACCACTGATCCGGACGGAATAGTATCAATCTCAATCGTTAGCTAGACTTCATTATAGCGATCGCCGTAATCTTACATAATGACCAGTATGTTTTGGCGACTCTTTATCGTTCACAGAGACGTATTTGACAGTGTATGCAGGGCCAATAATCTTGGTCTCTCCCATCTGTCTTTCCGGAGACCAAAGAGTGAGATCAGATAGAAACCCTCCATGGGGGTATTTGAGCTTCAGCAGAGCATCCGAAACATCGCATCTAAGAACGATCAGCTGTGAAGTGCGTGGTTAAGCATGTGGAATGGAGTACCTACGTGGAAAATGACTGCAATTCCTGGACAATGGGATCTCTAGATGCGGTCATGATGATAGTGTGCCTTCCGAGTTGGACATCAGAAGATAAAACGGCGATGTGAATTTGCTTTAACAGCCTTCGTGACCACGTGACTCATCCTCGCCCCGGCCAACTTCCGGGACTCTTCCCGAAGATCTTGAATGTCTGCTTTATGTACAGACCACCACCGTTCAAGAAAGTGATGACTTCTGCCTCAATATACTCGCGAATATGACTCCAAAATTTACAGTCTACGTTCTGGATCCCTACCATCCCGATGCCATCAAGCTCCTTCAGAGTGATCCCAACATCAAGACCATCCTTCCCACGGACCCCGCCCAAACGTGTTGGCATGCACATGCTGATGGGATAATTTTGCGCTCAGAGACTGTACTCAGTGCGAAGGACTTCTCCCAAGCCAAGAAACTTAAAGTTGTGGTCAAGCAAGGCGTCGGAGTTGACAACATTGACCTAGATGCGGCCAGGAAACATGGAGTTGCTGTGCATAACACACCCGCATTAAACAGCGAATCGGTGGCTGAACTTTGTATGGCGCTCACACTGGCACTGAGTAGGAGAATTTGCGAAATCGACAGAGCCATAAGGAAGGGACAAAGGGTGGTTCGAAGTCAAGTTTTGGGAGTCAGCATGTTTAGAAAGACTGTGGGTGTGATCGGTATGGGCAACATCGGGAAAGTCGTTGCGCAGAAATGGCTTGGTGCCTTCGAATGTCGAATCTTGGGATTCGATCCAGTAGCCCCGAAGGATGCATGGAACGATGTAAAGCACGATCGCGTTTGGTGTTTGGACGAGCTTTTGAAGCAGTCAGATCTTGTCACCTTACATGTTCCTTTATTGGAATCTACAAGAGGTATGATAGGTGAGGAGCAATTCAAGGATATGAAAATGACAGCAATCTTGGTGAATTGTGCGAGAGGTGGAGTGGTAGATGAAGCGGCGTTGTTGCACGCTCTGAAAGAGGGACAGATATGGGGCGCGGTACTAGATGCTATGGAAACCGAGCCTCCAACGCTGGAGTCATACGGAGATCTGTTGGCGCTGGAAAATGTTATCATGACGCCTCACGTCGGAGCAAGTACAGTGGAAAATCAATGCAGGAGCGGGACGGTCGTCATTGACACTCTTCTGAAAGTGCTGAACGAGGAAACTGCACCTGGAAAAGTCTGCTGATGATAGCAGCAGAAGTCCTCTACACTCTGCTTTCATCTCAAGAATGAAAATAACCTTTTTCTCACTCTACAGTGTACCTTTTGATGATATGCTACTTTAACGTGAGGAAGAGAGAACTTATGCCCTTCCAAAGTACTTCATTGTTGATGGAATCCGGATTTTGATACAAATTCTGTGTATACAGTCTACTCCAATTAAAGCAGCATAGCTCTATATTTCTGGCAAGCTAAGATATGATCAGGGGGTACGCCGTAATGTCTTGGAGCAAAAGCGCACTCATTACCCCTAAATCTTTAGCGATCATGTGCGCTGTCCTCCTTCATTAACGATCTCACTCACTAAGGCATCATGAGTTTTAAGTGCTTTCAAACATTGACATCATAGAATTGATGCGCTGGAACAGCTCTAACGATGATTCTAATGTTCCAACGAGACTTGCGTGGTCACGAAATAATGTTTATTGAGATTCCTGGAAACTCTCCGCGGCGAACTTCCGAGCATTGCTCCCTGACTTCGAGCGAAGATGGCGCTTCAACAGTGGTGTCACTACACCAACATAGAGACAAAATGCAGATTTCCTTCTGAATCGATTCTGTTCCTATTTGAAATCAATCCACTTTACTTCGCCAAAAAAACTTTGTTCAAGGTTTGCAATGACATCCAAAGATATTGTTACGGTATCGCCGGAAAAGGCGCATGTCTTCATTACATCAGTGCTTTCCAAATACGGTCTGCCATCCGACCGCGCAACTATTGTAGCAGATGCATTAGTCCTCGCAGATCTCCGTGGTGTTGACACACATGGCATCAATCGACTGGGCGGCTATCTCGATCGCGTGAAGCACGGCGTTCTGGATCCTAATCCAGATCTCTCATTTGAGATGAAGACGCCCGTGATGGCACATCTGGATGCTAAAAACACATTTGGATTTGTTGCCGGATCGCTTGCTATTGATAAAGGAATCGAGATCGCAAGCAAGTATGGGTTCGGAATAATTGCTGTCAAGAATAGCAACCACTATGGTATGGGCGCCACATATCTCTTGAAAGCTATCGCGAGAGGCTATGGAGCCTTTGCATTCACCAATGCATCTAAGTCAATGCCACCATGGGGTGGGAAAGAGCCACTTTTTGGTACGAGTCCTTTTGCGGTTGGGCTTCCAGGTGGCAAAGAAGGAGATTTTGTCCTAGACATGAGCCCGAGTGTCGCCGCCAGGGGAAAGATCCGAAAAGCAGCTAGGAGAGGAGAACCAATCCCTGAAGGCTATGCTCTTGATATAGATGGCAAACCGACAACGAACCCGGAGGATGCATTGAGGGGCGTGGTCCTTCCTATTGGTGGACCAAAAGGATCTGGATTGGCCATGATGATGGATATATTTGGGGGCTTGTTGTCTGGGGCAGCATTTGCCGGTAACGTTAACGATCAGTACAAGGACTTGGATCACCCACAAGGAGTCGGCCATTGGTTCATGGTGTTCAGGCCAGAGATGTTTCTAGATTCGAGTGAAGAATATACGACGAAAATGGATACGTTGCTGTCGAGGGTGAGAAGTTGCGAAAAGGCAGTAGGAGCTGATAAGATATATGTATCTGGAGAAATCGAGAAGGAACTAGAGGCGAAGCGAAGAAGGGAAGGGATTCCATACACTCAAAGAGAGGTGAACGCGCTTCATAAACTTGCCGAAGAAGTTGGAAGCCTTGTTAGATTGTGATCAATAAATATAAAATTGGACAATTGTATCAGACATATGTTTGATGAATGATTCGAGTGTTAAGAAATTCAAAATTCAAAATTGATCTTTCGTTCTCTGACTGCTAATTCAAGGACATACGCATGCATGAGACTATGTTGAAAGAAACGGCAGATTAGAAATTCTTTTTCTCTTGAGCTTCTGGCCTCCCAGATGCCTTTCCAGAGCCAAGCCTTCGCAAGGGCGCAGTATAATAAAACATTTCTCAAGCTCAGTTCATGGGAGCTGATTTGCGAGTACACGTAGCCGCACATTCAAGATAGTGATGTATAAATGACGTAGAATGACCCTCCATTTAAAGAAAGTAAATTTCGTAAGATGCACCTTACTGGGTGCTATAGCCTTGATATTACAGCGATTGTCTTAAGTGAAGAATCGAAAGTGAGGACTCTCATCAGCTAATTCCGTGACATCGATACTTGCTCCTGAGACAGGCTTTCCATGTTTCTTGTCTCGATATCGATTGATCGCCCCAAGCAATAAACTGTTGCTCAAGGCCAGCATCGCGGTAGCAAGAGAGAGTGCCATGCAAATGAAATGCCCTTCCTGAAATTGCGGGGCTTCGTTTGCCGGATATACCCAGGTACCAGCAATCGATCCAAGATTTCCTATAGCGGTATACACTCCCATTCCAATGGCACGTTTTGTCTCGTTTCCGAAATTATTTGCTGCCCATGCATGAGAAGGAGGGTAAGTTGCGTATACACATGCGACTGCTATACACTAATTACAGACTTAGCATTTTCAGAAGCAACCGCATTGACAAAACTTACCATGCATGCATATTTTCCATGCAGCTGGGACTCTGGAAGAGTTGCCAGCAGCGCATACATGACGGCGGCAATCACCATAAGAACAGAAATATGAATTCCCCTCTCCTTGACTCTATCTGAGTTCCAAGATACGCCGTACATTACTAGGAAAGCGCAAACATATGGTGGCACGGTCATGAGATTGGCTTTCGACCCCTCATAGCCCAGATCTGTTGATGTAAGCGAAACTTCAAGACTGGCAGCGAAATGACATACTTGCGACGATAGTTGGAAGAAATCCAGAGATTGAAGCAAGCAGGGCTGCTGTTGGAAGATAGATTGATGCTTGGGCATATAATCGCCAGTCTTTCAAAGTCCATATGACGTGTTTCTTCTTGATAGCCCCAGCTTTGTCAAATGCTTCGCTATGGTATCGTGCTTGCGCGATCTCTTGGTTAATCCCCTTGAATCTGGAATTGCTCAATGGTCGATCTGGAAGCCAGTAGAGGCAGAACAACCCAAGCAGGAAGCATGGCAGTGCTTCGATCAGAAAGAGCCACTTCCACGGAGTCACAGAGCTCTTGATATGTCCAACGCCGAACGCAATGAGACCGCCGAATGCTCTGGTGATTGTCAGAAGAAGAAGAGTTTTGTAGGTATGTTTTGGAGAGTATACCCAGCAATAGCAGTTGGTCCAAGAAACCAAAAGACTCGTACACCCATTTCACTTCGATGATACCACAGACTCAGGTAGTAGACAATACCAGTACCAAAAAGCCCTTCAAATACCCCAAGGAACACACGACAGACCAGCAAGCCAGCATAATTGAGTGCGGCATCTTGGAGTAGACTTGTCATGGCCCAACCACAGACACCAAACGCAATCCACTATTGATGTCAGATATTTAGATCCGACAGGAGGGGGAGAGTTACCTTGGAAGGAGGGAATACGCGATATCCTGTAAGAATATATCAGATAACGTTCAAATTAATAGATGTCAATGTAGCTCACCTATACACCCTGGAATTTGACACAAAACAAGACCCACGTAGAAGATCATAATAACCGTCTGCCATTGTGTACCGGAAAGACTTTTCTTACCAGAACCAACTCCCTCTTGGCTAGTCGCTCGACCAGTATTGAGACCAAGGATTTTTGCATTCTGAAAAGTCAGCAGCATTCTGATTGTGAAGAGGTGTAATTACCGCAATATTTCCACGATCGAGATACTCGAAGAAATACAGAACAGATATTGTAGGTAGGATTATGCAGTCAAGTTTCCACAAATATCTCTTCTGAGCCTGCAGATATTCCGGATCATGGAGGACTTGAGTTTCCTTCTGAATCTCAGGAGCTGCATAGTCGCTGGCGTCAAGGTTATCGGTATTGTTGGAACCAGCGACGTCCTCAATGTGATCGCTATTGATGTCGACTCCCATCTTCGAACAATGTAAGAAACGGAATTCGATTATGAGACAAGACGAATGATTTCAAACTACCAGGCAATGACTTTGGTTCCACAAACGCCAAGGTAGATGGAATGCAGATCATGGCAGGTCACACTATTTCATTTACATATACGAATCTCAGGAGAAGCTCCCCACATGTCCTCACTAGTGCTTGGAAGAACTTGGGGCTGCGGAGTGCGGGGAGTACATGCCGGGCAAGTTCCCCGGACAACTTCCGGGCCATTCTCCTGCAACTCTTCGCAGAAAGCGACAAAGAACGGTATGGTAAGTTGCGCCACCGGTTCTGGAAAATTATTAGGGCCTCTGAAGTTTCTAATTCTGCGGCTGTAATGTCTTGATCTTCTCGAACGTCAGAAGTCCGCGCTCGGATCGTTGACCTTCTTGTTACCACCTCGTCTGGAATGACATTATGGCTCCAATAGATTACGACACAACGCTTCCATTGGGAGCATGGGACAGTCACGTCCATATTGTTGATGAGGTAAGATCCTACCTTTGCGGTCGCCGTTGTGAACTCTGACAATTCTAGGACATCTTCCACCTCCATCCCGATCATCCATACAGACCTAGGAAAGCCGATCTGAACGACCTTCTTCAATTTGAGAAAAGCAATGGAATCGAGCACGTCTGCTTAGTAGCATTCTCCGTATACGGCACCGACAACAGATCAATTCTCGATGCCCTTGTGAAACTGAAAGGTAAAGGGCGGGCAGTGGTTTGTATAGACCCGGATGAAATAACGGACAAGGAATTAAGGTCTATGCATGGTCTCGGCGTTAGAGGAGTACGATTGAACCTTCGAACTAGGTCGCAAACGATTGACCCAATTCTCTTTACAAAACTGCTCAGGAAATACGCTGACAAGATCCGACCATTGGGGTGGGCTCTTCAAATATACACATCTCTGGATCAGATCAAGCACATTGCAGCAGTCATCCCTTCACTGGGAATCCCGATTGTTTTTGATCACTTGGGATCTCCAGAAGGAACTCGTCCGCCTAAGGCGCTCCTTGGGTACTCGGAATTAATGTCTCTCTTGAAGGAGAAGCTCGTCTACGTGAAGCTGAGCGGAACGTATCGATTCCCAAATACACCGGGAATAGGGGAATATGTTGAGGAAATTCTGCGTTGCGCCCCAACTCAGGTCGTTTGGGCTAGTGATTGGCCACACTCTGGAGGTGTTTCCAGAAATCCTGGCGGCGACAGGAAGAAAGTGCAGGAGTACAGAGTTGTCTCGACAACAGATTTCATCGTGAGGTGCAAAGAATGGTGCAAATATGATGAAGATTTGATACAGAAGATTTGGGTAGAGAACCCACGCCGGTTGTGGCAATATGATGCTCAAGACTAGACAGAGATATACACCGAAATCGTATTTAAGAAGAACCTGAGACCAAGTTTTTCTAGTATCACATTTCTTGAATAGGTGACATATACAAACAATCTACAACGTTTGATTGAAAGGCCATTCCCACTCATTTGCCAGGTTGATATCGATGTGATTTTCAGGAAAACACTCCAACAAGTTGGCGTCGAAGTCCGTAATGCCGAGATCTGCGTAGCCCGGAAACTCGGAATAGTTGTCGCTGTACGGGAACGCAGGCAGGTAGTTTCGAAGAAAACCGTCTCGATGGCTCTCTCTATCAGACCCTGATGATTGAGTAGAGTTTTTGAGACTATTGTTGATAATGTCGATGCTTCGTTGCACTACTGGGCATGTGAGGACGCCGCCTTTAAGTGCTCGATGGAAAGTCTTCATTTTTGCATCTGCATCGAGATCGCCTGCTTTGACGTCTTGTATCAATACCGATGCCCCCGTGTAGATGCAGTATGCCATCAAGTACGTGATCCGGTTAAAGCTGAAAGTTTTCTCCAACAACAGTAGAAGCTTTTCAATGCTGCCTGCAGCATTTCGACATGCTAAATGATGTACAGCGGATGAATAGAATGGACGATGGAGTAGAATGATCGTGGTGTAAAAAAGCAAGCTAGACATTGTTTAGTAGGATCCTCTTCGTGCTAACTGAAGGGAAAACGTACTTCTGCGTGAGAATGTGAGGAGGAGGTGAAATTTCGGGGAGGTTGTCAGGATCGTATACCAAGTGATGCGGCGATTGAGATCTCCACGCATCTAGCTCCTCTCTGATGGATCGAAGATCAACTTGAGTTGGCGTCCGCCTGGAATATAATTGCAAGATGATATGATTTAAAATGACAGCGAGCCTGCAGGAGTTCTCGAAGCACGATACTGAGTGGGACTTCATCGGTGGATAACTTCCTCCAGGGATCTCCGAGAGATTCCCCGTTTGCCCATAATATGGGCTCCAATACTCAGTCTCCCCGAATTGATCCACTAAACCTTATTGAGTTTATACTCGATGGTGAGGTTGGAATGAGTCTTACTTAATTCTGGTGCTGGATCAGATGGCAGCTCTGTAAGAGCGGGCATTCGGCCAAGGTAAAGACTGATGGCCCTACGCTAAGTTAGATATAGCATATGCATGACCCAGGGACTTCCTACTTGTCCCAGAAGTAGCAGCTCCAGAACAGTCTTCTTCGAATTTCCAAATCTTCGCTAGAAAGGTGGCCAAGTTCAACCATTTTGGCTGTGCTTTGATGCAAACCCAGGTCGCTAACCATCCTGAACGCCATTCCACTATAAAGCCAAGCTTGAGAGATTGACCCAAAAGCTAGGTCTCTTGCACTCAGTTGCAATAATGCTTGGACTGTTGGGATTGAGCTTGGACGATGGATCTCTGTGCCTAGAAGCAATCGCGCTCGAGAGATTAACATGTGTCCAATTTGCCCATTTTGGAATCTTGCTGCATGAGCACACAAAACAATGAGTAGGAATTGCGAGAAGTATGGACCATCAGTCGTCATATCGCCTAATTCAAGATCAGTCATGACAAGCGACACTGGAAGCTGGCATACGCATGAATGCAGGTCTATAAACCCACATGAACATAGGTGATATCCATGTCCAATGGATCTGAAGGAGTTGTGTAATAGTCTCGCGTGGAAGATCGCTTTGGAATGCCAAATTTCCTAAGGCAAACTCTTCCCAGGCTCTCAACTCTCTAGCATTCGATGTGAGCATGGACGTAATCTCCAGCTTTGACTGGCGTGTCTGAAGATCAACGCTGGGAGACTGGTGATTCTCAGGGTTGGGTGGTTCATGGACAGCTGAGGTAGGGCCGTAGTAGCAAATCTGGAGAATTAGTTGATACCATTCAATGTCCGGTTTCTCGACGTACTTTTCCGTGCTCATCTAAGCTGAGATCTGATAGTAGAGAATCCCCAGGTACTGTTTTGTAGGATGTAATACCGTCGATCTGGGTTTCCGTGTGTTCAGCTGGCAGGTGCTCATCTTCAGCTACACTTGGTTTTGGGGTGCTAGTCCGAGTACTGGAGGCGTTCTCTGAAGTAGCCACGATGTCATCACCCAAGGCTTGAGTACTCGTTGTACTTCGATGTCCATTCAAATTTGCAATAATGTCTTCAGCTTCTTGGAGTCGCTTTGCCATTGCGATGATTTGCGACATTGGTGGTGGCCTTTCATATCGGCATTCATCGTGATAGACTTCACAAGTTTTGCAACCTGGTTGAGTCCCATCGCATCTTGTCTGTGGGGAACTTCAGCACAAATAGTTTTATCTTCAAGTTCAATGTTCGTCACCTTGCGAACCCTACAATTAGTGCACGTGAGAGTTTTGTTTTGTCGACGATCGCGGGTCCGTTCAGAACCAGCGACACTGGCTGTGGTGGCGTTCGAGAGCTTTCGGCGCCGATGCTGTACGCTTTTCGTGCTGGAAGACATCATGAGTGTTGGAAGTCCTCAATTAAACGTTCGGAAAGAAAGGAAAGACATATGTAAGAACTAAAATCCCTTAGCCGCTTTTCCCCGCAGTGATGGAGACTGGTTGCTGGTCACGTGTTTGTTTAGTCTCTCAACGACTCTCATTTTGAGGAGGACAGCATTGAGAGCAAAAAACTGACTTGGGTGCAAATAGAAAGTGACTGGATTCGATTCAATGAGTGTTGGCGCGCAAGAAATCGGTGACTTCATGGAAATGTTTAATTGCACGATATCTTCATTACTGTTGATCTTTCAGCCACTACGTATGAAACTCTCTATAGTGACTTCATCCCGACTATCCATTGACTTTGGTGTGTATGAGCTTATAACAATGTCCCTGGTACGCATTATGCCACTTCTTTTCAGATTATCAGGGGTCGTGGGCGGAAGGGCTTCGAGAGGGATTTCATCACCCTGTAGGTCTTCGACGTCTCTCTGCTTGCCTCTGCCATTTTCCGAAGCAGACGTGGTTGGATCTAGAGCTTTAGACGCCCTCGAGCCTTTTGTTCCAGCATTTGTACTACGCAAGTAAGGTCCTTTCGGAGTCCTTGTATGAGAACCATAACTCGAGTCTCTTTTGCCCCTCATCAATGATTTGAGTGATGGTAAAGCTCCTACAACCACGGCTATGTTCAAAGTGTTAGTAACAGCACGCCAGAGTTCATATGAAGGCAGCACTGACCGACAGCAGCTTCAAGAATGGACCACAATGCCAAGCTGACGTTTAGATTGGGGTCTAATTGAGATAAAGAGGTGTAGATTTCGCTGACTCTGATGGCCGAGAAAATTACAATGAGAATGCTCAGGGTGAACATGACTCCCACGCCGATTTTTTGCTTCATCGAGATACGTAAGCCAATGAGCAGTTTGATGGGAAGGGCCATCAAGAATATGTCTGTGAGAATATCTAGAGTAGTCGTGGTAGCCACGAAACGAATGCCATTGTCTGTTGGGCAAGATCCTGCACTTATCAGCTTCCATTATGAGAAGAATCTGGGGAACGGAACCTTGGAGATCGAGCTCAAATCTGTGACTCATGGGTAAACATTCCAAGAAGTTCGTCAATACACAAGCAATAAATGTCGCAATGCAAGCGACCGCGGCGGCCCACCACCATTTCATGTACTTTGGCAAGTTGTAAAAGAGTCGTCGATAGAACATCAGAAGCGATCCTTTAATCGCCCACAAGCATATCCAGAAGAGGAATATTGAAGCGAATTGCAATTTTGCTTGGTCCCTTGTGGCGTCTGTAATTACGTGCTTGTACGTCCTCTCTGCAGGATCTCCATCTGGAGGAGCAGCAGCCTTCAGCGCGTATATTTTATCTCGTTGGAGCTGGGTTACGACTGCGAGAGCGGTCAAGCTAAGCATGCCAATCACTTGGAAGAAGTCATCCCAGAAGAAATCTCGAAAATAGTGATATCGAACTGCAAATCGAAGGGTGGTGAGGAGGAGGCCTGTTCCCCACATGAACCAAGTCAGCAGCTATGCAGCTAGTTAGCACAAGACCCAGGGAAGTCGTAGACTAGTGGCTCACAGTGAATTGTCGAGAATTTAGATCTTCGACATCTGTGAAACCCATCGTAGCGTGTCGTAGCAAGTGTCTCTCAATGCGCACTGGCAATAACAGAAAAACCAAGCGTTGGTAGATTGAGTGGTAGACGGAATAATTATCGAACGAAACGTTTGCAGGAGATCCAGTACATGAAATATTGCTCTCATTTCTCTGAGAATTACAGTAGTGAATGCCGTGCCTGCTATTTTGATGTAAAGAATGCGAAATCACAGGAGGAATGCCGGATCTTTCGAAAATCGAAATGAACTCTCCTTACTATGATTCCATAAAATGCCATGTTACATGAATTTCCAAAGGGATCTGCCAACAATATGTACCAATTTCATTGCTGCATATATTCTAGCAGGCATACAGAAGTCTCAACTGATTACCGAGCGTCAATTCTGGATTCTGCTCTGCTTGCTGTACGTGTAGAATTGAGGAATGTAAGACAATTTCGGGCCAAACCGAATTGTAAATTCCCTACTCTATCTGCGAAGTCGAGATCGGTTGAATGTCTGAGGGGAAGTCGAAGTTCGAGCGGGCAGTTTCAGGGCAGGGAGTTGTCAATTCCAGTAGCCGTTGCTGCGAACTTCGCATACGACACATCGCCCGTGGACGCGCGATCAGATCGGACTACTAGGCTTTGTATCTCAAAGAGAAATAATATAAATATTAGATGGCAGACTTTCAACTGCATGACAATCAAGAATCTAATCCAAGAAAGAGACTATATCTCGTTGCTGGTACGAATCTACACCGAGTCAATACTAATACTTGAATCGGCTTCAACTAAGAAGCCGATTGCACAGAGACGAGACGGAGACTTAGCAAGAGAAGGGCAACAAGACAACATGGCATTGGGTAGATGCTTCCTCTTCTCCGTGCTGATGCAGAAACTCAAATATGCTCCGAAGATGCACGTGTTGTGAGATCTGAGACTCGTGTTCGCTGGGTGCGGATGACCGCCGAAAGGAAAGCACAAACAATCACATCCGTCCGGCACTTGCTAACTTTGACTCATTGATAGGTTGAGGAGAGGATTGGATGGGTATAGAGAGAACATGAATCCTTTCTCATGTTGATGCCAAAGATTTAAAAACTTTCAAGATTCATCCCCAGATCATATTTTTAGTTGAGCGGCTAGCGCAGGCTGTCACCCGTCAGCCCAGCCTCAAACTCGTGAAAATCCAACTTTCTTCGCGTCTCTCCTTTCTTTCTTTCTCTTCTGTACACCACCGGTGACATTCATACCGCACTCCCAATACCGCCAGCAAATGCATATCGAAACAAATACCTCCAACATATTTTCCTTTACTGTTCAGCACCAGATGCTCACCGCGAAGAATCACCAGGATCATCGAAATTACCGTTCTCAAATCCGGGTCGACGCTGAGCGTCGTCGAGGGGCACCATGAAGCCAGCACCCGCCCTGACGACCGTTCGCGGATTCCATACCCCTCTGCATAGATCAGAAGACGAAGATTCGGACTACGGAACGAATACTCCATCTCGACGACATAAGATCAATGATGTTGTCAGCGCGAACTCTAGTCCGATGCTGCGAGGAGCCTCTTCTCCAGGAATGAGCGGCATCAGCAGTGGCATCAAGAAGCTGCAAAAGCTTCAATTGGATACTCTCAATCTCGACAGCGATTCGCGAAACAGCTCGTTCGTGCGCAGCAGAAGCCAGCTCAGGTCGCAACCACAAAGCAGTACGGGAACCTGTACCTCCGACGGTTTCAGCGACGATGAAACTTCCGACATCACCAGCTACGAAGTCCCCCTCGAAAACGATTTTGTGAGCGAGAGCGTGGTTGAGAAGCCCCTATTCGGCGCGATCGAGGGTGGACTGGTCCAAGATACACTCGCGCGAAAGATGACTGCCTCCGACTTCGACCCTCTTCGATGCCTGGGAAAGGGAACATTCGGAACTGTTCTCTTGGTCAAGCAACAAGCAACAGGGCGTCTCTACGCGCAGAAACAATTCAAGAAAGCCTCCTTAACCGTGCACAAGCGCCTCATCGAACAAACCAAGACCGAGCGCTCGATCCTCGAAAGCGTAAATCGTCACCCATTCGTTGTCAAATTGTTTTACGCGTTCCAAGATCACGAGAAATTATATCTGATATTGGAATATGCACAAGGAGGAGAGCTCTTCACACATCTCGCGCAGGAGCGTATGTTCACCGAGGAAATCGCGTCGTTTTACATGGCCGAGATGGTCTTGGCGCTGGAGCACCTTCATCGCAACTTGGGCGTCATTTATCGCGACCTGAAGCCCGAGAACTGCTTGCTGGATGCCGACGGACATCTGCTACTGACCGACTTCGGGCTTTCAAAAGTAGCGGTAGACGAGAACGACAGATGCAACAGCGTTCTTGGCACAGTCGAATATATGGCACCAGAAGTGATACTGGGACAGAAGTATGGCATGGCGGTTGACTGGTGGTCTTTTGGCGCTCTTGGCTTCGATCTGTTGACAGGAAACCCTCCCTTTCAAGGACAGAATCATGCCAAGATCCAAGAGAGGATCGTCAAGCAGAAACTGGTCATGCCCTACTTCTTGGGTCCTGATGCGAAAGATCTTCTCACTCGACTGTTGCGCAAGGAACCAAACAAGCGACTCGGCTCCAATATGCCGAAGGATATGCTGACCATCAAGAAGCATCGATTCTTTCGTAAGATTGACTGGAGAAAGCTTGCAAAGAGAGAGATCGAGCCGCCGATTCAGCCCTTGATCACTGATCCGGAGCTTGCAGAGAATTTCTCTGCTGATTTTACGGAATTGGCTCTCAGCCCTGTGTTGACTAGTTCCAAAGCGCCATGGAGTTCCACGAGTGCGAATGAGAATAATCCTTTTGGTGGTTTCAGCTTTGTTGCCAGTTCGAGCATGTTGGAGGGGAACGGGTTCGCCGACGCCGGTTTGCTAGTATAGACAGATTTTCATAACGGTTCTGGAAATGAACCTGGTATAGGGTTATAGGATACAGGAGATTCGTACACGGTGGAGAGTAATATGGTGCATACCTCTTCAGCCGTTGTGTCAGGCATTGGAGAAGATCATAATGCGTGATCCAGAGTGGGTCATTAGAGTTTATAGCAAATTATGTTTCCTTGAGCTTTGCCAATGCCATGAAGTGAGCCACATTCGTCCAAATTGAGCGTAATGTTCCTGTCGTCTCCTATGTTCCCCGGGTACAGTAGTGTATGCACCAAGTTTGGTGATGCAGCAATGCATGGCAGATCACGAGGCTGTCGCTGCATTGCGCTAACCGATCTGGGTTTTTCTTTGAAGCTATTCGCGACAACTTTCATCATTCAACCCTCCACGTTGTGTTGACTCCCAAGCATTCAATCACTGCAAGATCTCCAACACTCATGCAAGCCCCATCTGCCGTCTGCTGTTGAGGCTCTCAGTCATGAAAGTATGCGCCTGCTCAACGTCGCTACGCTGCAGCTTGAATATTTCACAGGAGAGGTGGGAAATGGGATCCCCGAATATGCAATCCTATCGCATACATGGGGTGCCGAGGAAATCTCGTACAGCGAGTATAACAGCCGGGAGTCCCTAACCAAAAAAGGCTATGAGAAGATAATGGGTTGTTGCCGGTTCGAGGGCTATCAATATATCTGGATTGATACCTGCTGTATCGACAAGTCCTCGAGCAACAGTTGTCTGAGTCCATCAACTCCATGTTCCAGTGGTATCGCGATAGTAGGATTTGCTATGCATATCTCAGCGACGTGGGTAGCGCTGAGGATCCGTCCATTGAAGGGTCATCTTTTGACCGCAGTCTTTGGTTTACTCGTGGCTGGACACTCCAAGAGCTACTTGCCCCAGCCGAAGTCATATTTCTAAGCTCAGACTGGGTTGAGATTGGGACCAAGAGTTCTTTATGCGCAGCTGTGTCCCGCATCACACGCATCGGCACGAAGGCTTTGGAGGAGTGTTTGTGGAACGAATACAGCGTGGCTCAGAAGTTGTCCTGGGCATCTGGTCGCAGGACTACACGAGTAGAAGATAAGGCATATTCGCTCATGGGACTCTTCGACGTAAATATGCCTTTATTATATGGGGAAGGTCAAAAAGCATTCTTTCGCTTGCAGCAGGAGGATCTTAAAGCAATCAGACGATCAATCCATCTTTGCATGGTCTCAATCCGAAGAGCTACATTCTCATGTGCGGTTAACTGAAATGGTCGCATCATCTCCTGAAGACTTTGAAAATTCTTCTATGATACAGGTGTTGAGACCGGAAGTGGGGGAGGTATATGAAAATCCGTTTCAATTGGAGAATCGGCTGATCAGATTGCGGTTGGGAGTGATAGACGACATTAAAGCAGTAAAACTCCAGCACTTGCAAATGGAAGGTAAATCGCCATCACTATACAATGTTGTCGAAGTCGAGCGACTTGGTGAGCATATCAACACACGGCTTCTAGGTCCACCCTCGTCAAGTCATCCAAGATTCATTGAGGAAGAAGAGAAGGACGAGACACACGAGCCTCCACAAATACCACTTATCACTATCGAGAGGGCCGATGCTCCCGCGGAGCCAGTTTTGGAGAGGAGTGAATTCGAAAATACCGAGTTTTGGAACAAGGCCATGGAGGAGAGAATAAAAAAAGCGGGGATCATAGGATCGGATGGGCTGGATCAGTATGACATTGATCTTCAGCCACCAGAACAAGACCCACTTGAATCTTTAGGCGTTGACACTTGGCGTTGGTATATATACGAGCCCGCAATGATTGTGCCGCTTAGATGTCACATTGGCGGTCGTCAAATTGGCATACTCCTATCGAAAGGGCCGATCAGGACTACAGGGAATGTGTTATCTCGACTCCACAATCCATCATTCATCTTGATTGAAGGATTGAAAGAAGCCGATCTTAAAATTCTGAGAACAGTGTGCGCCAATACTTCTACAGGATCGAATGACAAAGCAAGCGGACTCAATAGCTTGAGTCGAACCCTGGAGATCAGGGTGCCGGCTTTACTAGCAGCCAGCTTTATGGTTCATGAACATGGTGGTCCTGGTTGGGATTTCCACGAAACACGATCCGCTTTGATCGAGAAGAGAAAACCACCATACGGTCGCGCGTACGATGATGATTATTCCCATACAACACCCTACGTCCTCTTCTATCGTATATCTGATAACCATTCCTTGATCGCGGAGGCATTTTTCTTGAGCATTCCAACCTGCAAGAAGAACAGCATGATATGTAAGATTGATGTGAGCCTGTCAATCTCCATCCCTATCAGGGCTCGGGACTTTGAACCGTACTCACTGGATCTTGGGCGCAATCCACAAGCGCAAATCCCACTCGGGAATGGAAAAGCGCTTATGGTGAAGTATCGGGAAGGTTCGGGTCTGGTTCATCTTTCGATCGAGCCACTGAACAAGGAAAAAGGGGTCGCTGCTCCCGTATCACGGGATATGTCACAGAGCATCAAGCTAAGCTCGAAGATCTCGTCACTCTTGAGATCGCTGGGATGAAACGCATTATGAGAATGCCATTCATGGTAAATGGCAGGTAGATATAGACTCGGGAAACATGAGAAGAAGATAATTAGCTTTTGAGAACTTTGAGATGCGAGGATAATCCTCAGGGGGCCATGAATCATGGAATAGGTATCGTACAAAGTATCAACCGAATAGTAATATACATTCAAAAGCAGGTGAATTTACCGCTTCTTTTGCTTCTTAAACTTCCCCTGCCGACTTGCGACTCTGTATTTGTGCCCACCAGAATCAAGATGCTGTTTCATGTTTCTGATATCGGCCTTCGAGGACAAAGTACGGAAACAATCCAGGCACCTGAACATCTCTTCGGCTCCAATTCTCGAAACCTGAAATCTGTCTTCTGGATACTCGGACGCTAACGCTTGGAACCATGAAGTCCCACTAGACGTGAATGCATCCTCGCTGGAACGTTGGAAGTTCTGCAAATTATGTCAGCTCTCTAGACATCCGTAGAGAGAAATGTGGCTGCTTACCTGCGTGCCTCCATCGGGCGACTCCGCTCGTTTCCTCTTGAGCACACTGCGTGCATTATGATATGTCTCCATCTCCTCTGCTCCCGATGCATCATGATTTGAAAGGGAATCCAATCGTGCTGGAGCAAACTTATGAAGCTTCGCTTTGTGGCCCGCAGAAACTATGTGCGCCTCGACAGAATCAATAGCATCTGAAGACCTCTCCTGCGCCATCACTTGATGTTGCCATTCAAGACATGCCGAGCACTTTATGATTGGCAAGGCGCTAACAGCAGCTTCCGCTTCTGACACGGTGAACTCGGATGTTGGATGATCTGCATTGATTTCTCTAAGTAGTCGCCGCAGGTTCCTGATCTTCAATGTCCTATTCCTTAATCGTTCCCCATGGTTGTGTGATGTGAGGTGCTTGTTGATCTCAGGGGTAAAGTCCGTCATGGACTGGACGAAGTGGAAAAAGCTGGGTCAGTCCAAGCAGGAAACTTCGGGATGGCTGCCATATTTGGCAGCTTTTATCAGGGAATTAGGATGCTTGATACGGATTTGCTGAAGCACAAGCTGAACTTCTTTCAAGTCGGGTATCACTACTGACGTAGTTGTCTGTATACAATCAGAAAGTGGTTTTGACAATCCAGATGAACTGAGCATGCCTTTGCGGATCCAACAGTTGTACGGCCCGTACTTCGTGAGCTGTGCTCATTGCCAGACAACGAATTCTGTTTCGAAGGCGCAACTTCGCCCAATGGTCTCCTTTCTGCGGAAACAGTCCAAAGAGCGACCAAATCAGTCTTGAGATGATTCAGGGATTGTATCTGGGTATGTTCCGCCACCACGCGCGCGCCATCCATGAATATGACATTCGAGCCTGAGGCCTTGGCATAGAACTTCTTGACTTGAGCAACAGTATATTTCTGCACTAATCAGCTAGTGTTCGCTCCACTGCAGCGCTCGAAACTCACTCCCCGCGCCCGCAGCCAGAAGAAGTCCTTCCATTCTCCAGTCCGTACACTCTTATTGGATGGTAAGATGGCAACGTAGAAGTCGGTGGATCGTTTCGGGAAGTTCGGAAGGCAGCTTGATGCTTTCTTGAAGAGGATTCTGTGTTCATTAAATTTTTAGGCGTCCGACGCGCTGGGCCACTTACTCCCGGTTCTCATGGGCTCTTCTCAGCTGATGTCAAATCCGATTGCATGCCGTGAGTCAAGGGAGATTGCCGAGAGGGTTGCAGTCAGGTCGAATCGAGAGCAGCCTATTGTCTCTTGTTGTGGTACAGTACCTGCAGACGATGTTTGAGGTCTCATGGACGCACGCGACGCGACCGCTCTTGGGCGTTTACAGGGTCATTTAGCGCTGTTCTAATTAAAGATTTCGCGCCTGGAACGCGCCATTATTCTCGAAAACACTTTCTGCTTTCGTTTGCTTCCTCGCCATCGTCTTCTCTTCCTTTCGACCAGATTAATGCTTCACAGATCTAACTACGAATCCGCCAGCTTGGATTCGTTCTGCATGTATTCACCGAGAGCTCGCTAAAGCCCCTAAATAGAAACTTCATCGATGCTGCACTAGTTTCTCGGCCATCGGGAGCTCAGAATCATGCAGAACTTGATTCTTTGAAGATTATGACACCAAGACCGCGGCCCCCAGATGCTGCACCTGCCGTTGAAATCTCCAAGAATCCCATGTCGCCCAATTTACCAACCCATATCATTTCAAACAATCTCCAGTCCATACCACTTTCGAAGAATGATCTCACTCGCTCTCTCAGCTGCAGCCATGATACCAAACTGAGGATTGACAGTCAATGGCGGAATGATACTTCCATCGACGACATCAAGATTGTTCATGCCATATACTGTCGTATCGTTTGTCACACATGGCGTATCTTCGAACACACCCATCCTGCAGCTGCTTGACCAATGGTTGACTTCGCCTACGTTCGAGGTAATGTACGCTTCAATTTCCTTCGCAGTCGAATTCTGTGGTATGTTCAAAGAAGCCAGACCAGCAGCAGGTAGACCTTGGAATATCTTATAGATGAATCCTGAGATATCTTCGGCATCTTGGGGATTCGAGTAGCAGACCTTCCCGTCAGGTCCCGGTATAAAATTGGAATCTAGTACCACGCTTCCAGTGGATTTCAAGCCTGAAGTACCGTATACATTCAGGGTCATGGCATCATTTCCATTGAAGTCCCCAAATCCGGAAGAGTCGATTGTTCCTCGAAACCCCGCAATGCTTCCGTCCGGACGGGCCAGAGTATCCCAGAAGACAGAGGTCTCACTTGCAAAAGTGTATGGTCCAGTTCTATTCTGGAGGTATGATTGTTCGTCCCTTTCTGGTGGATTATCTTACGAGTAGGTATACGACTGAATGGAGCCGTTCTGCAAAGCAATGAATGTGTTTGGATTGTCGAACAATGCAGCTCCAACAGAAGAGTGATTCAGCCAAGAGCTAACAGGAAGATCAGGAGAGAGCTTCCCGGCAGCTTGAAGGCGCTCCAACTCGTCTGCTGGTCCAATGCCAGAGAACATTAAGAGTGCGGGACTTCTCAAAGCGCCAGCACTGAGAATCACTCGGCCCTTAGTATCGATTCCTCCAGTGAGATTCACCGATCGTTGATAAGGGTTACACCAGTGACGGTACATCCAACACGCTCAGTCCGCGTACCCAGGGCTCCTGTCTCCATGTGGAAATTTGTCAGTGCAAGTGCTTCTTGCAGGTATGTCACGACTGGACCTCCTCGCTGTCCGTTGGCGTAGTCGAAAATTGGGTAGCCAAAAATCTATGTTTTCTCATCTGCACTGCTATTTATGTCGACATCATGAAAGCCAAGAGTCTCTACAATCCACTGTCGGGCAGCATTGTATCCGGTTTGAAGGTATCGCACATCGTCCTGAGAAGTAAGATTGCTTGCCGGTTGCATGGAATAGAGTCGCCGAGTGGCATTTTTCATATCAGCGGACTTCCATCCCGCGGGATAATAGAGGTTGTAGTCACTGGCAGGAGGTTCGAAGAACAATCCAGCGTTGATCGCAGAGCTCCCACCAACCGTGCAACCACCGAATGCGTTGGTCAGACCAGTGCATCTCAGATTGCCCTGGTCTGAGAAGATGGATTTGTAAAGTCCGGGTACGTCAACTCGAGTGAGATTCGTCCCATCCAGCCACGCCTGATCAATGTTAGTGGTGTAAATCGTGAGTCTCAAGCGGCTTACAGGTCTCCGGCTATCAAGATCTCCTCCTGTAATTCCGTACGACGTCCTACCACCTTCGAGCAAGAGGGTTTTGAGACCTGCTGAGGCCATGCGATGGGAAACTAGACTTTGTCAAATGAGATTTCTTTGATCGTTTCTCACTAGCCTCACCTATGATTCCAGCTGGACCTGCTCCAACAACAATGAGATCCCATGTTTCGGTACTCCAATCTGCACTTATGCAGACTGCGAGGGCGAGATAGATGAGGAAGGAGAGATTGCGCATTATTCTTGAATCAACGAGAGTTTGCACGACGGACAAGAATGATGAACAAAGAGAACTACGGCTCTTTCAACGTTTGGGAAAGCGTAATTGGGATCATTTTGTAAACACGACACGATGGTAGCTTCCAAGTACAGTTCCAAATGATGTCAAAAAATTGACAAGTCTTCTCCACCAAAGAGGCTTAAAATTTAAATACGACGATGGTTGATCCTCGGCCAATGCTTAAACGGGGACGATACGAGGTGAAGCCTTGGCAAAAGCTTGTCTAGTCGTATTCGAACATGCAATTGCCGATAGAACTCTGCGCGTAACCAGTATGCATTTATAGTCATTTGAAAACATAAATAATGGTATTCATGCGATTATCTCTCCACGTGGTGGCATGTGCCGCACTGGGAAGTGGGCAATCGCATTATTATTTCAGGTCTATCCTTCCTCAACATCAGTACTTCCCACAGCTCGAGACAAAAGACAGTGTGGGACTAGGACATACAAAGTAACTCTTTTCAATATGGATCGAATTTTGTTGCGAATTTCAACTCAGCGTTCTCCCTAGCCATGCAGTCCTGAGATGAGCCCCCATGACAAACAACCAAACCACCACATTGACGAGTGTCATGGCTGTAGCGACCCATAGGATCGCATCACTATCCAGCGCACGTCCGATATCGATTGTTGCAATCGTGAAGCCGCAATTCGGAAAGACGAAGGAATACCAGCTCAGATGAAAAGGCAGTCTTGGAAAGCTCATCAGGCAACACAACAGAGCCAAGCTGAACATCCAAAATGCGTAGGCCCAGAAGAAAATAGCGATAAACACAGACAGTACCTGCAAGATATACGCCGAGTTCGGATGAGTCGAGAAATATGAATATGATGTAGGAATGTTGTCGGCCAAACGTATCATGGCAATTGCTGTGGAAGCTGGAGGCCCTATGAAGGAATGCTGTAAGATCATCTCCAAGAGATGAATAAGAGAGAGAAGAGACTACTGACCTACTGCAAGGAACATAGCAGGTCTGACTCCGGGATCTGGGAGTCCAGAACGGAAGAGTCGGTGAAGGTATATGGCCGTTACGAGAAGAGATATCAAAGTCCCAAGCCCTTGAAATGTTAGACCTCCGATCAGAATTGGAAGAGCGTGGACCGGTTCAATGTTGGTGGAGATTATGCTCGCGATAGTTCCTGATAAAATGACTGGAAATATTGGGAGCATCCATGCAGGAGTCATATTTGGTAGCATCAGGTGGTCTTCTCCAGTGTAAAGCAGTACATTGAGTACGATCGAAAGGAGATATGCTATTGCGACATAGATCCAGAAGAAGACTATCATTGCGTTTGCTAGATGACTGCCTTCTCGAGGCTGAGCATATGAGTGTCCGCCAGCGAGGATGTTACCGAATGAGAGCCAGGTCGTTGCAAAAGAAAGAGCTTCTGAAGGTCTCGAAAGAGAACGTCGAAACCAGCCAGTTTCTGTGAATATCCTCCACGTCACGAAGCAAGTGAGAATGACGAATTGAGTAATTGCAAATAAGTAAACAACTTTTCCGATTGTCGTGAGAGCATGAAATCGATGCGGCTCGTTGTCTAAAATCAGCGCAACTCCAAGTGTAGCGAGAGGCATGATATACCATGACCAGGTGAACTTTTGGCTATGCCGACTAATTTGACGATAGAGCTTGACTTCTGCCATAATTTTGCTGGAGGGATGTGAGAGTTCAAGTCGTCCCGATCGATAATTATTTGTACGAAACATCAACTATTGTTGTACACTGTATAGTGAAGAAGATATCGTGCGAGGAGAGCAGGGCAGTTAGAATAACAAGTATCACAAAATTATACAACTTCCCGGGACCTGTCTATACTGAACGAGGCTGTTCTGTCGAGGTCAAGCCGTAAGCAGCGATCTTGAGATCTGCTCGAGCCAACGGAAATGCCGATGAACAATGGAATCATTCCTAGGCTATCAAGTCACAAGATTCAATAAGGAAGTGAACGACCGTCCCTATGCGAGATGTAATCAAGAATGATTTTACGTCCCAATGTACGACTCTACCCAGAGCTGGAAGATGGTCTACCTGATTCTGAAGCTATGGATGAACCTCGGAAACCTCGAATTATTGGCTGGAAGACCCACGGGCCGAATGCTTGATCCCTCCATAGAGAATGAATAGAGTTTGAAGTACTCTTCTCTAGTGCAACAGATGGCACGCAAAAACTAACAGTGATGGCTGGTATCTTGCGTAAGACAAGCTTAAATTGTAAGTTGTTCTGAAGATTCCAAACAGTGGCGCGAGCCTTCAGATTTAAGGTTCTGCTAAGTGCCGCTCAAGCTCAAAGGGATGCCGGATCGGGGCCGACTCCGTCCGAATCTAATTGGAGGCAAATTGACATACTTATCCGGAACAACAGGATTACTGGATGAGTACATCAATCTTTGCTAGAGATTGACGCTGTGCATCCGAGATCTTCCCTGTGAAGGCTATTTAGATACCTAGGTAAGCATGCTACAACGCGTGCAATCATTTGATCGGGCAAGTCTCAAATGCTTGTACCGTTTGATTCAAGTCCGAATTTCCGAAATCCGAAGTCCCTTCAATGGCAACCATTCCATGGAATTATCTTTCCTGTCAAAGCTGTTGCCTACCATGTCCCTGTGAATGACGTTCAAGACATGCTAAAATAAACGGGTTCTTTACTAAGCCGACCTGCATTAGACGACTAAGCTCTTGCAATTGTTCAACCTCGCTATCCATGCCGCATGTCAGATGAACTTCTCAATGTTCCCTTCCTGCAATGCGTACTATATTATTGTGCAAGCTAATGGAGCAGATTGTAAGCTACATATCCAGCTCGCGGAATTAGATCGGAATCGCGGCAAAATGGGATAGACTCATTGCATGGGAGCTGGAAAGACAGCACATAGAGGGATCTATATATTTATATATCTAGCCAGAACCCACCAAACAATCGGATAACAATCCCCAGAGCCAAGGAGTTGCATTTCAGTTTCAGACTACAAATATAGGTTCTAAAATGGTCTCGACATCTAAACATGTTTTCTCCCTTCTCAAGTCGAAGCCGTATTACGATACCGAACTAGGTTCTATGAGACGATGCACAGCCGAAGAGCTGCCCATACTCAAGAATCTCTCCATGAAGAGATTGGTCTTGGCACCTGGGTCAATTCGGGAACCCCACTGGCATGCCAATGCAAACGAACTCACATATTGCATCAGTGGCAAGGCCTTTGTGTCTGTTCTTGATTCGGGCAGTGAATTTTCGAATTTCACCGTTGAAGCCGGCCAAATGTTCCACATCAACACTGGAGCTCTCCATCACATCGAGAATATCGGCGACGAGGATGCGATATTTATCGTTACATTCAGGCACGAGCAGCCGAAGGATTTCTCCTTGGAGAACTCTTTTGGGGCGATGACCGATGCTGTCCTTGGGAATACTTACGATCATCCTTCATCTGCGTGGTCTAAAATTCCACGGGACACCAAGATGAAGTATATCGTTAAGCGCAAGGGAAAGGCAGATGTTCCCAGCACAGCCAAGCTTCCAGACAGCCATAAGTTCGACGTCGAAGCCATGATTGCTCCAACAGCCGCCCCAGGAGTTGGCTCAGCCAAGACGGCGCGAAGCCAATATTGGCCAGCCTTGAAGAATATCGCCATGTACTCTCTATTAGTTGAAGAGGAAGGAATGCGTGAGCCTCATTGGCATCCATTCACCGCAGAGATGGGGTATGTTCACAAAGGTCATGCGCGGATGTCGGTCATGGACCCCGATGGCTCTGTTGATACGTATACGCTCGAGCCAGGCGATTGTTACTTTGTTCCTATAGCATACCCACATCAGATTGAAGTCATTGGCAAAGAGGAAATCCATTTCTGTATCTTTTTCGACCAACCTATGCCTGGCGATGTTGGCTACCGGGCGTCTGCGACGGCACTGAGTCGTGAGGTCCTGGCGGCAACTTTTGGTGTTGAGAAAGAGGAGTTACCAGAGTTCCCTTTCACCCCAAAAGACCCATTGCTTGTGAAGAGGCTGAATCCAGTTGACCCTGTTGATTGAAGACTGTGAACTGTGAAGGATGTTCGGAGTGTTTGGGTAGGGCGGTCAGTCTTGGCTTCAGGAGGCGTGGCTTTCCCAGATACTTAGTTTTCGGTATTAATTGATATGAATTATTTTCTTACATCCTAGCTCGTTCACTCCCGTTTTTTGTGAGAAATCAAACTTGTTTTGTCGCCTGATGGTGCTCTGCTCCCAATTCACGTGCAAAAAAACCATACCCCAAATATCCCCTAGCCTGAATATCAAGCATGGAGACGAAGTGAGTATCCTGCGACTTCTTGTGAAACTTAGATCAAAGTTTGAGACTGGGAACTAAAGTTCGTTCAGTGGACGGAAGTGATCTGTCCGAGGTCGCCTTGCAAGCCTTTTGGCTACAACGCACCACAATCGAGAAGTCTGATTTGAAGAGAGCTTGGAAAGAAGGCCTGCAGTATCTGATACAAAGCAGATCTTGAAGGAGACACAGATGACTGGAAAGTGTCACATGGGATGCTGGGCTGCTCACGTGATTGACAGGCTAGCTGCAGAAGAACCGTGAAGGGGCTGTGCCACTTAGGCGCTCGCCCACAAGCCGCAGTCTCCCTTTCTCAGCAACTCGGATCCTCATCATGGATTGCGAATTCTATCATTGAATCCATTGACAACAACAAACCGCATAGTACATCAGCACAAACCCAATACAACAGTCACGAGCTAAGAGCGTTGGGTGAAGACCAAATCGAAAGTTTCATCTCGGACGAGGCTCAGCCTCACGTACAAAAGATGCCTCTTTCCGTGACCCAAGAAATGGCTGATGCCTATAAATTGGCAGAAGGGGACGAAACTTCAGGGAATGCAATACCAAGACCGGAAAATTCATACTTGCGTCCAGCCAGATCCCAAGAACAGCGATGTCGGAGACATCTTCGAATGCCAGCCTTCAGGAGGATAGGAAAGAAGAAATCATCAGAGAGTCATGAACGTGATTCGAAAGCTGAAGAGTCAGATCGTGTCCGAGACCGATCTGTGCACCCTTTGACACAGGATGAAATTGATGAGAAACCGTGGAAGTACATCGGGTATCGAGGGTACACCGATTTCATTGCCTCAGACAACGATTTTTTAATGGTAAGAAGGTTTGCGAGTGTGAGTGCAAGGATTGTACTGTCGCTACAAGATCAAGTCATGGTCTTAGAGGAGCAATTGAATGAGCTAGATTGGAGGTATAGCAAACAGGAAGAGGAGGATGTGAACAATGGCACCTTTAGGGACGATGAGGAAGAACGCGTCGAGTTGCTGGAGTCATTACGGCTGAAAATATTGCAGTACAGTAAGTGTGAGACGAGCAGACTGGAAATCCAAGACTGAACCTCGCAGATGAGTTCGTTCTTCAGCAAGCAGAAATCAAGAAGCATCCAACTGCATCGCCACGAGACATCAACAGCCTGCAGAACTGGCATTTCAACCACCAATACCGTGCTATTGACGGCGCGGAACAAGCATATCTCTCACATACCCGAGATCTATATTCTGTTGTGCCAAAGGAAAAGACCCCACTACGTCGACTCCTCGAAAGATCTGCGACTTTTCGAATCCACTGGCTCTGGAAGGAAGAGAAGCCGCCCGAATTGCCCCTCTTCGAGAGAGACAACGTGAGCTATACCTCCGATAAGAAGATCGATGCTTTCACCACGGTAGTGATTATTGCGGTAGGAATGGTCATGATCATTGCTCCCATGTGGATTTTGGAATTCTTGACATCGGCAACGGCCAAGTTGGGAACGATTACCGCCTTCATCGTGGTGTTCTTGGGCATGATCAGCTATGCGACTGTCGCGAAGCCATTCGAGGTTTTAGCTGCTACTGCAGCATATTCAGCTGTTCTGATGGTATTCTTGCAGTTGAACACGCCAGCTGTGGGATGATTTGGAGCTGTAGAACACGAAGTGCGAAAAACTGATGGCCAATGGTTGCATGGAAGCGGAAGGCTCATATATTCGAAATATGCTGAGATCTTACGGACATCAAGACCTCATAGATTTAGTAATTGAACTCTACCATTGAATCCAATGCCAGAGAAGTGGCAGATCAACCAAACCTTAAGGCATTGATTCGGGAGAAGCCCTTCTTTGTCACCTGATACTTGAGTTGGGTGGCATCCGGTCTTTGGAGACAGAGCATCTTGGTGTTGCCCATGCCGGAGAACTGTGGTTCCAGCATAAATGAAGGACGATCTGCTCTTTATACGAGCATATGAAATCTTTTTGAAAAATGTCATACACGTGATAACTGACATGGAGGGGTAAAACGGTTTCAGCGCCAAGCGAAAAACAGCCCTGCACGGAGAAACACGGCAGAAAATGTGCACACAGAAAAATATTCAGAAAATTTGGAGGCAAGGATGGAGGGAAAAGACTCAAAGTCAGTCAACAAACCCAAAAATAATAACAAACACGAGAAGGAAGAGGAGGAGGAGGATCTGGCCACATCCTGAGGAGACTTTGTGACTGGAGTGGAGCTTGACAGAAAAAAAGTTCGAGGCAAAACGGTTCTTCTTTGACTCACCAGGCAATGTCCGACTCAACCATGACTCGTCCGCTGCGTTATTCTTGGGCTGAAATTGGGGCACGGAACTGCTGGTCCCTTGATTTTCAGCCTCCGTCTCGGAGACGAAGGGGGATCGTGATGTTGAGGTTTATGCCTGTACAATATCTAATGAATAATAGGTAGGTACCTAGGTAACGAATGCTACATCGAACGGGAGGGGAAGTATGGAACCGGATAAATCTGATGAGGAAATTGGGCCACGAAAGGTGATGAGCTGACATGCAGGCTCGAGGGATGATGATTGATGGTGTGCATCGTGCATACAAATCCAGTACTGCTGTTACTCAGATCGAATAGAGACCAAGGACGCTCTCTGACAGCGTCTCGAGTAGTAATCCATCCGTAGGTATCTGCTGGCTCGCAATGCAGTGAGATCTGCTGCCGACCCGATCCACTGCAGAAGATATACTGGGTAGATATCAAAAGGGAAAATAGGATGAAGTTGCGGTGACGATGACACCTTGTTGAGTGATTGAAGGCATAATCATGATCCTTTCTCGATACTGTACTGCTCTCGTCACTGATATTTGAATTTGATACTTGGCCAAAGACTTCAGCAAACCCTCACCGAGTATCGTCTGTATCTGCCTCTGCCTCTGCTCTGCGCACTAGACCCTGATCCTCTGCTGTTCTCCAACGCATCTACATGCTGGCAAGGCGCGACGATGATGGATGATGGATCCATCTCCCCACTTGCTTTTGGATAGTGTTCCATAATTGATACTCGCTGTGACGAATACCAATGCTGCTCGCAGTGACTTCAAACAAGACGATGGCGGACGGAGCACGACCCCTTACCGAAAAGATGTAGCGGTGAAGGTTGTGACGTGCCAATCAGTGGCAGTGGAGGACGATGACCGCTAGGGTTTGGGTTTGGGGAGGTGAAGTCAGTGCAAAAGTGAGGCAACCAGCAGCAGCGTTTACTGCTAACGCCGTAGGTTAGTGCGGGCAGCAGCCTGTCTAAGCGAAAAAATTAATATCTGCCCCGTTTTCTGCTTCTGCCTCGCTTTCTCTCCTCTCTTCTTCAATTCCACCATCAACCACCCAACAGACAACGAAGTCACACTACAAATTCCATACAGCACCCTTTAATACCTTACCCTTCGTCGAGAATCATGCCGCAGGCTATCGCTGAGCTGTGAACGCCCACTGCGGGCATGCTCGTTCCGGAGCGTGCCCGTAGTCCTTCAGCCAACGAGATATTCAATCATCTATCGACCTCGACGAAGTACCAGACCCTAGTTGTCGAAAGCCACATTGGGCCCGCAATTGGAGTCTCCATTACACCAGAAAACAGATCAAGTTGCGCTCTTTGCATCAGGGAGCGAGACTTCATCCGCGCGAAGACCACCACACACCCCCTCCTACACCCTCGAATTCTGCATCTGCCACTCTACCGCAGATCCTTCTATCTCTCTATCCGGTCTTAATAGACCCTACCAACGCCATATACTACTTTTGAGAGCGAAACCCCTCCACCGAGACAATCGAATCCCGATTGCCGCACTCACCGCCCCTCCCTCCCGAATATACCCCACTACATTACTCCGCACCACAACCCACAATGTCTCGCAACTTCCGACAGAAAAGCGCCTCCTCGCCGGCACAGAAGGTGTCCAGTCGAGGAAAGCAAAATATCGAAGAATCTTCCGATGATGACTATGGCGGGGTGGATCAGATCAGCGACTCTGAAGAGGACGAGCCAGATGTCGAGGTGGTCGAGGAGCAAGCTATCATCGAGTCTGAAGATGACCAAAGCACTCCTCGACCTTTCCAAGACGAAGACGAACAGCAATGGGAGGGTTTCGAATTTCACGGCCAGGAAGAAATTATGGGCCAAGATACTGCCTTTTTCGAGGAACAGCTGCTAGCACTTGCCAACGCCTCCAACAGCGACCTCTTTCACAATGCGTCAGAGGATGAAGCCATTTCTACACGACGAGTTCGATTCAACCTTTCAGATGATGATACCGGCGAGGATGAGGACGACGGTTTCTTTCCCGACATCTTCCTACCCAAGGACGAACTTGATGCCAGCTTCCGCCGGGAGGTTGACCGAGACAAGGGTGAAGAGATGATGTCTGACGGCTCCTGGGAATTCCATGATCATGAACTTGCCGAAGAAGAAATTGCCAAGGCCATTGAAGAGAATGAAGACGAAGAGGATACTGATAGTGACGATGTCGACGAAGATTCCAGTGGCTACGATAGTGGGTAGCCAGTGTTGTACGATAGGCAATGCTAACTAGTTCCAGGCGATGAATCAGGGTATACTACTGATGAAGATTTGCCCACAGCTATCCAATTCGCTCCACCCAGGGCTCTGCACCGCGAACCCTCCCAAGCTTCTCAGTCGTCTGCAGAAGAAGAAATTCAGCGGACTCCAGTGAGGAGACTGCCGAAGCTTGGTGTCTGGAAGGTGGGAAACAAACCTTACATCATTGCACAGAACCAAGTGAAGCTTTTCATGTTCAATCGAAGGAATATGCAGCGTCGTTTCAGTTTCGACGCTATGGCACCTACTCCTGTCCCCACGCCATCACGAAACAACAGCATTGTCGATTCCTCCCCCATGATCAGCAACTCTGGTAACATTATGATGAGCGCTATGGCCAACTTTGGCGATCCGTTCACCTTCGGCAATCAATTTCTAGGCGGACAAGCTCTCGGACCACCAGAGGCCTTCTATCCTTTCACCAGTATCGATGCCAATGGAAACATGGCGCAAGATAGCTCCTCTGTGTACGATGAAGATGATCTGGATGCAGGCGATATGTCCGACTTGAATGAGTTCTTTTCTTTCGATGCTGCGGAGGTAGAGGATGAGAAGGGCGAAGATAACGAACCGTCGAGCGATTCTCCAGGTGGCGACATTGACGCCTCATCGACACCTGCACGACCTACCACTGCCAGATCTGAAGATCAGGTCCATCCTCTCCTGGATCACTTCGACAAGGGTGTTGTTGGCTCGTTCAGACGCAACCAAAATCGGCATCAACTTCTCACTCGAAATATTGCTTCTCGAGACTCCCTCGCATTCGGCGGTTCCCATCTCGATGGTACAATCCGCGGTGTCAAATCTGGGCGTCTTCATCATGCCAATACCCCAATCACACCGGCCCGCAAAGCCAAAAACCTGAAGCCTATGGTTCCGTCCAGCCCTGCCAGCCCACTGGCCCAGTTGAACAGGAAGCGCAAATATAACGGTGAAGAGTTCAATGGCCACAAGCGCAACAAGAGCCTGATCTAAGTACATTTTGGAGCACTGTCATATGCACAATAATGTTTCTACCAAATACGCTGAGGACGGCATGGTCTTTCGATCATCCCTGGCCTCTGTAAACTTGCTTCCTCTACCTGAAAGACGGTTAGACAAAAGCGTTGTTAGACACGATGTTTTACCATTTCTTTTTCTTTGATTGATTTCAGCTGCTACTTTCGTGTATGTGCTAGAATTTGTGGTTTCGATTTGGTTGGAATGCATTGCTCAATAGCTTTGCAGATGAGAAAAGTTGGTGCTGAAAAGCATGAAAAGTCCGTTGCGAATTGATAGCTGCGATGGAGTCTAGCATGGAAACGAGGAACAGGCCCTCTTCCCTGTATGCTGAATTTGATGATGGGGATGAATAGCCGGAAGGTGGTTTGTTCAAATGTTTTCATTTTCTGGCGTTTGGGAGGGGAGTTTCAGTACTTGTGCTGCAATGACTCCCGCGTGCGAAAACTCGCTGTTTCCTTTGAATTGTGTGGAGTATAATGCAATACGAATTTTGAAATGATCTTGAGTTCTTGAATTTGTGATGTATATTGCGCTGCCCTCGAAGTAGCAAGGCTGCGATCTTTGCTACGTGATTCTTCCACACAGCCACCACGCTCACCAACGACAGATTTGAAAGCCTAGACCATTTCTCCACAAGGGTTTTTTACCACCTTATCATCTACTACCTTCCTCATCAAGATAATGCTGATTTGAAAGCCAACAGGCACTCTCGCCGCGCTAGACTATTCGTCAGACACCCATTACAGGAGCCGCTTGCTTCCCATCTGCCACATCCATTCGCCAAAGAAGCCAAGAAACGTGCCCTTAAGCTGGAGTTCAGGGGAGATTGATGCAACAGCTTCATGGGTTGCCAACCTCATATCTTGGGCTTGGAATGTTGGTGCATCATGGGAACATTTACAAGACTCTAGCTGTGGAGCAGTTACTTTTCAGTTTTCTAGTACATCAATATCAAATCGACACACATCAACTTTGCTCGAGAAGATCAATGCAGACTGCGGATATAGCAGCGAGAGCAGCAACAACCTCTTCTTCTCTTCACATACATAGGTGAGGCACTGGCAACTACCCCGTTACTGACCCACCGCTGTTGAGGTCCTTTCATCAACAACAATAGCTGGACTTAGCTGACAAACTTTCCCGTCGCCAACTGCAGCACTCGAACATAGGCCAACCAGATTAAAAAAACATTTCAGCTTCACTGGCAATATATTCTTAGGAAGCAGAAAGCATTGCGGTGCCGGATCATGTATCGTCTCTGATTGGATTGGATTGGAGAGATGTTTCAAAGTTATCAACACGTTGCTCTGCAACCAACCAACAACGTATTCAGTATTCGTCAGCTTCTGCCGCTTTTCCAACAGAAACCAACCCAGCCGTCTATTATGTCAGAGGAGACTGTGTCTTTGTCTGACTTTGACATAAGAGTCATGATGGAAGCGTAGGTTTCTAGCTCAGTTGAGACGTACATTCTGCAGGGGTCCATGGGTGGAAGCAAACCGGTCTATGGGATGAAGACAGTATGTACTCCGCAAGGGAGCCAAGCTCCTGTCCTGGAAGACTTCTCCCTACCTAAGCTTGAAAATGGAGTCGAAACGAACACTGGTGGTCAAACTCAAACCACAGAACAATTCGGGTTCTCCTTCGGCTGGAATGTCTTTCAAGTTGAGGTCCTCAGAATCTATTTCGAAGAACAAATACGTCTGAGCTTTGAGACCTACTGTCGCTAAGACATTGAAAAAAGTTTGCTGCTCCTTTGACAGAGAATCGCAGCGGGCATCTTCTTGAGCCGTTATCCCCACTTATACCATGACAAGAGAACTCAAGCAGATCGTCATGGCACGGCAGGTATTGCATGCGTCATCAACACCAGCAGCGAAATCAGATGCGGGAACCTGAAGATTGTGTGAAAGAAATCGAGGGACGCCAAGAATTTCCATCCTACCACCCCGCACCCAGCTCAGGTATCATGCTGTTCTAAGCTGTGTCCCACTTTCTAAATTTCCACCTCATCCATCTCACTCACGGGAGAGCATGCAATAGGCAAATTAGTTCTTAATTAGCCCACAAATGCGAGGTAGCGCAAAGGAAGTACACAGCCTCAATTTTGACGTGGACTTGCAGCGAATACCGGCTTATGTCAGTCCAGCAGACCAGGGTCCAATGTCCGAAAGCAGCGCAATGTACGGACTACCGAATTCTGAGTTTAGGATTTTGACATGATCTCAAGCTTGAAGATTAGACCAAACGGCTGAGCGCACATCCGACGAAATGATTGAGGCGGAAGATGAGAGATGAGGTTGAAGATTATTTATTATTGGAAGGAAGTGAAGATCCGGAGCTTTGGGTTGGACGGGTCTTTCCCCAACTCGGCAAAGTTCCGACCCCCAAAAACAAGCTTATATTTAGCCTGCGGAGGAATCATTTCGAGCTGAACAACAACTAACCACCAACCACCATCCAGCCAAATCAATCTACAGTCAATATGCTTGGCATGACTTTGCCAGTCTGCCAGCCTCACTGGGCGACAATGGAACGGCAGAAACATTCATGGTGATGAAGATAATAATGATGGCCAGCAAGAGGAAGAAAGCAGTGGCTTGGACCTCAACTGCCGAGTCCCAAACGCCAAAAGCCAACAACGAGGACGCGTATCGCTCTCTTGGCTGCATGCTCTTATCTTCAACCTCTCCAACAAAGTGCCTGACAATCGACTCTCTTACCCTCGGCCACCGAATCCCGCGTCTTCTCTATGGCAGCGCGAATCCAAGCCCAGCACGAAATGTTTCAGATCTCAGGGTCAGACTGAGGAATCCGTCGTATTGATGCAACCACCCAATCACCTTCCTGATATTACGCCGTACACACCTTCCCGTGAAGGCTGGGAACAGCCACAATTGCGCGTGTGCTCTCAGTAGTGCCATTGCGGTTGGATTTGAGTTTGCTGGTCCAGACCCCGGACCCGTTGCTGGATTCGTGGGAAGAGCGACTATACCAGCATGGTCGATAGGTACCCCGACACGACATGCACGGCTCCCCTGTTCCTGGGTCCCGTCGGAGCTGCATTGAACGGAGGTGAGGTCAGATCTATTCGAGGTTGGGATAAAGGACAAAGGACTCCCTATGTATGTCACTGTGGCTACCACTTCTCTGCCTCTCCCTGGATTCGGCTCAAGCAACTCTGAGACATATCAACGACCTCCCTCTTCGTATTGAAGCCACGATCTGGAAACAATCATTGACTCTTGTCCATACACATCATGAGGATCACACGGAAAGAAAGTGCTGGCGCACTGCTTGCAAGTCTAGGTTCGTATCCGCGGACACAAAGAGATATCTGCTAACCTTTGCACAGCATCTACAACATCTGCCCTTGCAACATTCTCGCCCGGCCCCTCCTACAGTGTCGGAATTCCTTCGTCGTCCGAAATCTCCTCTTCCTCGACCGGGGCATTATACTTCCAGCTTAGCGCACCTACAAGTTATCAATGGGTTGGATTGGGAATTGGAAGCCAGATGTCTGGCAGCACAATATTTGTCATGTACACGGACGGGACAGGCAATGTGACAATCAGCGCACGAGATGGAGGAGGTGGGCATGTTGAACCGACGCCGGATAGTGGCATTCAAGCTGGCGTGACCCTCTTAGCAGGAAGCGGGGTTGTGAGTGGGAAGATGATTGCCAATGTGAAGTGTAAGACTGCCGTACCCTCTGCGAAGTAGTGACTGATGGAATGATAGGCACAACATGCAAGCTCGACTCGTCATCTTCTTCCACCTCTTCTCCCTGGATTGCAGCATGGAATACTGGATCTGCCATCAACAGCGCTTCACTTTCCTATACCATTGCACAGCATAGCACAAGCAATTATCGCCAGTTCGACTTTGACCTTACGCAAGCATCCATATCGTCAGACGCGAATCCTTTCGTTTCATCTTCCTCTACCACGGGATCTTCAAGCTCTGGAACAGCAACTGGTTCCTCACCTTCTTCAACAGCCAGCAACGGTTCCAGCTCCGGAGTTAATAGTGGTGACAATTCTGGTAGTTCTGGCGCAAAGGTGGTGGGGACATCATTCACCAAGATTGCAAACTATGACAAGGCACATGGCATAATTATGGGCGTCACCGTTGTTCTTCTATTTCCACTCGGTGCTATCTTCATGCGCATGGGAACCAGTGCATGGATGCATGGTGCTTGGCAATTAGTCAGTCTGGTTGCATTGCTGGTTGGATTTGGATTGGGTATTAGGTTGAAGGATCTTAGGAACTATGTAGGTGCTCCTTCTTCTTACCCCTTTGGCACTGTAGCTTTTGGACCATTCTTTGGTGGCGACTTTCCTGGTTCAAGCTTTGGGCCAAACAAGGTAGGGGATTGTATCTCAAGATCCTCTTACCGCCCGCTTTTTGCATCTCTTACTGATTTGAACAGACACTCAACAGTGCGCATACAATCTTCGGCATTGTCATCGTCTCACTATTTATCATTCAACCGCTCTTCGGCATAATTCATCACATCCAATTCAAGCGTAACCAATCTCGTGCCGGAGTTTCGCATCTTCATATCTGGTATGGCCGTATCATTATGGCTGCTGCTATTGTCAATGGAGGACTTGGGTTGAAGTTAGCGGCGAATACAAAGAATGGGGAGATTGCTTATGGAGTTGTTGCTGGTGTGGTGGGATTGATCTATATCCTCTTTGCCGTCTTTAAGAGGAAGGGTACCCCATTGATGAAAGAGGCTATGGTGGAGCATGGGATGGGATCTGCTGATGAGAGAGAAAGCCAGAGGAGACATCGAAGAAGAGGCGATGGAAGAAGAGGATATTAGGTGGTATGGTTTGCGGGGCGTTAGAGAGATTCTGGGTTTGATTGGGGGCGTTGCTTGGATAGAATATGTTTATATTGGTACGTGCGTAGTCTTATTGAAGTTTGGGTCTAAAATTAACGCTGTAATTCCGTTCTCGTCTTCTGAAGTATGGTGTAAGCTGCTACACATATTATCGCCGAATGTTGCGCAGATTTTCTTGATGCTATTCATAAAGAGCACGCGCTTACCCAAGCCTTTTCATTTCTGGATCCATAGTTGGACGGCTCTCTGACCACTAGAAGAACACACCCTGTGCATTCAAGGGCGAGCTTGAGAAGTCTGCAGCTCTGAGCGAGCTAAATGAAATCAGATTCCAGATGTGCACCAACCCAAATCTTCTGCTGCTGCTTCAACATCCTCCTCTTCAACCTTTGTCATTTCAAACAGGTCTTGATCAGGGGCCGGGAAAGAACGCTGTAGTGTCGTTTCGAATGACTTCTGGGGAAGTCTTGGCTGCCCAGCAGTGCGTTTAAGGTTCATCCCGATGATTTTGTTTGCTGGATTTCATACTTTGTTCGAAGGTCATTGAGCATGTCACATTATCTATACTCGGGTAGGTTATTATTTAACAAACGCATTGTCCGTCATACGTTGACTTTCACAATGCCCTGTGACGAACGTTGCTTCTATTGCTTCGTCCTTCTCGTGATAGCCTTTGCTTGTGAGATTGGAGATTTGTTTTCCTATGCAGTTGGTCACCATCTGATTCCTATCCAGTGATCTGGGGATAGGTGATCACTGTAATCTTTTCCGCTGCGGTCCACATGGTATCTCCGGCGGCAAACTTTCATTGATCGACGTACAAATACGAGTTCATATTCCTTCGATTTGTAAGACCATCATTGGTCTTCTGAGATTCTTCACTATAACGGTATTCCGGAAACACTATCCGCGAACGGTAGGGCTGTTCCTCTGTCGGAATCTAGATGAAATCGGTGTCCAACCCTAGCCGTATTGCGCTCTCCATTACGGCGTAATGGAGCGGTTTTTGGGTGGGCGGCGGCCCGTGCGCGACCTCCTCCATTACGCCGTAATGGAGCTCTCTCAGCACCGCATAAAAGACTGCCTAGAGCTAACGCACCCATTTTGAGCTATTCTACGATGTCAGAATTCGCAGATCCATTGCCGCTGCCCCTGCCCGAAGCGCTGCGACAGTGGCTTACCGCGAACCTTGATTTTCACGTAGTGTTGTGTTACGCGCCCGAATGCTAATACGCGCTCGCGCTTAATTTAATTAGCCGGCACTTGCGCGACCGGTACTACGTTAAAATTTTTTTTTAAAAATAAACCAAAAAATACGTTAAATAATAATAATAAAATTACGATTTTTAAAATATATTATTGTTGAACGAACCGGTGGTTCAGTATTCAGTGCAGATCTGGTGGTGCGATGCACTAGCCGAATACGGACTAGTGGATCACGTGGTCACGCGAGAGGGATATAACCTCGAGCTCCCACCTGACGATCTAAGCTCTTTAGTCAAAACAACACCTTTCTACCTGCCTGCTTCCTTCCTACTGTGATACTCCTAGCGGATCATGACTGCTACAGGACTATCACTTTAATAGGTTATGAGTACTAGTTTTGCCTAGGCAAACAGATTGGTCGTTACGACTCGAGAGCTGCGAGCTCTACTGCTACGATTCGCGCAAGGAATCGACCACAATAGTCTTGAGAAGACTGCCTGCTACAATTCGCGCAAGGAATTGAACCCTCGTCTTGAGTAGACGAATTGAGTCGTGTTAAGGACTCACTGCTACGATTCGCGCAAGGAATCGACCCCTCTCGCCCTGAAGGCGAAACCGAGTCGCGTCAAGGACTCACCCTACAACTATTCGAGCAAGGAATCAACCTCTGTGTCTTGAGAAGACAACCCCGAGCAACGAGCTCACCTACGAAGACGCGTTGCAACAGCGGTTGGCGCGCACTACCTACCAACGAAACCCCAAAGTCGAACTCGAACTTTCTCACCTCGATTTCGATATTTCACACAACTAATTGGTCTCCACCCCGCATTTGCATTCACCGCAAGAATAGACGACCACAACAGCGAAAAGAGTTCCCGAATCCCTACCCTCACCCGCGAAAACCACAAAGCATGGTTCCGCCGCATAAAGATTAAATTGAAGGGCAAGGGCATATACTACACAATCGAGAAAACTCTTGAGGCTCACGTATGGATTATTGATCCTAAGATATCCACCACTAAGCCAGTAGGAGTCGCTACACTCTCGACGTCATCAAAGTCTAAAGCCAACAATATAGTCGATGAGGCTATCGCCAGGACCGGCCTCGATAAGCTTGCAGCAGACTTTGCTAGATAGGGAGGATCATAGAATATTGAGAGGAAGGATGCATACACTATGGCTAGCTAAGGCGCGGGCGCATATGCTACCTGCACATGTAGTACGGGCAAGAGAGCACGAGACAGCCGCGCTCTGGGAGGAGTGTAGCCTGCAGACGTACTTTACGGCCAAGGGGCGGATCGATTACTTTATAGTAGCCGAGGATAAAGAGAGTAGCAAGAGTAACAACAAAGCGCCACCAAACAAAGCGCTGGACGACAAAGAGACGGCCTCCCTTTTTAGCGAGCTCGAGAAGGACGGTAGCGCGGCGAAACGTGACCTCGAGGAGCAAGCTAGCATCGTCTATGGCTTTGGGGACTCCCGGTCAGAGAGGGTGCCCTGGCTCGAGCGGACCGACTTCCCCTCGCACCTGGCTCGGTTGAAGGACGCCGAGATCAAGAGCTCGTACGCCCTGCCCTCGAAGAAGGTGCTGGATGCCGATGCTAAGGATGCTGAGGACCCTGACTTGGTCCGGATTCTGGTGGCGGCTGAGGCTCTCTTGCGAGACGCATATGAGCTCTGCAGTGACGCCTCCTCAGACCGGAAGATGACCCAGCAGCGGGCCAACATCCTGAATGAGTTCTACGCTGGAGCTTCCGGCCGTTCAGACGGCTTTCGGTATTATAAGAACGCGTCGACGCTTACTAAATACTTCACTACCATAAAGCAGCTACTAGCGTACTACTACCGGGTCGTCTATAGCGAGGAGGGCCACTTTACGCGAGCTCAGCCAGACCAGAAGCTGCCTCAAGACGTCGTCCAGCCTACTACTCGGCAGGTCCAAGCCATGGACGAGATCATAGACGCCCTAGCTCTCGAGGATGAGGAAGAGGCTCTGCTAGCTCTCAAGCATGCCATTCGGCGGCTCTACCTGGCCCTGATCTGCCAGACGGTTGGCAGCGTGCCCTTCAAGTCGCCCGTCCTAAGCTTCTGCGCCATGCTCAGCCGCCAAGTGCGGGGTAGCGGGGTAGGGCAGGGGCAGTGGATGGAGCCGGGGAACTACAACAGCCACTTGTCGGCCCTGACCTGGACGGCCCAGCTAGTCCTCTTCGACTACGCCTGCTTCCAGGAGCAGGAGGACGAGGACCAGATCCCGGTCTTCTTAGCCAAGATCTGCAAGCGCTTCTTCCAGCAGCTAGCCGAGACGCCCTTCGGCCACATCCTGCAGTGGCGGCTCTACCTCTTCAAGGTCAGCAAGGGCGAGATAGCGAAGCACCAGGCCCGCTAGTCCCTCGACGGCCAGACGGTCACCTACCGGGGCACCGAGCTGCAGCTGGCCCAGGTGCCGCAGCTCGTCCTGGCCGAGTACCAGGCCGCGCACGCGCTGCTCTACGACGAGCTGCTATTTAAGTCCCGCGATCTGATCCCTATGTAGTCCTAGCGACTAACGGACGACCTAGACCTGGACGACTTTGGCGGCTCCTAGCTCGCCCACCCTCGCAATGCCGACTTCTTAGATGAGGCTAAGCTAGCCCTCCTCCGGCGGATTCAGGGCTATAGTGAGCTGCGGGCCATATTCCTGGCCGAGGCAGCAGATGGGAGCATATAGCTGCATCCAAAGGCGATGGCGCTCTATAAAGCGCAAGCGCAAGACTTCTTAAGGCGCCTGCTCATCCTCTGCCATATCCCCGCCAGCCAGCCATTACGGGAGCCTAAGCTATTGTCTATTACCTAGTGCAATACTACTCGCCAGCGCCACCTATTTATCTAGGAGAAGCTAGTTATGCTCTATACGTAATATCATAAGGGCCAGCAGCAGTCGGGCGCTTATAAGGATAATATGCGCTTCCTACCTAAGGCAATCGGGGACCTCCTACTCGACTATATCGCCTACGTCCTACCCCTCCGCCAGCTCTTTCTCCGCCAGCAGACGCCGGGCGCCCTCCTCTCCCCCTACCTCTGGGCTAAGCTCGACGGCACCGTCTGGCCGGACGGAACGCTAACGGCTTGCCTGACTAAGGCCTGTGCTCGGGCCCAGGTGCCGCGGCTGCATACCTCCAACTAGCGCCAGTTTGCGGCTACGATCTGCAAGGAGAAGTTCTCAGCTAAGGAGCGGGCCAGCTTCGACCTCGAGGGCGCTCTAGCAGAGGAGCTAGCTAATAAAGAGCTCGAGCTAGCCGCCATAGCCGAGCAGAGCAACCACAGCTACCGTACGTTCAACTAGGCCTACGCCAGCACTACCACGCTAACTATAAGTGCCCTACTACACTACAACTATCGGGCCTCAGAGAGCTAGCAGACCTTCTTCCGCTTCGACCGCGTGCTCCAAGGCAAGCGGCCGCGCGGGGCCTCAGAGACGCTCTCGCTGCGTATGCTCGATGCCTCTAAGCGTGGCCAGGTGCGCAAGAGAGGCGCTTATGCCGAGGCCGACTTGCTAGCCGTAGCACGACAGCTGTACAACCGGCCCGACTTACAATTCCGGGTCCCAGGCCAGCGGAATGGCGTGCTAGCTATCCTGGGACCCCGGCCAACCGAGCAAGTAGTGCTAGTCCTCGGGACCGGCTCTGGCAAGACGCTAGTTGTCATGATCAGTGCGGCTGTGGCAGATGCGGGGACCACCATCCTGGTCCTGCCCATGGTGGCGCTGCGGGGTGACATGCTGAGGCGCTTTCATGAAGTCGGTATCCGACCCTTGGTCTGGTCAGTCGAGTGCAAGCAGTCAGCATCACTAGTCATCGTATTAGCAGAGGCCGTATGCACGCCCGGCTTCTTAGAGTACTACCAGACTCTGGTCAGCCGGCAGCAGCTAGACCGGATTGTTATTAATAAAGCACATCTGACTATTACTGCCAGCGACTACCGGCCCTGTATAGCCCAGCTCGGCTAGTACGTCCGGCAGGTGAGGACGCAGACCGTCTGGCTAACTACTACACTCCCGCCAGCCTTACAAGAGGCATTTATTGAGTATAATAAGCTTGTGAAGCCTAGAATCATCCGGGAGTCGACTAATCGGCCGAATATCAAGTATATGGTTAGCTTCGAGACCGGGCCTGGCGCTCTAATCGAGAGAGCTGCCAATTTAGTGCAAACATATTGGCCTAAGCAAGAGATCTTCAACCACGCCCGAGACAAGATCATTATCTACTGCCGGACCCGGGAAGAGGTAGCCTAGCTAGCCGAGCTCCTCCGCTGCCCTATGTACACGTCTCGATCGGGGACCGAGGAGGAGAAAGCTGCTATTATCACCGGCTAGCTTGGTAATAGGGATTAGCCCGTGATTGCAGCTACGTCTGCTCTGGGAATCGGGTTTGATTACCCCTACATCCGATGGGTGATCCATGTCGGTGCACCTGACAAGGCTACAGCCTTCTCCCAAGAGTCGGGTAGGGCTGGCCGGGATGGGAGTAAGGCCTCTTCTATCGTTATGCTCAGCGCCACGTGGCAGCCGCGACTCGAGCAGGGCTTGTCCCCGGACGAGGCGGCCATGCAGCTGTACCTGACCCAGCAATACTGCTCCCGAGGCGTCCTGAGCCAGTTCTTGGACGACCAGCCGCACTGGCGCTGGTGCATGCCAGGGGAGGAGGCGTGCCAGGTCTGCAAAGAGCCCCACCATGAGGCCCGGCCTCTTGATTTGAGATTTGAGTTGGTGGCGCCAGAGGGAATAGCGTCTACCGGCCCTGCAGAAGTGTTGCGGCAAGACTACGTCCAAGACCAGGTCCTCGACCGCTACGAGCAAGATTTGGAGGCTCTAGCCGGCACATGCCTCTCTTGCCGCGTACAAGGCCGCAAATTCGACCAT